GATTAAAACAACATAAATAATAAAATCATAAAATCATATTAATTTATATATTTTATTTAATAATTATATATTTTTTAGAATTTTATATAAGTAGCTTATAATTAGTATAATCAGTTTAAAATCCATTCTAAAACATTTCGCAATCAGTTAAAAAATGGTTAAAGAATCCCTATATTTTTGCTGCTATTAGGTGCCTATAGGGGGTTCGCTAGGGGGGGAACTTGGGGGGGGGGGGGTCATGTAGGAGGGTACTTAGGGAATGGTAGTTAGTAGTAGTAGGTAGGCGTGAGAAGATGGTAAGAGGTAAGTAATGTAAAATTTTAGTATTGGTATGAGTCATGGTCAGGCAGCGGGCACGGGCCCTTAAGCCTAGTCACATGACTTTTTGCTGACTAATATGGTCGGGAAACTAAACTAGTTGGTCGGGTGGCCTATGTACAGTGGGGGCGCGAAAGTTTTTAGCCGATGCCGTTTTTACACCAAAAATGGCCAACTTTGACCTCAAATAACTTACCACATTATATATTAAAATATCTTAAAATTAATATTTTTGTGTAGGGAATTTCATAAATAATAGAAATAAACTAAAAATATTTTAGGAATTATATATATTATTAAATAGTATAAGATCAAAATTTGACTTAAGGTATAGCTTCACAAGGGGTATCTTAGATTATATTAAAACCCCCTTCATTTTTAGATTTTAAATAAAGAAGATAATAAAGCATACTTAAATAAATATATATTTATATATTTTTTATAGAAATAATAAAGGTTGTATAATTTATTTCTAATTCTTAGTTTTAGTAGAAATTAAGCTAATTTTTACCTAACTACAGAAATCCTAATATTAAGAATAAAAAAATATTTTTATAAGTTAGTCCTATTAAATCTCTATAACTTATATATTTTTAATATTTTTAATATTAAAATTACAATCATTTTTGTTGTTTATTACAAGGTCAAAGTTGGCCATTTTTGGTGTAAACACAGCATCGGCTAAAAACTTTCGCGCTCCCACTGTACACCACAAGGACGAACTCCCCGGATTAAGCAGGTAACTCCACAAGGCAGTCCTTGGCGATACTACTCCGTACTCCATAGTCGCGCCTCGTATCCCTCGAGTCCTGGTCGAGTCATCACGACGTCATGTACCGATCCCGTCATTTATTCTCCAGATTCAGCGCCTTTCAATGTCTGTCATAGGTAGATGCATGCAAATGCATGCGCCATCGATGACGCTGTGTGGGGTTTGGAACCTCCGCTTTCGAGCCCCTGGACCTTACATACTTTAGGTAATGTTATGTAACTTGCAAGCGATTCAATGGTTCGGCGTCTCGGGCTTTGTGAGCACTGATAGCCAATTACTTATTGTCGTATGGAGTTCGGGGAATGAAAGGATAATGGGCACAATTGCCCATTTTGTCTTGATTCGGCCTGAACTACAATGACCTGTCCTGTGAACCATTTCGTCGACGTCATGGATCTTGTTCTCATTTAGGAAATAATGGTGATGGAGGGTGGTATCGTACGCCTAGAGGTCATCCTTCGTAGCAGCTGTACATATATAAAGCTCTTCATTCCCTTCCTCATGGGAAAAAAAAAGAATTTCTTTCATCAATCAACAAAATTCAAAGCATCTGAACACTCTGATCTAATTCAATCCATTTTCTAGAAACCAAACTTATCATCAACCATGTCGGACGACGGACGCAAGGACTTCCTCACCAGTACGTGACCAGCAAGGGACCAGGATCGCTGCGGTATGCGCCTTCTTGCTTGCTAACAATTGTCTGCAGAGGCCAAGGAGGAGCTCACTCCTGAGGCTGCCAAGTCCACCCAGCAAAAGGTCAAGGAGACCGTCACCGACACCGCTGACCGCGTCGTTCGGGGCGTACAGCCCGATGACCAGAAGTCGGCCACCCAGTCTGCCTTTGACAAGGCCCAGCGCGTGTACGACAACCAAAATGGGGGTGCTTCCTCTTCCATGTGAGTGCCCTGGACAGATATACCCAGAGATTTATCCGTATGCTGACTTGTCGATTGTAGTGCCGACAAGGTGAAGAACGCCCTGGGTGTTGGTGGCAACTAAGTTCCTGACTTGACTCGGGCGAATGCGTCTTTTGATTGACTTGCTTTGTTATCGTACTTGACGAGAGATGATACCACCTTAACGTTAGGTAGTAAATATTATCTTTCGTGTACCATCAGTATTTGCCTTTCTTCGTAGATAATTGACGACTGTCACGGCGTAACTTAGTTGATATCTCATCTCATCTCCTGTCCTTGGCGATCACACTCTCGAACATCTGGTCCCGTTGCTGCTGGAGTTGGTGTAGCTCCCTCTCCAGTCGCCTGTATTCTGCCTTTGCCTCGTCCACATCTGGCGGCAGGCCGTGGAACGATCTGATCCTCCCTTCTAGCATCTTGACGGTCTCCTTGATTCGGATCACGTTTTCCTCTTCCACCATCAGATCCTCAATCGTCGGGCCCTTGGTGTTTACATTCCTCTGCAGGGAGGCAATCCTGTCCCGATACTCGTTCACTTTGGCGATTAGAAGTTTGGTGCTCCGCGTCCATTCCGCCGTCTGAGCGGAAAGATCGGGCGCCGTCTCGTAGGCTGGATGGGTCTTGAGCTCTTCGATCTGCTGTTTGAGGGACTCTAGCTCTCTGTCGAGATAGGCCTGCAACGCCTCAATCTTCCGCGCCTGGTCCGCAGCATCGAACTCTTCCCTCGTCAGCTCCATGATCGAGTGACCGAGCTCCGTAGTGTCCGTGCTCAGGGTCCCCAATGTGACCGCCGTCTCTGCCAGGTCATCGAGACTGGCCGCTCCTTTGTCATCAAGATGGGCCTCCAAGTCCTCCAGCAATTCTCTCTTTCGAGGGTCTTCGGCCTCCTCCCTGGCTTTGTACGCTCGCACCACCTCTTCGCGCGCCCGATGCACCAGAGTCGCTTCCTCGTCCGCCGCGTCATTCGCTGCCGCGATGGCAAGGAGCGCCTTTAAGGTATCTTCATTGCGCTCAAACGCGGGGACGGGATTTGGAGAGTACTTGCGAGTGAGCCAGGAGTTTATATAGGCCCAGTCCTTGGCTTGTATGGCTGCTTGACGCGCCTTTGCGGGCGAGATGAGCGGCGAGTCGAGAGGCGACTCCATTTTCCACTTGGAGGAACTAGGAATAAATTCTAAGTGGAAAACCGTGGGAAATATAATGCTGTCAGTGAAGTTCACATGAAATTCATACGAGACTGAAGTTGCATTGTTCTCCGAGCGCTGTTCTGAATGTTGTGATTTAACTGTTTTAATTTAGTGGAGGGACGTTTATCCGGCCGCCCGCACAGAAGTTCGAGCCACTCCGCATCACGCGCTGGGACTATCAGATCGTCTTGCGGCGCGATTCAAAAACATGACAAGCTACTTTGCGAATCCGGGGACGCCTTCTAATGATGGCTCGAATGCCACGTCTCCTACGACCGGCGCTGCCAACGTCGCTCCTCGCTCCAGCGCGCTCTCCCATAGATTGACAACTGTTCTTTCCGCGTCATACGCCGACTCCGATATCCGAGATGCATTGGAAACTCTGGACATCAGGGGCACGCGCAATACCCCGGAGACCCGGCGACAACTGCGGCTAGATGTGCAGAAGGAGGTGATCAACTGCAATGGGGAGATTGTGCAGGACTTTGGCAAGGTGGCGGAGGTGAGACGCTCAAGACAATGAATGGACAATACAAAATAGCATCATCAGCTGACAAGCGGACAGCAACTGAAACGCATTGGCACCGTGATCGTTAGCCTACAGCAGACATGCGAGGAAATGCGGAAGCATATTACGCTTGCAAAGCAGGAGACGGGGCCGGTCCTCGACGAAGCATCGACGCTCATGGAACAGAAAAAGGAGGCCGAAACGAAACAGCGCCTCCTCGATGCCTTCACCGAACACTTCATCATTCCGGACGAAGACATTGTCGCTCTGACATCCTCTGCAGAACCGGTGGACGACCGCTTCTTCACCGTGCTGAGTCGGGTAAAGCAAGTACACCATGATTGCGAAGTCTTGCTTGGCGGGGAGAACCAGAGGCTCGGGTTGGGGATTATGGAGCAGAGCTCGAAACATCTCAATGCGGCCTATCAGAAATTGTACAAATGGATACAGAAGGAGTTCAAGTCCCTGAATCTCGAAGACCCCCAGATCAACAGCTCGATCAGGCGAGCTCTGCGGGTCCTGGCCGAGCGACCCAGCTTGTTCCACAGCTGTCTCGACTTCTTTGCTGAAGCGCGCGAGTATATCCTCTCCGACGCCTTCCACTACGCCCTCACAGATGCAGCCTCTGCAGGAGCCGAGCGGAATGTTAAGCCTATTGAATTTTCTGCTCATGATCCCCTGCGGTATGTCGGAGATATGCTCGCCTGGGTGCACTCGGCTGCGGTGTCTGAGCGTGAGGCGCTGGAAGCTCTCTTTGTGGCTGAAGGCGACGAACTCGCGCGGGGCATCCAAGCTGGCTTCAGCAGTGAGCCGTGGTCTCGCATTGACGGGGAAGAAGTGGCCTTTGATGGACAGAAGGCCCTCAACGACCTCGTCAACCGTGATCTGAGCGCTGTTTCACGGTCTCTCCGCCAGCGGGTCGAACTTGTCATACAGGGCCATGAAGACGCCGTCACTGTCTACAAAGTCGCCAATCTGCTATCCTTCTACGAGACGACATTCTCCAAGTTGGTCGGGCCCGACTCGACTTTGGTCGAAGTGATCACTTCCCTGATGAAATATACTTTTGGCCATTTCGAGACGCTTATGCAGGATCAAATCAACATGAATTCGTCAGATCCGTCAAGCTCAACTCCGCCGGCAGACCTTTCCGTTCCTCAGTTCTTCACAGACGCACTGGAAATTCTGACCTCCTTGATGAAGGCCTATGACGCCTCCTTCCGAGACGAAGGGAAATCCTATTCGGACCAGCAAGAGAATGCTTTTACCCCAGTCCTCCGTTCTGCTCTCGACCCATTCCTGGATCTCGCAAGGTCTTCTGCCAAGGAGCTCCACGACCCGAAGTCATCCACCATCTATGAGACCAACATTCTCCTGGCGGTTCGCTCCACGCTCTCGCCATTCCCTTTTGCCTCCGCCACCCATATGGGCTCTGTGTCCACGGCCCTGTCCAACTTGCGGATGGAGCTCTTGGATATCCAGCGAAAGTTCCTGCTCGAGACATCCGGTCTACAAGACCTCCTCACAGCCCTGGAGCCTTTCTCCCAGCAGCCCCAGAAGAACCAGGATTCCTCATCAACCAAACAGACACCACCAAACCTCGCAGAGATCGCCGACCTCCCGGCCTTCCAACCAGATGCCCTCTCAGCCACAAGCCAGCAATTAGACGACTTCCTCCCCTCGGCCCTAGTAGACGCAACCGACAACCTCAAGGGAGTACGCAGCCCTTCGCTAGTGAAAAGCGTCACGGAGGAAGCCGTCGAGGCCTTCTGCCGAGACTTCGAGTTCGTCGAAGGCATGATCATCGGCGCGGACGAGGCCCGGGGCACGAAAGTGGATCTCAACCGCATCGAGAGGGACAGCGACGTCGTCTCCAGCGTGCGGGGTAGTGTACTTGGAGGAGGAGGAGGAGGTGGTGGTGGTGGTGACGAAGGAGGAGAGGAGGGTGAAGGAGGAGGAGGAAAGCATAGTCTAAGAGCGCTCTTCCCTCGAACGGTGGGGGAGATTCGGGTTTTGTTAAGTTAGACAGGCAGGCAGGTAAACAAAAGATTTTTTTTCTTGTAACGAAGCCTTGTATATATATACATTTATTATTGTAGCTGGACGTTTTATCTAGCATGGAGAAAGAAAACAGAAACTGCATCTATCTGTGATAGATGGATGAGGAGACGAAATTCTTATTATTATGCCATCATTTTTTTGTAAAGATCTTTCTTATTTAACATGCATAACATCTTCCCTGGGAATAGATTTTACTGTTGTACAGTCCGTCAAGTCTGCCGTATGGCAATCCCATACGGATCGCGATCCCTCTCACTCACGTCTACGCTGAATGCCTCGTCTCCTTCAATTGTGTCAGCTTGAGCGCGCAGTTCCTCCCGGAGAGCGTCCGTCAACTTTTGTTGTAGGACGTCGTGCAGGTAGCCCCGCTCCGTGTTCGAATGGAAAAGAGCAATGACGGCCGAACCGCGTTCGATGGCAGCCAATGCGTCGTGATGACTCAATTCTCCGGTCAACAGAAGATCTGGGAGGACGGGTCCCTTCATCAGCACACCGGCGCCGGAACCGGGGCAGACGCCTACGGTGCTGATTTGCATTGAATCCACGGAGGCGGACTGCGGAACTGCAACAGAGATTGCAGCAGGATTTCCAGCAGCCCGGCCGATGCGGTCAATCAGAGAGGCCAGAAGCTGAGGAGAAGCGAAGGTCACCATGCGTCCCATGCCAGCAGACTCGAAGCCCTCCGGCACGGGAGCAGGAGACGGGTGGATGGTGCTTCGGGTGTGAGGTATGACAACGGTAGAGCGAGAGTTGTTCCCTTTCAGTTGAGGATATATCGGGTTGGAGTAAGACCTGGAAGGGATCTCTTCATTTTTCCCTGATGACGTCGATTGACCGGTAACGGCGCCGGTCACAATGTCACAGAGCCAGTCTGCCATCCCACCGGGGACGGCATCGACGGCTGTATGCGGGGAGTAAACACTGATTCCTTCCTGTGCCAGTCGAAGCAGAGATTGCTGCTGGGGATCCTGGAGTGTGAGGGACTTGAGCCCTCGAAAGATGATGGGATCTGGAAGACAACGATTAGCCCAGATAATGAATAAGGAACGCAGACGTGGGAGTTTATATTGATCGATAGATCTAAACAGAACGAAAGGGTGACTTCACATACGGTAAGCAATGATGATTGAATCTCTCCGTTCAATAGCTTCGTCCGCGACGGCTTTGGTTAGATCAACCGTCAGCAGCACCGAGTTCTTCTGCCGTCTCTCTGGATTGAACGGTGCTTCCAGCAGTACTGTATTCTGCCCTCAGTAAAGAACTCCGTTTCGGTTTGCTCGTCATTGAACGAATTGAGCTGGTTCCACTTACATCCAGTGTTGTCGAAACTCTTATCCGCCAACGATTCCGGATAGCTGCAAGTTTCGCAGAGACAACCTCATCAGTCATTGTCATTCAGCAATAGGCACATGGCTGGTGAAAGACTCCATGGGGCTCCCTGATGGAGCTGTATAATGTATCCATTCAATCCAATATCGCATACATACAGCTTTCTCATCGCGTTCACCACAGCTCGGGTGAATGGTGATGACACAGCTGGAGCCAGACTGGACGCCGACATGGTGGAATAGCGCGAGTGAAGAGCAGCTGCACGGGATAGGAGAGACCGCATAAGCAGGCAACTGCGCGAGGCGAGTGAGGTAAGAGGCCGTAACGCTCCTTCCTCACGAGACAACAAATTACGACCTGATAGGCAAGAGCGATCTATGCAGTGGCTTGCGGGGATCCCTTGGCTGCCAGTGTGGCGCGTGCTTCCACTCGACAGCTTGAGCCACAGCGGTCCGGAGCTCTCAAGCCACCTCGGTACATGCAGTTGGGGATACCAATGGCCCGGCTGATTAATTCCGTCATTGATCGGCGGTAAAATATTACGTTCGTGCACTTGACATGAACTTTCTTCTACATTTATTCTTCTTTTTTCTGTTCGACACACGATTTTTGACAGTTCCTCTTATAATCAATTTCGCGCGTGGCTTGCAATTTTTGGGAGGAACTAGGGATCCTTGAAAAAAGAAAAAGACTGTCCGCTTGATGTTCGCCCGCCGCATCGCGGTCTTGAGCAGAGGCTGCCGCTACCTCTTTCGCGCAAACTACTACCCCGCGAATTCCTCGCCCTTTTCTCTGACATCTAGAGCATTTTCAGCGGTAAACGCGGCAATGGCCGACGCGGCAAACACGTCCGGAATTACAGCTGATCTGCTGAAGGACAAGCTGGTGAAGCAGCTCGAGGCGCAACATGTCGAGATCGAGGATATGTCGGGTACGGAGTTCTATTTAAGCATAGATGTATTCGCCTGAGCAGACATGGCTGACAATCTGGTTTAACTCGCCAACAGGAGGCTGCGGTCAGGCTTTCCACGCGATCATAGTTTCCCCGCAATTCGACAAGAAGACCACGCTTGCCCGCCATCGGCTCGTTAACTCCGTCCTCAAGGATGAGATTGCCGCGATACACGCCTGGACGCCCAAGTGCTACACCCCGGAACAATGGGAGCAGTTGAAGGAGGAGCGGGCTTAGAATGAAGTCCCAACACCTGACTCTTACACGTTTGCGGGAGCTTGGACGGAATGTCTCTCGTCCCCTGTACCTTTGATTTATTACAATTGCATGTTTTTTCTGGCGCCTAATGCTTGTCTTATGGAACGGGCGGGTTGAAGCTTTACAGGACCGCTGAAAGGTCTTAGATTCCACGTAGATACACAGTTTAAACAAAAGACACATAGGACATGACTGGTTTGTCCTACTAGAACATGCCTTCAGAGTATTGCACTTGTCTAACCGAGGACTTTCTCCGCCGCGGAAACTATTGCGAGGTGTTAGCGCTGCAGCTGGATTTGTAAGCAGAAGGCGACCAGGTTGTACAGTACCATTGACTCCAGTGTTGTCTGGCTCGACGAAGGCTTCCTTGACCTTGCCGCCCTCAATCACCAAGGCATAACGCTTGCTGCGGCGGTTGCCGAAGATGGCTGTGCTGTCAAAGCCCAGGTCGAGAGCCTCGGTGAATTTGCCAGTGGGGTCTCCCAGAAAACGAATCTAAAGAATAGTTTGGTCAATTATTTCGTCTTTGCAAGTGTTCAAGAGGTGGATTGACGTACCCCGCTCTTGCCAGTAGGATCGAGGGAAGCTCCCCAAGCTTTCGTTCTGCATCGTAAAGGTCAGCAGGGATCGATCTGAATCAGAAGGAAGAATTGTTGCAAACGTACACGAAGGGGTCGTTAACAGAGACGACGAACACCTTTCCGGCATCCTTAAGCTTAGGATGGTTGATGTAGCCGGGGACATGAGTGCTGGAGCAGGCAGGACCTGTGAAAGACCACCATCGCGACAGGTGGTGCAATGATTAGTTTGATATTTCTTCATGTAGCAGAGGTAAATATCACGCCGTAGTCCAGGTAGACAGCTGCCGCTGGGATTGAAAGCTTGAGACGAGAGACGTACTGAAAGCGGCCGGAGTGCCGATAATGAGGCCCTTCCCCTGGAGCTCCTTGGCCAGATTGACCTTGTTTCCGGGCGAACCCTCGACCAGGACGTCCAGGTCGGGGAGCGCGTCACCCACCTTGACGAACGCTGGCCGGGTGCTATGGAACAGAGCCGATTGCACGCCGGCGCGGGGGATTGCAGTGGCAAGGCGTCTCGCAGCGAACATTATGAAAGACAGTCTTCCTCTTCGAATCTAGGTGGTGTCCTAGATCGAGTCACGAAGGAGAAGACGACTGCAATGGTGCAATGGATGTTCAGTGTCGGACGTTGGACAAGGGCGGCGCGGTGCTGGCGCTTCTTCCGTTTGGTAGGTGGACCTGCCGAAACGTTATTTCGTCATTGGGACAACCAACTATCAGACTTGAACAAAACAGAAGCTATCCAAAAGAAAAAAGGGAAAAAAAAGTATTTCTGATCTATTCATTTAAGTTCATGAACATGTTCTATAAACTTACATAATTTTTATCCTCGAGATAGGTAGGAAGCTCCTCAGTTTAAGCTGTTGGAAGACTAATAATGCGTATAGATAGAGATATCTGTCTGCCGTCTTTCTCTACAAAAATAGCGCATTTTTCTTACAATCTGCACAAAAAAAATCTGTTGTGAAACTATTGAGGATTGGCATTCCCTTCCATGTCAAGATTCTTCCACCAAACTGTCGACCGATTTTGGCATCAATTATGCTCTGCGCATAGACTGGAGTTTTGGATATGAAAATACACTCACATTGTAGTCAAACTCAGATTGCGATACTAATTCGTAGACGGAAACCGCTTACCAAGGCTCCATTCTATGGATTCTGGTTTGCAAGGGACATTGTCGTGGCTTGCCATAGGAACCAGAAACCATCCCTGGCAATGCCTTCAATTAAGGATATTTATAGTTACGCAACAAAGGAGCTCGATATGCTGATAATAATCTTTTTTCAAATCAACGCCTTCCGTATCCACCAGCACGGTGGTGGTACTGCTGTGGCTGTGTCGGACTAATAATCAGCAGCAGGCTGATTACATAAGCCGACAGGGCGTGTCCACCGGCCGGCACTCGGTATGCGTCGTGTGTACCTATTGATCGGGTCAATTATCCAGCAGGTCCACCAGTCCTGACGTAGCGATTCGAGGTTCACCGTTCACGTTAATAATAAAAATCATGCCAACGGGGTCGTCCGATGATCCCACATTTGCCACCAAGACAGCCAAATCGCCGGGCGGTCACTGATTGCCTGCCCTACTGCAGAGGAGCAAGTTAATCCGGCCGTTGACGGTGAGTCTGCCACCTGGCAGGCAAAGCCCTTCCGCACGAGGAGGGGTGGGCGGCCCAAGGGGAAGGCCCGCGGCTTGCGGGCGTCATTGGCCAAGTTCTTGCCTGCCCCCAGCCCGTCCACCCGCCCGTCCACCAGCCCTTCCTTCGTCCCAAAAGCCTGAGAAGGCCATTGTCTGGCGCCGGTGCCGGCAGCCACTCCTGGCCGTGATCGCGCTCGCCAAGGCAGGCCTGATTAAGATGCGCTGAGCATCATATCATGATTACTAGCGCACCGCTGCGGCTTTCGGCAGGCATTGGCAGCCCGGGGTGGAGCAGTGGGGCTTGCAGGTGGAAGAAGAGACGGCCACACCGTCGCCCTCCCCCGGCCCAAAGTCAGACGAGGTTGTGCTGTAGCCGCAGAGCTCCCCCCGAGGCCGCAGTCCCGTGGCTGCCGCTCCCAAGCACCGCTCAGGGACTGATCGCAGCCCTCTGCATCGCCCATTATCGCCTGCTCCGTTCCCCTCCTCTCCGCCAGACTGTCTGCCCACCCCGACCACTCGCTGATTTTGCGTCTCTCGTCTGCTGTCCTGCAGATGCTTTCTTCGCTCGGCCCTCGTGCCAGCGCCCCCCGTTGCTTTTCTGCCGAATCGCCCTCCTTGCGTTGCTAAACTGTCAGGGTCAAGACCGTGTGCCTAGATCCCGTGCCCAAGTCGGCCTGCTTTTTCTCAAATGGGAATTGAGACGATCATCGCCTGCATCCAACGCCTTTTGCTCCTCGAGTCCCACCACCTCCTCCACGACTCCCTCCTCGTGCCCGTGTCCTTAGCCGATTCTTCCATTCCACGGCCTGGCTGAACGGGGGACGGCCTTTTTTTTCCCGCGTTTCCTCGTGGTCGTGTCCTCTTCTGTCCGCTCTTCTGCGCTGTTCCGCGCGCATTGCGACGGGCCAAGCCAGGATGGACAGCGGCCAGTCCTCCAATGCCGGTTCTGCCGGCAATTCCAGCGACTTTGTAAGTCGTGACCCTTTTCTCGTTATCGGTTGCCATTGATGGCTAACGGACGCTCCTCAGGTCCGAAAATTGTACAAGTAAGTGCTCTCGTGCAGCGATTTCCTGCCCCGTTTCGACGTTATCGCCGATCACCGTTCTAATCACCGCGACTACAGGATGCTGGAGGATCCGTCATATTCGGAAATTGTTCGCTGGGGTGATGAGGGTGACAGTTTTGTCGTGTTAGAGGTAACGAGGACACTGGCGATCCCGTTGTCGACCCGATCGGACTTGCAGACTGACCTCGACGTCGCCGTGAAATGGCTTTAGTGCGAGAAATTTACGAAAACGATCCTTCCCAAACATTTCAAACACAGCAATTTCGCCAGCTTTGTACGCCAGCTCAACAAATACGACTTCCACAAAGTGCGCCAGAACAATGAGGAGAACGGACAATCGCCGTACGGGCCGAATGTCAGTCGCAGCGTTTTCCCATCGTGAGGAAATACCTCATACCGGTGCTGACGCATTTTGCAGGCCTGGGAATTCAAGCATCCGGAGTTCAAGGCGAACAACAAAGACTCGCTCGACAACATTCGTCGAAAGGCCCCTGCGCCTCGAAAACCCGTTCAGATGAACGAGGACAGCGTCCCAACACAACAGATCGACCTCATGAACCAGCAGATCGCGGCACAGCAACAACAGATCCAGCATCTTTCCGATCGCTACGCGCAGCTTAGCGTCGATCACCAGCTGATGCTCCAGGAGCTGATGCGTGTCCAGAAGACCATCCTGAACCACGAAAGCGTCATCCACCAAGTGATGAATTTCTTACTATCGGTCGATGCCCGTCAGAGGCGCGATAGTAGAGCCGCCGCTCCGTATCAGGCCCCGGGCGCCGATGGTTCGACGCTCAATGACGGGCAGGTGGCGCCTATGGACGACGTTCCCGCATCGCCTTTGCAGCACGCCTCGAAACTGCTGAACGACATGAACGCCGAGCTCCAATTCAGCCTGACGAGCCTCGACTCCTTGAACGACCCTCAAAAGAATCCGGCTGTCGTTTCGACCCCTCCGTTAGATTCCAACAACGTTGCCCGCAACGGGACTGGCACTGGGACTGTTCGGCCCACGACATCGACCGGCTCGAACTCAACCATGGCATATGCCAAGATGAATGGCGAGCTAGACTCGGTCGTGTACCCGGTCGGGACCACGAACGGCATTGACCCGATGTACAGCGAGCACGTCAACAACATCCCCTACACCATGCCTCCCAAGGAGCCTGATGCCTCTGATCCGCGACGGCAGTACGCGGATGGTCGGAAGAAGAGCACCCTCGTGAATCCGGGCTGGGTGAAGAGACCGCAAATCCTGCTCGTGGAGGATGATGCCACATGCCGCCAGATTGGCGGGAAATTCCTGTATTCCTTTGCCTGTCATGTGGACAGCGCGGTACGTGTTTCTTTCGGCCTGCTACGTGTCGGATATGGCTAATTATGAACTCGACGCGCAGTTGGACGGTCTGGAGGCTGTCAACAAGGTCCAAAGCGGAATGAGGTATGATCTAATATTGATGGACATTATTATGCCCAACCTCGACGGCGTGTCGGCCTGCCACCTCATCCGCCAGTTTGACCGGACTCCGATCATCGCCATGACTTCGAACATCCGAAGTGATGACATCCAGCTTTACTTCCAGCATGGTACGTGCCACTTCCTTTTTTTCCCTCTCTCTCTCTAAATGATCTACAATGGACGGTTGCTAATTTGTATATCAGGTATGGATGACGTTCTGCCGAAGCCCTTCACCAAGAAGAGTCTCCTTGATATGCTGGAGAAGCACTTGGTCCATCTCAAGTCTATCCCTCCGGCGATCGACTCGGGGCCCGCGGTCCCGATGGCCCCTCAGAACTCTGCAACCCAGTCGGTGAAGGAAGACAGCTCGCCTGGCCAGTCGCCTGCAACGTCCATGAACAACTGGCAGTCTCCGAGTCAGCTCCAAGGAGTGTCACCGATCAACCCCACCAATGTCCCGCAAGTCCCGAACCAGTACGTCCAGCAAATGACTCCGACGGCGACTCCATTCGCCATGGACAAAAATGGCGTGCAGTTTCCGACCACCCAGGCTCCGCTCAGTACGCCTACGGTTCGGCCTCAACATCGGCGGCAAGCCTCGGAAATGTCCAGTACCCCCGAGGGTGCTAATTTTGCCAAGCGACAGCGATTATATACCCAGCCGATGGTCAATCAAGTGCCTGGAGGACCGACAGGTTAAAGTCCACCCAAGTTTTGGTAGACTTTTCTTCCCACGTTTCTCCCGGTGTTTTTCTTTTTGTTTCTCGTGTCATTGCGAAAAACGAGTCTGCTTTGCATTCATTGTCGGGTTTTTCTCTCGTATTCTTACTCGGAAGAAGGCTTTCTCTCCCCACGGTAACCAGGACCACGGACATCCCAGCAGTCTTCCATTTATCACGGCGCTCATGGAGTTTTCCTTTTTCTTTCTGACTTGTGTTTGACATCGGCATATACCAATTAAATCTTCTACCGTCTCCTGTTTGGAAGGGGGCTATTTGCATTTTACGACTTAAGAAAAGGGTGGGACGGGAAACGGAGATCATTTACACCATGTGTTAGGGAAAGAGGATGTGGGTTTAATTCGGCAAGTTGCCGGTAGGGTTTCATCGTTTTGTACTCATCTCCTTTGTCGACATCCCCCATCAGTCGTTGGGCGACATCTATACAATGTACGGGTTGGCGGTATTGGGTATGTTTTTGTCTCCTGTCAGGATCCTAATCGGTGTTGTTGTCCGATGTCCATGTGCATGTTCCATTTAAAGTCGTCCTATCGTTCTCTCGCGACCTCCAGGTGAGACTGACGCGAAAAATGCTGCATTCTTTTTGTGGCATTATGAATATTTCTGTTAGATCAGCTGGTACTTCACAAAAAAATTTATTTACGTGTTTCGAAACGCTGGAGATCAACATTAAACTATACTACGTAGTTTGTAACACGTTTCATTTAGGGGTTGGGACTAAGTACGGAGGACGGAGTACAGAGCATGTTTTGGCTGGCTTCTTCGTCTTTGCTCGTAGGAAGGAATTCTGCACGAAACAAGGGCCTTAGTTCCTTCGAACGCAATTCCCAGTAGTGTTTTTGTTACCCAGGGATCAAATGCCAGTAGCCCACATGCTTCCAGAGACCAAAAGAGAAAGGCAGGGCGGGTAGATACGTCCAGAGGACATTGTTTCCGCGGATCGTCGCCCAGATCTGATCGAGGCGCTTAGGCCATTTCTTTATTTTTACCCGCTGGCCATCCCCAGGGGGGTCTGTCGCAGAGGGTCTAGACCGTGTTCTCGACTAAGGCCTCCGAGCAGGGAGTCGACGAGGGTCCAGGCCTTCGATCAGGTTCTGGACTCTTTGCGGCTGATGTGTTCCCGAAATAGAAGGTGTGGCTGATGACGGGCATTCTGCCTTGTCGAGATACCGCCTTTTTTCTGCCGGTCCATACAAACAGTGCAAACTGCTGTTTCCTTCCTCGGAGCGGGACACCACCCTTGGCCGATGTGGGATGACCGATGACTGTGCTGCCAGGCTTGGCAATCCATGAGCCTCACTCTTAGGTCCTTTCGATAGGGATTCTTGTTCGACTTGATTGCGGGGAGCGAGCACTGCCAGGCAGACCAGGAACACGTTAGTTCCCATTTGTACCGTCTATTTGTTTCCTGTCGCCGGTTGTTGTGCATTAGAATCCTTTCGGAGCCTCCCCAAAAATTCTGAGAGTCCTTGTGTGTGACGACGAAAAACGGCAAATCCATCGCGGATTAACCATCCAGCCTCGACGACGCTGAATACCTGTTTTTCGCGGCTTTATATTTGAGGAATGGGTCCCAAGCAGAAGGGCGGTGGAGGCGGTGGAGGAGGTGCTTCAAAACAGAAGGGGAATAATAATGCGACAGAAGAGGTCGAAGAGACGCTGCAGGCCGTTGTACGTTTGCACACGAGCTGAGGAATTGATGGAAGTCGTTTTTGCTCCATTGTCAGTTGCTGATTGAATGGCGGTGATGATTTTAGGTCCTTGCCGACACTTTCGAGACAAGATTCGAGCCATTCACCTTGGACAGACCAAGAGTATGTCCCATCGCATCCTAATAGGCCTGATATCAGCGTCAGGAATACTGGGGTTTTTGCGGTTCGGAACTGACAATCGATTCCAGTGTCTCCTGCCCGTCGCGAATACTCCTATGATTGAATATACGCTCGAGTTTCTCGCCAATGCGGGTGTCCAGGAAGTATTCCTCTACGGAGGGGCACACTCGGATAAGCTGGAGAAATATATCAAGTATGTAAAAGAGAAGCTGGTTCTCGTTCTGTCACAAGGGGCCTTGTATTCTCATTCCGGTTTCTGACTCTGCATCTAGTGCTTCGCGATGGAAAGCTCCTTCATCGCCCTTCAAGAAATTGTCCTTCCTCAAGTCCACCTCGACTTCGGTCGGAGATGTCATGCGCGACCTGGACGGCAAGCACGTTATAACCGGCGACTTCATCGTCGTCAGTGGGGACGTTATCAGTAATCTGCCTATCGAAGGCGCTCTTGCAAAGCATAGAGCTCGTCGCCAGGCGGACAAGAATGCCATCATGACTATGGTCCTGCGGGAAGCGGGGAGGAATCATCGGACCAAGGCTTCCGGCGTCTCGCCCGTGTTTGTGATCGATCCTACCAAGGATCGATGTCTGCATTATGAGGAGATCAATCCCCATGACCGTTCGTCTTCGTCACGTCTCACCATCGACGCCGAACTGCTTGCATCCCATGCCGAAATTGACATCCGACATGATTTAATAGATTGCAGTATCGACATCTGTACGCCAGATGTCCTCAGTCTATGGTCTGACAGTTTTGACTACCAGGCGCCCCGGAAGCATTTCCTGTACGGCGTGCTGAAAGATTACGAATTAAATGGGAAGACCATCCACACTCATATCATCAAGGACCACTATGCAGCGAGAGTGAGGAATCTGAAAGCTTACGACGCCGTGAGCAAGGATATCATTTCGAGGTGGACATATCCACTCTGTCCAGACACCAATCTACTGCCCGGACACTGCTATGAGCTCAGAAGGGGTAGCCTGTATCAAGAACGAGGCGTCATATTGGCCCGATCCTGTATCATCGGACGTCGGAATGTCATCGGACAAGGGACCAGCATCGGAGACAAGACCACGGTCACGAACTCGGTGCTGGGAAGAGACTGCAAAATTGGCAAGAATGTCGTCCTGGATGGGGCATATCTCTGGGACGGGGTGGTCATTGGAGACGGGACCGAGATCCGTCAGGCCATTCTGGCCGATGGAGTAGTTGTAGGAAACCAGTGCAAGATCGAGCCCGGTGCTCTTTTGTCATTTGGAGTCAAAATCGCCAGCGGAGTGACGGTTGGCCCGGGAAGGCGTATTACGGTTTCGCCACGAGAGGACGGAACGCCCGTCGCGAATGACGAGAAGGTCGTTGGTGAAGGCGGGCAGGGATATGAATTTGTCCGCGAAGAGGATGAAGACGAAGATGATGCCACTAGCATTGCCGAGTCGGGTCTAGGTACGTATATCACAACATGCGGTCTCGATACCCAATCGGTCAGATACTAATTCCTACAGTTTACCAAATGGCCCACCTCAATCTATCCAGCGAGTCAATCTCGACATTGTCCTCCGAGATTTCCAGCGAAACCTTAGAAACCGGTAGATCCCGAACAGATAGCTTCGGGACTTCTCATTCGGATGGTGAACACGACCGCTTTGAGCATGATGCGTCCACCAGCATTTATGACAGTATGCGGGACGGAGTTTCTTCCGACGTGGTGCAGCTGGAATTGGTCAGTCTTCGCATGAGCGCCAATGCGTCGGATCATCAGGTCCGTCGCGCCATAGCATCGGCATTTGTGAAGCGTATACAGCACTTGATGGAGTCCGGGAAAAGTGCTGGGGAAGCGGTCAAGGATGTCTTTGGCCGTTACCGGGAGGTCATAGAGCGGAGCCTCTTTGACAAGGACAAAGACGACAAAGAGGACCAAGTCGATCTGCTGCTTCAGATTCAACAGAATCTGGTGCACCGTAACAAAGGGGAGACAATCCTACTGTTCACAGCCAAGGAGCTGTACGACCTGGAGCTCGTCGAGGAGGAGGCCTACGAGCAATGGTGGGCGGACGCGCGCTCGAGCAGCAATGAGGAAATGAAGAAGGTTCGCAGCCAGACGGAACAGTTTGTCGACTGGCTTGCCAATGCCGAAGAGGAAGAGGACAGTGACGAGGAGGAGGAAGAGGAAAGCGATGAAGAGTGAATCACTTTACTCCTAGAAGACCTCGTGCACGAGAAGTATATGCCTTGAGCGGCATAGATACCCATAGATATGCCTATCTGTCCGGGAAGGGCAGGCAAAAAAGAAGGAAGAAAAGAAAGAAAAGAAAGAAAAATTCAAAATTAAGTAGCTTCACGCCGTATTGCATCTGCTGAGTAGGAGTATGCAGTCCTCAGCCTAGGAAGCACCCTGGCGACATGCCTTGTTCGGCTGTTCGCCCCGTTCGCCCAAGTCCGTCGAGGCGATCGGTCATCCGCGCCTGTCACCTGCAGCAGCCCGTTTTATTCGCCGTCCGCCACTACCCTTGCTCTCTGCCCACTTAGCACCGACTAGAGCCTGCCTGCTCGACTCCAGACTCCGGCTCGTTGCCTGACGCTGCTGCTGCACCTTGCACACACTTAAGGGTATTAGCCCTTCCATCCTTTCTTCACCTCTAGACACTCCTGTCCTCTTGGCTCTGCTCGCTGACATCATCGTCCTCGGGAAGAGGCTCCCGCCAAAAGGTCCGCTCCCGCACCCGAACGCTGTCCCACTATCGCTTGCTTGCCAAACGAGTCCAACATTCGCCTTCTGGCATTCCTCGTCGTCACTCCCCGCATCAGTCCTGTCCACTAGACCCCAGTTCTCGAGGACAGTTCACGATATCGGCTAGTCCCTGCCTTTCTGTCCATATACGGCCTTCAGTGATAGTCCCCCGCCCGGATAGGAGAACCAGCTCGGACCGGTGTCGAACCAGGGTCCGGGTAAACGAGGAGAGTGTCCCGTGGAATTGCATCAACCCATCTTGTCCTCCTCCCCTCTCTCCATACGGAGCCAAACTTTGGTGGCCTTACATAACCGACAGCGTTTCAGACCGTGGTGTCTAACCCATCGCCGCCTTCGTGGCTCAAGACGAATCATCCCCCAGAACAGTCTTGGTTTTAGGTGAGCTGTGGCGTGTGTGTTGACCAGAGAAAAAGAGGTCCCAAGGCCCTCTTTTTTTCGCGTCAACACATATCTCTCGGCTTGCCACGGTTTCACCGGCCTTCACCACGCCTCCGCTAACGAGGAAGAGGAAGGCTCTTGAGGCGGCGATCGACGACGACAAGAGTAGCGCCGCCACCGAGACCCTCAACACAGGCCGGAAGTCCTCGAAAAGGGCCGCTCAGGGTGACAAAACCAAAGATAGCGGACGGACGTCGCCGTCAGGAACAAGTGCTAGCTATCCGGTCTCTCTGAGAAAGAGGGTGTCGGATATCGCGACCCCCGCGACAACAACTGGCAGCATGGAATCGGATGATGATTTCATGACCGATGTGTCTAGCCATGAGGAGGATGGTATGGGCACACAGGGCAGTGACGAGGAGAGCATTGGTGAAGGTACGTTGTGGCTGTCAGATGACTTTGGTGGAGTGGTGATTACTGATACGTCGCTTGCTTCAGAGGATTTTGGCGATGACTTCGATACCGGATTCTCCAATGACAAGGATATCGTGAAGAAAACCAAGAAGCCATATGAGGTCGACTTCAAGGTCCTGAGCCCCGCAGACATCGAACGGGAGCAAAACCAGCAGATCAACGAAGTCTCGCAAATCTTGGGTCTCCCGCCAGAGTCGACTGCGATACTGTTGCGCTTTGCACGATGGAACCGGGAGAAGTTGATCGAGTCTTACATGGAACACCCCGAGGAGACATTGGAAGAGGCTGGCCTGGGACAGAACTTTGAGGGGGAACCCAAGACTGAGGTCATTCCCGGCTTCATGTGCTCGATTTGCTGTGAGGATGGAGACGACTTGGAAACGTATGCGATGCGGTGCGGTCACCGTTTCTGCGTCGACTGTTTCAGGCAGTACCTTGCACAGAAGATCAAGGAGGAGGGTGAAGCAGCCAGGATACAGTGCCCGCAGGACAACTGTCACCGTATCGTGGATTCCAAGTCTCTGAACTTGCTCGTTACGGATGATCTCAAGGAACGGTAGGCAGCCCTCAGCGCTCAGAGAGAGGTAAGAAAAGTTTACTGACTGACCCTTTTCTTAGATACCAAACGCTCCTTACTCGGACCTACGTTGATGACAAGGAAAACCTGAAGTGGTGTCCCGCCCCGAACTGCGAGTATGCAATCGACTGTCCGGTGAAACCTAGGGAGCTGAACAGAACGGTGCCCACAGTACAATGCGCATGCAGTCACAGCTTCTGTTTTGGCTGTTCTCTGGCTGACCACCAGCCGCCACCTTGCTCTCTGGTCAAGATGTGGTTGAAGAAATGTGAAGACGACTCAGAGACAGCGAACTGGATTGCTGCCAACACCAAGGAGTGTCCGAAGTGCCATTCCACCATCGAGAAAAACGGTGGGTGCAACCACATGACATGCCGAAAGTGCAAGCACGAATTCTGCTGGATGTGCATGGGACTCTGGTCCGAGCATGGCACAAGCTGGTATAACTGCAATCGGTATGAAGAGAAATCCGGCGCGGAGGCTCGGGACGCTCAAGCCCGGTCCCGAGCATCCTTAGAACGGTACCTGCACTACTACAATCGATATGCGAACCACGAGCAGTCTGCGAAGCTCGATAAGGATCTGTATCTCAAAACGGAGAAGAAGATGACGAGTCTGCAGTCTCAGTCGGGCATGTCGTGGATTGAGGTCCAATTCCTTAGCACCGCCTCCCAAGCTCTCCAACAATGCCGCCAGACCTTGAAGTGGACCTATGCCTTTGCCTATTATCTTGCCCGGAACAACCTGACGGAGATCTTCGAAGACAACCAAAAGGACCTGGAGATGGCGGTGGAAAGTTTGAGTGAGATGTTTGAGAAGCCCATCTCGGAGCTTGCGGAGCTCAAGGTGGATATCCTCGACAAGACGGCATACTGCAACAAACGCCGTATCATCCTGTTGAGCGACACTGCGGAGAATTTGAAGAATGGTAAGAAGACAGCCCTCTGGATCCTTTGTTTGAAATAGGCTGACTTGTTGATTGCACAGGGGAATGGGAATTCAATGTGAAGATATAGTATGACATTGCTTGTATTACTCTTCTGCTCTCCTCGTTTCTCCATGAGCGTCCATCATCATCCTGGTTTCTGTTTAATTTTTTTTCTTTAATTTCTTCCCTCCAGTTTTCCATCAGCTGTCATGATTCTGCTGTTCGTGGGCAGACACAATGCAATCCAATATAGACAGCGATGGAGTGGGCAGATTAAGCATATCACAAAGTTAGCCTGTACGACATGAATGGATATGAAGCCAAACACTTGATGATTATTACTTTTTATCTTATTGGCCAATACAAAGCATCTGAGATACAGTCTGAGCATGTTCCATGTGTTATCTATATCTGTTGTATGGTTCCGCCTGTGACTGGCCAAACAGTCATCGCGCTAGGACTAGAGATGTTACCATCCTACGCCTATTTTAATTCTCTTCTACAGTATTTCTAGTTTGTCCCATTCTCAGACTCTGGCTGAGGCGGAAGCTGCTCGGTATTTTACAATGGAACGAATTGTATTTCAAGATGCAGGAAAATACCACTTTGAATAGGCCGCTGACTTAGAACGGCCTCCTATGTAGAGTCCATGGCTTTTAATTTGACAACATGGTCCTAGTCCTTAATTTGTTGATCGAAGCAAGCCAAAATGGGAACATTGCCTGCGAGTCTGACGTGTCTGTATCAGACCCTGGTCATACCACTCTTGAGTCACGAGCGAGACAATTATTTGTATTTTCTGCCACTCTGAGGATTGTGTTTCCATATTTTCAAGTTATTCTTCCTACATATCTACAGTACCTTTACCGAGTAAAGCTTTTGCAGAGTCTCATTCTTTTATTCTTCCGTAAAAACAACTATGGCATCACATCCAAAGACGCATCAATTTGGCAGGTAGTTAGTTACCTCTTTATTCCGTTTATGCATTGATCTGAAATCGACATATACAGGCTCCTCATGGAATGCCCAGTCAAGGTTCTCGTGGGAAGTGACAGGAGAATCTACTATGTCCATCCTGGAGTCTTATCGTCGTGCAATTCATCATCATCATCGGCTTTGAATGCTCGCGTTAGCGAACGGTGGAAGGACACCGGAGACGGCATGATTGACTGGACTGATTTTGATGAGCGGACGGTTGAATGCGTCCTGAGCTATCTTTATACTGGGGACTACTATTATTGTGGACCCCGGTCAAGATCGACTTCTGAGAGTACTGCATCACCATCACCATCACCGTCTGGGCAAGAAGGTAAATGTGTACATGTGGATCATGCTGAAGGTAAATCAAGCGTGACTATTATAGTGTATAGAACTCGACTGACTTATAGACAGATACTGTCGCTGCCGAATCGATGTTATCCACAAACACAGACACAGAAGAACACCCGCTTCCTCAGGCTCCATTACAGGATGATGATCTAACGTCCTTCCGACCTCTAACCCCCTTGAGCTGGTGTCTCAAAGCCGGGTTACCGGCAGAGCGCATCCAAACTGCCGCAGGCGTTTTTGCCCAAATGATGATGTCTCGGGAGAGCAACAACGATGATAATGGCATAGGTGCCGCAATCCTTACACATGCAAAGGTGTATTCATTCGCGCACCGGTTTCTCCTTTCTGAACTCGAAGAGCTTGCGTTGCAGCGCCTTACGCAGGTCCTCATTCTAGCAGTACAACAGCAGGGCACACGGGAGACGGATCTATTCCCACATCTCGCAGATGCTATCCGTCTTATTTACAGCACAACACCCAGCAGTGCTGGGCTCGAGGAAAGCTCTCGCAGTTTGTCGCGCTCAGGTACACTAGGTTTGTAGAGGAGAAAGATTTCGACACCCTTATAGAAGGAGGAGAATTTACGATCGACGTGTCGCGCAAGTTAGCCAGGCGGCTTGCGACGAGCGGTAGCTGTGCCCGATCACTGGAAGAAGAGATTGATGAGCTTCAAAGGAAGATTGAAATGTTGGAAGCTGAATGCAGGGATAAAGATGGCGAGATACAAAGAGCTAGGGAAAATATAAAGGAATGGGAGAGCTGGAATCGAGGAATTTCGAATAAAAGATGGAAGAGGAAGACTGTCGCTGATCTTGACCAGCGAATGAATCGTTTATGATTAGATGAACTTGGTTTATTCTGGCTGACTACCTAGGTAGAGCGCAAGCAGGGGCAAATGGGAGCTAATACGTGAGTAATGACAATTGCCTTGCCTCGTACAGTGGCTCTGCTATTGGTCTTGCTCACAATAATAACGAAATTTTCGCCAAAATACCCTTTATTTCAGGACATTTCCATGTCTTCAGACGTCATTTGCTTGGGCTGCGGATAGTGCATAGCAATAGCCCGACTCGGCCGTAACGGGTATCCACTATCGATCATCTTCTCATCAATATGTATGATAACAAAGGCAAGAATTATATCTGTACCAATTGGATCTGCAGAGTATGGTTCAATGCGTGTGCAATTCTAGATCGCAAGGTTGCGCGTTGTTATGTCAGCGGTTTTTCCGGTTGTACTGACATAAACATTAGATGTCATTGGCATTCCCAAAGTCGGGACCCATAGCTCAGTCGGTAGAGCACCAGACTCCAGATCTGGGGGTCATCCGTTCAAGTCGGGTTGGGTTCAAGTCCCAAATCATTCTTTTTTTTCCCACTTTCATCATAACCACTGACTGTCACCTTTATCAAGTAGTACAACTTGCCTTTGATCCCTAAGCTTCCAATACTGGGCTTACAGTTTTAGGTGATTGGAGCTTTTTTTTTCTAGGTGCTCCGAACTACGGAGTAGACCCGCCTTATACGCCACACTCTACCTAGAGGCTTAATAGGGGGATATATAAATACCTATTATTACTGCCTGAGGCTTACGGAGTATATAGCAAAGCCCACAGTAAATGCTCCGGTCCTTCGGCTCTCTGCATGCCTGTAATGTAAGCCTATATAAAGCCGGAAGCCTGTAAGTATAGGGTGCACTGCCAACGTGAAGCTTATGGCAATGTTTATGTAATCCGTGTAAAAGCTGCAAGACTAACTAGTTAACTAGTTAACTATTCACGTACTAATGCTTAATAAGCATATCTGACCAATCACGCACGTTTCTGTACAACTCATCACAGAAAAACTGATCTCCATTTTAAGAGGGCCGAAATCGGATTGACCGTCATCATTCGGACCCATAGCTCAGTTGGTAGAGCATCAGACTCCAGATCTGGGGGTCATCCGTTCAAGTCGGGTTGGGTTCAATTCCCTTCTCTTTTTTTTTATTTCTTTTTTCCATCTTCATGTTACACTGACTACCACGTCCTCCCTTTTTTTCATCGATTAGGAGAACCTGTGTTGGTGGGAGAAATCGATTTTGACTGTGAATATATACCGTAGGGCTGACAGAGGAGGATAAGAGGGGAGACAGACAGATGGAGAGGGAAATACACAGGTAAATTAGTAACGATACCATTAAGACAGAATCCACGCTGCTTCAAACACGGCATTACGAGGACATCTTTATTTGTTTAAATGACAGAATCTCTTGTCCTGAAGGGGAGGGAGAATCATACGCTCTTTCTGCCTAGTTTTTCTTCTTCTTTGTCTGTCCCCTCAGATCTATCTACGAAACGTTTCACGCTTGTTTCTTCCTTCCTCAGAAGAAAGATCAAAATTGCCAAAGCTAGGGAAAGCTCCCATGGCTATATAATATATATTCTTCGGGCCTTCCATGAAAGCTGCCCGTACCCAATAGGATTAAAAATAGTCTATGGTCAATCTTTATTACCAAATTCGGTGATGGGCAGCCATCTGCTGGCCGTTGAGAAATGACTTTGGATGAATCTCCCTGAAAGCTATCCGCCAAAGTTTTCTTGTACACTGTCTTAACCCCATTGCAGTGAATTCATCACCGCATCCGTCCATCCTGAGGCAGTGGCAGTTGCGAGAGAATCAGAAAGCTAGAGTTAATTTGGGGCGAGTGTCAATTTAAGATCGTGGGAAGTCAGAGATGTAAAGAATCACCCAAAAGCACCCCGAATACCTAGGACACCATGTTGCCTTTGATATCACATGATGCACTGAACGCAATGGGACATACACCGGCAACTCCCACTGGCGAGAAGCTGCGGCTGCGTGTGTGCGTGGTAAATACCTCTCATGCATCGCAGCTGGTGAGATGGAGGATCAAGTCTTTTTCTCCAAGATCTTTCTGCTGACATGGAACCAGACACCAAGCACTGATTGACAGAAGGATGACAAGCTAAATACTAATTTATTGAAATTCTACTATTCCTATGTTAGGTTACCAGATTTTTAAATGGTATTTTATATAGTTTTATGTTAATTTAATATGTGTGGTTAGAGTCAAATAGAGAAGTACAGTACAGGCATTTGTTACCTCGGGGGATTTGGTTTTGGGGAATGAAACGGAACGCAACGGAACTGTACCTAGGTTGCTGCTCTGCTTGACGGGCCCGAGCAAGTTAAGCCCGAGCGAGCATGCAGGTAGACGCCGATCCCGCCACAAGCAATTCCTGCCTTAACCATCATTGCATGAATTGAACCTCGACCTCAGTCTCAACCACCTTGCTTTACCTCCCCCTCCTCCTCCGACCCTTCCTTCCTCCTCCTTATCTTCTTTACCTCTTCCTATTTATCGTCCTCCCCAGGGCTCTCGTCCGAGCCGCCCCCCCCTTCCTCTCCACTCCTCTCAACCCTATAAACTTTTTTTTGTCGGAGGCGTCGCGTTCTCCGGAGTCTACCTGCGGCTCCGGCTGCGCCTAGAGAGCTTTCTCAGCTCGAATGGCGGAACATATTCCTGCCCAGGAATATGAGTATGTGAAGGCCGTTTTCCTGTTTGTCCCTTTCCGTCGCGATTCCGGTTCCTGACGGCCTGTATCAGCGACGGCATGTTTCGGAGTTTCGGGGTGAGATTTTGATGCTGACGTTTCCCCCCTTCGCTGGGGCCTTTCTTTTCTTAGCTATGAAAGTCTGCCATCCAACTATGGCCTGGGGCATAACATGCTCGCCGGTGCCTTCGCGGGGATAGCGGTATGTTTGTTCGACGTGAGCACGGTGTTCGTGGTTGGGTATACGAAGCTGACGGGTGCGGCTGAAAAAAAAGGAACATTCGGTTATGTATCCTGTCGATTTGTTAAAGGTGCGTTGTTTTTTTTTCCTGCCTATTGGCCATTGAAATTGTGCAGCGACTTCATAGCCCATTGAAAAGAAAGCAAAGGAACAAGACTTAGCTAACTTGCTGTTCGCTCCAGACCCGCATGCAGATATTGCATCCGTCGGCAGGAGGATTGTACACGGGCTTGACGAACGCGGTTTCTACGATCTACCGAATCGAAGGCTGGCGGACCTTATGGAAGGGCGTGTCGAGTGTGATAGTGGGTGCTGGTATGGGCTCAGTAAAGATTGTGCTGTGCGACTGCGACAGAGATGCTGAATATTGCATGTAGGACCTGCTCACGCCGTGTATTTTGGCACGTACGAGCTTGTTAAGGAGCTTGCTGGAGGAAATGTGGACGATGGTCACCATCCAGTTGCTGCAGGTGAGTTTACACAAAGAAAATTCAAGATTACGAAACAAATGATGCTGATATTTGTGAAAGCTCTTAGCGGAGCCGCCGCGACGATCGCCAGTGATGCGCTCATGAATCCTTTCGATGGTACGATTTCACCTCACAAAACTCCGGCAAGATCTTTGGCAACGACGCCTCACTGACTCAATTCAGTCATCAAGCAACGTATGCAAGTCCATGGCTCGGTGCATAAGAGCATCGCCCAGTGTGCACGGGCTGTCTATAAGGCAGAGGGCCTGCATGCCTTCTACGTCTCCTATCCTACAACGCTCTGCATGACCGTCCCTTTTACCGCTACTCAATTCGTGGCATACGAGTCGATATCGAAGATCATGAACCCGAAGAAGGAATATGATCCCTTCACGCATTGTATCGCAGGCGGCCTGGCCGGTGCGGTCGCCGCTGGAATCACGACGCCTCTGGATGTGATCAAGACGCTGCTCCAAACGCGTGGACTCGCAGAGGATCGCGAGATCCGCTCCGCCACAGGCCTCTTCAACGCGGCTGCCATCATCAAGCGCCAGTTTGGATGGAGGGGATTCCTGCGCGGGATGCGTCCCAGGATCATCTCTACGATGCCTAGCACTGCGATCTGTTGGTATGTTGCATTATTTTTGGAGGTTGCTTATTCTGGATCTGCTAACAAATCTTCCAGGACTTCCTATGAAATGGCCAAGGCCTATTTCAAGCGACAGGGCGGTGAGCAATGATCACTGCTGCTGAGTGTCGGTGTCCTATACTGTTCGCGTTCCATACTTCACCTTGTCCCTTGCCGAAGTAGACCGTTTTCCCTGCCGTCTTCTGGGCCCCTCATAATAACGGCTGCACTGCCGCGTTCCCAGGCAGCGTTTACCCAGAAGACCCGAGTCTTCAAGGGAAACAATCGACCATGATGATCCCGGCAGTCTGACAAGGCTGTCGGACGCGATGCTTCCTAGATCTCCCTCCTCTCGCATCTCTTCGCTTCTTGCAGTGTACATTTTGGTCACGGTATGGGAATCTGAGCAGTGGTTTTTGCTGCTCTTCGTCGAATGACCTCCTTGAGCGTCTGAATGAGCGCTTGTTCTTTTACTGGGGTGTCTGTTTTGATATCGGCGTTGGAATCTGGGGAATGGCGGTTGTTGTCCGCAGGCCTCTGCGTGGTCGCGAGCAACTCAGTCTTTTTTTTTCTTGGTTTGTGTTTTTTTCTACAATTCGGACATGTAATCATAGATTCCAAAAGGAACGCATGTGGGTAAGCCTTTTTGAAAGGTTAGTTAAAATCGGGGATATCAATGGAGATGCCCTCATGATTTGGGGTGGCAATTTAGATTCGCGCACAGTCTGACCTACAGTTATTATCTGATCGTATAATTAATAGCATACGGCTGACGATGCCTGAGATGCCGACTGGCATGCGCAGACTTACCCAGGCGGGTAATGGCTAGGCTGGAGTCGATGAAGTCAATTACGAGGCAGCGATGCGGCAAAGCCCAGAAGCCCGATCCACTACGTCACAACCAGCCTCTCCCCGCAAGACCACCACGGGGTTTCTTCTTCGTCGCCCATTAGTGCTGGATGCATTGCAGATGACTCCTGCCGTCTCTGCTTCATATCGTCCGGACCGGTTCGTCCTATCACCGGTTCTCGCCGCGTCGCAGAGACCTGGCTGCAAGCGGGACTGTCCGCTATTCCTTCCCCTCCAGCCTCGACGAGAGCCAACGACGTCACGCGAGGCAGATTGCCAGATCCACCGCGACAGCTGCTAATTGCAGCCTCACCCACCGAATCTGAGACAACAGCCCTTTTTTTAGCCAGACTGGCAGAAAGAAAGACCAACTCAATTCAGGACGAAAGGAGGAGGAAAAAAAAGAATCTGAAGATTGCTCCGGACTTTAGTTTAGGATCGGTAGGTCGCATGGCGGCTAGCGGCCTGCCCTTCCGCGGCCCTGTGAAACTTGATGATGCGCTCAAAGCCTGCGTCTTCGATGCAGAAGACGTACGATGAGTGCTACCTGCTGTGCTCGACTGCCGTCTACTTTGAGGGACAGGTACGTTCGCTCCCAGGCGAAGGACTTCGCAATTGCTTCGCGGAAGTCGACTTGCTCACGTCTTCATACAGAACAATGAAGCAGAAGCGCTGCGATCCTGGCGCTCAGCCCTGGAGACGATCTACTACCATAATGCCTATCGAGTACCTCCCAACTACATCCCCAAGACAGAGACAGAAAAGGCCCTTCAGGAATCCATCCGTGAGCTGGAGCTTCAATGCAAGGAGCGGGTCGATCTATTAGAAGCTCTCCAGGAGAGCAGGAAAGAGGCCCGAGAAAAGGACGAAGAGAGAGATGGCAGGCAAGGCTCCTCGCGATCGCGATTGGAGAAGGGCAAGCGGCCGTCAAGTGGGAGCAATGTTAGTACGCCTGGGTGGATCGGCGAAGGGACGATACCGGCTGTGGATTACTTGGATCTGTCAAAACCGTCGTTTCTTTCTGCGAGGTCGACAGAGTCGTCTAAGTCGGGATTGCACCCGCAATTGCAGAGGTCGCACAGTGGTGATCCCTCGCCGTCCTCGCCGGCTTCGCAAAAGCCTGCGTCGCCCTCTCCAACGTTATCAGGACCCAGTACTCCGCTTGCGAAATCCACGTCGCGTGGATCAAGCCCAGAAAGGCGGAAAGTGATGCTCACTACCCTGCGCCCGAAGGATTCTTCCAAGAAGTCTTCCAAGAGCAAGGCCTCCAGTAGCCAGAATGGGACACGCCCAGCTGCCTGGAAGGCGGCTGGGCTAGCTTGGGGTGCCAGCAACCATGCCTTCTCGTCCGAAAAAGGACACAATCCACGATACAGCACATCTAGCGACTCAGAGGCGAAGAAAGAGCCGGATGTCAGACTCCCGTCCAATGGCGAGACTACCAACAGAGTTGGCCGAAGACAGACACCAGACTACACCCCAAGCTCCAGTCGGAGAGATCCGCAACTTTCAGAACAGTTTCATGGAAAAAGCTCGACTGGTGTGATGTCACAGTCACCTTCTCATGGCTCAATGGATCAATTCGAACCAGCTGCATCACATAGAACACCAACCAAACCAATTCCACCTCCAAAGCCTCCTGCATATCGCAAAGAGCAAACTTCGAAACCAATGCCCAACGACAGGAACATCGATCCTCCCGTTAACCGATCCCCCTCTAGCTCGCAGACTTTGTCTAAGCTCGACAGTGTCAAGTCATCGGCATCAACACAGCGGGCGTTGAGCTCTACACCCAGCAACAGATTCTCTACAGAGAACTCGTCTCCTAGCGGCGAGGAACGGTTTAATAGGACGCGGAGGCTAGATGCTGATGTAACAAACCGTGGGTCTTCTGCCGGACGGAAAACGCGACCAGAGAATGTCAAACCCAGGGTGACGCCACCTTCGAGCGACCAGGAATCATTAGATGAGAGTTCTTCTGGTAATGAGACAGACGATGGAATTCGAGACATAATGAAGAAACTTCCGAAAGGCGTCGACGCCAATTTGGCGCGACAGATTCTCAATGACATCGTTGTTCGAGGTGATGAAGTTCACTGGGACGATGTCGCGGGGCTGGAAGCGGCCAAAAACGCGCTCAAAGAGGCTGTGGTCTACCCATTCCTGCGCCCGGATTTGTTTATGGGGCTGCGGGAGCCTGCGAAGGGTTTGCTTTTATTTGGGCCACCAGGAACCGGGAAAACGATGCTTGCGAGGGCTGTCGCGACGGAATCGAAGTCCACGTTCTTTTCCGTGTCAGCCTCCAGTCTGACTTCGAAGTGGCACGGTGAAAGCGAAAAGCTCGTTCGAGCTCTCTTCGCGCTGGCCAAGGCTCTCGCTCCTTCGATCATCTTCGTGGATGAAATCGACTCGTTGCTCTCGACACGATCGTCCGGCACCGAACATGAAGCGTCCCGACGGACGAAGACGGAGTTTTTGATCCAATGGTCCGATCTGCAGCGTGCTGCCGCAGGACGGGAGCACTCTGATAGCAAAAGAGAAGGCGACGCCAGCCGGGTGCTGGTTCTGGCAGCGACCAACATGCCTTGGGATATCGACGAGGCGGCGCGGCGGCGATTTGTGCGGCGACAGTACATTCCGCTGCCAGAGGAGCATGTTCGGGAGCAGCAGCTACGGAAACTGCTGAGCCATCAGAAGCACGATTTGTCGGATGAGGATATTCAGGTGTTGGTCAAGGTGACAGAGGGTGAGTTATATCCATATAGAAATTAACTCGTCCGTGTCTAATTTCTTAGGGTTCTCCGGCTCTGATATTACGGCCCTGGCCAAGGATGCCGCGATGGGACCGCTTCGGAATCTGGGGGAGGCTCTTCTGTATACGCCGACGGACCAGATCCGGCCCATCCGGTTTGAAGACTTTGAGGCTAGTCTGTACACGATCCGGCCGAGTGTGAGCCGGGAGGGGTTGCAAAAGTACGAAGACTGGGCTAGGGAGTATGGTGAGCGGGGGGGATAGTATCTCCTCATTTTTTAATTTGTATTCTTTATGGTCGATGGGATGTATGGAAAGAAAGGAGTCTGGTGGGTAAGGATCTGGCGGCGTTTGCAGTTAAACGGATATTTTATGTCCACGGAAGGTTTTATTCCATTGCGTTTCTTTTGTCTTCTAGGCTATGTACGGTGGTATTGTGTTCTGAGGTGTTCCTGGCCGGCGCCTGTTGACTTGTCTGGGGTGGTCAATCACGTTTTTCTTCTCAGAATTGCTTTTAATTGTGTAGATACAGCACTATGCGGAAGTGATTGGCTGTAAGAATAACAATAACAGTGAAAATGACTTGAACTGCAAGTAGTATAGTATATGAAAAAGATATGAAAGGAGTGGAAAAGAGGCGATCTCTAAACAAGCTTTTCTGCCCTGCTCGGCATCCGTCCGAGAGAGCAGTAACTCCGCATGATCTATGCCAGTCCAGTACGGACTACTACTGGCGTACTTTGTATCTACCCCCACGGGACACGGCAGGAAAGCCATCCATGAGGAAATACAGAGTATATTGCCCATGGGGTAGACATGGGGGGGAAACCGGAGTAGACTTGCCGCAATTGGCACATCATGGATCAAGTCTCAGGTTTAGCGTGGGGGGATTCGTAAGGATTAGGTATACAGACTTGCAGATAGAATTAAATTAAGCTAGCTGGAGCCTGGCGGTGTGTTTCCCCACAATATATGGAGTATTCCGTACTATCTCCACTACTAAACTAACGTTAACGTTCTTCTCTCCGCATGATGACAGAATATCGAATTACTCCGAATGAATGAAACACCCAGATGGATCCGCCAGTGTTCGCTGCATCTTGCATGGCTCGTTCAGCTGGAAAGCCAATAATACGAATGGATCGTCTCTGCTAGCTGTTAATTATGTAGCTAATTCACGCCAATGGCTTCGTCATCTCGTCGTAGATGGCACTGGCTAACTGCCGGCTACTATATATATATATGCTTGACTTGACTCTGTCCTCCTGGAATTCTTACTGTGCAGGAATCCAGTCTGCTAGAGATACAGAGAGAAGCATCTCTGAGAGAGTGTGTGCGTATGCGCCAGCAATGGTATACCTAGGGCTGAAAGGCAATGGCCTCCTCAGCGGCATTGCCCTCTCGTCGGGCATGGGATTCATCTTGTTTGGTGAGTTTTTGTATTTATTTTTCTAACTCTCAGCCCTCTCCTTGTAGAATTCCTGCTGACTGACTTTACAGGATACGACGACGGCGTCATCGGCGGCCTCCTGACGGCCCCCAGCTTTGAAGCCGTTTTCCACCTGAGCAGCGGCCTCGAAGGCACCGTCACCTCGCTCTTCATCATCGGCTGCTTGGCTGGGTCGCTGTTCACGAGCTTCAGCAACGGCCGATGGGGGCGCTTAACTCTCGTCCATGCCGGCACGGTTGTCCTGAGTATCGGCGCCGTCCTGCAGGCCTCGAGCTTCAGCGTCGCGCAGCTGATTGTCGGCCGCATCGTTGCGGGTGTCGGGCTCGGTCTCATCACGAGCAATATCATCGTCTGGCAGTCGGAGAGCGCGCCGCGCAAGATTCGCGGGATGATGGTCGCTTCGGCGCTGAGTTGGTTGATTGTGGGACAGGTTGGCCGCTAGACCTTCCAACAACACTCGATGAGTATTAATGAACAACATGCTGATCCTTTCCTACCTAGCTCCTTGCCTACTGGATCGATTATGCCATGGCGAGCTACAACAGCAGTGTCGGCTGGCGCTTCCCATTAGGGTTCCAAGCGTTCATCGCCATCCTGACCAGCGTCATGCTTTTCTTCATGCCTGAATGTAAGTCACAGGTTTCAGAAACTCATACATACTTCATCGTTACTGACAGCTGAAAAAGCCCCCCGATGGCTATTCCAGCACGACCGCCGTGAGGAAGCAACGCAGATTCTGCGCCTTCTCCATACTCATCACGGCGTCGTCGACGAAGACGCCCTGGCCGCGACCATTTCCGAGATCTCCGAAGTCATCGCTTTGGAGAGCAAGCAGAAAGGCTGGAAAGAGCTGCTGCTCAAGGAAGATAATGTCGGCTCCCGACGACGGGTGCTCCTGGCCTGTCTGTTGAATGCCTGTCAGGCGTGGAGTGGCAGTACGCCTGTCAGCTACTACACCACCGTGATGTTCGTTCCCCCTGACCAAACCCATTCAAACTTCCCAGCTAACAGATGATTTTTTTTTGCGGTTGTGTATAGCTTCGAAGACTCCGTCGGGCTCTCCCACCAGCTATCGCTGCTCATGTCCGGCTTCCTGCAGATCTGGTTCCTGATCGCCTCGTTTGGGACGTGGTACACAATCGAGAAGGTCGGGCGACGGAGATCCTTCATGGTGACGGCCGTTGGGATGGCGATCGTCATGGCCATCATGGCCGCCACGCTGGCCATCGACACCAAGACGTCCGGTATCGTGGCTGCAGCCATGCTGTTCGTCTATCAGAGTTTCTATACCTGGGGGTTTATGGGCGGGATATGGGTGAGTCTAGAGAATCTATCTAATCTTAGTCGATCTGAACTAACTGGCTGACCTGTCCAGTGCTACGGCCCCGAAATCCTCCCCCTCGCGCACCGCATCAAAGGCTCCGGCCTGGCAACAGCCTGCCTGTGGCTATCGACCTTTGTAGTGATCGAGTTCGTGCCCACGGCCATCGCCAACATCGGCTGGCGGACATACATCATCTTCGCCGTTTTCAACCTCGCGTTCGTGCCCATGATCTACTTCCTTTTCCCGGAGACGGCGGGGTTCACGCTCGAGGCGGTCGATCTCGCTTTTATGGATAAGGAGAAAGGGCCCGTGAAGAAGGCGGATGAGTTGTGGCGGGTTATCAAGCGTGGAGGGGAGGTCGGTCTTAGGGGGGAGGTTGGCGATGAGAAGGAGAAGAGAGTGGAGATGATTGAGGAGGTGAAGGTTTAGTTTTCACGATTATATGGATTCAATTGGGAGGGCTGTTGTCGTGAATTTGCATATATCGATCGATGTCTACAATGTATATCTGTCGTTGTACTCGTATATACTCAGTACATCATTCATTTATCGCACGAAAATACAATACATACAATAAGAAGGTGATGCAAAAATGGATACTGGACACTGTCCCCTTCTTTTTCTCTTTTCTCTCCATCCTTATTCCTTTCTTTTTACTTGGAGAGAAAGAAATCTTCCCTCCTCCCTCCTCTTTTCTACGTCCATGTCCATGTTTATGACCTCGCTCCGCCTGCTAATCTGGCTCGCTCCCGACCACTGGGAAAAATGGAAGAAGTGCAACCTTGTTCAAGATATCGACCCGATTTGACCCGGCCTGACTTGACTGACTCACTGACTGTAGTGTACAGATTGCATTGTATCTATTGTAGTGTACATACAAAGGACATAGCAAAAGAACAACAAGAGAGATAGATGGTGTAGTAGTAGTAAACAATCCGAGCAGGATAGAGAAATTCGAAGACTAGAGAAGACCAGAACTGCAAGATCAAGCCTGAGACTGTGCCTCCTGCTGCTGCTGCTTCTGCTTCTCCGCAACTCTTGCCATCACCAAGCTTCGAATCCGGCCAACATGCTCCTTGACCGGCGACGGCCCCTTCTGTCCCGACTCTATCCATCTCTGCTCCCTCCTCTGCAGCTTGGCCGCCCGCTTCGCTGCCCGCTCGGCCTCTCTCTCCTCGCGCGTCATCACCGGCGGCCGCTGGTCAATACCCACGCCGAAGGGGGAGATGATCCGCTCGACGACGTGGCGCACATGTCTGCTCTTGGGGAAACCCGACGAAAATTCAATCACGTCGCCCTCGCGCAGCGAGTTGCGCGGATCGTGCACCAGGTATGTGGTCACCTTCGGGTAATACTTCCGGATGTGCTTGTCCCAGGTCATGTGGCGGTGGGCGACGCGCACGGTCTTGTCCATCAGTCCGACGGAGGTCACGGTGCCGACTTTCACGGTGTATGGGTACTGGCGGAGGGAGGGTGTAGGGATTGATGAGGAGGAAGAGGAAGAGGAGGAAGAAGAGGAAGTAGTAGTAGTAGCGGAGGAGTCTGTCGTAGAAGGCGTAGATGACGACGCTGATGCTGATGGCGACGACTCTACTTGCTGCTGTTGTGGTTGCTCTTGCTGCTGCGGCTGTTCATCTGACGTTGTTGTAGAAGCAGCCCGTCTGCTAGAACCAGACAGAATCCTGCTGCCGTTGTATACAGCAAATCTGGAATTCGACGTAGCTGAGCAGAGGAAGGAGAGCGAGGACGTAGACCGCAAGGGGAGAGTCGCGCGGAGGAGACTGCTGGGCGCCATTGCGAAGATGTCGACGTTAAGCAGAAGTCTATGTAGGAAAATCGATAGTCAAAGCCTGTAAAGCGAATTCTTCAATTGCAATTCTCCAATTGAATTGTCCTTCCTTCAAGTGGCCTTTTCTAACTATCGGAGCCAAGCGAGCATCGAGAATCGGCGGCAACTTTTTCCTCGGAGGACAAATTTCCCAGGTCCCGACGGACAGCGGCACGATCTGCAGGACCAGCCGACCAGGAACGGCCTTCTTCAGACGGACAGGCAAGAATATAATAATCTTGCAGTGAGAGAGAAGATGGTTATGCAGGGAACGATCAGCGACAGCTGCCGACTCCAATCTTCGGACGGAGACCTAAGAATTTCTCGCGTGCTGCGGATCGGATCGGTGAGGTTGTTTGCACTGTTTGTCCCGAGTATTGCAACAGCCTTCAACTGCATTAATACGAAGTAATTACTCCTACTGCTCTTAATTTTAAAAGGTCAACAGGATCAGAGTATAGAATTATTATCTATGTTCTCACTGTCCTGATCTATGACCCGGGTCCATACCATCCATGTGTTGCGCCTGCCTGGGAGGTGTCCTAATATACAGTACAACCAGCTCACGTTTCCAACCATTCATTACCAGCCATATTCATGTAATGCTCGTTCTTTTATCAAGAATTTTGCCATGTCTGATGGGAGAATCAAGATAAAAAAAGCCGAACCCCTCGCGCCGTGTACACGTCCCTCTGCAAATGATGTATTACATATCTTTATGCCGACTTGATTATTCATTTCTAGTAGACTGGTAAAAAAGAAGAAGGAAGAAAAAAAAATCACTCCACGGCCTGATCATTGCTGGCCTGGTTATCGCTGGCCTCGTTACCATTGGCCTGGTTATCACTGGCCTGATTATCGCCGGCTTCGTTATCGTCCGCCTGCTCACCATTCGCCAGTGGAGCAATTTGTCCAGGAACAAGCAGAGATGATTTCCTGAGCTGAACCTTCTTCTCCGAATGCGCAGAGATCCTCTTCAGCTCACTGACGAATGACTGGCCCCAAAATGCACTAGAGAACATCAGCCTCCATGTCAACACAAGAGCAAAGAATGCGTTTCGCCTACCTGGTGTATTTTGAGACATATTTATCCAACTTGGAAAAGTTGAGAGCCTTTTGCTCATCACTCATCGTAACAGCTTCTTGATATGCGGCAGCCAGCTCCTCCGTATTCCACGGATTGACGATGATGCTGCCATTGAGACTTTGGGCGGCCCCTGCAAACTCCGAAAGCACTAGAACGCCATGGCGCTTTTGCTGAGTTGCGATGTATTCGTATGCGACAAGATTCATACCGTCTCTTGTGGATGAGACAATGCAAGCGTCGGAAACAGCATACAAAGCAATGAGCTCGTCAAAGTTCACAGACTTGTGGAGGAAGTGGATGGGCATAAACTCCACAGTGCCTTTGTTTTATAGTCAGAAATCATGGTCTGAATCGTCACTTTCAGGGAAACATACCAAATTTGCCATTGATCCTTCCAACGAGTTCGTTGACGACCGCGCGCAAGTTTTGATACTCCTCCACATCCTGTCGACTCGGCACCGCGACTTGGACAAGAACTACCTTGCCCACCCACTCAGGATGATCGCTGAGAAAAACTTCCAGCGCATGTAGCTTCTGGGGAACACCTTTGATATAATCAAGGCGATCGACACCAACCATAAGCTTCACGCCTTGAAATTTCTGCTCCAGCATCGCAATTCGCTTTTGCACCTTTTCCTTCTGAAGCCCTTCCTTGAATTTGTCCGGATCGATCCCGATGGGGAAAGCTCCCGCGGCGACGATCTTGCCCTGAAATTCAATCCCATTGGGAGTCGTTGTCAAACCACTAGACACATCTAGTCAGTATTTCGCCATCTTCTCCACCGGGATAAATCTTACAGGAGCCGGGAGCAACTGCTCAAAAAGTGCCTCGTATAGTCGTAGGTGTGAAAGCCAATCAGGTCGCAATGCAAAACACCCAGGAGTAGTTCATTTCGCACCGGAAGGATCCGGTAAATCTCGCTGCTGGGGAAAGGAGTGTGGAGGAAGAATCCAATCTTGACATTCTGCTTGCTGGTTCCAATCTCCTCCCGCAGCATCTCGGGCAGCAACATCAGGTGGTAGTCGTGAACCCACACCAAGTCTCCATCCTGCACATCTTTTGCAACAGCCTTCGCGAAAAGGCGATTGGCCTCCTTGTATGCTTCCCAGGCAGACTCGTCGAACGTGATTTCACCGGGATGATAGTGGAATAGCGGCCACAGAATCGAATCTATGAAGAAGAACCCCATAAGTCAGCACACGGAATTCATATTGTTGTTGATATTCTGAATGCGGTCAGGGACTGACTTGAGAAGCCATTGTAATGTCGATCCGCGAGCTCATCGTCAATAAAGACAGGAATCGCCCCATATTCGTCATTCAGACGCTTCTCCACCACTGGGATCTCGTCTTCAGGCACCTCCAATCCAGGCCAGCCATACCACCGGAAGGTCGTGGACTTTGACAGCCCGCTCAGCCCGCTGACCAGGCCCCCAGAAGACATAGAAAAGTCATATTTGCCATCATCGGAGCGTTTGATCGTGATAGGCAGTCTGTTCGAGACGAGGAGCAGTCTCGAGTCGTCGTTACCTGGGCTCTCGAGCGCAGGCATCTTGGCGGGGTATCCGGAGCTACGGTCAGAACCGTAACGTAATGAACAAGCGGGGGAGGGCGGAAGAACCGCGACTCGGACTCTCGCCAGAAGCAAAGGGATTCTTTTTTGCTTGATGCGCAACGGAAGGAGCTGTCTAAGGAGGTAGTAAGCTCGAGCCCATTACGATGACGACTGCAATTGATTTATTTCATAGTCATCGGGCACTAAAACCAAGAATGCGGCGGGTAAAACCGGGGCTAGGTGCAGCGAGATGCCATCATTAAAAATTACCTTTGCTCGACGAACTGGAGCTAGGACCAAGCGATGTGTCACTCCGAGACACGCGGGTGGCAGGGTGCCTTTGAACGGTCGTTCACCGGGCCCCTACGCACGGCGAAAGGGGGGCAAACGGCGTTGCAGAGAGAGGAAGGTGTGTTGCCTTCACTAACAACTTCATCGACAGGCTCCGGAGGGCAGAGGATTAAGCAGGCAGAACAAAGAAAAGCATAAGCCATCTAGGTAAGGCGTGCCCACGCAATAAAGTTGCGGATGGCCCAACGATGGTCGAGAGACAAGAATGCAGGAATCTTTCCCGGCCAGTCGTTCCCGGGTCGATGATGTTACGGTCTGCGTGCTCATGCAATAGATTGGAGCGACGCAAGGGCGCAGGTGGGAACGAGGACAGTTCTTAGTCGTGGACGGGCTTCGGTAGTTTCTAATTAAGCCTGATGTCGATAAGTGTAGTCTGGATCGTGAAGGAACCGACTGGCCTAGACTCGCATGGCGAGTTGCGTTCTGCGCTAAGTAGAGGGGCAGACGAGGGGCAGGGCAGAGAGCTTCATCCAGAACTTCCGGCCTCAACATCCCGGACAGTCCAATTCCTGCCCAACCTTCGGCTCAGTCTTGGACTTTATTTCTCTGAATATCTCAGGAAATTCGTCAATAGAAGCAGCAGTCACAGAATGGATTTGTGACCGCTAGCACGTAAGTACAGTACATTTGATGGAGAGGTTCTTCCATCCTTTCTTGATGAAGAGCACCATTGTTGGAGAGAGTAGACACAAACCTGAGTGATCTTGAGGCTAGCTGCCCAAAGATGGGCCAAGTCGTATTCAATCAACTTTGGAAAAACCATGGACACACTCTCTTCGCTCCCTCAATTTATCTGAGAAGGCAGAGAAGAAGTCCAGAGAACAGCATCTGGTACCATTGCGGTTTTCATCTAATCAAGAAAGCACCTAAGTCTTGACCGTTGTTGCTTTTCTCACGCATCTTGTGCGGGATTTGCATTGTTGGCGCCTTATATAGCGCAGTTAGGATCGGCAGAAACCGGATCCTTTGCTACCAAGTCTACGGAGTGATGGATTTACCCGAGTGACCAAGTCAATGCCGACTGTATTAGATGCAGTAATATCTAGTGATACGATGTAACTGTAATTTATACCCCGGAAGATTAGAAGAAAAGATGTGAGGCCTGACAATCGATCATAGAACCGGTCTCTGGGAGCTCACACTCCACTTTCCTGATAACCGGTCATGCTCAACCTTGCCTTCCTTCTCCAGCTTCATCAGCACTTGTATGACCCCGTTAGTCGCTGGCAGATGGAGGCTCTCTGGTATGTTGTGATATATCACTTTCACCAACTCAATTGGACTCCAGGATTGCCTTCGCTCCGGGGATGGGCTTTTCTGGTCTGCATCTCCATCCAGTTTGCCAAATCTCAGCACTCGCAGCACTTCGTCCTCCCGCTGCTGTCGATGCTTGATATACTCAACTATCTTTGCGGTAGCGTTCTCGATCACTGCACCGTGACCTGGATACGCTCGGCCTGAGACCTGGTTCTGCATCTTGTGCAAGCTGGAAAGATATGAGTCCAGGTCTTCAAACACTGCCGTACCGTGACCTAGCACATCTTTGACAGATCAGTCAGAGACATCACAGAAAGGTAACTACGAGGTCGGAGGAAGACTTACTATCGCCGGTAAATATAGCATCTTCTTCTTCGAAAATGAAACTCATATGATCGACGGTGTGACCGGGTGTGTGAAATGCTCTCAGAGTAGCTCCCTCGACCTTGAAGACTTGACCATCTTCAATGTCTGTCTGTCCTTCATCCGGCATGTGTTTATGTACTGTCGCATGAGGACAGACCTGGAGAAGATCAGGGATCCCTTTAACATGGTCATGATGCCAATGGGTGATAAGCGCTTTGTGTACCGTTGCTTTCTCCTCCTGCAGCACAGACTGGAGCAGTGTCCGCCATCGTGGAAGCCCTTCGCCTGTATCGATGAGGAGACGTTGGGGACCACGACCAATGAGGTATGTGTTCGTTCCTTTGAGCCCATTAGAACCTCGGGTAGGGAAGGAGACAGTAAATCGGCGATCGATCCAACTCACCTTGCAAAGTGAACTATATGGATCAATATGCTCGCATTAGCCACGCGACTCCTAGAAGATGGTGTACAGTTCACAACCAACCTTCCCAGGATTTCCAGCTAGGATTCTCACTACTGATGCACTGAGCCGCTCCACCTCGGGGAGCGGAACAAGCTGCGTGGCCATCGTACAATGATGTCGTACAACGAAAACCTTGCAGAATCACACAACAATTGATCGTGTAATCCTTATAGGGTAAAGTTGAATGCTAAAATTAACCTGCTATACTGCAGTGATAAATGTTAATTCCTGGATGGACCAAGGCAGAAATGCGTAGTTCGGACATGTGTATAGAATATAAAAGCCTTCCTGAAGTACGAAACACAGAAAATACGAAATAACTCACAATCAAAAATGATTTTTACCCCTCACGATCATGAGCCAAATAGTTATATACGCAGACGGATGGCAGTAACCATTAATCGAAGCTGTATCTCTAGGCCAAATCAAGGCATTAATCAGACTCTCAGAATCAAGCTGACGATTTCAGCGAGAAATCACGTGTAGACAAAGAAGGACCAAAGAAAAACAACCTGGTGAGTAGCTATTCATCGTTTGTTCGTGGCTGGTGACTGGATCGGATAAATAATCCCTCGGACATGGATGTACTCCCTATCTTTGATACTGGCAACTGCCCGTGGCGGACCTCGGTACAACAGAGTGATCCCTCTTCGGGTGATTATGTCAGCTTCAGTATTGCCTGTTAACTATGGCGCGACTTTGGCTCTATATTGCTCACTGCACATGACATTCATCAAAGAGGAGCTCAATCGCATGCATGGAGGATAGCTAGGCGTTTCTCTATACGGAGTAATGACTCTTTCCCCCATACCTAACAGCGAAATCGCGACAGTCAGCCTCAGCAATAGGATACCATACCATGTGACTTGATCGCGATCGTTATCGTGTTTCATTTACCCAAGGCATTTCTGTCTCAGCGGACTCGTTCAGTCCCCAAGATGAACAGTTCTAGTCTGTGCTGGTACACAGTTCCAGTAGCTGTGGAAGTAATGAAACTGGTACAAAAGAAAATAGACATCGTTATACAAGTAGGACCTAAGGATAAAAAGAAAAAAAAAGGAAAGGTGTATGCGTATAGAAACATAGTGGGCTATATCCATGCACGACAGTATTGCAGACAAAAACAAACAAGCCAGACCAGATGAAACAAAGAAAAGATAGTAACCAACGCTTTTTTGAAACTGTATCCACTTCACCTCGCCAAAAACCGTCATGAGGGATTTATAAGGAGTACAAGTTACTCTGCCATTCTGCCAGAGACCCCAACCTCCAAGTCATCATTCCACCCGCCATCTATTAGAACCACCCGTTCCAGTCATTTTTGGGGGGCTGATAAGATACACCGGGTAAACACATTCCGGCGAATTCTATCAGCCGATCGCAGGTTAGGAATCGCCCTGACACGTGAAAGAGCGTGAACTAGCCTTCCACTATGGAAGTCGAGGTGAGGAAAGGAAGTGATTGAATTTAAGCAGACTTAAACCGCTTGGCCATGGTGTTCAGGGCAGATCCATCCTTGAACCACTCGATCTGGGACTCGTTGAAGGTGTGGGTGAGCTTGACATCGAAGGCCTCACCGTTCTTGGGGTGGACACGGAGGGTGATGGGCTGGCCAACAGCAAGCTCGGTGGTGAACAGATCCACGGTGGCGTCCGGTGGGATGCGGTCGTAGTCGGCAGGGTCAACGAAGGTGAGAGGAAGCATTCCTTGCTTCTTGAGGTTGGTTTCGTGAATACGGGCAAAGCTGCGAGTGATGATGGCGAGACCACCGAGGTGTCTTGGCTCCAGAGCAGCGTGCTCACGGGAGCTTCCCTCACCGTAGTTCCAGTCACCAATGACGACCCACTTGATTCCACGAGCCTTGTAGTCACGGGCAGTAGCCGGGACCGGGCCGTACTCGCCGGTGATGATGTTCTTCACCTTGTTGGCCTCGCCGTTCTCAGCGTTGATGGCACCGATCAGCATGTTGTTGGAGATGTTGTCAAGGTGGCCACGGTACTTCAGCCATGGGCCAGCCACTATATGAGCAGTTAGCCAAGTTTCCAAATCGCCATTTCAGAAAGCTTTTCAACTTACTTGAGATGTGGTCAGTGGTGGTCTTGCCCTGGGCCTTGATCAGGATGGGGATGCCAATAGCATCCTTTCCATCCCAAGGCTCGAAAGGCTTAAGTACCTGGAGACGGTCGCTGGTGGGAGAGACAGCAACGGTGACAGATTCCCTGTCTTCAGGAGGGGCCTGGTACGTGTCGCGGCCAGGGTCGTATCCATTGGCCGGGAGACCATCGCCGCTGGGAGGAGAGAGAAGGAACTCGTTACCATCCTTGTCCTTCAGCTTGTCGGTAAGCGGGTTGAACTTGAGAGTTCCGGCAATGGTCATAGCAACGACAAGGTCGGGGGAGGTGACGAAGGCGTGGGTCGCAGGGTTGGCATCGTTCCGGCCGGTGAAGTTACGGTTGTAGGACGAGATGATGGAGTTAGGCTCGCCCTTCTTCACATCCTTACGATCCCACTGTCCAATGCAAGGACCACAAGCGTTGGCAAGAATGACACCTCCGAACTCCTCCAGAGTCTTCAGCTGGCCATCACGCTCGATGGTAGCGCGAATCTGCTCGGAACCAGGCGTAATAGTGAACAAGGACTTGGCCTTAAGACCGTGGTTCAAAGCATCACGAGCAATAGAAGCAGCGCGGGACATGTCTTCATAAGAAGAGTTGGTGCAAGAACCGATCAGACCGACTTTGAGTTCCTCCGGCCACTTGTTGGCCTCGACAGCTTCCTTGAACTTGGAGATGGGGGTGGCCAAGTCAGGAGTGAAGGGACCGTTAATGTGAGGCTCAAGCTCCGACAGGTTGATCTCAATCAGCTGGTCGTACTCAGCACCCTCATCTTCCCGGAGCTCCGCAGCATATTCCCTGGCGAAATCACCGATACGCTGGCGCTTCGTGGCCTTCAAGTAGTCGTACATGCGGTCGTTGAAGGGGAAGATAGACGTGGTAGCACCAATCTCAGCACCCATGTTGCAAATCGTGCCCATACCAGTGCAAGACAGCGACTGAACACCCGGACCGTGGTATTCAACGATCGCACCAGTACCACCCTTGACAGTAAGCAGACCAGCAACCTTGAGGATGACATCTGCAAACCCCGCCCAGTCAGAAAATGATATACATAGGTCTCATCATGTGTTCAACGACTTACCCTTGGGCGCCGTCCAGCCGGACATTTGACCAGTGAGTTTCACACCAATGATCTTGGGCGCCTTCAGTTCCCATGGAAGACCGGCCATGACGTCGACAGCATCAGCACCACCAACACCAATGGCAGCCATACCCAGACCACCGGCATTGGGAGTGTGAGAGTCGGTACCGATCATCAAACCACCAGGGAAGGCATAGTTCTCCAGAACAATCTGGTGAATAATACCGGAGCCGGGCTTCCAGAAACCAATGTTGTACTTGGCAGAGGCCGAAGAGAGGAAGTCGTACACTTCCTTGTTGATCTCATTGGCACGAGCAAGATCCTTGTTACCACCCACTTGAGCCTCAATCAAGTGGTCACAGTGGACGGTGGTAGGAGTAGCCACGGAGGGCATTCCCGCCGACATGAACTGCAAAATGGCCATCTGGGCGGTGGCATCCTGGCAAGCCACACGGTCCGGGCGCAGCTTCAGGTAAGACTTGCCACGCTCGATCTCCTGGCCATGGGGGTCGTCGAGGTGAGAGTACAAGACTTTCTCCGCGTACGTCAGAGGGCGGTTCAGACGACGGCGAACAATTTCAAGGTTCTCGGACATCTTCCTGCAGAGGGACCAGCCGCGTTAGTGTCTATACATTGAAGCCAACACCCAAGACGGCAAGTTCACGCCAATCCGAGATCCATACTTGTAATTGATGTAGTTGCCCTGTCGTATCATTGTCAGCAAATGAATGTGCTCCTAACACCGGCTTTCCTCTCCCAAGAGAGGAATACACAGATTTACTACCGCTTACCTTCTCCCAGTTGTTCATCTCGACCTTCTTGTCGAGAGGAGAATCGACAACGGTGGCCAGGCTGCGCGACCCGAGCAGCTGCAAGATTCAGTTAGTACAGCGAAAGCTTTCAAAGGCAAGCAATATCGCGCCCTGTGAGGGGTTGTCGGATACGCCGGGTGCTTGCGAGGTAACTTACAGCTCGGGACTTGGCGCTCTGTAGAGAGGTAGTTAGCATCCATTGACAAAGAGCGTGGCCTCAGACAGAGCGATCCTGGGCGACCAAGTCGTGCCAGAATGCCTGCTGAGATCGAGGTCACATTGCTGGGAGACACTTACCAGCGCACCCAGGCGGGCGAGCCTAGTGGAGATCATGATGGAAGCTCTCTAGGCGAGGAAGACAGGTCTGCAACACATCCAAGGAGCACGACGTCAAAAGACAGGCCCCAGATTCAACTCAGGGTCTTGGAGAGGAGGTGGTGAGAAAAGAAAAAACGGGGGAAGAAGCAGATAAAAATGCAAGCTTGGTGTTTTGAGCGAGAAGAATCCACGCAGGTGCAATGACGCTGCCACAGCCGTACTAAAACCGGAGCTTGAACCGTAACCGCAACTGCAAGGCATGCGACCGGACACAAGGAAGACGGACGGCCCGGCAACCAGCCAACCGCGCTCTTGCGAAAAAAATCACCCTGGGCTCGCTATCAATCAGGCCAAAATTACGGCGGACCGCGTCTCCCAATGACACGGCACTTATTACATTCGAAGACGCCCAGTGGCCCCCTTCTGCCACAGAACCACCTGACATAGTAACTGCCCCATCCTGTTCACTGTGGCCCGATGTAACTAGTCTACCGCAGATGCTGGTCTCTAACTTTCTATCTAGGGAGTCAAATTGCGCGCTGTTTATTCCGTTCGTAGGCAGAGTACTCCGTACATATGAGAGGTTGTTGATCGCAAGTATGAAAATCGCCCCCTCAATACGCGTTACCGATGTCCTACAGTGGGTGAAGCTTGATTCTGGACGTCCAGACACTCTTCAAGACATCCAGAAAGTTTCCATAATATTTTCTCCAGCATAATTCGCTTCCAAGGTCGAATGGAGATGGTGAATAAGTGGTCCTCCGGACCTCGGTGCTGTAGAGCAACAACCGGAGACGTCATAAAATACCGCACCCGCAGTCAGACATGCGTAATGCCCCGTACCGCATTCATCCATTGTTACCGCACTTGAACTTATCCGGGAACCCCTCCACCGCGCTTGTCACTGCTATCTAGCCGCCCGCACATTACTGATCGCCCAATGAGGCAAGCGACTTTTCGCCTCAGAAACTCACAACTGTGAAATTTTTTTTCTTGGTGGAATCGAATAACGAGCCGCCCAGCGAAAAGGCGACCCGCTCTTACGCTATTCAGTAACGGTCCTGACTTGAACGTAAGATACTAATCAATCTGATTGTCAAGTTGATATACAACTCTACGATAAGCATCGTCAACAGCGTACCAAGATGGGCGCAGTCAGAAGAATAAAGACAAAACGAAGGACAAGGTATGCGCCTCCAGTAAAGCTCAAGACGGCTGGCTTGTAGCTCGTGGACATGCTTCTGATAGAAACGATTTCATACAGGGACTATGACCAAGTCCGCGCAGATCTTGCGGACCCCAAACACCTCGCACAGTACAAGGCTACGAAGGATGCGGAAGATTTGCCAGGGTTAGGACAGTATTACTGCGTCGAATGCGCCAAGTGGTTTGAGGGAGAACATAACCTCATCGCGCACCGCAAGGGCAAGAATCACAAGAGGAGGTAGGTAGACAGCAACCTGACCTCCGTATGATCGCAACTGATGAGAGTGATTCCATGCGTATAGACTCCGGATTTTGCGTGAAGAACCCCATACGCAGAGGACAGCTGAGGCTGCGGTTGGACTGGGCGTAGACAATGGTACCCGCGGTCAGCAGACGGCGTCTATGGAAATGGATGAGCCCAAATAGGGATGATTTGAGCAGTACTCGATGACTTCCAGGAGTCACAAAAATCCTCGAAGGCGCCGCACAACCTCACGTGCTACATTTATCCCCAGAAGAACGGACATCACCCCTGTGAGCAATATTCTCAATCTGCTAAGCCCAACAAGATCTGCGGGCTTGAAGGAGAGGAACTGCCAACGACAATTGCGATACCCATTTTCTATCTGAATTCCATGAAGCGAAGGAAATTTTACGAATGCGACGCTCGACTCACTAGGCTAATTCTTGGATCCAGAGTTCCAGACGAGTGAGTTGTTCGAAGTTCCGATTTTCGCCATCAAATTTTCCGCAATAGCCGGTCCGAGGTAGTCAGAGTTCCGATTCACGGCAGAAACCGCTCCTTCGGAACAGCACTGGCCATAGCAGGTATCACGGCCCGCCGGATTATCTCCCTCAATTAGGTAGCTTTTCATGTGCCGAGGTATTATTATTTTTTACGCCACTGTACTCTTTTTTCTCTATTACTGTTCTTCTTGTGGATTCCTGTCATTATCATATACCCACTTGAGCTGGGTCTAAAGATCCGCTTAATACTTTCATGAGCCATTCGTATGTCGCCCACTTTGTATTAGATAATCGAATGAGTAAGCAATCGCCGCCATCTTTGTGCAGTTTACCTGGGATAATAATGGAACAACATACCTGAACGGCATTTACTATAAATGCTCTAATGCTACAAATTCCCAGGCCGCGATAGAATACTTGGAAACCCTCTGTGCGATAAGCTTGCTGAGCGATCTCCAATGACCCCATTATTCGTTCCGTAGGCATTGTCGGCCGAAGAAGTGATCGTGTCTCAGGAGATATGTCTCTCGAAGGCTCCAGAAACGATTGGGCTTGCAGCCTTGTCTTTATGACGTCGAGTGGGAAAACAGAGGCCCATGTCACTATCCCAGCAATTCCGCCGCAGATGAGAACCTTCAATGCAGCCTGATGAGCAGTTTCGTCCGCAGAAGTCATACTTCGCTTACATAGCTCATAGGACCAGAAACTGTAGCAACTGACGTCAATATCCTGCTTGGGCCGATGGCGGGTATCTCTGGAGTCAAGGGGATGATTCGTACTAAAATCCGTAACCCACGGAATCTCTGATACTTGTTATTGCTCCCCCGAAATAGAGTCCCTTCCATCCTGCTTTTCGGATGATATCACTGGCAACTGTCCACGATGAGATTTGCGGATTTCTACTCAGCTGCGCCCGGCATTTAATGAGCTCTGTTGGTGACGAAACCACCCAACTGGCAATGCCGCCCGCGGCGCCAGCTAGCCAGATTTTGTTTAACGAGACGCCGTCTGGTTTGGTTGGATCAGTCACGGAAGAATCCAGTGCTTTCAGGCTTCGGTTGTAGGCAACGTAAAGCAGGGCATTTAGAGCACCATAGCCAAGAATAGGGGCAGCAGCGCCTAATTCAACGTCAATAGAGGATGAATAATGTCCACACAGTTACACGCACCTCGCACCAAGGAGGTGGCGGTCTCAAATTGACCTCGAGATAACCGCGGGGTTGGTTCTGGAGAGCTCCCAGTATGGTATGCCTGCAGGCGGACTTTGACTAGGTCGAGTGGATTGCCAATGATTATACCAATGGCTCCGCTTATGTAGCCTGCCCAAAAGTCGGAGGACATTGGTTTTAAAAATCACAAATGTAAGTTTTCATTACTCAGTTGGTAAATGCCATGATTGTTCTGACAATCATCGGCACAGCGGAGCCCCGCGATGACGGCGGATTGATATCACGTGAGTTCGCGACACTTTGGCGAAACAGGGGAAATCCGAACGCGCTTACGAACGACGCGTACTTGATTGCCAGCAAACGGAGCAGTCATTATTCCGACTTGAACCAGCTCGGTGACCATACCAACGGTGGGACTGTGAGAAGAGTTGATCCGACCTAGGGGCTTCATTTTTTACTTTCTCTTCCAATGTATGGAGGTCTTTGAATGTTCATTATCCAGAAACCAATGCTAACCTTTTGTTAGGCATCGTCCACGGCCCACCACGGTAGAAGGTGGTCAAACATTAGTATCAGCACAGAAGCCAGTTCGACTCTACGGCCCATCACAACAGTCGATCGATCGCCTCTCGAAGCCATTCAAATGTCCAGGCCAGGCAACAGCTTCTGTAGCATCCGATAGACCGGCCAGAAAGAGGCGCAAAGTGGATTATAGCGGTGCTGACGGAAGCGCTGAGGATGGAAGCAAACCATGGACCAACGAGGAGCGTCTTGCTCTTGCAAACCGCGACGCTAACAAATTCCCGGTCTATAAAGTGAAAGACAAAGAAGTAGCACTTAAACAACGATTCTCTGTACCTTTAATCGATAAGACATCCAGCAATTATGATCCCTCCAGACCTGCACCGACTCTTGGAATGAGGCGAGGCGCCTCATTTGTCGTGAAACCTTTGCACGATCCGAGTGGAGAGTTCGCAATTGTCTTGTATGACCCTACAGTTGATGACAAACCGGAGCCAAAGAAGGAGGAGGACGGGGAGAAAACCGAAGAAAAGCCAAAGCTGGATGCACCCATTGTGCATAAGAGTTTGGCCGATATTCTTGGTCTAAAGAAACGCGTCGAGTCTCGTCCTAAGGTCCCTGTGGTCATTGACCCAAGACTTGCCAAGGTCTTGCGGCCACATCAAGTAGAGGGAGTAAAGGTGAGGCACTACTCAATCATCTGGCATGTTTGGTTTTTAATATAATAATTGTTTTTCTTCCACAGTTTCTTTATCGTTGCACAACTGGCATGATTGATGAGAATGCGAATGGCTGCATCATGGCAGACGAAATGGGCTTGGGCAAGACGGTAATCTCCAGCCCTCAATTCTGTCGGATTGATGCTGATGGCGACAGCTCCAATGTATCACTCTGATGTGGACACTCCTTAAGCAATCGCCTGAAGCGGGAAAGCCAACTATCCAGAAGTGTGTCATTGCTTGCCCATCAAGCTTAGTTAAAAACTGGGCCAATGAACTAGGTATGTGATATGTAGGCCTTCTTCTACGTTGCTACTGACAGTTATAGTGAAATGGCTTGGAAATGACGCCATTACACCGTTTGCAGTTGACGGTAAAGCCTCAAAGGCTGAGCTTTCCTCGCAGCTTAAACAGTGGGCAATTGCCTCGGGTCGCTCAATCGTCCGGCCGGTCCTCATAGTGTCATACGAGACATTAAGGCTATACGTTGAAGACCTAAAGGACACACAGATAGGTTTGCTACTATGTGACGAAGGACACAGACTCAAAAATAAAGAGAGCTTGACCTGGACAGCGTTGAACAGCCTCAACGTCAGCCGCCGGGTCATCCTTTCTGGGACACCTATACAGAACGATTTGTCTGAATATTTCGCCCTTTTGCATTTTGCAAACCCAAACTTGCTCGGGACTCAGGCTGAATTCAGAAAAAGATTTGAAATTCCGATTTTGAAAGGAAGGGATGCTGCAGGGACGGATGAGGATCGAAGGAAAGGTGATGAGCGCTTGGCAGAGCTCTCCAGCATCGTCAACAAATTCATTATACGGCGCACCAACGACATTCTTTCAAAGTACTTGCCGATCAAGTACGAACATGTTGTGTTCTGCAATCTTAGCAAGTTTCAGGTTGACCTATATAACCATTTCTTACAGAGCCCAGACATCAAAAGTCTGCTCAAAGGCAAGGGAAGCCAGCCATTGAAAGCGATTGGAATTTTGAAGAAACTCTGCAATCATCCGGACCTGCTGGATCTGTCAACGGAATTGCCTGGATGTGAACAATTTTTCCCTGATGACTATGTTCCACCGGAAGCCAGAGGCCGCGACAGAGACGTCAAATCCTGGTATTCCGGGAAAATGATGGTTCTTGAGCGCATGCTGGCGCGAATACGCCAGGACACTAATGATAAGATCGTTCTGATCAGTAACTATACACAAACACTTGACCTTTTCGAGAGACTTTGCCGCTCTCGAGGGTATGGGTGTTTGCGACTGGACGGCACCATGAATGTCAATAAGCGACAAAAACTGGTGGACAAATTCAATGACCCCGATGGTGAAGAATTTATATTTTTGTTAAGCAGCAAGGCAGGCGGCTGTGGTTTGAACCTGATTGGAGCGAATCGTTTGGTTTTATTTGATCCAGACTGGAATCCTGCTGCCGACCAGCAAGCACTGGCTCGGGTCTGGCGTGACGGCCAAAAGAAGGACTGTTTTGTTTATCGGTTCATTGCAACCGGATCGATCGAAGAAAAGATCTTCCAGAGGCAGTCCCACAAGCAGTCACTCTCTTCCTGCGTTGTCGATTCTGCGGAAGACGTTGAACGTCACTTTTCTCTCGACTCCCTTCGAGAACTTTTCCAGTTCAAGCCAAACACGCGGAGCGACACACATGACACGTTCAAATGCAAGAGGTGCAGGCCAGATGGGACCCAGTTTATCAAGGCTCCAGCCATGTTATATGGCGATACGAGTACATGGAATCATTTTGTCAACGACGGTGAGAACGGACCATTGAACAAAATACAGGACTTGCTCTTAAGACAAGAAACCTCCGAGAAGGATGTTTCCGCTGTTTTTCAATATATCAGTCATTGATACGTTGGTGGCCGCTGTTGGCTTGGTCGATGCAATCGACGATCTGTATTGAAACCGACATGCATACTTGGACAGGATAGCTTTCAACGTAAATGGATATGTTTCTTTAATTTAGGAATATAATGATTGCATAGAGATTATTAAATGTTTGTTTCTTTGTTGTGAAGTACTCCAGCCATCGGTTCTCAGTTGATGTAGGCTCCGCGGATACCGTACGATACACGGCTTGTGACAATACATCACTACCACTGAAGCCGCATCTGCATTGACGCTCCGCGCTGTTGACAACACATGCATGCTCCCCGCATACCTGGCATCAGGAAGCTGAAATGATTGTTCCGCATGTGCCTGCATCCACTACAGTTTGAGACGCAGTGTCTGACAATTCATGTTACCGCCCAGAGCAGCTTCCCGGCAGTGCAGTTTATAATCCCAGCAGCATCAGCCCACCTTGCTCCCACGCATTCCATTCGCAACCACGATGAGTGTTGCCTAACACGAATACGGAGTCTGTGACTTGTAGAAAGTCAACCGCCATTTCACAATGGACCAATCAGTTCAGCGTCTGCTGAACGACAAGCTCTACGACAAGAGAAAACAGGGTGCCTTAGAGTACGTTGCAGCTTCTGTAGACAAGTGTCCCGAAAGCTGCAGTGCTGACCACAATAATGTTCTTAGGCTTGAAAAGATCGTCCGCGATGCCATATTCAGAGGAGAGCACGATAAAATCCAGAAGATCGTCGATCAGCTCTGCCACGACTATGCCTACGCTGTTCACCAACCACACGCGCGAAATGGAGGTCTGATCGGTCTGGCCGCCGCCTCGATAGCATTGGGATCTGTGAGTTGAGACAATATTATAGGATGGTTTGTGGATTTCAGGGCTGATCAAGCGCAGGAGGGGGTCGCTCCTTACCTCCAAGAGATCGTTCCTCCTGTTCTCGCTTGCTTCTCTGATCAGGATGCGCGTGTTAGGTATTATGCATGCGAGAGCATGTACAACATTGCGAAGGTGGCTAAGGGAGAGATACTGGTTTTCTTCAATGATATATTTGATGCATTATGCAAGGTCTGTGTGCTCGGTGTAGCGTCCACGGATGTATATCTCTCCTACTGACACACACCAGCTAGCATCCGACTCGGAGCTCTCCGTAAAGAACGGAGCTGAGCTACTTGACCGACTTGTGAAAGACATTGTCGCTGAATCGGCAGCTTCCTATGTCTCCGTCTTACAGTATCCGGAGAAGAACGTGCAAGACCTAGATGCTACTCGAGAAGCAGAAGAAATCTCAAATGATCTGCCAACAGCATTCTCACTGGCCAAGTTCATACCGCTGTTGCAGGAGCGAATACATGTCCTGAATCCTTTTACCCGAACATTCCTCGTATCATGGTTGACTTTGTTAGACACAATTCCGGACCTGGAGCTCGTGTGTTACTTACCAGCTTTTCTCGGCGGATTGATAAAGTTCCTAGGAGATCCAAACAAGGATGTTCATGTTGCTACCCAAAGTCTTTTAGAGAGATTCCTATCGGAGATCAAGAGAATTGCTCGCATTAAAAAGGGAATCGAGGAGAGCAAGAAGAGCAGAGACAGCAATGTTAAACCTTCTACCGCAAGTGAGAGTGAAAGCATAGTCACCGACAACAGCGGAGAGGTTAGAGGGAGCGAGAACGCCGTTGCGGATTCGGAGTCTAGCGATTTTAATGAGGATCAAAGCGTGACGGTTGATGGTGACTGGGTTCCAGGACAGGATGCCCATGTCGATTATCCGAAGATCTTGGAGATCCTTGTGGGGTTTGTTGATACCGCATATGGTGAGTGACCTTAATTTGCCTTTGTTTTCTGAATCAATCCCACTCACCCGGATCCAGAGGAGGAGATGCAGTTAACTGCGCTGCGGTGGATTGATAGCTTCTTCGAGATCAGTCCCGAAGATATACTTCAATTTGTTCCGACACTTCTCAGCCAGGTTCTCCCCGCTATATCCAGTGGATCTGATCAAGTACGACAGGCAGCGACTAGGGTTAACACCTCTCTCATGGAGTACATCGTATCTCTTTCTGAAGACACGCCTACTGGGGGCCAGCAAGCAACATCATCCAAAACAGCTGCAAAGGAGGACGACGAAAGAAGAGCGTCCATCCAAAGCGGGAAACCATCCCTTGATGGAACAAGCAGTGTTGCGGCACCAGAAACTCCGCCATCCGATCTTGACTATGCAGCCGCGGTCAACTCCTTGACCTTGCAATTCCTCAATGAGAATGAAGATACAAGAGTTGCTGCTCTTTCATGGTTGATCATGCTCCATCGTAAAGCGCCCCGCAAGGTTCTGGCATTCAACGATGGCACGTTTCCTGCTCTCCTCAAAACTCTGTCTGATCCTTCCGAGGCTGTTGTCACCAAGGATCTTCAACTCCTTTCACAGATATCTAGAAACAGCGAAGATGGATACTTTACATCCTTCATGGTCAACCTCCTCCAGCTGTTCTCCACGGACAGGAAATTGCTTGAAGTTCGTGGCAACCTGATTATCCGGCAACTCTGCATGAATTTGAGTCCGGAACGCATCTACCGAACCTTAGCAGACTGCCTAGAGAAGGAAGAGGTGAGATTTCCTTCGAACATTCCGGGGCACGTAATACTAATCAGACCTTTTCAGGATATCGAGTTCGCCAGTGTGATGGTCCAGAATCTAAACAACAACCTGATCACTGCCCCTGAACTTGCAGATCTCAGGAAGAGATTAAGGAATCTGGAGTCTAGGGTATGTCCTCACTGGACAAACTGCTGATCTTCATCGTGGGACTGATGATGTTTTCAGGAAGGGCAAATGTTTTTTGTGGCTCTATTTCGATCATGGTGCCACAATGCAGTTTCGACATTTTCTTTGTGTTTGCTTGCCCAGGCTTACGAGCAGGCGTACAATCTCTTGCAGATCTTGTGAGTACAGTAGACCGACATTACATCCAATATGCTAGCTGACTGATCCAGTGCGGAACTCGAGATGACGGTTAACATGTTGATCCAAATCGACAAACTTGTACAGCTGCTGGAATCTCCAGTCTTCACCTGTCAGTCCAGCCTCCGGTTGCCCCTTGTGTTTGAGTTGAGCAATGCTAATTAAATACTTGCAGACCTTCGTCTACAGCTTCTGGAACCCGAAAAGTACCCGTATCTTTACAAATGCTTATATGGTGTCCTCATGCTTCTTCCACAGAGCTCGGCCTTTGCGGCGCTGAAGAACCGCCTCAACAGTGTGAGCAACATTGGCTTGCTCCACGGACCTCGCCCGTAAGTGATCCTCTCCGGTTGTACTGTACATTTTGCGCTTTAGTTGTCTCTACAGGAATTCCCAATTCTACCTCCGAATCACAAATGCTGATTTTAGCAGGCCTGCCTCCACTACCACTTATGAACGCCCAGCAGGAAGCAGGTTAAAAGCACGAGAAGAGAGCTCCATCCGCTGGGGAGAACTACTCGAAAAATTCAAGAACGTCCAGGAACGAGCCCGGAGGGCGCAGCGGGGCTCACAGCGACCCTTCGACCAGGAGTCCAACGGGATCGGCGGTCTGAAGCAGCCATCATCACTCGGTGGTGCTCCGACAGCTGACCATCCACATGGCACTGTCAGAGGAGAAAAGGCCCTTCCCGACACTCCTCGCGGAGGAGTCGGTGCCGGAGGTCTTGGAATCTCTGGTGCTGGATCAGGATCGGGATCGACAGGAGGTCGTGGCGGAGACAACCATAGTCCGCGAGACGGCCGATCAACCCCTACATCGGCGAGTAAAACCAAGTCCGGTTTAGGGAATCTCGGACGACTCGGAATTGGGAGTAGAAGGAAGCATTGAGCATGTGCATGCGCCGACTTCTTAAGATACGAGTACTTGGTTGGTGTGTAGTTGCTGCAAATGCGTCAGCCAATACCTATGTATGTACTGTATGTACTTACTCATCATGTGTTCCCCCCCCCGCCTTTTTTTTTCTCTCTTGACGAATTTTGTTGGACATGAGAGTATTTAATACCCCAGCGTACGCAGAACATCCAGGATAAATTGAACTTTACGATTGATTGGTTGCTTGGTAGTTTCTAGCAGACGACCTTGTGGTATCTTATCGTATGTCAATTAAATTACTTTTCCATTAATTATTTTTTTTAAAAAAAAATACTTGTTGTGTCGAGACATCGTTTAAAGACATGATTTACAGCAGCAATTCTAGCTAGACAAAAAAAGAAAAACATATGACAGCAGTTTCTTCCATAGGGTGGTGTATTACGAAAAGAGGCAGCACACCTGTCCCAAGGGACAGTAGTGGCCTAATGGTATTCTTGCCGATACCGCGGATGACACAACTATTTTAAAATGACACAGGCAGAAAAGGCAAGCATTCCTTTTTCAAGGAAAAAAAACCTTAATTTCCTGATGCCTCGTTCGAACCGCGTTTGGTAAAATCAGGGAATAATATCCTTTACAGTCCTGCGAGGTTCAAACGTGTTTGAAGATCGATCGGGAGGATTTATGCCAAGCATGTCCTTTCTGTTCGATGAATGCGGGGAGCGGGCACCTACCTAGTGGATATACCTACCTAATCAGGTAATCAGGTCCAGCAAGATAAGATCGTTATCATCATCAAGACCGATAATCAGAGAATCAACAGCTAATTACGGAGTACTCCGCACTTGAACCAAAAAAAATCAACGTCAACAGAAACAAAAAATAACGAAACTTGCTTAACTAAATTTATATCTAATCTAATCTACGACAACGATTAATTATGGCAGCAGCAGCAGAAACAAATGCAACTGCAAATAATGCAAAAGCAAGAGTCCTCGTCATTGGCTGCGGCGGAGTCGGCACCATGTGCGCGTACAATCTCGAAGTGGGTGGTAAGGCCAACGTGACGGCCGTGCTGCGATCCAACTTTGCTGCCGTGGAAAAGAATGGGTTCTCCATCAAGTCGATTGAACATGGGGAGGTGGAAGGCTGGAGGCCTAGTGAGAGTAAGTCTATATTTTTGTTTCTGGAGTTCGTCTGTATATACGTACTCCTGAAAGTAAATACTTGACTCTCAGTTTGCAGAGCAAATAAATAACATCAACCATATATATAGTAAGACGAACGATACCCACTGTTCAAGATGACGCTCCAGAAAAAGCAGAGAAATTCGACTTTATCGTCGTGACAACCAAGAACCTCCCGGACGTTCCTCCCACGGTTCCTGAGATCATTGCCCCCGCCGTCACAGAAGGCCACACAGCCATCATGCTCCTCCAGAACGGCCTCAACATCGAAAAGCCGCTTTTTGCCGCATTTCCCAACAACGTGATCCTGTCCGGAGTGTCCTTGATCAGCGCGACGGAGACCCAGCCAGGACGAATCGTGCACGATGACCCGGACCGCTTGATCGTAAGTCCCTTTCGAAATCCTAATGGACGGGCAGATCAAGAGCTTGCGGCGGCAAAGCGATTCGTCGACATGTACAGTGCTTCAGGAAAGGTCTCCTGCCAGCTGGACGAGAACGTGGGCCTCGTTCGCTGGCGCAAGCTCATCTACAACGCGAGCTACAACTCCGTGTGCGCCATCCTCGGCATGGACACGACTCGCATGCGATTTGCCAAACATCCGCTGACGGACCTGATCCGGCCTGCCATGTGGGAGGTGTGGCACACGGCTCGCGCGGCCGGGTATGAGCTTCCGCACGATGTCGTCGAGGAGATGGTGGATGTCGACTTGTGGGCCTTTTTTAAGCCGAGTATGCTGCAGGATCTTGAAAAGGTAATAATAATGGCGGATTTTGAACAGGCGAGAGAAAACTACTTGGAATGATTTCACAGGCTGACTGCTCTTTCTCGACTCGGCAGGGCAATTTCATCGAATTCGAGAACATCGTTGGTGAGCCATTGCGCGAGGCCCAGAAGCTGGGCGTTTCGACGCCGACATTGACGATAATCTACGGAATGTTGAAAGCGTTGCAGTGGAAAATACGCGAGCAGAAAGGGATGATCACGGTACCGCTTCAACGGCCAGAAGACCTAGACCTATCATGATGTCACCATAGCTTTTATTTTTCCCAAGGAAATTCAGTTAAATGTATGTACATAGAGCTCCTAGCATATGTTAGCTCCTGAGGCTTCTTGACTTCTTGAGTGCTATGCGTATGAGATAAGTCGACAAAATATATGAACAATGACTTCGGGGACAATCGTTAAATTGGATGAAATGGATCTATTTTATTGAATAAAACCATTTATATGCAGGATAAATGCACAATAGGCAAGATTTGCAAGAAAAAGATGATAGATAAGCAACGGACATAACACATGTATCGAACTGAAGCCCACATGGAAATATAGACAGAGTAACCGTCGAACAAAAACATACGAGTGATAACCGTTGACGCTCAGCGGCGTTCTATGCGAGAAGATCGTAGAGGGGGTCGCATGATTCCATAAATTTGCACCAAGCCCATCCATGCATCAGCTGGCGTTACAGACTCTGGCCGCCAATGATTCTTGTCAAACACTAAATCGTATCCTGAAACTCCAAATCAAAATGACACCTGGAGCCGCGGAGGAACATGCAAGTGTAAATCAAAACGCAATATGGAGAGTCATCAACGTCTATCGCGAGAAGGAGGATGTGGATCGGCCCCAACCCGAGGGTCTCCAGTAACTGCCCGTCGAGTGCTTTGATACAGTCCCTGACGACGACGGACTGTTTGTGTAGATGTATTCACCGTCGACATATTGCGCACCCGCGTGGAACGTGGTGCGGTTCTTCCGGCGGGCATACCGCTGCTCGAGCCGGTAAAGTTCAAGCTCTTTACATAAGGATTAGCAGCGTGGATTGGGAAACATGGGTAGGAGGATCCACTTGATAAATATTCAAACAAAGCAGACGGGCTACGTACTTGACTGCAATTTCTCGATAAGACCCATTGTGGCTGATGTAGATAGACTCCCAGCGGCCTGGGTGATGACACTCTCAAAAGCGTACTTGAGGAAAAGCACCGCCGTCCCGTGTCAGACGTCGTGATCCCCTCTTCGAATCGTCTTGATAAATTGATGCGTAGATTCCACTGATTGATTGAGAGTCGCTGAGCAGCTGTATATACTGCGAGAGAGCAGACGCCTTTCCGTGCTTTCCGGGCTCTTCGGCAGTGGTTGTCTTTGGATACACCGCCACGTATGGATGCTTCTTTGGACAGCAATTGGCCTTCTGCGCAGCTGAGCTGGAAGGAACGAGCGGAACTCCAATCAAGGAAGGTGACTGGTGGCTGCTGACGGAATCTGCGGAACGGCTGTCAGAGCAGAACCGGAAACAGAACTCAGACAAGCCTCGACAGCAGAGCAATTGAGATGCAAGGCCGCAAACGTACCAATGGATAGATGTCAGGGGATAGACGTGAAACTGAGGACGTCACAAGCCACAGGTCAACGGAATCGATCTCGTGAATGTCGTAATGAAACGCTGGACTGGGAAAAGAGTGTGGGGAGCGACGGACAGATTAAGAAGATCGAGCGAATGTCGAAAAGAGTGAATGGCAATTATTAATTGATAATGATAGCAACGAAACGACGGCAGGGCTCAAGCCTCAAGACAGGCAGGTCGAGGACCAGACCCCTCTGTCTGTGGACATCGGCGAACAATCAGGGGGCGGGCCTAGGCGATTGCGTCTTGGGCCACGAGGCAAAGGAAGCGCGGTCTGCGCCAGCGGCAGGCGGGTGGGGGAGCGCACCGCATACGGCCTCGGGAGTGGCCGCGGGCAGTTCCTGCTAGCAGCAGAAGAGCAACTGCCCCTGCCCAGCAGCACTAGCGACCTGCCTAACGAAGTTACAACAACAGTTAGAACGAGCTCGAGCGTCTTTGCGTGCTCGTTGCTGGCCCGTGCTGTGCAGGAGACGGCGGCACGGTGCAGTCCCCAGGACCCGGCATCCAATCGCCTGGCACGTTCATGCAGTCCAAAGCCGAGTCTCCCCTTGGCGAGGTTAATAAATTGAACTAACCACGAACTACGGAGTTCTCCAGACAATTTCTCCGATAAATTATGGGGCTATGGATGCGAATGCCGTGATTACGATATAATGATCTCCCAGGTCTGCTCTCCACGGATCGGTGACGACGACTAATCGAAATCTATTCATGCGCATTCAAACAATTCTATACACTTCGTCTACACTCCGTCTGAGTTGTGAATAATATAATGGCCTAAGATGACCACTGCCGGCTATGCGGAGTATGGTCAAGGAAGTATCGCACGGAATGGCTTGCTCAGCTTCCATCACTATACAGCGCACGGACTCCAAAGAATCTGTACCACATATTCCGTCCTCAGCCCTGGGGCGTAAAGAACGACGTTGATCGCCATTTGCTCATGGCTGTCGATCACACTTTGCTTATTTCTGTTTGTTGCCAGGAGCAGATGGGGTGGGTGTGGAGGAGTCTTCGTTTTCTGTCTCCTCTCGCTCAAGATCACGTTCAAGATCGGCGTCTTGCGCCAGGGAGAGTTCCTGGGCTACATTTCAAAGACGAACGCATATTAGCATGAAGCCATTCTACTAAACGAGCACTCAGGGAACATAGGCTTCAGAACACTTACCATGCCAGAGTTCTGCATAAATTCCATCCTTCTCAAGCAACTCTGCATGCGTACCGGTTTCAGCCACCCGTCCATCTTTCAACACCAGGATCTGGTCGCAGTCGTAGATGGTCCGCAGCCGGTGCGCCACAAACACACTCGTGCGGGCCTTCTCCTTGATGATGCTGTTAATATTCTGCAGGAGGGCCTGCTCCGTGTATGTGTCGAGTGCTGAAGTCTAGGGCAGAGAAGTCAGAGGAAACGTCATTGACTTGCTGAAACATCATCAAGGGTGAATATACTAACCGCTTCATCGAAGAACAGCAACGGCGGGTCCTTGAGGATCAACCGCGACACTGCTAATCGTTGTTTCTCGCCACCGGAGATCATCATGCCTCGTTCTCCCACCGCAGTCTTGTATCCATCGGGCAACCGTTCAATGAGGTCGTGGATATGGGCTCTCTGAGCCGCCTTCCTCACCTCCTCATCAGACGCACTGATTCGTCCGTAACGGATGTTGTGCTCGATGGTATCGTTGAAGAGAGGAGTGTCCTGCGGAACAACGCCAATGGCCTTCCGCAGGCTCTCCAGGGTGACATCCCGTACGTCCTGGCCGTCGATCAACACACGGCCTTCCTGGACGTCATAGAAGCGGAACAGCAGCCTCAGGATTGTCGACTTGCCGCAGCCACTGGGTCCGACAATGGCAAACTTCTTACCGGCGGGAATCGTGAAGGTGACATTCTTGAGAATGGGACGGTCAGGATGATAACCGAAGGTGACGTTTTCGAATCGAATCTCGCCTCCGCGGGCCAGGTCCAGAACCTTCGCGTTAGGACGTTCCTGGACGCTCACGTTGACCTTTTGCAAATTGAAAAGGGTTTCCATATCAAGGAGAGATTGTCTCAGCTCGCGATAAACCGATCCGAGAAAGTTGAGGGGCACCGAGAGCTGGAAGACGAGCTGGTTGACCATCACCAGATCTCCGACCGTCAATGTCCCGGAAGCCACGCCATCTGCTGCAAGATACATCATGGCCGCCAAGGCACTGGAGAAAATCATATTTTGCCCGGAATTCAGGAAAGCAAGGGACGTCGTCACCTTGATGGAAGCATCCTGGTAAGCCTGGAGCGCCTTGTCATATCTAGCAACCTCATACTTCTCGTTATTGAAGTATTTGACAGCCTCATAGTTGATGAGAGAATCTACCGCTACGGTGGCACCGCGGTTATCGGCTGCGTTGGCCTGCTTTCGGAACTTTGTCCGCCATGATGTAGTGGTGATAGTGAACGCCGTGTATGCGACCATTGTTGCTGCGGTGATGGCGGCAAATTTAAAGCCATATTGATACGTCTTTATATCAGTCAGTCAAACAATCCTTCACCCTTCAAAAGAAGAGACCATACCAAAATACTGCACACCATCGATATTTCGAGCGCAGTGGGAAACACGTGGAATACCATCGACGTGAGGAGGAAGCTGATGCCTTTGGTTCCTCGGTCAATGGCTCTCGTTAGACCACCAGTCTGACGGCTCAAATGGAAATTCAAATCTAGTCGCAGCAGGTGGCTGAAAACATTGCCTGCCACTTTCCGGATGGCCTTTTGAGCCACGCTGGCGAACACGGCGTTTCGAAGTTCTTGGAACAATGTCGCCCCGATTCTGGCGGCACCATCTATAATAATGTCAGAACACAGAATTCTTGTGGAGAGGGAAAGTCCCAATCATACATGCGAGTATCATTGAACCCGCAACGGTGTAAGCTGTCCCTCCCACGGCGGCAAAGTCAATGTTCATGGCGTCGACGATGCTTTTGAAGTAAAATGGCACCTCTACGTTCAGAACCTAGGTTTCGTAAGCAATGGTCGTAGGAAAGGTTAGCAAGAGGATCCTACCTTTCCTCCGACAAGGAGTGCAAGGGCCGTTCCCACGCGAACTTTGGTGCCCCAGTCGTCCTACTCAAGCTTAGTGATGGCGCGCTCTTTTGAGTTGGGACATGACGGCACCCCACCTTTGGCCAAAGATATTTTGCCATTTCCTTCATAATCGCCCAGTCTACCTTCCTCTGCTCCTTATTGACGACCTTTGTATCATTGAGTAAATCGCCCTTCTTTTCCGGCGTCGCAGTCCCGGGGCCCGTCTGCTTCTGGGCAGCATCGCCAGCGGTAATTCTCGAGGTCTGGGGAGTCACATCCACCGGCTTTCGTGGCGACGGCGCTTGACTGACATCCTGTCTCTTCCACGAACCCCCATTTGTGGTGAAAACACGCAGCTGGTTCCAATTGCAGACAGTCGTCCGCTGGCTCGCCACACCACAACGAGCAGTCGGGGATCGCTGCGGCAGGCGCGCGCATGGCGACCTGGCCGCTCTAAGCAGCATGGTCGGCGGGCGGATAGACTGTCGACCGCTTTCTCTGTGTCTTTCCGGTGGTTATATTTTCTTATAAACGCATCGTGAAGAGCGTGGCGAGAGGGTTTTTTGTGCCTGTTGCTACCTCCGGATTCGGACTTCGGAGGAGTAGTTCGGACCTTGTGTCGCAGTCAGTGTTCCGCCTTGAAGACATTCGGTAGCAAGTGTTCGGGATCTTACCTCTTACTGCGAGGCAGCTCTCCCCTAGAAGACAGTAGCAGTCTTACTACGGGATTACTTCTAGGAGGAGCTCGAGCGGCCGGCATGATTGTCGAAATCGCGCAGCTATGTCGTGATTATCGGACCCCACTGTCAGCTTGTTTGCGCTGTTTGTCTGCCGCCGCCGGAGCGCTCTCGGGCTGCGAGAACGCCGCGATTATTGGCTGGTAATTTTACCGCGTCGTGACACCAGGCGTTGTCGATCTCCGGACTGACGTAGCTGCTGCTGCTTTTTTCTTGTCGCCATTGCCTTCTTGCTTCACGTCCCAGGCCCATGATCTTGCCCTTGCCATGCGCCGAACTCTAGAGCGGGGCGCCTTGGCTCTTTGTAGGGCGCAAGCCCTTCCTCGCCAAGCCAGACAGTCAGTCGCTGCATGGCAGTGTTCGCGATGCATTCAGATTCGAGCCGCGCCTTTCGGAGAGACAAGCACAGTCAATGGCGTTGATCTACCGCTCTCCAATCCTCCGAACAGCGCTGCATCTGCCGGTAAATGACTTCCGACGGCTTCCAAGCTCGTTGGTCTTCCCGCTGACAGGCAGTGATCCCTTAGATGCCAAGTTCGATGTTATCGGTGCTCCGTATTCGATGCTCTCCGTTTCTCTTTCTGCTTCGCAGAACCTTTATACGCGACGAGGAACGCTGGTTGGATTGAGTGGGAAAGCGGACAATGTATGACTCTTAGCGATGCTTCAATTGTACGCTACTGGTCCTAATTGTCGGGTGACGATTACAAGGTGGTTTCAACATTGAGCATTCTGGAACCTTTCCGAAGGGCGGTCGTCGGGATACCGTTTCTCTACCAGAAGGTCGCTTCCCGGACTCAATTCAAGTATTGATAATGTTTGTGCTGACGTCAGACCAGATATCGTCCGCAAGCCCGGTAACTGCCTTGATATCGGTTCAGTCGCCGGTGACATCTTTCGCAGTCGTCCACCTCAATGGGACGGTGGACTGGATGGTTGCACAAAGACGGGCGCTGCTCGCATGGACTGGTCATTCGTTGTTTATACGGCCGACCGTCAACACGAATCTGGTTTGTCAGACCCGGCACCTGAAGTGTGGAATGAGCTAATCGGGTGACTCGAAGAGCGTGGTCCACTGGGGAAGTTCCCAGGTAACCGGGCGAGGACTTCTCGCCCTCGTGGGCAATGGACAGATATATTCAGTGGAATTGAAGGCGGGGGAGCAATACGTGGCTCACCCTAGGTGAGTCTGGTCATATTTACGTCTCCTGTCTCTTTAGGACGATAAGCTGATCCACGAACAGCAACGTTATTGCATATACGATAACATCCAACCCGCCACGCCCGTACCGCTTCAAGTCGACATCTTTACGCTTCCAAGTTCCAGAAGTGCGCCTGCCTGAGATCTTCGCGAGGTCAAGATTTATCCGCGACATGACCGCATCGGATACATGGAAGACGTCGATGAAGATTCTCCACACCATTCGGACGTGGGCCCGGAGGACGATATGGGGCGATAGGGTAGGTGCATCCACGATGTGTTGAATTGACATAGTTCGACAATGTTCTCCCCTTGCTGACTGGTCATAATTTAGCTTTTCCTACAATTCGAAGGCCCTGCCACTATACTCGTGCAGTCGCGCGCCGCTCGCGTTCGCGACGTCTTGAGTGATCGCGAGGTCAACGAGATTGCCGACGCACCGGCCGGAGCGACCTATAATGCTCTCAACCGGGCCGAAGACAAAATACAGCCTGATCGGAAGAGCGACTACCAGGTTGCTGCGGAGGAGGCTGTGTCGGAAGCACCTGTCCTGTCGCGGTCGGTCGAGCAGCTGACGAACGAGATCAAGGGAACAAAGCAAAGCATCGCCACTGTCCGAGACGGGAAGGTTGTATTTGAGGAGCCAGGATCCACGACGCAAGAGGCGAAGGAGACTCGCTAAATAACACCATCCCTTTTTTTTTCCTTTGTTGATACCAGCTTATACAATTGTCTTGATCCGAGTCAAATGAACCATCCGGATCGAGGAGGCATATTGTCCGATCCGCTGTATTCTAGCTGCTTGAGTCTGCATGATTGGACTCCTCAGAGACAGCATGTGATTCGAGATGCATGTACAATAGAATTGTTGACATCGCAGTGCATCCATCCACGTGCCTTATGCGTAGCCAGGTAAGCGCGGCTAAAGATAGCTCCATCGACCTGCACCACTTAGGTAAGCGGCTCGCGCTTTCGGTCCTTTTAACTCCGAGCCCTGAATGCAGTCTTATTAATCCAGTCACTATCACGAGACAGTCTCGTTTGTTATTGAAATAATAAGCGGCTCGGCGCAGTTAATTAATTAGTTAATTGCCAGTGCTAGTTAGCGACATCGGTTATCGGATATAATTACAGCGCGTTTTCTTATTTTCTTTTTTTAATCTGTCTGAGATAAGATGGCGTCGCTGTTGGTCTCGGAAACTACCGACCATTACTCCATTGGACTCGGATTTAATATCCATTTAGTTTGAGTTCGGGGTTACAGGGTTGGTTATAGTATAGTTGGTTTTCCACCTTTCAGCTCTTCTCACCATCTTTTTTTCCTTCTCCTGTTTTTTCTTCTTTGTTGATCGTGGCTGTTATTTGAGTGGGTTGTCTCTAACACGCTGCGCGCCTTGTTTGGTCTCTCTGCTAAGATTGCGCCCCTTTCATCTTACCTCTTACATAAACCCGCCTTATCTGCGACCACCGTTTGTCGATAATAGCTATTTCTGATTGTTTCAAAACAAAAATATCTGCTATCCCTACTTTTGGGGCGCATATGGAGTCGAAGCAATCCCAAATTGTACTGTGATCTCTTCTTGCAGTCAGTGTATCACGCCGAGATCCCAGAGCGATACGGATACGATGGCAGCGAACAGTCATGGGAAACCTCCCGGGCAACCTGAAGCTCCAGCCTCCTCTACTGAGAGCACCGTTTCTGTCGCATCAAATATCAACCAGGGTAAAGATGGTGAAGCTGCTCCGCAACTCGGGGAACCAGGCCAGCTACAGGAACCTACGAAGGAAGCCGCCAATGACCTGGAGAAAGCTGAGAATGCTGCCAATGTGAATGCTGGCCCGCCTGCCATGTCTCCCCCGCCAGATGGAGGGCTCCAGGCTTGGTTGGTGGTCCTAGGAGGATTCTGCGTCCTTTTTGTTAGCTTTGGGTGGATTAACTGTATGTTCCACCAGATCGTGACATTTGCGACAAGCTGAATACTTACGAGTGGTCAGGCATCGGGGTGTTCCAGGAGTACTATCAGACTCACCAGTTGAGCAACATGTCGTCCAGTACTGTGGCATGGATTCCGTCCATTGAAACGTTTATGATGTTCTTTTGGGTCCGTATTGCTCTGTCGTCTCTTGCACATATATGCACTGGTTGCTGATAACTGGAACAGGGACCGGTTTTCGGGAGACTGTTTGACAGCTTCGGGCCCCGGTGGCTCCTCTTATTCGGAAGCTTCTTCCACGTTTTTGGTCTCATGATGACCTCGATCTCCTCTGAATATTACCAATTCATCCTCGCGCAATCGATTTGCAGCGCTACGGGAGCGTCCGCTGTCTTCTTCGCCTCTACCACCTCTGTATCCACATGGTTTCACCACCGTCGTGCCTTGGCCCTGGGTGTGACGGTATCCGGATCCAGCTTGGGAGGCGTCATCTTCCCCATCATGGTGGACCATCTCGTGAGGGAGGTCGGGTTTGGCTGGGCGATGCGGATCTGCGCCTTTCTGATCCTCTTCTTGCTCATCATTGCCAACCTGACGATCAAGTCCCGACTGCCCCATCGCCCGAAGAGAGTGGTGATCATGGAATTCATCCGCCCGCTGCGGGAGCCTCCATTTCTGCTGTTCCTCTTGGGCTCGTTTCTCTTTTTCCTGGGCATGTTTTTGCCTTTCAACTTCATCATCTTGGAAGCTGAACGATGGGGCATGTCTCCGAGTCTTGCGAATTATCTGATTCCTATTCTCAACGCGGCAAGGTAGGCATACACGACGAACGAAAGAAAAAAAAGCAAGGGCTGACCTGACTTTTTTCATCTAGCGTATTCGGCCGAACTCTGCCAGGCTACCTCGCCGACCGCATAGGCCGCTTCAACATGATGATCCTGATGACATATTTCTCGGGCATCATCGTCCTCGCCTTGTGGCTCCCAACCAAAAGCAACGCGCCCATCATCGTCTTCAGTGCCCTGTACGGCTTCGGCTCGGGCGCCTTCGTCTCACTCGGCCCAGCCATCATGGCCCAGATCTCGCCCGTGCGGGAACTCGGTATCCGACAGGGTACCTACTTCGCGCTCATCTCCATCGCCGCGCTGATCGGGAACCCGATCGGCGGCGCTCTCGTACCGAACGTCGTGACGGGGGAGTTCTGGAAGCTGCAGGTCTTCACCGGCGTCGTGCTGATGGTCGGGAGCACGATAATAGTGTTTGCGCGCATCTCAGCCGGTGGTCCCAACCCGCTTACAAAAGTATAAAAAATGAAAGGTATTAAAAAAGGAAAAAAACAAAAGGGTTGTCTTTAATAACACACATCAAGAACATAGGAGTGGACTCCCACTTCCTCTTCTTTCTCTCTCTCTCCCCCTTTGGGAAGGGCTGGCTCAAACCCTAATGTTTAAGTAATCATATTTATTCATATCTTTTCTTTTAACTCAAGAGATCGATGCCTGTCAGATTTTCAGATACAACATCATTAACCCCTCACTCGTTGTACGTGGGGATAGATAGATAGATAGATAGAGAAATAGAATGATCATAGAATAATCAATCAGTTTCTTGTCAAACGAAATCGCTTTTGTTGTCAAGATAATTCCGAGAAAGAAAAACTATTGTACCGATGAACACTGTATAAAGCAAAGAACTAGTTAAGTGCACCCAACCCCAAAAAACCAACCTCTACAGAACGCCTTTGCTAATGCCGATAGATATATGCTAAAGAAACCACGAGAAAAGAAAAGGGAAAAGAGAGAAACCAAGAACAGAAAAGAAATGCAATGCAAGGGGGTATGTAGAGAAAGCAACCAAAAAAACCAACACTTCCCCAAAATGCATCAAAACTCTAGACATGCGCAATCACACCACAACGCCACTTCTCATGTTTTGGACGGTCTTCAGACCAACGCCCTTCATCCTCCCTAACTCCGCAAGGCTCTTCACTCGCGCTTGTGGAGCTTCGCGTCCAGCATAATCTGCTTTCTCCATTTGATGATCCATCTCGCAGAGACAGTCAACAATCGCTTCAGCCTTCTTCGCGCCAACTCCTTTCAGCAGCTTGATTTGGCTGACATCCCGGGAGTTGATGACAGATAGTAAATGAGCAGTTCGCGGCGAGTGCGCCTCCTCATCCAGACTGTTTTGGAGGTCCGCAGCATCGCTCGGGGTCTCTGTCCTCTCGCGTTGTGATGAACGAGCTTTCCGAGATTTACCAGCTGCTCGTTTTTGCCTGGACCTCACGCTGAAGCTGTCGTCTTCATAATCGGACTCTTCACCGGCCTCTGACTCCACATATTCTTCATCGCTCATCTCCGTAGTACGTCTTGCTCTGGCTCCCCTGGAATGTTTCTTGACGGATGGCATGTCATCGCGTTCATATGTCTCCTCTGTTTTATTCGCGTTGGAGATTTGCTGCTTAGCCCTAATCTTCTCCTCTAAAGTCGATATTTTCGCTGCCAATTTCTGGTTGTGGGGGAAGAATGGCAACGCAAGCTTGTACATCTTCAATGCGGAGGAGTCTTCTCCCCTCGCATGGTGCTGTTTTGCCATGAGAAGATATGATAGCCCTTCTGCTCGGGCATCCTCCGTCCCCTCAATTCGCTTTTCCAGAAGTTCAAGGCGGCGTTGGACTTGCTCATTTATTTCATTCACCTGAGCTTGGCGTTTGGATGAATCGTCGAGAGCTCGCGCGGCTAGTATTTCTTCGACTTTCTTCTCTACCAACTCCTCGATTTTCGCGGCTGAGATATCTTTGTGCGTCTTTGGAACTTGCTTGTCGGGTTCCGTATACCTCATAGACTTGGCAGGACGTGGAATGGCATTTAAGGAGTCAGATTTCCGCTTTAAAGGTGACGATCGTTTCGGCGCTTCAGGTTTATGCACGGCAGCTTGGGGCTTCGTCGGCTGCTTGTCGGAATACACGTAGAACGCCTTCACAGGTTTCTTCTCATCTGCCTTCGATGGATCTGCCACTGTGATATTCGCGTTGACTGACGATGTCAACGGCCGCAGGGGTTGACGCTGCTTCATAGCTCCTGACGGCCGTGCAGCCGGTCTGGGAGGACCTTTAAAGATTGGCTCGTTTTCCACTTCGCGCACTTCGATCTTCTTGGTGCGGTTCGCGAAATTCAACGAACTAAGTGTGTCCAAGTGGTAAGCTCTCACAGGCGCAAGGTTTAGAATCATGAGAGTCAAGCCGTTGTTCTGCCCCAACGACAGTATCCTCGTCATCTTCGACTCTCGATAAGGGATCCTCGGATGTTTCTTGCTAATAGCCTCTACACACTGCGCCAGCACGAACAGACTCTTGTTGATACTGGCTGATTCCACCATGCGCTCTTTGTCATTTTCAGTGCGACGGTTGTCTTCTGAGCCGGCCAAATCGATTGCAGAGGCAGTGCTAACCCGCGTGCATTCTCCAGTGGTCACAGCAACTTTGACGCAAAGGATGGCATGAGATCGAGATGAATGCGCATTTAGCTGCAGCTGTTAGTGGAGCGTGATTTGTCAAGTGGTAGGGTTCTGCCTTACCTTTGTTGCGGAAGTGGATCTGTTCATATTAGCTTGGTCGTACAGGCTCTCAAACTCCTTAAGGCTGGTACACGGCCGCTCTGTCAAGCCCACAACGACTGTCTTGCCTCCATTGTCCCTGAGGGGCAGCCCTGCTGGAGTCCTCTTCTCTGGAGGTTCAAAAAGATCGTAGACTTTGTCATTGTATATTTCGTAGTAGCTCATAGAGATTTCGACCTTCGTTGCTCCTTCGGAATCCTTCTCAATTTTTCGACTACGACGATAGATACTACTTAGAAGTCGTGGGATCACACCTCGATCAGCCAGACTTTTACCGCCTCGCATCGTATGCGTCTTTCCGGTCCCGGTGACTCCGTAGGCGAATATCGTTACGTCGAATCCATTGAAGAGGTGTTTCACTGTAGGAGCAACTGCCGAAATCTATCAGCACACTTGTTCAAACTTCGATATGCGACTCCGAAAACCAACCTTCAGCGTCATAAATCTCTTGTTGAGTCGTACTTGGGCCATAGACCGCATTGAATTGGAAAGCGAACTGTTCCGCCTCATTTTTGGGATTCGGAATCCTGACAATTGTTTCCCTTTCCTTTAAAGCAGCCGGGGTCTTGCTGTCCGGCGACCCTTTCTTCGATTTGAGTAGCTCTGACGTGCCAGAGCTACCGGTGCTAAGGATGACATCCAGCTCCCGCTCGGACTTCAGAAGAGGTCTCACACGCGCAACAACACGGACACTCATCTTCTAGCCCAATTGCACTGTTTGGCCTAATGTATTTCCTCTCAGCTGCTTCGCCTCGTTATCCAAAATCCAGGCTAGTAGAATTCCAATAATTGCACAGGCAAGTGAGTGAAAGACAACGGAACCAAACAGCAACGAGAATGAATGTGCAGGGTCCGAAAAAGACAGGACGCCCCGAAATTAAATTCAAAAAGACACCCGTTATAGGGTGTAACTCTGCGAAGAAAAAGCAAAAGCCAATTGAAATGAAGAAGCGAAGACCCGAGAACCTGACATTGACACTGTCAGATTAAAGAGAGGGCATTATTATGCTGCTCGAACAGGGATGTGTGGTTTCTGGTGACGGGGGGAAGGTGCGTGGTTGCCACAGCAACACCCACTGATTTGGCAAGTGCGATAGACAGCCGTCCAGACCACATGGGCTTCAGCAATCATGAGTTGTCAGACGCTCTGTGTGCATTATCATTGGCTTCTTTCTGCTTAGATTTTTTGCTTGGCAACTGGTACTTCTTTTTTTTTAATGGATTTCTTGGACTTTATCTAGGCATAGAATCACTTTTTGTGTTTTGTACTGCTCATTAGCATCACAATACAGTATACCACTCAACATTATATATTACCGCTCCCAAGCTACTGTATCGTTTAACTTGAGTGCTGACATGTCCCAAATGACCATATCACACCCAGACAATAATAATCCAATCTTTGTAACAGGAACCACACTCATTCTATGGACACGCATGAATACATGTACCTGCTAATGTACCTGCTAATGTGCCAACTACCCTAATAGCCATATACATAGCTCTTCTATGGGTTACAACCGGAGATAGTTTTTACCGTGAGATCCTGAAATGTGGCAAAGATTCAGCAACAATGTTATTAAAAAAACAAAACGGGGAAGTGGCCAGCCTGATACTAGAGTAAGCGTTTAATGTGAGACTTGAGGGACAACGTAGATAGATCATCAGGAGACAATATTTAATGTCTACTTGGCTTCATATAAACGGAGTGTAAACAGTCTGTCGATCCGATTGAGTCCGGGAGGACAGAAAGAGCTTGCAGTTGCATAACGCGGGGACCAGTTTGCTAATATCAGAGGCCACTATTTGTCTCTCAGCCTTGCTTCCAGCAATCTGTCAAGAAAATCTAGGCTGCGTGCTGTGGGAAGGCCTGTATGGGGGGATTTCATGGGGCGCGGCATGGCATCTAGATAACGTGGAGCTGTGATTGGCCCAGCGACTCTCCCGCAGCCGTAAAGGCCACCGTACTCCGTACACCAGATCTCCAAGCTCAACGGGCAGACAGCCCTCAGAAGTCTCGCCGCTCCTTTGCCTCCATCCAGATCGAGATCGACACGGCGGCCGATTCTCTACACGGGGCCTGCCAGATTTGCACAGTGTCTACCTGAATTGGCGGTCCTTCTCTTATAGCTTGCCTCGCTTCCTAGTACGGTTCACCGATTCCCCCGCATCGTCTTTTGTGTGCGATTCACCCGGACACTAACTTGGAGGCATAGTGACCTGTAACGACCTCCGCACTACCTAGTCCACCCCAGACTTGCCCTGGAGAAGGCTTCGGATTTGATCACATATAGTTTGGCCCACCGGAAATAGCCTCAGTCCCTCGATGGCGGCACCACAGGGAGGTTATCCTCCTCAGGAAGGCTACGATCAAGCGCCCGGATACGGTTCGCCAGCCGGTGCAGCTCCCCAACACCATGCTGGCGGAAAGAAGAAACGTGCCTATGCGGACGAGGCATTCGAGTTCGGCCAAGGAGCCAATGCAGCGCTAGGAGGACAACAAAAAGGTGGTGGCGACTACGCGGCATTTGCTGCTCAAGCCGCAGCAGCAGGATATCCACAACCTGGATATCCCCAGCCGGGCGGTATTGGAGACTACCAGCCTCCTGCGGCTGCTTATCCTGCCCCGAGCGCAGTAGGCGTAGCCCAAGTGACCCAGCAGTTTGGCCAGCTGGGTGTAAGTGATCCGCACCAGGTGCAGCAGCCTCAACAGGCGCAGAGGGCCCTTCCCCTGAATCAGCTGTATCCTACCGATCTTCTTGCCCAGCCATTCAACGTCGCGGAGCTCGATTATCCTCCTCCCCCGATCATCCTGCCTCCTAATGTACGTGGTGGTCCAAAGCAAGCATATTGTTCTCAAGATACTGACCCTGGAACAGGCAACCACTTACCCATCCCCTTATGCCAATTGCCCTCCGAAATATGTTAGGTCTACTCTCAATGCCGTTCCGACTACACATTCGCTCCTTAAGAAATCCAAGCTACCGTTTGCTCTGGTCATTCAGCCATACGCATCACTTCACGATGTGGAAGATCCGGTCCCCGTCATTCCTGACCAGGTCATCTCTCGTTGCCGACGTTGCCGATCCTACATCAATCCCTTTGTTTCATTCCTCGACCAAGGCCACCGCTGGCGTTGTAATATGTGCAATCTGACCAACGACGTGCCTCAAGCATTCGATTGGGATACGACTTTGCAGAAACCGGCGGATAGGTCGCAGAGGCCGGAGCTCAACCATGCAGTGGTGGAGTTTGTGGCACCACAGGAGTATATGGTTCGCCCACCCCAGCCGCTGGTCTACTTGTTCTTGATTGATGTCAGTTATGCCTCCGTCATGAATGGCCTCCTTGCAACCAGTGCTCGGTGCATCAAGGAGAGCTTGGATCGGATTCCCAATGCGGATCGAAGGACCAGACTCGGGTTCCTTGCAGTTGACTCCAGTCTGCATTACTTCGTGATTCCAAGAGATGGTTCAGAAAGCTCGGACCCGAAGATGTTGGTCGTTAGTGATCTCGACGAGCCATTCCTGCCAATTCCTGGCGACCTTTTGGTCACCTTGACCGAGTGTCGGGAAAACATCGAGTTGTTCCTCGACAAACTGCAAGATATGTTCCAGAACACGCAGAATAGCGGTTGTGCAATGGGATCGGCTCTTCGTGCCGGATACAAGTTGATTTCTCACGTTGGAGGAAAGATGACAGTCTTGTCATCCTCTCTTCCCAACATCGGACATGGCGCTCTCACCGTCCGCGAAGACAAAAAGGTGTTGGGCACTAGCAAAGAAAGCAGCCTCCTACAGACCGCCAACAGCTTCTACAAGAGCTTTGCCGTGGAGTGCTCCAAGGCACAGGTTTCGATCGACATGTTCTTGTTCTCATCTCAGTATCAGGATGTGGCTTCCCTGAGCAATTTGCCCAGATACACCGGAGGGCAGACGTACTTTTACCCAGGGTGGAATGCTGCCAGGACGGAGGATGCAATCAAGTTTGCGCGCGAATTTTCCGACTATCTCTCTGCCGAGATTGGACTGGAGGCGGTCCTGCGTGTGCGTGCCACCACTGGCCTGCGCATGAACACGTTTTACGGCAACTTCTTTAACCGTAGTTCGGATCTCTGCGCGTTCCCAGCCTTCCCCCGCGACCAAGCCTATGTGGTTGAGGTTGCCATCGATGAGACCGTTACCAAGCCTGTGGTTTGCCTGCAGACTGCGGTGCTGCATACCACCTGCAATGGGGAGAGGAGAATCCGAGTCCTGACGTTGGCGCTGCCTACCACTCAAAACTTGGCGGATGTGTACGCCTCTGCTGATCAGCAGGCCATTGCGACCTACTTCAGCCACAAAGCTGTTGAGCGCACCCTTTCAAGTGGCCTCGAGTCCGCTCGGGAGGCTCTGCAGTCCAAGATCGTTGAGCTTCTGACGACATATCGCAAGGAGCTTGCCGGTGGCAGCGTGGGTGGCGGCGGTCTGCAATTCCCAGCTAACTTGAGAGGCTTGCCGGTCCTCTTCCTTGCGCTTATCAAACATGTAAGAACTGCTTATGGACCCCTCCATTTTGGTTTCTAGACGATGTACTAATTTGGACAGCTTGGTTTGCGAAAATCGGCCCAGATCCCGACCGACATGCGGTCCGCCGCTCTCTGCTTGCTGTCGACGCTGCCACTGCCACTTTTGATCCAGTATATCTACCCGAAGATGTATTCTCTCCATGACATGCCCGACGACGCTGGTTTGCCCAACAAAGAGACGGGTGAGATCGTTCTTCCGCCACCGGTCAACCTGTCATCTGAGCGACTGGTTCCGTATGGCCTGTACCTCATCGATGACGGGCAGACCCAATTCCTGTGGGTTGGGCGAGACGCTGTTCCTCAATTGTTGATCGATGTATTCGGTGTGTCGGATAAGTCGCAGCTGAGAGTGGGCAAGCAGTTCTTGCCCGAGTTGGACAATGATTTCAACGAGCGGGTTCGTGCGGTGATTCAGAAGAGCAAGGATCACAAGTCCAAGGGAGTGGGCAGCATTGCCTCACCGCAACTGTACGTCGTTAAGGAAGATGGCGAGCCAGGGTTGCGCCTGTGGGCTCAGACGATGTTGGTGGAGGACCGCGCCGACCAAGGGGTCAGCTTGCAGCAGTGGATGGGTTCCTTACGGGAAAAGGTATGTTTTAACCACCACCTCCTTATTTTGGTTGATCGGAGCCTGACCGTTGTTTTCCAATCGATAGGTGGTGCAGTAATGTCGAAGTTAAAATTTTTGCTAGATCACGTAGCGTGCAACTTGCCATCAATAATTCGTTTTCTGATTACACCATGTTTGGCCTTGTTATCTCTACACTTTAGCGTGATCAATGTCTATGTGTCCAAGTCAGAAGAAGACGGCGCAGTACTGCTGCCTGGGATTGTATCTCCAACTGTACTGTAGACTTTTTTTTTGGAAGTCGACAGCCATCCACCACCCCTAGCAATTACTGTAAGCAGCGTTTCGGCGGTGTCGACAGGTTAATAATGGTTCGTTTCAGCCGGAGTCTTAATCCTGATAGAGATAGCTTAGCCTGAGCATGAGCTTCTCAGCGTTGTCACGGGGGCAGGGTCCAATCGCGCCATGTTTCACTCGGAGACGAGAGCGACAAAGCACCAGCCTCAGGCCACCAGACCCGTGCGGCAGGAGATGCTCAGGATTGGTATGACAGGTCAGGTCGGACATTGCTCCAGCGCGTGTGCTAGGCATTGTAATTTCTTGCTTGGTTGCTTGCGTTTTGAGCCTCTGCTCGTCTTGAGTTAATAGTCGTTAATAACCTCTCTAATAGTATGCCAACCGCCTACTGCTAATCTGGTCGAAAAGACGCCTAGTCACACTCGAGCCACAGCCACATGGCCACGCAGCAACTGCTAGATGGAACGCCATTCCAGCTGCCTTAAAGATTCAAGTGCATCGAGTGTAAGGTACATCCCTCCCCGGCCCCTCTCCGCCACTAGCGTTTGGGATTCTGACGGTGGAGCTGGCACGGGTCTCGTCACTGGCCGCCGCGCCGTGACGAGGGTTAGCCGGCTGTGTTCCCGTGAGTTAGTCGAGCACAGCAGCACGACCCGCGGCACCCGTTGCTGGAGATTGTCGCCGACCCAAGGTTCAGGCCTCATCCACATGGGAGATCATCCTGATCAGGATCTAGACAGGTGGGTTCCTGGTCCTGAGGCCCTCTGAGCTCGGTGCCCTGCGCCGTACATAACAATCGTCCTCGACGCCTTTTTTTCCCCGTTGTCCACGCTCTCTGCTGCCATTGTGCTTGGCCAGTCCGAATAAAAAGGTGCCATTGCGGGGTAGCCCTCTTTCGCGATTCTCTTGCCGCCCAAAGTTCCGGCCGCCAACACCGCCAGTGTAGGCGCTCGATCTTCTGTCTATATATACCTATTATACCTATTCGCCTGCTGCTGTCCTCCCTCTGAGAGACTCCAAGCTGTTTTCCTGGCGGCAACGACCATAGCTAGCATACTGGCCCAATTCAATCCGCAGCCCTGCCCGTGCTTCTTATCTCGCTCTCCGCTGCTGTCCCCCTCCCCATCCATTGTTGCTACCCGTCCGCGTGCGATTTGCCCCACCTGAGGCGTCCTTCCGCACTGCTCGAACTTCGTCCAGCCTGACCGTTCACATCAAACCAGTTCCCTGGGCACCAAACCCATTGTCTGAGCTTCTGGCATTCACTCGAACGAGACTCCAGGAAGAGGTCCGCTGCTGGGCGTTCGTCGTTGGCGGAGAAGCTCACCAGGTGTACCGGTCCCCGATTCGCTGCGCTTCTATTGATAGATACTCCTATTGATAGCGAGGCAGCTCCTGAGGTATTCACCCTCGCTCGTTGGCCAAAGCAGTGACCACTACATTCAAAAGAAACGATTGATGGAGATATCTAAGGGAGACACTGTAGTTTGCTGACAGCTAGATTCTCCAGGGGATTGTTTACCTCTTCCTTTGGGTCTCTCTGTCCGTCCGCATATGCCTTAAACCTCCTCGACACGATCTCCCCCTAAACGATCATTCTAACGCAAAGCCAAATCCACGAACTCGTGCGTGATCTTCTAGGACGACGGTGTTTCAGTGCCGGTGCTGTGTCCCTGAACGTCTCGAAAGGCTGTCTTGCGGGTGTTGGTTGACGGGAGGACATAGACGATTCTCTGAGAGGAGGTCACCGAACTTGCGTCGCTCTGGTCGAACCAGAAGCGGAGATAGATAGTAGGTATGTATGTTCTCACGGTTCTGTTGGTGCTCTTCACCTCGTAATTCCTGAAATTTGTCTACTTTGAAAGCCTCCTGCCTTGTTTCTCTTTCCAAGACAGCCTGCAGACCTCAGTGAATGCTGTCTCTCTTTCGCGGACTCATCTTGACCAGAGTGGGGCCCTAGGGCTACAGTGTTGCACGAGTCATTCACTCGACTGGAGATTTGCTGTGGCTGGGAATCTGTCAGCCTATGGTGTCGTTCCTTTGTACTTGCTTTTTTCGATGGTGAAGTGAATGCTGCCCCGAGTCTCCCCTCTGGTGCTCAATATAAAATCTGTCGCTGCGGCCTCCTGCCTTTGATTTGAATCTTCTCCTCCTACAACCCACTTGTCCTGCAATTTCTCAACACAGACTCTTGTGACCGCTGATATTGTGTCTTCAATTCGAGCACTTCTCTTTTATCCCCGTCCTTCCCTCTGTCTTCTCAACATTTTAGTGGCAGCAGGAACTGCCTTTGATTTGAAAGCCTTACTACTTTCTGCTTGTTCTAGCAATTTTTGACCGAATTCGACCAACTAACAACCAACAGTTGTCAACTGTGAACCACAATGGTCCAGGGACAGAATCCTCCGCAGGGAGGGTCGAGAAAGATCTCCTTCAACGTCTCTGATCAGTATGAAATTCAGGATGTGATCGGAGAAGGTGCTTATGGTGTTGTTTGGTAAGCTTTTCCAGAGATCGACTTCTTTGAATGCAGCTCACCGATTTCAGCTCTGCCATCCACAAGCCTTCGGGCCAGAAAGTTGCGATCAAGAAGATTACGCCTTTCGATCACTCCATGTTCTGTCTGCGCACTCTGCGCGAGATGAAGTTGCTGAGATACTTCAATCACGAGAACATCATTTCTATCCTTGACATTCAGAAGCCACGCAGCTATGAAACTTTCACCGAGGTGTACCTCATCCAGGTCAGATGAAACCGCTACATTCCAGCTTCTGTTTAAAGAGCTAACACTTTTCTCCAGGAGCTGATGGAAACCGACATGCATCGTGTGATCCGTACTCAGGATCTGTCCGATGACCACTGCCAGTACTTTATCTACCAGACACTCCGGGCGTTGAAGGCGCTGCACTCTGCCAACGTTCTCCACCGTGATTTGAAGCCGTCGAATCTGCTTCTCAACGCGAACTGTGATCTGAAAGTCTGCGACTTTGGTCTTGCCCGCTCTGCGGCGTCCACTGATGACAACTCTGGTTTCATGACTGAATACGTTGCTACTCGCTGGTACCGTGCGCCAGAAATCATGTTGACCTTCAAGGAATACACCAAGGCGATTGATGTCTGGAGTGTCGGTTGTATCTTGGCGGAGATGCTGAGTGGGAAGCCGCTGTTCCCTGGTAAAGATTGTGAGTAGTTCTTCCTGACATTCAGTTCATTATCTCCGGGTGTTGGCTAATCTTGAACAGATCACCACCAGCTTACTCTGATCTTGGACGTCCTTGGCACTCCAACCATGGAAGACTACTACGGAATCAAGTCTCGTCGTGCTCGGGAGTACATCCGTTCGCTGCCTTTCAAGAAGAAGATTCCCTTCAAGGCTCTTTTCCCGAAGAGCAACGAGTTGGCTCTGGACCTGCTCGAAAAGCTGTTGGCCTTCAACCCGGCGAAGCGGATTACGGTCGAAGAGGCCTTGCGCCATCCGTATCTGGAGCCATACCATGACCCCGACGACGAACCCACGGCCCCTCCGATCCCGGAAGGGTTCTTTGATTTCGACAAGAACAAGGACAACCTAAGCAAGGAACAGTTGAAGCGTAAGACACTCCCCCACCACCACTTGTTATGAATCATTGCTGACACTACTTTTCTCACGCAGTTCTCATTTATGAGGAGATTATGCGGTAGGCATTGAGCTGTCCGTGTCCGCGGAGGGGAAAAGATTGCAGATCTATCCACCAGGAATAAGTATTAGGTAGCAATCATCTAACTGTCGGAATCTGTTTTCGAAGAGTGGTGAGAAATGTGAAGCAAAACAAAAATTTGAAGATGGAAGAAGAAGCTGGTATGTCAGATTGGCAGATTCAGACCAGACTCTACTCACATTTGAAACATTCAAACTGAATATTGAAAATGAAAACTGATACAATACCCATTCATGTACCTAATGTGCAACCTTTGTATGTACACACCTGCCGTCTCGACTCCTGCTGTCTGTCATACAAACATGCATGCATACATACATTATCATTCCGATATCTCTAGTGGATGTAGAAGAACGATAGCTCATTAACCGTTCGTTCTTATTCATTCAATCATTCATTCTCATCGGTTTATTTATTTCCCCCCTCATTCTGTTCTCTCTTCTAGCCCGCATAAACGCCTCGATCCCCTTCCCTACGCCTTCCGGACTGGGTTTTTCGGCACAGACGTCGGGCTCAATGCCGTATTTGTTGCGGAGATGGTCTCGTGTTGTGGGGCCGATGGTTGCGATGAAGCATTTTCTTCGTCTTGGGCCATTTGCTCTGTTGTTATGATTATCAGTTGAGGAAGAAGGTAATCGATTCAGCGTCCTGAGCATGGCGTCACATCCTGTCGGGGAGAAGACGACTGTCCACATCACTTCGTCGTCGTCGTCTACTTCTTCTTGTTCGTCATCGGCATGTTTCTTCTCATCGTCCTGACGACGGCGACGACGTCGATCTAGTAAAAACTTCTTCCCAGCTTCAACAGCCGCACGGAACTCTCTCTCAAAAGACGCCATCTCCCCCGTCTCGTACACAACCAGCTCATCGACCCGTATCCGGTCCTTCTCGGTAAGAGATTCCGACATGAGCGTCTTGGGAATGACATCTCTCCGCTGTTCGCCGACGAGGAACAGCAGGGCTGGTTTGGCATTGTCCTCTTCTTCATCTCCCTCCTCACTCTGGCTGTTCTTGTTATAGTAGCTGTTGTAATGCTCCAGAATCATCTGCGCCAGCTTCTCCCCCGTCCCGGCTTCGTCGCCGTAGATCTGCGCGTGAGGAAGATGCGTGTCTCGGATGGTCTTGAGTGCGCGAGAGGTCGCTGGTCCGACGGTGTAGAGGATGAGGGAGCGCGATGCGGCGGACGCGAGGGGGACTACATATCACCAAGTCAACAAGAAGATTCGTATTGTCTCAAATCAAATCAAATCAAGTCAAGAGCCGGTAATTGCAGGGTGCAAGGACAGGACATACCACCAACCTCATCCCTCACCACCTTCGTAAACCCTTCCACAGCCCTCTGACTCGTGAAGATAATCCCGCCGTATTTCCTCCTCCTTCTCCTCCTCCTCCCATCTTTATCTTGCCCTCTTCCTGCCTGCTCATCCCCATCAAGGACAAACGCCCCCTCAGACTCAGAAACAAAATACTCTTTCAACCTCCTTAGATTCTCCTCATTGAATCGATGCTCGAGAACAGGGACGAAGACGGGTTCGTAGGAGAAAGCACTGTCACAGCTGTTGCTGCCATTGTCATTGCTGCTGCTGCTGCTGCTGCTGCTGCTGCTGCTGCTAATGGTATTTGTTCGAAAGTACTCGTCGTATCCGTCATTCGGGGTAGATTTCGTTTTGAGGAGGAAGATGGGTGGGTTGGAGAATGTAAAAGTGCTTGTAGGTGCTGCCTCTGTTGTTGTCATGGTTTCATTTCATTTCATTTGTAACAAGTTCTTCTTCTAAATCTGTCAATTGAATTGAATAATCAACAAAAAAGAAAAAAAAGGTTGAGTAAGATTATTCTTGAGATATCTATCAGTTAGCTTATAGGCGATTGATGAGTCCGCAATAATAATTTAATGCGGGGTGCGGAGTCCAGTACGGCGTAGTCGGGAGCTTTCCGTGACGCAATGACAATTATGTACGGAGTATGTACTGTACAACTGCGTCTAGATTCGACCTTTCTAACTAATTAATTATATTTCAAAGAGCTGACATACGAAAATAAGATATTTCTTGATCTGTTTTTTATAAGTTCTGCTTTATACTTTACACTCATTGGTATGAGATTTACACACAAACGAGCCAACGTTGGACTGTCCTGATACAAAGGAAATCACTAGTCTAGTCAGGTTATTTACACATTCAAACACAGAACAGACAATCACTGATCGTCCAAGACGTGCAGGTACTTCCTTTCTTCCTGCCTCTCGCGCTCAGTCGCCGGCGGCAGGTCGTAATACGTCGAGCTCCGGTAGCCCTTCTAAACCAGAGTTAGATAATGGCACGGGTTATTTTCGCAAGAGATGATCGACTTACCAGGTAATGGAAGGTGAGGTTGGTGATCTCAGCTGGCTCGATACCAAGGTCCTTGAAGGTCTTCGCGGTCGGGTCAATATGCTGATCAATGAATTCCCTCTCTACCTGGTCGGCATGCAGGGTCGGCCACCACAGAAGCTTGTTGACATAGTACGCCACAGGCTTCAGCAGAAACTTCGGCACGTTAATGTGGCGGCGATGCTTGACAATTTCACGGTCCACGAGCTCAGCAATCTCGGCAGTCGAGTATTCCTTCGGCCCATACAACTCAAAGGTTTGCGACGCCGTGTTGTCGTCATACAACATACGCTCGAGAGCGGCTCCCACGTCAATCACCTGGGATTGCAAGTCAGCACATGATTCCGCCTCAGCTTCAAGGCTGCACTCACATGCACCGGCCAATATCTCTCTTGCATGTGATTCGAGGTGAAGAGGTTGGTTACACTGGCGAGCTTGTGGAGGAGACGATCCTCAAAGCCGTACATGGGCGCAGGCCGCACAATGGTAGTCTCGGGGAAGATGGAACGCACGACCCGTTCTCCCCAGCCCTTCGTCAATCAGCACCAATGCCCAACAATGCAATGTCCTTGTGACAAACCTTGGTCCGGAAGAAATCAGACGACGAGTTTTCATTCGCATTGTACGAAGACACATGGATGAATCGGTCGACGTCGTACTTCGCGACAGCCTCCGCAATTCGCTCCGCACCGTCGACATGGACATCCTCGTAAGAGAAATTCCTGCAACCGTTCAGACTCTTTTTCACCGTACGTGTAAAATAGGAAACCTACTTGGTAGGATAGTCGCGGCCGACGAGGTTATAGACAACATCGGAGTGACGGACGCTTTCTTCAATCGACTGAGTGTTGCGAAGGTCATATTCCTAACCCCCTCTGTGAGCACAGGATCCTCCTCGCAGGCCGCTTCACATGTTCGTACCATAAAGATCACCCTTCCAAGGTCACCAGTAAGCTTCAGGTGGCGCTTCGTCATCTCCTCCCGGTAGGGAACGATAACTGTACATCCGGAGCGAGCTACACGCTGTCAATCAAAAATCCTAGTCTCGAGCACATGGTGCACCTACCCAGCCGGTTGACAATGTAGCGGCCGAGGAAACCAGTAGCACCGAAGACAGTTGCAGTGTGGCCTAGAAACGCATTGAGTATGAATTTCATTCTCGACGGTCGTAAAGAATTGCGCACCTCCAAGGGACGACCTGGGAGCAGGCGTTAGTGATTCTCCACGACACCATTGAGCAATGACGTTGTCTTACCGTCCACCCTGGACCTTGATGATCGGCTTTCCAGTTCTCGTGATGTGGACATCCTGAATGTTCCTTCGCTGCACTTGGAATTGCACTCGCGCGCTGGCAGGGGCGGGGGCGAATGCCCTCGCTGCCAGCGCGCTGTTAAACGCCCGGCACTTCTGCATCGTCGGTCCGCAGCTCGAGAAGGCCTATCAAGCTATGAGACCGCCCAATTGCTCGAGGCCAGGTTCCGCGGCGGTTCTTGCGGGGAGAAGGAGGAAATCTTGGTGGAATTGAGCGGTTCCAGTGTCGGGACGTTGCTGGCTTGGTCGCTCGCCCGGACGGCAGGACTGGCGCTAGTCCTGATTCGGAGCGCACCCTATCTTACTCTGGGCCAATACAGTCCAGCTGATTGCCAAGTGAGATCAATTGCTTCAATACAGTATTTTCTGAGTTTTGCTAATGGCTTCCCATTTATAAGATCAAAAACGAGATCTATCGATTTTACTAGTTTCTTCCAACTGAAATCCATATACCAATGAGCAATATGGTAAACATCACAGCATACATTGCAATCAGATCCCAAACATTCCTTTTATATGATCATTGCTTCTAGATGCAGCGTGACTACTCACGCTCGCCCCTCGCCATAAAAATGACCTTCTTGAATTCATGGCCATTGACGTTGAACTCCATGGGTTTCTCCACGAGCTGATAGTCAAGCTTTTCGTTTACGCCTGCATGTGCGTACAGTTCTCTCATCTCGTCAGCGTCAAACCCATGCTTATGAATTGTTTTGTGAGCTTCTGGATGGAATTGTCGAGTTTCTTCCACTCCATGATGGTCGGGAACCAAGTCGATGATGAAGAGGACGCCGCCCTTTTTCAGCCTCGAACCAAGGCGCTCCATTGCCAACTTGGGGTCGGCAAAATGGTGAAGGGCCACGCTGACGACGATGATATCGAATTCAAAGAATTCGGGTCCTGAGAGTTCCTGCGGAATGGTTTCTGCGAGCAGATCACCTTGCAGAGCAAACATTTTCTCAGGAGAAATCCCGCATTCGCGCGCGCTCTTGTTGAACTCGGTGACCATATGCTCGGAGACATCAATACCAATGACTTTGGTCACGAACGGTTCAAGAGCCTATACCAATACCAATCAGTGGAGCGGCCATATAGAAACCGGGAGTGCCTACCTTTGAGATAGTTCCTGGACCACAGGCGTATTCAAGGAGCTTGATCTCCTTACCCTCGCCTTCCTGGGTATCTGTCCATTTGGTGCTGATCCATTGCCGACGACTTTTGGTCTCTTCAGCAAGGAGACTGATTGCTTGCGCAAAATCCGTTTTGTAGGACCGGGCCTTCTGGCTGCAGACTGAGTCAGCTACATGACAGCTACAGCTAAACAGCAGATCTATACTGACTCGAAAAATTCGCGATTCACCTCCGTCAGGCTTGCCATTTTCTACCAGTAAGGCAATCGTTTGTGAGTCAACGGCAATCTTCTCAGCTCGTGTGAAGGCTCCGTCTGTAGTAGTTAAGAGCGATGAAAGCAACAAAAACACCGGGAAGAGCAAGCGATATTTATACTACAGGCCAACTTTTCGGAGACTTTAAATACGCTAAAGGAGAGAAATTGATTCGCCGGGATCAAAGGAATACAGCATGATGTTTGGCTTATCTGGTGCAGTCGGAGACATATCGGATACTTTTTAAGGCTGCTGAGTGGGATACCTGACGTGAGAGGTGGATGTCACCAAAGGCGTCAAATAGCCTACATCGGAGATATTATTTGATTTTCAAGTGATTTTGCTTGATTAGCAGGAGTGAGACATTCACCAGCTTTGGAATTTTTTTGTAAATTTACGCAATTTGGAGACTATGCCAAGCTCCAAAACATAACAACAGCGTCCAGACTGAGGGTAACACGGAATCAGTTCAGCGCAGATTGTTCCCATTTAATTCGTGAAGTAAGTAAGTTTTTGACTGGGCTGGTAGGTAGTAGTAGTAGGAGGAGGTACTGTAGAAATCGATGATCCTCCGCACGCAAAGGACCAATTGGCTACGGTGACGCAGAGCCGCTCTTCGAGCTTGGCGGCGGCCTGCTTGCATCCGACATCTGACAGGACACACGTCCCCGCTACTCAACGACCTGCCTCACCACTTTGCTATTCTCTCTATGCAATTTTAGAAAGAGATCTTCTCCGAGTTTTCTTCACACTTGTGTTCCTTTCCTGCAGCTTTTTCAGCTCTCTCCTTGCCTCCTCGTCCACGATGGAGGCCGACAAGATCCCCGACTTCCTCGCGGAACAGCGCGACCAAGCTCCCCCAGAGGCTCAGGGGCTTTTCTTGAACTTTGAAGATTACTGGGAGCGCAAGCTATGGCATCAGCTTACCGACGCGCTGATAGATTTCTTCCGGATGCCGGAAAGCGCGCCGCAACGGTTACCGATCTTCAAGTCCTTCATCCTCAGCTTCGCCGACCGCATTAACCAGCTCAAGTTTGTCTCGCTGGGTTTGATGGCATCGACACAATGTGCGGGTATGTGGACGATTTATCTTCGAGGTGATTCGGTTTGTATAGTTGCTTACAAGCAAGGGCTGTGTTCGCAGATGACCAAGAACGACTTGCGTTTGTCACGTCGCTTGCAGACCGGGTCAACAAGCCCGACACACAGGACGCCTACGTATACGCAACGGCAGACGTCGCCGGAGTGAAGCTGCGGCTACAGGATTTTGAGGGGGCGCGGAAAGATCTCGACAAGAGCCAGGCCATCTTGGACTCGTTCGACTCAGTGGAGACGGTTGTCCATGCTGCTTTTTACAAAGTGAACGCAGACTACTACCAAGTTCGTCTTGTTCTATCCCACATCACTGGTGTCTAATACTGACTCGCTCCTTTCCCACAGGCGAAACAAGAGTTCGCATCCTATTACAGGAACGCCCTGCTCTATCTCGCTTGCGTGAAACTGGAAGAGCTTTCGCAGGAGGAACGCGTATCACGAGCTTACGATCTCAGCGTCGCAGCTCTCGTATCCGACTCCATCTACAACTTTGGTGAGCTGCTCCTGCACCCCGTGCTGGATTCGCTCACGGAGACGCCACACGCCTGGCTGCGCGATCTCCTCTTCGCTTTCAACCGCGGCGACCTGACCGCGTATGACGTCCTGGCCGGGAACATCAGCAAGAACAAGCTGCTTGAATCGCACCGCAACTTCCTCTACCTTAAGATCTCACTGTCCGCGCTCACAGAGATGGTCTTCCGCCGCCCGCCGCACGACCGCAACTTGACCTTCGCGGCCATCGCGGCCGAGACCAAGGTCCGGCCTGACGAGATCGAGCACCTGATCATGAAAGCGCTGTCGCTGGGCCTGCTGAAGGGCTCCATCGACCAGGTCGCGCAGGTCGCGCGCATCAACTGGGTCCAGCCCAAGGTCCTCGACATGAAGCAGATCGAAGGCATGCGGAATCGGTTGAAGGAATGGGATGCGGGCGTCAACCAGCTAGGTCATTGGATTGAAAGTGTGGGCAAGGATGTCTGGGCTGCATGAAAATAAAAAGACATAACAATTACAAACAGATGTTATCTACCTGATAATCGCCGCCAAAATGCGTAATCTTTGACGCCATTTTTTGCGGCTTTTGCCTATCATCCTCTGTAATGCTTACCGCCTTAATGCTAGGCAACAAGATCACCTAGTGACATGATACAAATAGAGATTATTTTTAACCTCCTAGAGCGTGGCCATTTTAAGCTTCGTCACCTCTATTAGTTTATACCTTCCTTCACAATAAAAAGATCAAGAATCCTGAATTCCAAATGGCAAGCCGTACGAGAGAAGCGCGCAAGCCTGCGTCTCCGCTGTCTGTCCATGACATTCATGAACTTCTTACCGCGATAAATAAGATCGAAAAAAGGGACCGCTTACAAGAACATGAACATGGCCAGCCCTTGCATCCTCCTACCTACTACCATCCAAGAAGGATTGCTGAGGTGTTAGACTCTCTGGCAAGCCTTTCCGTGTCGAAGGAAAGGCACGAAGTGATAGCAACTGCCCTCAGAGTCCGTCCATCGCGGCAGTCTGTCGAATTAATCGTTGCAGGAAATGCAGGTATTCCCACAACCACATTGGCCCACATCAAGGAGATGTGGGATCTTCATTGTATACAGAGATGGACCCACGTGATGCCACCCAGCAGCATCTCACGAATCCTCGATACACCAGTCTACGGAACAAGTTCGCCAAAATCTGCATAGACTTTACTTTTGAACGCTTCAGGCATCAGGTGAATTCGAAGTTCCAGCAGTTGATGCCATGAACACAACCGGCCTCGATCATTCTCACCCGTTTAAATACGGTGCGGGAAACTATTACAAGACTCGAGCGGGTCTTTACCAGGAAAGACGGGGCTGCTATTATAGGCAAACCTAGTTGGGATGCCGAGGAAGAGTGGAAGATGTTGTTCGTCGCTGTCCGACAGACCAGACTCGCCATTAATCAATTCCTTGAAACCGGAGGCTTCACTGGTGCGGATCAGACTCGCTTGTTGTCCGACTTCATGAAAATAGAGAGCTATCTCCAGAAAATCAACTCGTTGCCCAATAGCATCAGTCGATATCTCTTCACGTACAATCTTGCCCTGATACCTCTTAATAAGAGCATCACGTCGAAAGCGCCAACTGTCCCCCGCACATCAAAATACTGGGAGAGGGTACTGGAAGCAGCTCTGGGACGAATGGGCCCGACGCAACTCTCTCTCGATCTGGATGTTGTGGAAGCAGATGCAGCGACATGGCAGAAGAAGATCCTATAAAAGAGGAGGAGGAGGAGGAGCTCGTCGTTCATTGCGAAACGAACCTGCTTTTGAACATTTTCAGGACTGAACAGAGCGACCTGCGGATACCCAAGGCATATAGTTATCTTGGTGTCTCTAAATTATCATCACCCTGTCACGGTTGTGACTCGTTTATCAAGGGATTTAATTACGTCCACGGAACACGCTTCATGACCAAAGGCTGCTCCCACGGAAGAAGAAAGTCTTATTATTATTACCTTTGGCAGTTTCCTCCCGAGAATTTTTCGAAAAAACAAGACGTTATTGAGGCCACATACAAGCTTATTGCCGACTCGTGGGTGAAGACTTACAATGGATATCGCCCCGAATTCGTCGCGGACTCAACCGCGCAATCATCTGGCCGAGCAACGGTGCAATGCGATTTCTTCGGAGACCCTGACCAGGAGAAAGATTTAGCAGAAGCTGCTGCTAGGTATAAAAAGATGTAGTTATTAGCATGGATGCTTCACCAAACCTAGTTCGACTTCTACATCATGTGCTCTTTACAACAGTCATGGGGATGAGCCATCTATTTCGTGTCGTTGGCCTTGAAGGGGGTTGCTGGATCTCTCTCTCTCTCTCTTCTTTTTTTTTAAATTTTATCTTTTTGTCCCTGCTAATCAGGTGCATTGGTGCATTGGTGTTATGGTGACTGGGTGGCCGCTCTAATAATAAGAGACGAAACGAAAATTGAATGAATGAATGCATTGCGCATGTATCTATCTATCTTGCTTACAAGCATAGCATTTCATATACACACAATGTACCGTCTTTCCCTCTTTTCTCTAGGGATGAAAGTAACAAGAATGACTAATTGGAAGAACGCTACACTACAGATTATAATTATATGCCCTTTTACTTTTATTTAGAAGATCGACGACGCCAGCAGTAGACACCCATTCAGCCACGCCGGCCACCAGACGCACCACACCACCACAGGCGTCCACATGCCCCATACGTCCCATCCGAAAGCCGCCTCTGTCAGGACGGTCGAGACGGGGATGCCCGTGTACCAGCATGCCGCCAGCAGTACGGCAGGCGGGGAGAGCAGGTTCATGAGCAGCAGGCCAAGACCGGTGGTCAGATTCACCATGACCCTGGGCTTGTTGGATTCGGGATGTTTGGGGATGCGGCCGATGAAGCTCAGCGGCGCGCAGACGAGGCCGATCATGAACGAGAGCGAGAAGTTCAAGGTCGCCAGGGCCGACAGGAAGAGGCCCAGAAGGAGCAGCGAGAAGGACTTGATGAGCAAATACTGCTGCGGAGTCGGCGCGGATCCGTTGGGGCCATGGGTCAGCAGGACGGCGAAGATCAGAGGCAGAACGGCGCTGATAACGACGAATGCGTAAGTCGCGGTGGTGAAGTACTGTAAGTAGTTACCGTTAGCAAGATAGCGTTAATTGGATATGTGTCAGAAAGGAAAAAGCAACGAACCTGGGACGAGATCGTGTTAAAAATGTACAAGGGAACAACACCCAGGAAGTGCAGTCCCGTGACCAAGGTCAGAGGCAGAGCGAGCTGTCGCTCCAGGACGCCATTCAGCCCGTTGTCTTCTGCATCCGTCGACGGTTTTGACTTTTGGGCATCATGTCCTTGACCCGATTTCTTCTCATCGGCACAACCTTGAGTGCTCGGGGAAGAGGGAGATATCGCGGCCTTGTATCCACTCCTCAGCCACAATGCGACGGCCATGATGGTGAAATTGGCAGCGATCAGCATTGCGCTAGGCATGTAGGTCCCGATACTGACAAAGCGGTTAGTCTGCATGAGGAGATAGAAGAAGAAACTCTGGTGTAGATGCTCCAGGAGGTTGTTCAAGCTGCGGCAGAGACTCTCGACGGTTCGGCCCAACGCCATCTCATCTTGCCAGCCATTGCCTTTCGTCTGCAGTGTGATAGCATCGATGTGGTATGGGATGAAGCTGCTGTGAGCTCCGGTCGCCAGGCCCAGGCCTTGCTTCACCATGCCCCGGAGCATCGTCTGCAGTCGCTTCTCGTAGCTGTCGTCGTGCTCCCACATCTCCTGGAGGTTGGCGCTGATGCCCATCTGGCCACTGGCGATGGAAACAGCCGTGTTGAAGAGATCCAGGTTGGGCAATTGGCCATTGACGCCATCGTAAACAATGTGCAGAGACTCAAAGCGATGGTCAAACGGATATTCTATGACCAAGGCTCCTTGCAACGCGCCGCTCTTCAAGGGCAGGGCCTGAACGGACGGTGGGTGCATATCATGATAGGCGTCGATCCACGCCTGCGTCCCAGATTTGCTATCCGGGGTAATTAAGAATATGATGTCCTTTGACCACAGAGACCATCCTGCCACAAATCTCATTAGAATTACTCTGTCACACACACACATGTGTAAACGGTAGACTTACTCTTGAAATATCTGGCCAACGTCAGGGCCAAGGCCACGCCATTTAGATTCAACTCGCCATCGACAGTCCTCCAAGACGCCACCAGAGCAATCGCTTCAGTGGCATCCCCCCGCGGTGCTTGAATGATGGCATAGACATTCTGCCCCTGGTGTACCGCACCCGCCGAGTGATATTCGTAGTTCTGCGTGGCGACCTTCAGGCCGGATGCCCGAAATATGGACTGCAACTTCTCCGACACCCTATTATTATCAGCAAATCGCCATTCGTAACCAAACCAATCAATCAGCCCCCTTTTTCGTCCGTCTTGGAAAAAACCTACACCGGCGCAGTCTCTCCATGTCTCCCCTTCTCTTCGTCGGCGATCAGCAACCCCTCCAACTCCTTCTTATAGCCCCGAAAGATGTTCTGTTCACTGCCCCCGAAGTACGTATGGACCTGTCCCGGCAGTAGCGCATTCTCCGAGATGTACGTCTGCCGCGAGTACTCGTTGAGTGGAAGCAGCAGCAGCCAGACGACGCCGACAATGATGCAGATAAACGAGACGAAGGGGGGTAACCGCGCAAACAGTAAATACGGGTCGTTGCGCAATTTGCGGACCAGTGACGGCGCTATTCTCGAAACGAATAAAAAAAAAGAGTCAGCCATCGGTTAACTTAATAAACACTTCTTGTATAAGCAAGCAAGCAGCATGGTGTACACATATGTGGTGGTGGTGTACGTCCCCTGCTCCTGCACTTATGGCCATGACGGATTGCAGGCTTGACAGATTTCTGGAATGATAGAAACTCACATATTAACGCCATAGAGAGAGCGACCTGTGGGAACTCCGTCCCACTATGGCCATGAAGTGATTGTTTGACTATTATTGCAGGTGTAATTGACCAGAGCCAGCAACACAGACCATGTTACAATACAGATTACACCTAGACCAGTTGTATGTAAATTTACGACACGCGGCACGGACCACTTGCGCACCTGACAGGCCCGCATTAAATATACGCAAATACTCCGTATATACCCTTTCAAAGCAAGACTGTTCCCTCAGATTATATCAAATACAAAATATATACAGGAGAATATTCGTAATTACAAAATGCTACACGTACAGTACATTGCACCGAGGGCTTTCATGGTCCTAACCGTTGCGAGGACCCAATATAGCTCATGGCTACAGTCGGCTCTACCGTCGAGGTCGTTGGAAGAATGCCGTACCGGCCGTGTGTCTTCTGGTCTACTGACACGTAATGCGGAAGTCGACCAAGAAGATTTAATTTTACTTCGATCCAGCGGATGACCACCTCTGATGGAAAGAAGATTCGAAGGTATCCAAGTCCGACTAGGTAGCACGCTCGTCAGCAGCAGAATGAATAGAATGGTAAAAACTGGGCCACTTACGCAGGTATCCCACCACTATCGCACATACATGCCCGACAAAGCTCGTATTCGAGAGGAGCACGGAGACGACGAAAGAGAGAAACAAAGGCGTCGTCCAGGTGGGTATTTTATAGGTCCCGACACTGCAAAGTATTGGGTCAGCGCAAGGGCAAATCAGAAAAAAAAAAATAAAACGTGAAGACTCACAGGAAATATGGATTGGCCCGGAACGTCTTGATGGCTTCAGATCCTAGGAGCAAAAAGACCCAAACGCTGTCGTGGAGGTCAGCAATGATACTTCCGTCTGTCATGGGTGGTTAATCCGACCTTGCACCCACCACAGCAGTGTTGCTCCGCAAGATAAATTTCTCAATAAAAACGTACAATCCACCTGGAAAGGTCGAGAGCGCTGAGACGTACAAGACGTTAATACCAGACATGTAAACCTCCAGTGGAATAATCATAGCCCGTATATTACGTACGTCCAACAAACAAGAGCAGCGCCGTCAAAGTCCCATGTTCCGCCTCGAATCGCTCAAGCAGGGGCGTCAGAGCCAAGACGTTTAGGAAGGCGTGGAAAAACCCTAGATGGATGACGGGGTAGGTATTGAGTCGATACACTAAACAAACGCGTTATTCGTTCAGCAATGGTATCCAAATTGCGTCTCCAGCCAGAACCTTTTATTCCTAAGGGAGGAACATATGAGGGGAAACCTTACTTCCTCGAATCCCCATCTCATCTGGGACCAAGGCACCCCATCTCACCACACTCCATACCGACTGTATCTCGAGCAACAAGAACGCAACAATGACCAGGAGAACGAGTCGCGTAAACAGCGGTAATCGAACGACGTAGGATCGTACGCGGGTCGGATCGAAGGGGAAAGGAGGAAGGGCGCTCGGAGTAGCCATGATAAATCGGAAAAAACGATTGCGAAGAGGCGTGACACCTCGTCTCTTTATTGTCGTCGAAGATTTCGAGCGTTTCGATTTGCGAACAGGGCTGTATCGTACACAAGCCTTTCTGTCAACTGACTCACAACAAGGATAATCGCCGAAGATGGAAGAGATGGGAGTGTCTCGTGACAGCACAGCAAGGCGCAGGAAACAAAGCGCAGGAGACTTCCACTCGGCAGATAAAGAGGACAAGCAGAGACGGTTACTCCCCGACTCCTGCCGGAAGGGTTGAGACCAGATAATTATGGACGGGAAAGGGAGTTTGACGAGTCGAAAGACCAGATGGTGGCTTGCATTGTTTTTTTTTTCCAGGCCATGCAGTGTCACTCCACGACTCGAGCCACGCCAGGCCAGCGTTACGCCAGTCAGAATTAGGTACGGCGTACAATGTCAGCCGGGTGGGCCGCTCCCTTTCCCGCAGAAATGCGGAGCTTGGCGCGTCCCCCGTCGGTCGATCGTGGCGCTGCCAATCGGGTCGATGAGATCGCAGGGAACTACAGATTTGACTACGATGGACAGGCTGTATAGATCTCGTCTCTTGGGACGTAGATGGGGGCATTGACCCTATCGCGTTCTGCGACCGATACTTATCTGGCTACTTTCCTCAAATCCAGTGTTTTGAAAATGCCTTTTAGGGAATAAGGCTTGACTGCGACAGAACACGTTCTTACTTCGTTTGGCCTCTACTGGCGTCTGCGGAGTAGCAGCATAACCATTCGTCTCTATTGGACTATGATGCAGTGTTGGATATCACATTAAGAACATTGAGAAGACTGAGGTCCGTTATCCCACGGTCCATTGACTTCATCACACCAGGATAGCTTCTCCAATTCACAGGTGGAAGTTGAACCAGGCCACAGCCTGCAGGAAGGCCTGCTCCTTGGCGAACTTGTTCTCCGGCTTGCTCAGGTCCGCGCGGACGGCGAATCCGTGCACAACGCCACTGAAGAGGTTGATCTGATACGGCTGACGGGCCTTGATCAGGATGTCCTCAGACTCGTGACGGAGCTCACGGGTGAAAATGCTGTCGGTCTCTGCAAGGCAACATCAGCATCCGATCTGTGCGAGACAGCGGGGAAGACAGCAGGAAGAGTAACTCACCTGCGGCAGCGATGGAGAAAGGCTTCTCAATGGCGGTAAGCTCCTCTTTCGTAATGAAAGAGGGGTGAGCGGAGTAACCAGCGTCGAGTTTCCCGTCCTTCAGGAAACGGACAACATACTAAAAAACAAACCGTCAGCAAAGTCCGTTCGAAGCGATATCGATTCCAAGCAGAGGCATGAAAAAATAGGTACCTTGCCACCGAAGCAGTATCCAGCCGCGCCAATCTTCTTAATACCCAAGTCCTCCCTCAGGTGTTTGATCGTAGCCTCGATGATAGGGTCAACCTTGTCAGTGCCATGCTTGCCAAGCCACTCCTGAATGTTGACCTTTCCGGTCTCGAGAGCGTCGAGGGGCAGCTGATCGCCGTCAAAGAGGTCAGGAACGACGGTCAGGTACCCGTTGGAGGCGAAGTCATCGGCGAGCAGCTTGCTGTTGTTGTAGAGACCAAAGACGTCGGTGATGATGAAGACCGCCTTGTCAGGCGTCTTGTTGTCCTTCGGGTATGAGAAATAGGCGCGGACTACACAATGGAAGCCAGAATCAGCGAGAGGCCTGGATTGTCTGTTTAATTGAGGGGGGGCGTTCTATTATTACCATTGCCGATAGACTTGATCTCTCCTTCAGGGGTACCTTCGTGCCTGAAGCCAGTGAAGCAGCAAGCACCAGGGGGGTTGGACGCCATCTTGGAGACGATTTATACGCGTTTATCGATTGCAGGCAGGAGACAGCAGTTAGATAGAAGAGAAAGGCGATAGAGTCTAGGTCTACAACAGAGCGAGCGGTCCTTCTCAGGTGGGAAGAAAGCGAGGGGAAAAAAGGACAGTGAAACGCTTAAGTACATCGTAGGCGAGCGTGCAGTCGACCCTGTGAGCCCCTCATCGACGGTGCAGGTGGATCGCGGTGGCACAGTTCTGTCCTGCGCGACAGGAGAATACCCCGCTCTGCCCCCCGTCTGGGAAAAACTGGATCGGAGAGAAACACAATTGGTTAGGTACGACCATCTCTGCTGTCGCCGTCATCAGTTCGGCTCTTACTGGGCCAGCAAGAGCCGTTCTGGCTCCATGGCGGGCGCACAACATTTTGCACGTCGCCTGCTAAAGTCCGAAAAGTCCGATCAGATTGTCGCAAGCGCTGGAGAGGATGGAAGCATGGATTCCCACCGTCGATGGGCATGCTCCCGATTTCCGGAGGCCGGACAGCCAATCTGAATTCCTGTGGCAGTAAGACGTGATGGATCTTTATACCAGGATAGAGTCCAGATACAGATACAGCATGATTTATTTAAACTGTTTGGTCGAGTTGTGATTCCTACGGCTAGACTATGCCATGTGCTGTGCTCGTTTGCGGATCTTACTAATGCGTATGTAATCAACTTCAAAAGAAAAAAAAGGACTAAAAACAGTCTTGAACGGCTCCCGAAAGTAAAGCATGTCCCTCAACTCCATGTGCGTAAGTAAGGCTCATTGACCACTCGTTCGCTCGCTGTCCCCTCGTCTTCAGAAGTCATCTTCACTGGAGTCCTCGTAGGTTGTTAAGCGACGAAACTCCTCCGTGGGTATGCGACTCAGCCACCGATCCTTTCCCCTAGCCCTACTGTCATATGATCCTCCCATGACCATCTGCTCGAGATATTTTTCAATGGTCGTGATATAATTCAACCTACGTTGACGCTCGGGTTCGCCCACGTTCTCTCCGCATATCATAGGGTACCCTAAGGCAATGTAAAGGTCCTCCAACCCCGTCAGCCCTTCCAATGGTCTCAGAACCCGAATATACATCCTCAAAACCATATTTATCTGAATTCGAAGCAACGGGGGAAAGCCGTAGAGGATGATCTCCGGCATGCGGATCATAAGCGTCAGTCTAGCGAGATTCCCATGTCGAGCAAGGTGTGACAGAGTGGACAGCCAGTCCTGGTAGCCCCATGAGTCCGAATGAAGATAACCATCCTCAGAGGGCGGAAAGACGATTTCAAGAGATCGAAGATGGAATATTGCTGACGTCGGCATAAAATTCTTCAAAAACAGCGATGCCTCCACCTGCGGCGGGGTTGAGTGGACTGGCTGTAATCCATGGCGCGGCATGACAATGAATCTGTTCCGTGAATAGAAGACCTCCAGTGCAACATTCCGTACAGCATGGTTCACGAGGAACAGCGCAGAGGGTGGTTCCCAGCACTTGCATGTCGGGGAGAAGGCGGCGTGATAGCGGCGGCAGTAGCATCCTAAGAAGCGACCACACGCGCGTTGAGGCCACAGGAGCTCGAAGCCACGGCCGGGACTCCACACTATCTCACAAGGCGCAATGAGATCTGAAAAACTCAGAACTTTGATCTGTAGTTCTGCTGGAAGGGAGCGGAAGGGGAAAGGAGAAGAAAAGCGGTTAGTTGTGACGCCAGTGGTAGAGTACATGGCCGTTTCTTCTGCAAGTCGACGCAATACAGCATCAGGGCGAGGACCGAGTCTGATATGGCAAGATTTGAGCCGAGGAAATTGTCTAAAAGGCGCAACAATTTGTTCGGCAGTATTGTAGTCTTGTGTATCACATGTAGCCCTGAGACGCAGACGGTGCGGCTGGACATATGAGGCCAATCGAGTAGCTGCTTGTTGCCATATTTCGATGGTGGCGGTATCTGCGCTGGACATGCTCCCAAATGGTTCCCTGACAGAAGTACGAGAATTGCAGCATCCATGCCCATTATCATCGAAGGATGGCTTCAGATAGAGAACAAGATGAGTCAGAGATGCTATGCTATTTGGACTGAGATTTTGGAGTGGACCGAGGCCTCCAAGAGCACAGCGTCGAATGACAAAGGTGTTCGAGGAGTAAATAATGGGGATGATATCATTGTAAATAGCGCGGCACGTTTGCAGGAGGTTGTAAGTAAGGCCACAACACACTGAGGAGGAAACTCCATTGTCACTGTCTCCCCAATCGTATGACACCGAGTCCATCGACTCATCGTCGTCAGATGCGTCTGAAGACTCTGGAAGTCTGTGCCGTCCCGGGAACGACAAATCGACGGTGTAGCCTGTCAGAAGGCCTGCTGCATCGTAAACATGACGACGAACGCTAGAAGGGAGATCGAGAAATGATAGTCCAGAATGAGGCCTCTTCGGGACATCAAACCCGTCTAGTGGCAGTTGCCACATGTTGACGAGGCAGGCGCGACAGATAGACTGAGGGAACCTAAAGAAAGACGTGTGAGCTTGAAGTTGACCTGATCGAGATAAACTCACCTCCTGGAAACGTTGTTGTCACTGTGTATGTTTAATATCCTCACCACTCGAGTTTTGATAATTGTCGAGGGAAGCTTAGATGATAGTGGAGGTAGTGACGAGATGTACGTTGTCAGAGCTGAAAGAGGGGAAAAAAAAACAAACAAGATGGAGAAAACCACTTCCAGGAGTTCAAAGCAGCACACGAGAGACAGTGCCGAGACAGGAGTAACTGAGTTGGTGAAGGAATCGCAGAAGCGTCTCACGCTGGGTGACTGAAGTGACCAAAATTGGAAAGAACTGGACCTTTGCGTAGATATCTCATCGAACTGTCAGTGAGTTATCCATGAACTTCTTTGTTGAAGACAATCACATCCACTTCCAACTGGATATTATAGAGGTATTATTCCATTGTGACATAACAACCTAGTGAACAGGGTATTTGTCTCAGTATTGTCACGCAATGAACAAGATAGTTTATTTATTTCCATAGATGGTTGCCCAGCGATTCGGGTTCAAACGGCGCATAATATCTCCTCCTCATTAAGTCATTATCCCATTGCCAATTACAAGCAACCCGCCGTAATCATTAGAGTAGAGACTCGTTTCATCAACAAGGAAAACCTTGCCGGGAGACTTGTTGCTGAAATATCGTCAAATCACGATCCGCCCACGCAGTTCCCGTCATAACAAGAAGTTTATAGGGGTATAATGCAGTATACAAAAAAAATAATTGGAAGATTGGTATAGAAAATGGTTTTGATCCGTCTGACATAAGTGCCAGATGCCATGGGATGCCCGCCTGGCTCAGGACCGGCTCCTATTAATGGCAAGGTCCGGATGAAATGATGGCGCCTATGCTGCCGGGAGCCAAGATGGAGGATGGGATTGAGAGGGTGATTCCTTCTTAACTGCCCAGGCCTTGATGGCAATGACGATAATTTCGTATGCCATGATGAAGCAGGTGAGACCGACGACAACATTGAAGGTGAACATGGCATCCAACTCATAGTAATCCATGACATCCATGATATCCGAAGCCTAATTAAACGACTCAGCACTAGTCTTTTTTTTTAGACAAGAGGTCAACTTACACTCAGCATGAAGATGAGACCACCAGAGATGAGGCAGAAAGCACCGACAACTTCCGATGGAGGCCGAGAGGGTAAATAGGAAGTCGGGGGCTTGATGTAGAAGAGAACGTAGGTACAAGCCCGGGCGAGCGCACCTGCAGCGAGCAGCGAGCCCCATTGCTTGTGAACCATGGTCGAGACCATTGACTCCTGGTGATGAGATCCCATCATGATACCAAGAAGGAAGATGATGAGAGCCGGCATCGGATTGATAGACACACCGCTTTGGGCTTCCCAATTGGGGTCTGGCTGGTCATAATTGTCCACATGGCTGGACGGGCGCAGGAGGGTCTTGTTCAGCCACTCCCGGACCTTTTTGGATTCCAGAAGCATGCCACACTAAATAGGTGTTTTGTCAGTACAAGGGATATCCCAGGGAAGACAAAAAAAAAGGCTCCTGCAGTCCACTTACCAATCCCGCACCGAAAAACATTATAGCGATTGAAAGATGCTCCAGATCGGTTGGTGTCCACGCTCCTCCCCAACCACCTAGATGCTCGAGGAAGACATTGGTCGACCCATAGGTGAAAATGGCTGCAGACTCGATGAACTCTCCCGTTGGAACCCGAGACTTGGACTTCCCAACAACCTGTTGCGGAGGCTTGACATTCCAGGCCCATCCAAAGTCCGCCCAGCAGCCCATGAAACGGCCCAGGACGACGAGACCGTACCAGAAGAAGATGCCACCTTTAATGAAATGCGCCAGTCCACTGAAGATCCCATGGGCTTTCTGTTCAGATGATGGTCAGTGACTTGGTTCCAAAAGAAAAGAAAACCAATGACATACAAAGACGCCGCCGTATGTTACACCACCAGTGGAGAGAGCGATGAAGCCAAAGGGGAGAATGATCCGGTCAAGAATGATGTAGATGACGCGCAGAATCCGGAGGACACGATCCGAGACCAAGCCCGGGATCCGAGACGCGAAAAACCGATCCAGGACGGAGTTGCGCAACCAGCCCTGAGCAAGAGGAGTCGATTCCTCGACATCCTCTTCCGGCTTCGCAAGGTGCCCATTCTCGCCGTCCGGGGTGGATGGACGACTTTGGAGGGAGGACGAGTTCCTCTCGGTGCCTTGGCCGCTGTCTCGGGACCAGCGGTACTCGTGGTATGACTGCTGGTGGTCCATCGTGTTCTCGGCCGACACAGGCAGGAAGGCTGCGCGTTCGTATGCAGCACCGTTTTTAACACGACCGTGACCCGAATAAGCGTAAATCAGTCCGATGACGACCTGTGCAACCACCACCCACGTCACAATCCAGCCGATCTTGTGATGGGCATTGTTCTCGTAGAGATCCGGAGTCGAAGCATTGTAGACAATCCCGAAAAAGAGACCAAGGGCATTGATGATCAAGAACACGAACTGCGTCGGGATTGTGTACCGCGAGCGGGCCACACTGAGCATTACCGCTGCACCGGTTACTGTTAGCCATCGTCCTCAGCCAGCAGGATCTGTCGTCTGTTTTATCGACGTTGTGTGTACGGATGTATTTACCTATGGGAAGGATAAAACACCAGCCAAGCACCATCAGGATGATGTGAGCAAAGATTGTGCCAACATGCTCCTTGTACGCAAAATAGCTCGTCGGACCCTCGTCCGATGCAGGTTTCGACGCGGTTTCGTTGTGGCTTGAACCCATGTCCATGTCCATATTCATATCCATGCCCTCATGGGGAAAGGCATTGGCAAGCGACGCGAGCAGCAGAGCTGCCGCGAGCACTTGCAGAGAACTGATCCGTCGCATGGAGGCACTCCTTCAGGCCACACCTTCTTTCAGGTGTCACCAACTCTGCAGCTCCCCGAAGTAAATAGCCCAAGTAAGAATATAAAAAGCGTTCGTAAATATAGCCTGACAGCGCTAGCAGGCCGGATAATGATCGATATGGCGCGAAGAGTAGCTAAGTTTTCAGCGCAGATGACGCTAAATGCGGGCTGTGGCGCCCGAGGATTATTGCCGGTGATGTCAGGACAGGACGAAGGGCGAAGAGAGGGATGGGTCAGCTTGCGCAAACCCTGGATCGCAAACCCAGACGAAGAGAGGGAAGCAGGAAGGGAAATAATAAAGGGCTTTGTTGAAGACGCGGGAGAAGCTTCTTCTTCAAGAAGCAGAACACCCGGACGGAACTAGGGCCGTGGCATCGCGGGACAAAGTTTTTGGAGCCTGACATGTCCCATCCCATCGCATGCATCATCGCATCGGGTGCGTGTGGTTCGGCGCGGGCGGGGATAAGGTGATGCTTGCGCCGAAGGGCGTGGAAACAAAGACGGAAAAGTGCCCAAGCTCCAAGACCCGGCTCCGTGGGCCGAGAGCGCGGCAGGGATTAGGATAGGGCCAGACGGCAGGCGCCAAGCGGGTGATGGATTCGCTGGAGACTCGGCATCCCATGGTCGCCATCATTTTCTTCATTTATTTGCGGCGGACTATTCGCGAGCGGTGTTGTGAGCGCATGCTCCTGCTGGTGCGAGCAAGGAGCTGCCGCCTGCAGGACCTGGTGATTCATCGACCACTCTGGCAGGCATCTACCCTTCCTTACTTGGGTATCGGTACTACCAACAGTATTATTTCGAGGGTGTTGGGACTGGAGCCTGATGGAAGGTGCCTAGATAGGTATACAACGGATTTTTCAGACGGATAAAAAGTCCTAAAGCAATTCACTCACTCACCAGGGCGGTGTCGCACTCTGTACGAGTATGTCGACATAAGGTAGCTCTCGTACAGCGATCGGCGGCCGAGGTGTTGAGCTGCTGACGATGCCTAGCGTGCAGCCCAAACAAGGTTCTTGAGCTGGCTGGAGTCTGCACGCCACTGCCGTTTTTGTCGGAACGTCGGGCTGCCTAGTCCCAGCCAGGCAGGGAAGCTGCGGCCCTCGCTTGGCGCCTGGTGGGACGAGCTGCCCGGCGTCCCGAGCCGGCTAGCCCGGATGCCTTTCTTACTAATCAGCAGTCGCACCTTCCTCAGCCCTGCTCGCCGCCCTGCCATGCCGTGCGCCCATGACCTCATCGCCCGCCCACTACAACTCTGGCTGAGTCAGCGCAATGCCACCGGCCCCCATGCGAGGACTGGAAATTCGATTCTCTGGATGGCACGAGGCACGCGTGCCTGTGTGCATCGCGACTCAGCACTCTTCGGAGTGGAGACTGGCAGGGCTTTTCGGTCCCTAACCTGCCTTCGGTCCATCCATGACTCCATTAGTTTCATTAAGGCGGCACGAGAATCCCGTGATCCCTGTCCTCCCGGTGCACGGGGGCGTCTGATTGGTCTTTCATCTGCACAAAATTCAACGACCATCCTGCCTGTTGATAACTCGATGTGCATCTCCATCCACTGCTCGGATATCACGGACTTCCGATCGATACGCCAACTCTGCCACGTCCAGCCACCAGCTTGGTGAGCAAACCGACTCATGACGGTCTACTCCGTACTCCGTACTCCATACAGTTTACTTCGGCGATTTTTCAATAAGAATCCCCGAATCAGTTCATATGGCGCTCTGTACCCCGCAGATTCTTGATTATGCAACCCCAGATCCAGCACGCCCCTCGATTAGGTACTACCTGCACGGATGCACACTACTCCGTAATCACATCATTTCCGGTCTTCATAAAGTGCTCTTATGCCTACCCGCCCTGAGCTCGCATGCCTCATCCGTCCATGTCGACGCTCTACGCTTCTCCAGGTGATTTGACTCGGGAAAGCCTATAACAACAATGGCGAGTGCATCGCAAAGTCCAAATAGAAAGACAGGCATTGGCGACAAGGATGTTGATGACCCTGACGTGGTGCAATTATCCACTAGGGCGGTGTGGGTTTCTTGGTGGTCCCCTCCCGGAAGATCGCCCGGGCTACTGGTTGATAGCTGCATCCAGCACGGATACCCGGATCATGCACAACCGATCCGCCGTCGCGAGGCTCTCTGGACCTGCCGTCTACAAAATGCAAGCTCTGTCCGGAGCATGGAGTGCTGATTAAGAAGATTGATTATCTCTCTCAGCTGTAACAGGCTCGAAGCAAGCAGCTTCTTCAGGGGCGTGGAGAGCTCTCATGGTCTGCTGGGGTGCTCCGTATGCTGTACCGAGTATAAGCATAATTATGCTTATTCTAATGCTGACCTAACACGACCCCGGCGGTCTCCTACCCGAGATGCCGATCATGAATCCAGAGCGCACCCATCGTAACGCCGACGTGATTCTCGTATCCCAGTTACAATCAACTTAAATCATGGCAGTACTACGAAGTCAGCAGTTGAGTGAAAGCTCTGGTCTGGACGGTGTACGGATACTGCGTCCAGGATTAGGTGTGGGAAGACGTTTTTGTGGTCCACTGATCATCTGATAGCGCCGTTATCAGGCGGTCACTGCAATCCTGCAACTAACCTCTGCCAACTCGTCGCTGACTTTCGGTGGACTTCTACGAATGACAGTGTATTTCCAATCATCAGTTGTGGGGGCGATGTTATCGGATTTTTAGGTCAGCAGTCAGCAAACGGCAGCTGACTGGATTGGTGATTTCAAGCATTCTCGGAGTTATCTGCGATAATCCGCACGCACTTGCAGACTTATAGCCACGAAGACTACTTTCTGAGTTCTGCCAACGCTTTGCTCCCACGTGCTGCCAGTGATATCTCGAATGGGTTAACAGTGCCATGCAGTGCAACATCGCTGTCAGTTGAAACATCTCCAACTCTCCAAACTTGCAATCGTCTTGACCATTGTTTTGGCTTTTCTGTGAAATAATAGAGCACCCTTTTTACTCCGTACTGACCGACAGAGCAGCGATATATCCCGATATATCCACCTTGGTCCGCAGGAATCCGAAAAGGCGTTGCCAAGGCTGTGGAATGTTTTCTCCCTTTGGAATGTCCTCCACAGTCCAGCTGACTAATTACTCCATATACGAAGTTACGGAGTACGAACCGTCAGCAGGGCGCCTTGGGCTTCGGGCTGCCCAGCTCCACTTAGTGCACATACCAGTGAAAAAAAAATCCACATACCGATCTTGCGTCATAGACGCTGGGAATTTTGCAGTGGAATTTCTTTTCTTCACAGAAGGAAAAAAGCTCAAAGAGAGAACAATGGCATTCTCAGGAGAACAATAAAGACGAGAAAGAACGTGATCAAACTACCTTACTAGACGGGAGACTTTTGTCAGGCCCTTGCACCTTGGAGCCAATCAGGCATAGCACAACACAGGGATAGGCTATAGCTGCTGGACCAACCAAGGGAGCCACAACCTAGTTGCGACCTCGCCTGATCAAAAAACAATTTCATCGCCCGGAACCTCGCGGATGTGCCTGGCGCGGCGCACAAATCCCGACATGCCGTTGCTGACCGAAGTCACCAAACTATGGAAATTGGAATAACTCACTGTTCTCGTAGTCTTTTTTTTTCCAAGAGAAGTGGAGTCATCAAATCAAGCTGACTTCCTTTCCTTGCGCGTTCAAGGCTGCCTATTTCCGATCCCGACACAGACGCGAGACGACATTCCCCTTTGGGGCATTATTCGATCGTACGTACTCCGTACAGCCAGCCGTACAGCAAGTTAGCAACTGGGGTCCAGACTCCAGAGTAAGTACAGGTCCAGACCGAAAAGCAAGCCATACAGCAAATATTACTCTATCGGGTAGTATGGAATATATGCCTGGGTTAGGTAGGTAGGCACAGGTCTGTAGATAGATCGGGTTAGATACATTACCTGCTACCTAGAGGCTAGCAACTTGGCACACGTCTTTGACATGTCGGGTCATGATTATCATCATCATTCACTACCTGATCTTTATTATTGATTACTTATTGATCGATTGTCATTGGTTGCAGTTGGTCAGCACAGAAGATATCTTTAGAAACAGCAGATTTAACCCGTCTATCTCTCTTTGAACCGAACGAACCATTGAAGTGGGTGTATATATCATATGATATGTTTCTCTACTACTGTAGACCAGACCAGAATCATTAACTGGAATAAACAATAGTGCTGTACTGTACATGATATCAGTGATTAAAAAAAATCACAACATCCGGTCCTGCCATTTTTCTATCTAATCTAATCTATACTGAGTACGGGTAGGTCAAGAACTAGGAAAGTCAATATCCCACTCAATTATATCCCTCCAGACGATGAGATTTGTTACTTTAAGGAAAAAAAGGATTAATTGAAGACACGATCAACAATGACCATCTAGACAGACTAATAATAAATAGACTAAACTACATATTAACGTACAGTACGTAGACTTACTTACCTAATACCCCTTCAAGTTGAGTCTGACAACAACAGAACAGAGCAGAACAAAACAAAACAAAAAAATTCAACCGATCGATAGGGAGATAGGTAGGTAGAGAGAGAATCAAATCAAATCAAATTAAATCAAATTAAAGATCATCATATGATAGAGGAAAGATATGATGGAAATGAAGGAAATCAAGGAAATCAAGGAAGAGGAATAGGAATAAGAATTTTTTTAATTTTTTTTTAAAAAAAGAAACCGTTCGTTTCCTTCAGTCCTTTCATCTGTGAGTATTGTTCACTTCCATCTACTACTAGGTAGATGGAACTGCTTCCTGGTTTGGTCAATGAATTGACAAAAGAAAAGAAGAAGAGAAAAAGGGGGACTTGATTGATTATCCCGTCTGGACGTGTGTCCTGTCTGCGGCGTGTACTGTACAAATGTACATAGAATGGACGTCTCTCTCTCGGAAGGAAGGAAGGAAGTCAGGACGTCTAGAAATTCTAAATACAGCATGGGCAAGGAATCAAATGACGAGCAGGTTCTGGTAGTAATACGCGCTGTACGTATCCCAAAACGCCTTCTCAGATAGTGTACAAACAAGAGTGATGCAACAGTCGTCTTTGTTGTTGTTGTTGTTGTTGTTGTTGTTGTTGTTGTTGTTGTTGTTGTTGTTGTTGTTGTTGTTGTTGTTGTTGTTGTTGTTGTTGTTGTTGTTGTTGTCTTTCTATCATTTCTGCATGCAATGCTATGCAAGGCAATGCAATGCAGTGATCATGAAATGTGAAGAAAAACAACAACAGAGGGGTGATGAGAGGGGATGCAAACAACTGGAACGGTCTATCCAGGCTCTAGAATCCAATTCTCAAGCTCTAATGCTCCAACGCGACGTCCGATCTATGTATCTTTTTTGTATCTCGTAGACAAGGACCGCAGCGTGTAGAACAACAGATAAGCGTCTGCATTGAGAACCTCGGCCTCGGTCGCCGCTGTCACCTGGTCGTCGTTGAATAGCAGCCACTGATAACAAAGACCAGTTAGCAGTAAGTTAAAAGAAGAAGAAGAATCGGCAAAAACTGGCTTCTTACCTGATCACCTTGCCGGCAATACACATAGTAGTGACCAGCTTCCAGCTTCCCCTTATGGACCACAGCGGAGGCCAAGTCATACAAGTATCTCGACTTGTCGACCTTGCGAGAGTTCGGCTTGGTCGTGTAGGGGAGCATGTTGATGGACAACGGAAAGTCCACCCTCCCTTCCACTTTCTCGGAAACGGAAAACGTGTGCTCGAAGCGCTAGTCACAGATTTAGCGACGCTGGACGAAAGCGAGCCAACAAGAGTCACTAACCTTCAACTGCATGCACAAGATCGCCGGCAATTTCTTGATCTTCAGCTGTTTGGTCGCCTTCTGTGGCGTCCCACCACAACCGCTGCAGTTGTACACGTCGGCCATGAGCTTTTCTGGGGACGTGAAGCTCTCCAAGCAACCATTAAGAGTGGGAGTCGAGGATCCCCGTCCGCCCAGTTGCCGCTTTTTTGCCTGTACCTGAACATCCAGACTCAGATCCACGATAGGATCCTCAGTCTGTGTGACGTTGCCGCATCTGTCGCAGGTAACGCTGCTCCGGATTTTGCCGTAGAATGCTTTATGAAAGAAGCATGAACAGCTCTTGTTCGGGCCTTCAGAGTGTCCTTCGGTGCTAGCATGAAGCTTGTCAACGAGAAATTGATAGAACTCATGAGCATCTTGTTGGTGATAACCTGCCAGAATCTGTGTAAATGAAAAGAAGAATTAGGTCTCGTATTCTTTTCGATAGAGTCTGGGATGTACGCCACTTACAGGACTTGCTTTCCACGATGCCATCAACAGGTTGAGAGCTGCAAAGCCCTCCGACTTTTCTGGGCTGTTGAAATCGGCAAATGCCTCCGCAACAGCACAGCCAATACAGTCAGGCACGGTGCACTCGTGCGTTTGGTGACCGTTTCCAAGGAAATAGGTGTTGAGTAAGGGATCATGCAGCAAGGTCTGGAGAATCACATTCAAATAGCAAGTCTGTCCCAGGTTAAACAAACCTCTTACGCCTTCCTTGGCGCAAGGCCGTTTGGTGGCATTGCTCTTGACGTAAGCCTCGTCGGCAGAGCTTTCGCTAAACGTCCGCTTCTTTGATACTATTTTCATGTTAGGGAACTTTCAGTTACGAATGAATATATTTTCACAAGCCAACCTGCTGCTGAGGACAGTCCCAGGGCTGTCGCGCGGAGTCGTTCGAGGTCATGGTCATACACCAAGTCCTGACAAGCATGACAGAAAAGGGAGCCGTTCCGCGACTCCATGTCTGGGAAGTGTTTAGCACATGTTCGATGGGAGGAGATAGAGACCATGCTCACAGAAGTTATGCTCCGTTTTCTCACTATGCTGTTTCCGGTCGCCACTGGAACATTTCTCAAGGCAGTCTAAGCAGGTATAGACAGGCTTGAGAGAGATAGAAGTCTGGCCGGAGGAAGATGATGCTCCATTGGCCTGCGATTGCGATGAAAGAGATTTTTGTGCCTTGACGAAAGAGTTTCGGAACTTCTCGCTGGTCTCCTCGTCTTTGGAAAGAAGGGCAGCGAGATGCTCTGAGCTTTGTTAGTCTCCTGAAACAAATCAGGAATTCCACCAAACGAATGCTTACCACAACCGTACTCGGCTTCTGAAATGGCCGATACATTTGTCGTAGTAGCCATTGTGTGTTGTCAAGCTGGACGAACAAACCGTTCAGGAGCTCAACAATCGGGTTCAGAAGGAAATCGAAGCAAATCGTCTGATGATGATGATCAAGAGTAAAAATGAGAAAAAGACAGATACTATGGTCGATTAGGACTCGCATAAGATTCGACAAGAGGCAGTAGAGGAAAGAGAGCTCACCCAGGGTAAGAGGAAGAACGTAACCAGTACGGAGAGAAGATGCAGGTCAGTCCAGCAAACCCACGCGTGATATCTTCAGAATGAGAGCAGACGTAAGTGAATACACAGATAAGAAAGGCCGGGACAAGAGTGCAGAAGGAAACAATGACGCTAAAGCCATGAATAAGGCATGGTATGCAATCGGAGTGGAGTATCAAAGAAAAGCAGATCTAGCAAAGAAAAAGCAAATACATCAGACCAAAGACCACAGAATAATAGGGAGGCTGGGGCAGAAGTGAATTAGGTCAGTAGCGCGCAGGGAGCTCTGAAATTGAGGGGAGCAAGCCAACCGCAAGCAGCTGGAACAATGTATACCCCGAGACTGCAGAAGAACTTGGGACCAGAAAGTTAAATGAGGGGCAACATAAACAGTGGAGCTATTGTCAACCAGCTCGACAACGGCTGGGGATCACTGCGTAGGAGATGTAGTGAATGCCGGGGAAAGCTTTGATATCGAGGATCTCGCGATTCTCCACTAGCCCAGTCCCACGCTAGCGGCTCCGATAGGAACAATGCGCAGCAATCACGCCAGAAATCCAAACACCACGACGGGGATAGCAGAAACAGACGAGCGGCATGGATGAGAAACCAGCACTCGACCCAGCAGCGCCAATTGAGGCCGTTCAGCGCTCTCCGGTGGTCCGCAGCAGAGGGAAAGGATGGATGGCGATACTGGCGAGCGGCGGCAAAGCTGCCCAACCGAATGGGAATAGGCGCGGCAACGCCCGCAGCCGCGGCAACCTTAGCTCAGAGCCCCTGGCGAGATGACATGCAGCACAGCAGAGGCAATACTGACTACTACTCTTACGTACATTACATCCAACACGCGTATGGCATTCAGCTACTGACATCTGCTTGTTTGGCAGGCTGTTTCCTACATGCTACCATTACAGGCTGTCTGCCAGCGCCGCCGTAGAAACTCTCTTCTCCGCACTGGCCGGTGCACGTATTGTCTAAAATTGTAGCGGCCTCCTCGGACTAGGCCGTCCTCCATAACAGGCAATTCAGTTCAGATGAACTGCCGTCTGTCCCTGCTCTCAAGCACCGTGGGTCTGGAGTAGCATGGTCCAAGCTGCATAGTGCTTGGACCAATTGCACAGCCCTTCTCCTTCCTGAACGGAGGCGGCGGCTGTACGGAGCAAACATCGCCTGACCATGTTTACTAGTCCCAACCGGCAGTGAAAAACAGATTCACCGATATCCCTTTCCTCGCGGTAAGGCACTTGGGCGAGCTCGGGCCGTACCTCTTGTCGCGTATCGACTGCCAAGCGAACCTCGCGTGGAGGAACCGCCACGGGCTCCTCGGGCGGGCGTAGAGTATCTGGACGTAGTCTTATTAGAGGAAACGGTAGTCGGAGGGTTTTCGATGAAGGAAGTATCGGTAGTTCTATATCGGTTCAGTCAGCCAACGCTAGCTTCGAAAATAAAGGCCTGGTTGGGGAGAATAGCTCTTACAAGAATGTGGTCTCTCCCTCGTGCTCTGGTCGATCTGGCTCAGCAGCAGCTCCTAACACGCTTGTCAGCTACCAATGGCAATCAAAGCGACCCTGCAGAAGAACGCGTACCCTGCTGGTTTTCTGCCTGTTTGGCTCTTTGGAATGACTCGGGAATGGGCGCCTGCGAGTCTCAGTATCGCCTGTGCCGCACTGTGTGTTTCGTAAGAATTACCTCGGGAAAATCGACGCAGAAAGCATTCATGTTCAGTCCGTAGAGGAAACTAGCAAAGCTCTCGCTAAAACGCGCCAGGCTCTCGTGCATTAGCTGCAGATGCATGAAGTTGGCCTCCAGATCGGCCATGGCGTCCGACAGCTCCGCAAACTGCGGCTCCAGCGCATTGATGGCAGGCTCTGTATACCCAGCACTGCCTCCATAAGCATCACGGATGGAAGATCTCGAACTAGGTCGCAAGGGCGTGGTCGGCCTGGAGGAAGGTCGCGGACGCGATGCGGATCTGGGGGCCGCGTCCATGGATGCTGCGAATGATCCTGGTGGGGAGGGGAAGGAGGGGTAAAACACGAGAAACAAAGACGGTCGACCGCCAGCACTGGCACAGACGCGGCGATAATAGCAAGGTAAACGCTGTGCAGAGCCAAGCTCCGGCGTTGGGGGACGACAGCGCAGCAAAACAAGCAGGTTGGCGGAGGCCCAGCTGGTCGCGTGGTGCGGGCTCTCTGCCCTCCAGGGCGACCGGATCGCGACGGCAGGCCAGCGCTAGCCCGCCGCCGATCGCAGCCGGACAAAGTATATAATATTAGCAGGGACAGCGCAGGCAATCAAGCGCCCATTCTCCCCGCAGGTTCGATCTTCCCCGGACTGCTCAGCCCGCTAAGTGCCTGGTCGCCTGTCCAGAATCCCTCTTTGGCTGTCGGGGAGGGGAAACGACGCTTCTCACCCTCCGCCAGGCAGCTCCAGCGCCTGGTCTCGGCAGCACATGCGAGCTTGCACAGCCTGCCGCTCGGCAAGTCTTTGCTTCAGCCCTCTCCAGTTTCCAATTCCAATTCGACTCCTGCCACCGACGCAGGTCCGTTCGTCGTGCTTCTCCCCGCAAAACTCTGTTCCGCCCAGGCCTCTTCACAAGCGCCCTCTCTCCACACGAGCCTACCCTCCATCCGCGGTCCCGTTCCATCAGCCGAGGCAGGCGTCCTCTGTCTGGAGTATTGTATTCCTTGCTTGTCTCGTTAGCGGCGCCGCAGCGGTGCAGGTTATATACAGCTCGAAGGCCAGCAAGGCGTCGAATGCTGAACGGCAATCCGAACCTCCAAAGGACTGGTCGCAGGATTATCTCGGAGAAATTGATACCCTGAAGATGTCGTCGGATGCGATTCCGCCCGGCCATGTCGGAAATCTCACCGAGGAGCAGGAGGCCAAGCTCCGTGAGATGTGGGTTGTGCTCTTGAAGCTCTTCGGCGTCAAATTCGAAGAAGGATCGGAAGTCGCCGGGGATAATGAATCCGTCAAGAATGAGAACGCTACGCAAGACAAGAAGAAGTCAAGGCGAAGCTTTTTCGGTCTGAGGAGCAGCGACAGCGGGAAATCAGTAAACGGCACGACGTCGAATCTGTCCAGTCTGCAAATATCGGACGGAGACGACAAATATGGACAGACGAAAGAGTTCCAGCAGGCACTCGCCGCCAAGACGCCAGAGGAACTACGGGAGACGTTCTGGAGTATGGTCAAGCAGGACGATCCGGATGCGCTCCTTCTGAGGTTTCTGCGGGCCAGGAAGTGGGATGTCAACAAAGCCGTGGTTATGCTCATCTCCACTATCCGGTGGAGGGCCGACGAAATGCACGTCGACGACGACATTATGTTCGGCGGTGAGGCCGCTGCGTTGGAGCAGTCGAAGAGTTCGGATCCTTCGGTCAGGAGACTTGGCGAAGACTTCCTGGCCCAGTTCCGGATGGGAAAGAGTTTCATTCATGGTGTCGACAAATTGGGCCGACCGATGTGTCTGATTAGGGTGCGACTGCATAAGATCGGCGCCCAGAGCGAGAAGAGTATAGAGAGATATACCGTTCATATGATTGAAACCGCCAGGGCAATGCTTCCTCGCCCCGTGGAGACAGCAGTAGGTGCCATGGCGTGCGTTGATGAGAATTAGTCGAGAGCTGACCAGACAAGGTGATCATCTTCGATATGACAAACTTTACACTGGCCAATATGGTAAGACCGTTGGGGAGCATTTCGTGGTTTTTTTTTCTTCTAACAGCTGGCAGGACTATACACCCGTCAAGTTCATCATCAAATGCTTTGAGGCTAACTATCCGGAATCACTGGGCGCGGTGCTTATCCACCAAGCACCATGGATCTTCTCAGGTTTGTTTGTCTCGGACTGAACACTTGGCCTATACTGCGAACGGTATTCTAAGATCTTTTTTTTATTTACAGGAATCTGGAAGATTATCAAAGGCTGGCTTGATCCCGTGGTAGCAGCCAAGGTTCATTTCACCAACTCGGTCGAAGACCTGGAGCAGTTCATTCCTCGTGACCGCATTTTGAAAGAACTGGGAGGTGACGACGACTACGAGTACCAATACGTCGAGCCTCAGCCCAACGAGAACGACGCAATGAAAGACACGGCGAAGCGTGACCAAGTCATTGCAAAGGCCAAGCAATACTACAAGGAACTCCAAGACGCCACACAATCCTGGGTCGTGGCCGCATCGAAGGGAGACAAGGAGGAGGTCGATTCATTGAAAGCCAAGCGAGCGGAGCTTATTGAGAAGACGGGCAAGACATACTGGGAGATGGACCCCTATATCCGGGCCCGCTCGTTTTATGACCGCACCGGAGTCCTCAAGGGTGACGGAAGTGTAGTCTTCTATCCCGAGAGGGAGGAGAAGAAGAACAAGAAGGAGGAAGTGATCGTCGAAAGCGAGCACCCAGCGGAAGAAAAGAAGGAGAATGGCCTCAACGGCAACAACGAGGGCGAGGCAGAGAAGAAGGCCGAAGTCAGCGTTGAATCGAAACCGGAAGAAAAAACAAACGGCAACGCTGCTGTTACGGCCAGTTAACTAACTACTGATCACGCTTGCAGCACCAACTCAAGTGTATTTTTTTGTCTCTTGATATGAAAGGAAAGATCTATTTTTCGTTAAGGTGGTTTTTGGTCATGTTATCCCTTCCTTCCGGTGGATAGATCTCCTCCTTTTTTTATTTGATTTGATTTCCATTTTCCATTTTCCATCTGGAGGAAGTGAATTGTATTCATACCATATCAATGCAAGGGATTGTCATTGTTGGATTACTACGAGCAGTCTCCTGAATAACTAACTAATTGATTCGAACATTGGGACATTGGGACAGACAAGGCAATTCACGATCTTTTTTATTCTGCCTGTCGAATAAAGTACATGAATGCAGGAGGGGGGAAAGAAATATGACTGACTAATATCCTATTCAATTGATTGAAAAGACTCTGCGGGATTCAAAAGAGATGAGGTTTACTGAGTTACGCCAATTTGGCCTTGAGTTCCTCGTGCAGAGCCTTGAGCTTCTCCATGTCCGTCGCCTGGGCAGGCCAGCCGATACCGAGACCCTCCTTTTCGTTGGGTTTGGGAATCTAAAACAAGTTAGTTGATTGAGGTTAGCATGCTGTCTGTCGGTGTAGTATATCGATTTTGATGGACTGAATCCCTGCAGGATAGATACGGGAGATGAAGAAAGATGGTAGAACGTACCACGTGGAAGTGAACCTAAATTAAAAAAAAAAATGTCAGCGTAATTACTGCGAGATAGAGGCAGAAGTTCTAAGTGGCGAACTTACATGGTCAACCATCTGGTGTGCCGCGCGGCCGTTGTTCTGCAACACGTTGAAGTTCTCCGCACCGCTGGCGATGGCAATCTTCTTTGCCACGGGCTGTTTGTTGGAAAGAAGAGATTTACCCGTTAGCGACCCATTGTTTTTTTTCTCCTGATATGTAACCACCTCGTACGAGGAAAGATCAACGCAGCTAATGTTGGTTATCGTTGACCTTGTCCTCAAGGTACGCATGGGTGGATCGATTGGATGGCTATATAAACACGGGAAAGCCAACCACGAACGACTTTGGGGAAAGACATACCAGGATCGAAGTGAGGTGCTCATCCGGGATGTCGGTGAGCTTGGCACCGTGGAACTTGGGAATTACAAGCTGTCGCAGTCAAAAACTGTCAGTCAACAGATCGACCATTTACTTGACATTATTTGCATCTCTGGAGCCCTGGCTCAGTCGGCTGCAGCGCGAGCCCTGCCAGAGGTGTAACTTCGCTCCAGTCAAAAGAAACAAAAAGAACTGGAAGAGCTATATTATATAGCTTACAGCATGGCCACGGCTCAGTGGCTGGATGTCAAGGAAGGCAAGGACTTTGTCGTTTTCAAACAGCTTGAAGGACGGGATTTCGCCTGTTGACCGATCGATCAGCATTAGCCGGAACCTCAATAATGGAACACCGAATTGCAGGTAAATAGAGCAATAACAGAAGAAACGGAATTAAATGTATATACCCTTGATGATCTTGCAGAAAATACACGCAGGGGACGACATTTTGTATGATGCGTACAAGAATGAAGCTCAGATGCAATATAGAACTCGAAGACGTCTGATGCGGGGTGAAGTTTTACATATTTGCCTAGGCTAATACCGTACGTGATGAGCGACGGCAAACGGGAAGGCGGAAAGAGGCGCGTGAGGGGCAAAAGGATAAAAAGACAAGGGGAGGCAGGGATCGGACACGAATCGAACTCGCGACATCGGGAGTTTGGGGGGTAAGTTTATTAGTCATTTCAGAACAAACCCTGCGAGGGGTGGGACAGCCTAGCCCAGAATCCATTTCTTGCCTTTTACCAGAGATGGCCGTGGGCTGCCCACAATACCCCTCTCATCAATCTTTGGAATCGTATCCATCGACACAGTCGTCGATTATTTTATTATTTTTTTAATTTTTAAAATTCTCCATATGTACTTCCATCTACTTCTCCAATTTTTTGACGGATTCCACTTCAGTAAATGTCAGAATTCGTGGCGTGGTGCGTGTATATAAGGGCGACAGGTGTGTGTATTTAACCACTATCTGATGCGGTGTCTCCAAAGCTATCCGCTCAGTGCTCTGTGCTCCTTCCGGTCTGATGCATGTCCATCCTTGCACCTTTCATCAATCTGCTCGAGTATAAGACATGAAATGAGGTTCTCGGACAATAACTAAACGAATTTGCGGATACTGATAAACGCCCCCTCCCCTTAGCTTCCCTCTACGGCAGGTACAGTACATCCTGGGGGCGGCAGGCAGCAATATCACGTGGAGATAGGCGAATAATGCGGAGATGACTTCACATGAACTTTCGAGCATTATTATCGGACTTCACTGATGACATCTGTACCGCCAAAATTTGGTTTGGTATCAGGAAAGGCATAAAGATTGCAGTTGGTTGCAGTCAGTCAGTTACAGATACTTTTACCAAAAAGATGCAGTCACTGTGCTGATAAACATTAAAAGGTATATTCATATTCCTACTATATATGCGAACTATATGCGAATCGTAACGTTTTCAATGATATACGCAGCACACCGAGCTACTTCAGTGACGTGTCACCATCCCGACTCATTCAAAGTCATCAAGTCGTTATATCCTGCTTGGCTTAAGCAGCCTGAGTTTTTTCCCACAAGTCATCGAGATCATTGCCAATGCGTTTCCACGCATCTTCCTCCAACTCCCTCTCCGAAAGCAGCCCGCGCTTCGAGACCAGAGACTGCGCTTCCTCGCGCGAGATTTCCACTATAGAATAGACGTCAGCATAACCCGCCAGTCACTGCAACATGGAGTGCAACTCACCATGGATGTAAACGGCAGACTTCTTTCCGCTGTACATCGCATGCGGGACATTGGTACTTCCATCGCTGTTGGCATCTCCAACAGCCAAACCCCCTTGAGACTCGTGCGCGCGCTGTTGACATCGGCGTAGATCTTGTTACCCTGCATCTTCAATTCCAACTGAGCAGGCAGGGTCGAGCGTTGCGAAGACGGGAAGTTCGTAAGGAATGCACCTCGGTCAACACTCCCGCCGTCCGTGAAGTGCACCCTGAACTTGTCGAATTGCTCGTGTGTTGACGGGTCATTGTCCTTTGAACCGTCCTGCAGGCGCTCAATGGACGCAATAGTGCGGTTTTCGATGGTGACATTGTACGCCTGGAGGATCTCAAAGAACTTGGGGTTCTTCTGCCTTGCAGCCTCTTCCTGCTCGGGAGTCTGGGTGCCGTTCACAAGGGCGATGATGTCCGTGTTGAGAGTGTGGACTTCGTACACACTGCTGAGAACATCGGGCAGCGGGCCCAGGACTCCCAGGGGCTGGTCACGGTGTTCGTATCCGTCGCACCAGGGACACCAGTACATGCCTTTGCCCCAGGCGTCCTCAATGCCCGGAGTCGCGGGGAGATCGTCCTTCATCCCCGTGCCCAGGACTATTTTCTTTGCGGTGTAGGTGTTCCCCTGGACGTCCGTCACACTAAAGAGAGAGCCGTTACCAATCGGCGTGATGGACTGCACTTTTACGTCCTTGATTGACGCGGTCTTGTTGTAGGTTCCCAAGATCTGCTTGCGAGCGAGGGCTCGAAAGGCGCTGGGGGGAGTTCCTGGAAAGATACTGTTAACTAAAAACACCTGGAGGCTCTGGTGGACGAAGAAAGCTCACCATCATTGCCGATCACATCGTGCATGTTCCTTGTTGGCGCATTGCGGTATTCGCCCGAGTCGAACAACAAGGCCTTCCGCTGGACTCGAGAGAGGCCACTGAGGGCACTGAGACCGGCAGGACCACCGCCGACAATGATGGCATCGTAGGTGGCATTGTCGGCGGCAGTTTCTCGGGAGGCGAGCTGGTGAACATTGGGGATGACCCCGGCAAAGGCAAAGGCCAGGCAATGGAGGAAGAAGAACCAACGCGCACCGCTGATGAACGCCATGTTGATAGGTGTGATTGAAGAGGCCTGGAGGCACCTGGGATGCCCAGGGATGAATCCTTACTCCCTTATATAGAGTGAGAAACGCTGGCTGACTGCTAGTGTGGTGACACTACTTTACTATTGAGATTAGATCAGTGGACCTCTTCGAACTTCCCAAAATTGGGATCCGTCAATAAAAAATTGACTTCTACTCCGGAGTAATTGCGCTGTTCCCCTATCTACATCTATCATTGGTTTGCGAGTATATACAGGCCCATACAGTTACATAGCTGAAGATGAATATCTAGATCATCACACTGCAGATCGAAGATCCTCTTCAGCCAGCCTCACGGGCAGCGAAGCGAACACCCCCACCTGAGGAGCAGTTCTATTGAACTATGTACGTCACGTTTTGCAAAGCCAAGAGCCCTGAAGAGAACGAAGGATGGTCCAGACTGGTAGTCCTCAATAGAGAGTGTGGAATGCGGAGTGCCCTACGTGCCTGCTAGGGGAACGGTGTCACGCTAGGGTGATGCTGCAGCGGCCCTGCCTGTATGTGCAGATCAGATCATCAATCAGATAGAGAACCTTAAAAGAGAAAAAACACTACGAATACGGATAATCCAATGCTTGCAAAACGACCGAGAAATACGGACAGGAAAGTTCTACCCAACAACCCAGTTCAAACTTCAGCGGCCCGCTCGGCCCGCCCCAGCTATCCCAGGCCACCTCTTCCATACACCCCGCAGCCACTTCATAGTTATATCGATCATGGGATCCAAATATCCAATAAATATCCAATATAACTCTCTAGAAACTGGAGCTTTGATAATGCCCTTTTTTTTTGTCTTTCTGACAAGTTGCCTTGGTTTTAAGGAGAATCGTTTGGCAGCCCTTGCATCCATCCCAGTGGGTCCGGGAAGGCCAAATTACAGCCGGCGCTAAAGGGATCGACAGCGAAGCGAACCTTAGCACTGTCAGACCAAGGGTACTAATATCCTATTCAAGAATAGGTTATACTGTATATGACTTAAAAGGGCTCAAGATTGGGATCCGACATGTGGTGATGTGACTCGTCATATTTTTATCTAGATCTACGGTACTCCAGAGTAGTACGGAGTAGATCAATCACTCTTAGTCTACAATTACTCTGTGGATAAACAAACCCTTCCCTTCTTTACAGTAAGTAGCCAGCCGGCATGCCGGTCGAGTAGTGCTTCTTTCTCTATACGCAGTACTACTTTCCTATGATGTGCCTGATTCTGATTTGATCCTGTTCTTCCTTGATGTCAGATGACATCAGTCAACTCCTCAATCTCGATGGATTCAATCACAACCGCGCCTAGAGATCATCATCTTGAATATATCGTCAGAGAGGGTTTTTTGTTCAATAGATTTTAGTTAGATCTGGTGATTGTGCAGGCCATGTGATTAAACAAGACTCTTATATTTCTTACTAGAGATATTATTACTCCGTAGACACGTGTTCTACTGTGGTCGTGTGGTACACCCTCACCCCACAGAAGGAGAAGACGCGGAGAACCCTGATCCCTGACCAGTGATCACAAGAATGACTCAGCAAAACCATCCAGGTCAGGGCCTGACATAAGATAATCATGGTCATTGCGAAGGATACGGCCGTAATAAGGATCTTTGGTGCATATCTATAGGACACATTCATTTCAGCAGATAAGACCCCGTGGTTAACCTGTCCATAAATCAAACCCCCATCGTTACCTTCCTTGCCTGTTCCTTTGGACCTGAAGCCCCCTTTGTCTGTCTAGTTAGACCTCTGGTTTATTTACTTGGACTCTAGTCCTATTTCTGTGGCAGTTCTGTTTAGGCAGACGTCGATTATAAACAGGTGTCCTAGTCCACAGCTGTCCTGGTCCAACATAGATCGTTAGGTAGATTAGGTGGACCGAAGATATAGTTCTCCACATATCTAAATCGGCTCGTGCCCTTTCCTGCCAGTTTAAAGCTAACCATTTCGACCAATAAGGGGGCACGTAACCTCGTGTTTTCAGCCTAGATACCATAGGCGAAGGGATTCTTATACGTGCATGGCACACGAGGAAAATCTCTCGGCGGGCGTTATCGACATATTAAATGGGGGAAGAAATTAGAAGAATGAAGAGTCGAGACTGAAGCTTGTATTTATTGTGTTATGAAAAAGGTTGTATGTTGAACTATGTGTGCACATGGACCGAGTCTTTAAATTTAAAGTTGGGGTGGGTGTCATAGTATTATTATGAAGTAAAAGGAGACAAGCAGAGAAAAATATAGAAGTAGAAGAAACAGATTTGCAAGAATAATAAGCTATAGCTTCGACTAGAAAAAGAATTAAGAGTAGGTAACTAATAAGAAGGTAGTTATTAGAACGGTAAAGAAAAATAAGTATGTCTTTTAGAGAGAAGAAAATAGAAATAGCAGGCTGCAGAAAAAGAGGGAACTATATCAGTTTTCTTCTTTCTTTCTATCAAATTTCAGACAAGATTTTATCGAAGTTGAGAATTGTTATTCTCTCTAATGAACTGCCCGGGAGTCGTAGAATGCCACAATATACAATAGTAGGTAGACCCACTTGAATCATTCCATCATTGCAGCAGGCAGGACCTTCTGCTTAACGCCGATTTACCATCTCAATGGATTAAGCACCTATATAATTGGACATGATTTGATACCAGGCCTCCTTCTCCCCCAGAGACCATGCCAGTCAGCAGGCGCGACTGGATGCTGGAAGAGGGGTGGGGGGAATGCAGTAAGTAGATGAAGGTTAAATGGCATCACTCTCCCATGAGGAATATTATGAAGAATATTATATGGATCTCCCTATAGCGGAGGATCTCAATGCGGCGGGCAACAGAAGTACGGAATACGCATAGGCGGGCGATCGCCTTTTTGCCCAGACGTCAGTCATGCTCTCCTATTACTACTGGCTGCGGCGCCGGACAGTATGTCAGTGAAAAACAACGCGGAGATGGCTAGGCATGAACTTCCGGGAATTATCATCGGACTTCTCTGCGCCCTCGGATCAGTATGCTGCCAAGATGAGGGGTGTTCTCCAGCTAGGTGGCTTCTTATCAGCCATCGCTTTATCTCAGGGCATTGGCGGCCAATGCCTAATCTATCCCAAGAACACCTGCCTATCTATACATGTTATCTATATAAAGAGCCTGATTGTCGGAAGCGTCTAGCGCAATGGCCTCTCTCTATTCTGCGAGATTTTCATCCCCTACCACCTTAAGGTGTGCCCTGGGGAGTAGTCGGATTGCTCGTGTTCGGCCACGGATCTTCCCATCTCAACAGCGACACTTCTCCAATTCGTCCAGACGCAACATGTTGACTACCGAATTATCTGAGGACCAGGTCTCGGCATTAAGGGCAAACAAGGAGCGATTGGCCAAGGACTTGCACTACAGTTGTCAATGGGGATCGGGAATACGATGGGGAAGGTGAGATTTCTCTCCCTGCTAGTCTGACTAACATCTGAAGTCCTGGAGTGTAAGCCGTTGATTTATTTTACTTTTTTTCGTTTATGTCTCTTCATTCGCGTGTCGTTGAATTCGCACGCTATGAGCAGTGGTGTTTAGTACAGGCTTTCATACATCATGCTGACCAGACATAAATGAAGCGGTCCAACAGACACAGGCATGCAGCGCCTGGCTCTGTCTGAAGATGACAAGAAAGTCCGCGACTGGTTCGTCCAGACGATGAAGGACTTGAAATGCAACGTCACTGTGGACGAAATGGGCAATATATTCGCAGTCCGTCCTGGACGCAAAAAGGACGTACCTGCCACCTTTATCGGCAGCCATCTCGATACGCAACCTACTGGAGGTCGATACGACGGGATTCTGGGTGTCCTGGCTGGAATCGAAGCACTGAAGGTCATGGACGAGATGGGATTGGAAACCGAAGGAGGCGTTGGTGTGGTCAATTGGACCAAGTAAGTGCTTTGCGCTTCCATGTTCACCTTTTCTGCTGCGAAAGACTAATAATCCTCTTGCCTCCAGCGAAGAAGGGGCCCGTTTTCCAATTAGCATGGTCAGTTCCGGTGTCTGGGCTGGCCATATCCCGCTTTCTAAGGCCTACGATCTTAAGGAAGTTCCCACTGTTGCGTCTCTTCCAACTGCTGCTTCTGCCCCAGAGACCATGAAAAGCGCGCTCGAGAAGATCGGTTATCTTGGATCTGTACCATGCTCCTATGAGTCAAGTCCTATGGCGGCTCATTTCGAGCTGCACATCGAGCAAGGTCCTCATCTGGTGACTGCAGGTCAGCGTGTGGGAGTTGTGACCGCTGTCCAGGCATACAGGTGGTATCGCATTACCGTCACTGGACGTGATACGCATACGGGCACGACTGCGTTCCAACACCGCGCTGACGCCATGTTTGCTTCTGCTCGCATGATGGTGAAAGCGCGGGAGATAGCTGCTGCCCACGGCTGTCTGGCCAGTGTTGGCATCGTGGAAGCGAAGCCTGGCAGTGTCAATACTGTCCCTGGTCTCGTCAGCTTCAGTCTGGACATCCGAGGACCCGAGACGGAATTGGTTGCGCAGGTTGACGCTGAACTCAGGAAGGAATTTGATGCCATCGCCTCTGAGGAGGGCAAGGGCATAGGGAAGCCTTGCCGTGTTGAGTGGAAACTCGACTTCGACTCCCCCGCTGTTAAATTCCACGATGACTGCATCGACTGCGTCCAGAAGTCTGCAAAGGCGGTTGTCGCGGATGCCAATGTTCCTGATCCAAAGTCCCTCATCCGGACTATGATGAGCGGCGCAGGCCATGACAGCGTCTTTGCGTCAAAGAGGGTCCCGACGAGCATGATCTTTGTTCCCTGCAAGGATGGCTTGAGCCACCACCCGGAGGAGTTTTGCTCAGCAGACGATTGCGCTACCGGGGCGTCGGTCATCCTGCAAGCAGTAGTAAGGTATGATCGGAAGAGATTCCAGGCATAAGTCAATGGCGGTTCACAAGCCGGAAATCAAGCCTTAGAAGTAGTTAGTGCTCGTACAATTATCTAAAGCCAAGACACAGCGTCACATTGGCCTGAAAGATATGTCAATATCTCGCAAAGTCAGGCAAAAGGCTTGAATTTGAATGGGTCATCATAATGCTGCCATTGATTCTAGCTATATCATAACAGTAATACAACGGCAATCATAAACCCCCATTTTTCCCATTTCAATATAATTTTTTTGGAGCATGGGAAGAGATAGGAAATGTCCTATTCTTTAATTAATAAATCCGGAACCCATGCCGACACATCCCCTCGGCCATCGCAAGACAGTCCAAAAAACGAGAAACTTTAAGAAGGAGGAGCCCCACGGCCACGGCCAAATCCACCACGGAAGGTAGGGGCAAACTCGCCAGGGGCACCTTCCTTGCCCTCCTGCTCACGGCGTCTGTAGCCACCCTCACCACGAGGACCACCACGGCCGCCAGGGCGACGGTCAGCACGGTCGTCACCGCCCATCATGCCACGAGGGGGAGCGTGCGAGCGCTGCTGCTTGATGTGGGTAGCGGGCACAATCTCCGGAGGGAGATGGAGCCATTCGCGCAGGTACTCAAGACCCTCGGGGGTGAGGGTGTAGTAGTAGTACTGCCACGAGAAGCGAGTCTTGACGTAGCCGCGGGAGTTGAGAGACTGGCAGGCCTTGATCACCTATTGATCGAAATAGAGGCATTAGACGGGGTCTTCTTTTTTTTTTTTGAATCGCATAGCAGAAAGGCCGGTTGGTCTTACATAGAGGTTCTTAGTGTCAATGTCTTGATGCTTGGGGAGGTTGAAGTCCTTCTTGGCCACGAGCACACCCTCTGTGTAGGCGAAAAATGTCAGTGGGATCGTCATTGATCGTTTCATCGAAAAGATCTCGCGGCACGCTTTCATGAGAGTCTGCGACCAGGGGACGTACCGCGGAAGAGGTACTCGTGGATCTTCTTGCGGTCGGCCTTGGGAATAAGCCTGGAGATATATCAGCAAACTGCCAGGTAGGAATTATCGACGAGAACGAAAATCAATACTCACATTGTCGCGAGTTCCAGGCGCTCTTCGGGGAATCGCTTTGACAATGCGGGGGATTGGTGGTCTGGTTGTTGGTCCTGGATAGAAAGAAACTGGTCTGAATGGAGCCGCCAAAGTGCGATAATTCCCTGCGGGCTCGCTAGGGTGTACCCTAATCAGACAAGCTAAACCCCCGATTGGGCTAGCCTCGATACGGTTATATCACGTGACATGATTCATTGCCAAGACCCGACTTCGACGTCGCCTCCATCGGTCGGGGCATCGACTCCGCCTCCACCTGCGCAATTACGACTGAACCTCTATCACCTCTGTGACCTTCCCAGGGCTCACGGATCGCTTTTATGATACTTCCTGTTTACTGATACTCTGGAGAGTGATATACTTTCCTGCTGGACCAGGACCAGCCGTCAAAATGGCGTCGCAACCTATCAATGTTCTTCTGACCTCTTTCCCTGGACTGCCACTTCCTCCAACGCTCTCACTCTCTTTTCCCCCGACATCGACCGTCTCCGATCTCACAGAGAGGATCGCCTCTTACTTGCCTGAGTCCTTGCGTCGGGCCGCTGTTGATCTGATCCTTACTACCACCAGCAACAAACAACTCCTTCCATCCTCGTCAGAACGGCTTTCGTCACTGATTTCTACCCAAGATGGCTCCTCTCAGACGTTCGGCTCCTCTCTTCTTCCTCTGCGCCTTACTGTTCCCCTTCGCGGAGGGAAGGGTGGTTTCGGTTCTCAGCTCCGTGCCGCTGGTGGTCGCATGTCTAGCAAGCGCAAGCGCAATCAAGCCGAAGACAATGGCTCTAATCGGAATCTCGACGGTCGCCGTCTGCGTACCGTTAACGAGGCCAAAGCCCTGGCTGAATACCTTGCGGTAAAGCCCGAGATGGAACGCAAGGAAAAGGAAGAGCGCAGACGCAGGTGGGAAGCTATAGTCGAATTGGCAGAAAGACGCCAGGAAGAGCTCAAGAACGGTGGCGGAAAGAGTAGAATAGACGGAAAGTGGATGGAAGACAAGGAAGAAATGGGCGAGAAGGCCCGAGAAGCGGTTCTCAGTGCGATGAAGGAGGGAATGTGGAAGGACAACCTGCGAGATGAGCTTGTGGGCGGCTCGAGTACCAGTGCTAGCGAAGCCAGCTCAAGCCGAGAATCCATCAGCGCGAGTGAGAGCAGCGAAGAAGAGAACGAAGAAAAGGACCTATCTAGATCGTCATCTGGATCGTCATCATCGTCGAGCAAGCCTGCGGCTCCGCGGAGGTACATTGGATTTGACGAGGATGATGAATTTATGATCGATGATGAAGAAGAGGAAGCCGATCAGGAACCTGATGAAACCGAAGGGAAGGGTAAAGAACGGGCTTAATTCGAAAGGCATGTACATGTATGTGTTGATAGCGCAGGGCGGCGTTTTCGGTATTACGTTCTAATCTCTACATGTGTTCATCATCTTTCATGTTCATTGATCAATGGGGTAATGGTTGTGTTTCATCGTTTCCTGGTTTATCTATTATCTCTGTCTTCTTTACGAGTAGATAGTCTCAATGGGATGCTGCTGCTATACTAGAAGTTCAGTACTACTCCGTATGGAGGTTATCCTGCAGACATACTCCGTAGGTGAACGCTGATTCGCCACTATCAAGTGGTCTCAATTTTACGGCTGTCCACAGGGACCACCTGTGCCGTCATGGATTTCAATTGCGGCAACTGCTCGACATTTATTGTTTGCCCAAATCATAAAAAATAATAGTTTTTTTTTTCTTCAGGATGTTGTCGTGTCCTAGATGTTCCTATTTAAGGACTCTTAGGAAGTTATCCAGGTCATATACGTTATCATCATCATCCTCCTCCCTTGGTTTACAGAGCTCGTCCTCCGCATCGGCATTACAAGCAACATGGATACATTCTGCTTCGCCGCTATCGAAATTGCACGCGTACAAGCGCGAGAGTAACCTTCGACTTCCCTCAACGACGAAAAGACAGAAATTTCTGCATACTACAGCTGCTGCTCTTCAAGAGTCACCAGCAGCAGAAGTAGCAGTCAACAATAATGATCCTCCTCCGTCTGTCCCGGAGTTGTCTTCGTCCTCGCCGTCGCCGCCTCCTTCTCCTGTACCTAAAGAGATTCTCCCCCTTTGTTGTCCGGGATGCGGTGCTTATGCTCAGACAATTGACCCGAACGAGCCGGGTTATTACAGCAAGACCCGGAAAAAGACTCGCAAACAGTTGAAGCAGGCCAAGGAAGCGCTCGAAAGCCAGAAGAAGCAGAAATCGCAATCGGAACAAAAGAAGAATGAAGAGGGCGCGACTGTTGATAAAGAGAGCAGTGGCTCTTCAGAAGCCCAGGATGAAAAAGCTGGGAGCGAAGATACTACGTCGAAAGAAAAAGCCCCTCCCAAGCCAGCAGGTATGTATGCCATTGTATTCAGATAATAGATCGTTCGACTTCGAAATTGCGCCTCTAATTTTAACATTTTACGATAGGTGATGTCCTTCTTGAAGACCCCGAGGCCGCAACCCGCTTTGTCGAAATGACGACTCCTCCCACACAGCTTTGTGACAGATGCCACAACCTCATTCACCACAACCAAGGTGAATCCGCGCCAACGCCTACGGTTGAATCTATCCGTGCATTACTGGAAGAATCCCCGCACAAGAGTAACCGCGTATATCATATCGTCGATGCGGCCGATTTCCCCATGTCACTGATCCCAAACATTTACAGCGCCCTTGACTTGCAGGAGCAGCGGTCAAAGAACCGAAGAGCAAAGACTGAAAAGTACAAAAAGGGAAAGAAGATGACGACAGTCAGCTTCGTGATCACACGTTCGGATCTGCTAGCGGCAACGAAGGAGCAGGTGGACTCCCTGATGCAACGTGTGCGCAAGATAATCCTCGACGTCCTGGGATTGAAACAGGAGGATGTTCGCCTGGGGAACGTGCATATGATCAGCGCTCATCGGGGCTGGTGGACGAAGAAAGTGAAGGAAGAGATAAGGGAGCACGGAGGTGGGATTTGGGTAGTGGGCAAGGTCAACGTCGGGAAAAGCAGCTTTATATCTTCTTGCTTCCCCAAGGATTCCAAGAATCTCGAAAAGGTTGCGGAATTACTCCGTCGCCGGCAGGAAGCAGAGTCCATTGAAGCTGCTGGGGCGGTGGACGACTCGGTTCTTCTGAACTCGGATAGTCTTCTGCCGCCTGCTCCTCGAGAAGAACTGTATCCCACGCTGCCCGTTGTCTCCTCACTTCCAGGGACGACCGTCTCGCCTATCCGAATCCCATTCGGGAATGGAAAGGGCGAGATGATCGACCTGCCTGGTCTCGATCGAGGGAGGCTTCAGGATTTCATCAAAGACGAACATAAGAGCGATCTGATCATGACGAAACGGATCAAACCGGAACGGCTCACAATCAAGCCCGGTCAGTCCCTTCTTCTGGGCGGTGGGTTGATCCGGATCACTCCCGTCCTGGATGGAACGGAACAGGTGCCGGTGTTGGCCGCCTGTTTTGTGCCCATAGATACCCACGTGACAAAGACCCAGAAGGCGATCGAGATCCAAGCCAACCAACGTCCATATAATCCAGGACGGCAAGTCGATGTGATCGTCAAGGACGGCGTTTTTGGCAGCCACATCATATCCTCCGCGGGGATCTTCGAGCTGGACGTGGATGTCACGCACAACCATCTCCCGAGGCTGATGAAGAAACGCCTGGAAGACCAAGGGATCAAGCCCCCGCCCATGCCTTACAGGGTTATGTCGCGGGACCTCCTCATCGAGGGATGTGGCTGGATCGAGCTAACGGCTCAAATCCGGGCAAAGACGTTGGAGAACAGTGGCAGCAACAGCAGCAACAGCAGCGACAGCAGCAGTGACAGCGACTCGTCAAAGTCAGAGCCAACGCCCAAACCAAAGCCAGTACTTCCACGCGTGGAAGTCTTCAGCCCTCACGGCCAGCACATCGGATCTCGAATCCCGATGGAGACATGGAACTTCATCCAGGAGAAGAAGCTCCGAGACAAACGGAAGAAGAAGGGTCGTCCACAGCGGCAACCTATAAGCCAGAAGAAGCGGGCGAGTCATGGTGCGAAAGTATGAAAAGAGGCAGAAAAAAAAGGAAAAAGAGAGATTCATTTTGTTGATATATGTTCAAAAACACCATGTACCATACATACACATATACACATATAAAACAACCTCCGCTTTCTTTCTTTCTTTTTTTTCCCTTCCTTCCCTGCTTTTAGTCTCTTTGTGACTTGCATTTCAAGGGTCAGGCAGTGGAAGTTGTATTAGTTTAGTTTATATTATATTATAGACCATTGTTATTATGTAACATGTGCGTGCATGTGCAGTTTATTAAGTCCATTCTGATACTCCTTATCATCATCAGTCTACGCAGTATGATGCATGAAGTGTGAATGCAAGCAATGTATGTACTGTATATACATACATACTTCACGCATTGATCTAGATCTAATAGTAGAGGAGAGGAAAAGTATAAGACTTTGCAAAGAGAAAAAAAGACAGATGTTATTTCTCACCTAGCAATCTAACGCCATTTTAATAGAAAAAGAAAAATGGAACAAATTGAGATCCCATGAAACAATCACACAGAAAAGAAATAAGGAAAAACAACGGAAAAAAAAAAGGGGGAAAAAAAAAGGAAAATCTCCAGTTGGACGTACGGGGGAATATAGGGTGTCGATGACGAATAGAAACAAAGGAAGCAAAGGAGTTGTGGATGAAAAAGAAGCAAGGTAATAAAAAAAAACCTTAGAACAAAGGAAATATGGATGGGGGAAAAGGAAGGTGAGGAATCCCTTGTTGACTCAAATCTCGATCAATTTGAATCAATCAAGTAGAGGATAGAAAATAGTAAGGAGCGTGATCTAGGAAGAGGGGCAAAAAAAAGGGGGAATATTGTGATAGTCGAAAGTAGCTAAGAGATCCTTCTTGCGTTTCACAGTCCATATAACACGATTTGAGAAGAGAAGTCCTCTGGGAAACTGCCATGATCCTGATAGTAAACCACCTTTGGTATCAAGCATTTTCATCAGTACACTTCCGATGTGGATTGGATGAAAGAAAAAGAAAAGGAAAATAACGTCAACGACTTGAAAGAAAGAAGAAAAAAAAGGACAGCATGGGATTCCGTAGCCGTATGCAGATCATCGAATATCGGCTTAAGGCCACTATCCATCTTCTTGATTAGAAGATGAATGTCCCTCCCAAACGCACGAGTATTCACAGATCAATCAAACTGCCACTTTGCTGCTGTTGTGGCTGTTGAGGCTGATTAAAACCCGTCTGGCGAGCGGAAAAGAACGGGTTGTTGCCAGTCTGGGCGGCCCGGAGACGGTCCAGACCTTGACCAGCGGAGTTGACAAAAGTACCCGGAGCAGTGTGTTGAGCAGGGATACGCAGATCGCCAACATTGCCGAAAGTATCCTGTCCTTCTCCGTTCGCGAGAAGGGCATTGAGACGAGCATACTGGGGGTTGTTGTCGAACTTGGAGGACGTCGTATTCTTGGCGGGACTGGGATTGGGACTGGGAGCCCGGTAATTGGTGATGGGATTCGGTGAATGCGTGTTAAACTGGGTCGTGGCTCGTTCCTCCGAGAGGGTGCTCAGGGTAGGAGGACCAGTCCGAGCAGGCTGAGATTGTGGCCGGGCGAATGGGTTATTCGAGCCCGTAGGCATAGGCTTGAGGGAATCGAGCGACTGCTGATTATGGAGGGCCCAGGGGTTGTTGCTACCCGGTTGAAGGTAGTTGTTTCCTGCTGATTCTGCTGCTGCTGCTGCTGCTGCTGCTGTTGCTGCTGCTGTTGTTGCTGCCCAAAGAAAGCATTATTTCCATATGGGTTGTTGTTGTTGAACGCGGTCTGTTGAGGCTGGAGCGGCATCGAGGACTGGAAGTAGTTGTTTTGCGGCTGCCCGAACTGTTGAGACTGGTCGAATCCGGTCGGTTGCATCTGGAACCCGTTCGAGAACCCGTTCGAGAATCCGTTCTGGAAGCCGGTCGGCTGGCTTTGGAATCCTGTCTGCTGTGCATATTGGTTGTTGAGATAGCCTGTCGTCAAAGGTTGCTGAGGATCAATCGGGTTACCAAACCAATCCACCGCGGGCTGCTGCTGGTAACCTTGGTTGTATCCAGTCGGTTGCGGCTGAGCAGGTTGCGCTGGCGTATCATCGAACAGTGACTGCGCGTTGCTCTCTTCAAGCTCGCGTCTCCGAAGTTCCTCCTCCTCCTTGCTCAGTTTGATCGCCTTGGCCAGATCTTCGTCTTCTTGTTCGGCCTTGGCCGCCTTCTCCCGTCGTTTGCGCTCCTCCTCGGCCTCAGCTTTACTTGCCTCGATTGCCAAGCGGTATTCCGCGTCTTCTTCTTCACGACGTCGACGCTCACGCCTCTCCCTTTCACGCCGGCTCGGGTCGTAACCTCCGCCGAAACCATGCATACTGTCCTCGATACCGCTGACTCGGGACTTCCAGAGCTTCCGGTCAGAGCGCTCGCTTCGTAGTCGGTCCTCATCCATAATAAGGGCAGTGAGTTCCCTGGCAGTCACGCGCACTGCAGGCATTGGTTAGAAGTGGGATACATAGTAAAAAAAAGGCATGGAGACAAACCATTCTGGCCGACATCCCTTCCCTCATCATCTATGTACTGGAATTCGCGGAGAGTTTTGATGATGTATATATTCTTTCTTGCCCAGGTGACGACCAGCTCGGAGCCCTCGTGGAGGCAGTAATCCAGAACTTTGAGCGACTTCAGCACGTGCCGCCAGTTCTTGCCTTTATCGTTGAGTCGTTTGTCCAGCATATCCATAATCTCGTAGAAGTCAGTTGGACTAGAAGTAAAACAAGCGCAGTCAGCACGGTCTTTCGCAGGGGGGGATGACTGATACGAACGTACCTGCTGAACGTCAAAGCGGCAATCTCGCTCATCTCAGTGCCCGTTGGGCCCCAAGGGTCGTTACTGGTCGCTGTATGCGTCGTATGGGTCAGTATCTTGGATGAGAATATTGGGGGGTAAGGAGCAGATGGATCGCGGCCGTTGTGGCAAGCATGCCAATAATTCTGCGACTTGCTCGACAAGCATGTCGATGATAGGAGTCATTGCGACCCATAGATCGATATCAAACGAAGACGAAAGTCATACTCACCATTGCGGACCTTAATCTGCACCGACGAATAGCCCTTGGTGACATTCTTCACACTCCGGACGACCTTGGACATTTTGGCGGTCGCATATGGGGGTACGGTGCCTTGCTAGACAAAATCCCCAGTCTCTTCCTCCTGTGTAGGGTTGTGCGCGTTGCAGAGTCCAGCTCTCGATCGTGCAGGCCAATGTGGCTGGAAGTTTGGCGGCAGCAGACTGCCCGCCCACTTCTGGGTGTTGCGGGAAACAACCGTTGACCGCTCCAGGAAAGGAGGCAGTGGCAGACAGGCAGCAGGCAAGTGACAGGACCGTTCAAGCAGCAGTGACACGTCTTGGAATCGAGCGACTCTATTCTCGCAGTGGCGGAATCGGCTGCGCGACAGAATGACTGAAGGGGAGGGTTGATGACAGCGCAGAGTGGCTGATGGAGGTGAGGGAGTGGGAGATGGATGAGCTGGTTCTGGGCGGCAGTTTGACAGCGGCCGATATGACGAACGTCCTTCCTAAAGCATCGGGCCGGGCGCCAGAGACAGGTTAGACCCCCCACGGCGGCGTTTTTTTTTCTTTCTTTTCTTTTTACTGTGACCTAGGCAAAGGTCTTTGAAGATTGCACTATGCCTTGCCATTCACTGCCTACGTCAATTTGCCAATCTTCCAGAGCCGGTGATCCGGTGCACGATGCGCAATAATGCAACGCGATCCGTCCGTCTTGGGAACCCCGCGACTACGAGCAGGCATCCGGAATCGCTGGATACGAGCTTAATCATCATAGTTATTGCTGTAATTTTGGAAAATGTGGTACTATCTACATCTAATCAATATCGACGCAATACAGCAAGGAAAGGATTCCTGCGAGCAGAAGCATGTCAACGGCTGGACAGGTCGAAGGCCATCGCGTGGGCCCAGCCGTTCTTCGATTCCAGGGAACCCAAGGCGACGTCGAGGCAAAAGAGAAAACTCTTTGGGGTGGCACCGTGGCTGAGCCACACTCTGACGAACACAGGTCGGGTCTCCCTCTCCCGCATAAGAATATTTACGGAGTGCAGTGGCGCGTGGTCAGTGCTCATCATGCAATCAATGATGACTCTGCCGAAGAGAAACCGGACCGACCCGTTGGAATCCTCTGTTGCCATATTGATTTTCTTCCTGTGGGACTCTTCCTACGAGGCTCTCATCTAACTATGAATAGTCAGCGTTTATTGACAATAACAATTTGGACAATGCTGTATGCCAGTAACTAGACGGATCTGGAGATGGGCCAAAACGCGACATACGTCACCATGCAGCGTGCGTAAAGTAATGCGTATCAGGGAGCTGCTTGTCTCTTAAGGGCCAACAATAATTATATCTTCAGCCCGATAACTAAGACGACATTCAAAAGAGGAAGAATTCCCAGGAAAAATTAAGTACATAGAATGCATTGACCAGAACAGCTCGATGTCACGTCATCCATTTCTATCCCTACAATCTCCTAATATGAGGTCGCGTGAGAGCATAATCTATTTGCTCCAAGCCCAAAAGTATTGACAGACAGTTACTACCAAAAAAAAAGTCAAACAAGATGTATACACGTCCAAAATGAATATACTCCAAGGCGCATATTTGGCGGGCCTAAGTGAGAGGGGACGGAGAGTGTCCCGTGAAATTCTCTGGTCAATGAGCCAGCATGTTGATTCCTCACGCCAGCCCATTCGCATCATTGGTGTTTGGGGCTGCAGCCGCTTCCTTCTCCAGTTGCAGATACTTCTCCTCGGCGCTCAAGATACACTTAATGTTGGCACCCAGCTTATTCAACGTCTCTACATACTCATCATACGGATCCGAATCGAAGACAATTCCTCCACCGGCCTGCAAGTATGCCACTCCATCCTTCAATAGCATGGTTCGGAGTGCGATGCACGTGTCCATTTCACCAGCGATCTCATTCGATCCATCGGTGGTGGACTTGTTGTAACCAAAATACCCGACGGCACCCGCATAGACGCCACGCTTCTCACCCTCCAGTTCGCTGATGAGCTCCATGGCCCGGACCTTCGGGGCTCCGGAGACGGTCCCTGCAGGGAAGATGGAACGGAAGGCATCGAATCGTGTCATCCCAGGACGGAGCACACCTGACACTTGAGATACAAGGTGCTGGACGTGAGAGAACTTCTCCACAACCATGAGCCGGTCTACCTGCGTAGTCATCGGGTCACAAACCCGGTTGACGTCGTTGCGAGCGAGGTCTACCAACATAACGTGTTCAGCGCGATCCTTGAGACTTCCACGCAGTTCAGCAGCGAGGGCCGCATCTTCCTCCGGCGTCTTGCCACGCTTGACAGTCCCCGCAATAGGATGGGTGATGATCCGACCTTGCTCCTCCTTCACGAGGAGCTCCGGACTGGCACCGACAAGCTGAAACTCGCCGCAGTCGATGTAAAAGAGATAAGGGGAGGGATTGACGGTGCGTAGGTGGCGATAGAGATTGAAGGGGTGCAAAGATGTGGGACGCGCCAGCCGCTGTGATGGGACGGCTTGGAAGATATCCCCCACTACAATGTGCTCCTTGAGTCGTCTAACATGTCGCTCGTATCCTTCCTGACCAATGTTGGACTTGTACTCCTGATTCGGCTTGATTGGGCCCTGTGGAGGAAGCGGAATGTCTGGATGCAGCAGCACATTGATCGTCGCCTGGAGCGTCTCCTGGCCTTTGCGATACGCTGCTTCTAACTCCGAGTCATCTGCCGGGATCGGAATGTAGGTGATGACCTTGATGACCTGAAAGAAATGATCGAACGCGACGATGGTATCGAAGAGCATGAAGAGCGACTCAGGGACGCCGAGGACATCCTTCAGAGGGCGAGCCGTCTTAGGCTCGAAGTATTTGACGCAGTCATAACCCACGTAACCAATGGCGCCTCCGGTCAGTGGTGGCAGAGTCAATCCGGGGATTGTTGCGCTGCGGAACTGGGAGAGCTCTTGCTCCAGGATGGGGAGGGGATCACACTCGGGGCCATGACCGGGACCAGTTTTGATTACTTTCCTGGGATCTATTCGGGCACAGCAAGCCGTCAACCTTGAGCCCTATCTTTATATCATCGCGATAACACACGTACCTGCTCCGACAAAGCTGTATCTGCCGATTGTCTCCGTCGTAGCCGCACTCTCGTAGAGAAAGGAAAGTTTTGATCTGCAGCATTCGCATAGAGTATTCTCGTCAGAATTGTTCCGTATATAGGATAATTGGCTCTCTTGTAGGATGGGGTAGCGCTCGAGACAGGACGAGACTTTGATGACTCACTTTGCTGAGATTTTGAGGTATGCAACCGTCGGCGTGAGAAGGTCGGCGGGAATGGACGCAGTCAAGGGAAGGAGATTGGGAGGGAACTGGGAACCTCTTGATTTCGCGAGGATCTCACGTGCAGTCTCGAGAGACGGCACGACAGTCGCCTGAGGTATTGAAATACGATCAGTCGAAATTGGTTTGTGATGCCAGATGAGCCCCGCACAGAGCGAACACGAGATAAGACGAACAAAACAAGGCAGTACTCACTGGTGCCGGCATGGCGCAGATGTAGTGTCTATGTCAATGGAGAATATGGAATCCTTTTCCTCCCTCTTGGAGCGAAATGCGGGATGCAGCGATTGGTATGTCTGTTGGCGGGGTCACAGAAGACCGGAGACCATAGTTATCCACGAGTCAACTCGACGGAGGACAACTGTGCCAGGAAGCTATATAAGGGAGACCGATGGGAGGACGGCGACTCGCTAGCAATGGCCACAATTGCGTCCCTCGGGGTGCATTGGAGACTGGAAGCGAAACTCTTTCTACACCCTCGTGCTGCTCTTGGCAGCAGATGAGTTCCGTCGTCAATCTGGATCCCCGATTGGGTTTAGCCCTGGGTTTCTGCAAGGGGATTAGCGCAGCCGGGCATCCGCTGATAACGCTGCGGCGACAGGCTCGGCAGTCGGGGCGTTGCTAGCTGTCAGTCAACCAGCGGTCAAGCTTGCGGAAGCACAGAGCCCGCCCAGCCGGACGCTTCTTTGCTGGCCCCGCCCGACCTCCAGGCGGCTGCTGAGCTTGCCCAGGAAACCACGTAGTCTGTACCCAAGTAGTAGTGCCTAAGTGCTAAGTATTAGTTAACGAGCTAGCGTGTACAAAAATAATACCTAGCTAACAATGCCAACATGGTAGAGGCTTCAACCCTGAAACGATAAAGCTTCTCACCGTCGCGCGCTCGGCGATATAGGTAGCATCTGCTTTCAACCTATCAAACAACGATGGACCCTCTACATTCTCAACGGCATCGGATCTCACCGTCCTTTGCGGACTCCGCTATCGATATCGAGCTGACTGACGCCAGCGGAAGCAAGGGATCTGTCTCCCACGACCATGCCATTCCGCTTCCGGACCGACTCGCCCGCATCGCAGCACAGGTTTCTCTGCGCAGCCTCGATGAGCATGAGTGCGCCGCTGTGCACAAATATCTCGACAGCATTGAGACCATCCTCGACCCTCGTCCTGGACTCAGCAGAGAAATCGCTAGAAACCGGCCTTCGAGCTCTCGTTCGGGAACTGCTACTCCGATTGCCTCGCCCACGACTCGCACGGCACGATCCAGTGATGACGTTCCCAGCAATCAGACGGCGGTCCAGACAGCAAGCCGCCAGCTAACGAGCCTTCTGAAGGACCTCTCCGAGGCCAATGCCCAGCTCCAGCAGCGGCGCATGGAGGCGCGTCACATCTATGAGCTTTTTACCTTCAAATGTGAAGGACTGGCACAACGAATCATCGAGCTGGAGGAAGAGGTGCATGAGCTGTGAGCGTCCATTCCCGCTTTTATTACTCCAACTCTCATTGGACTGACAACGACGTATCCTTGTATACAGGCAGGCTGATATCCTGGAAGATTCTATTGAGCTCGAGGGTCTCCGGGGAACTGTCCGGGGGCTTGAAAGCTGGATCGGTAGATGGGAACGCCAACGCCAGTTGTCTGCAACACAATCAACTGCAGCTCCCACGCGACAGCGAAAGATCAAATGGCGGCGAAAACGACAACCGGAAGGCACAAGTCACGAAGAGGAAAACGATTGCGATGCACTCCTTGAAGGCATATGTGCGTGGATGCGGGGGTGGAAGGATATTGAAGAAGGCTTCCGCATCCGAGCACGGAGACGGAAGCTGCGAAGGGAACGGAGAAGGCCCCATGGCGAGGAGATTCCCTCGAGCTGAATCCGAAATCACTGCCCCAGGTGCCCTCCTTGGGAGTTACCTCATATCTGTGTTGTAATCAGGATTAAGTGGGAATACAGTAGGTAAGTAGGAACACAGGCTACCTAGGTACCTAATATTCGATAGAGTTTCCTTACTGATAGCCACATGTGTATCAACCAAAATAGGTGTCCCAACGTAGCAAAACTCCCTCCTTCCCCACCAGAAAGCCTCACGATGTGTGTGAAAACCCGATTGTTCGCCGTGTGCACCCAACCCTCCAGTCACCAGTCGCACTGCTCTCAATGCTAGGAAGCAAAAAAGAAAGGAAAAGAAAAGAAAAATGAAAAAAAAAAACTCACTACGCAGGACAATGGTATCATCCTAAATGAGAAAAAAAAATGCGCAACCCAACCAAATCCCTCAAAACAAATATGGGAACTCCCTGACCACAACGCTAGCATAGGATAAGAAGATCTCCTAGTCATGCAACCCCGGACCCTTAAAGGTTTGATGGATGATTACCACAGCAGGGTAAAGTATCCGCCTTCTGTTATTAATTCGCGAAAGTAGACCGGCCTCGGTGGAGGAAGAAATACAAAGCGATGCTATGTGCAAGAAATGCAGGAAATGTAGTGCTGCCAGGGCAGATTCAGCCAATTAACTAGTAGGAACTATGTCCAATCAAACGGGCGCGCCATTACCGCTGAAAGTTAATAACGGCCATCTGTAAAAACTGGTATGAGTATCTGACCTCATGCATAGCTAGTCGATTACAACGAGGAAAGTTGACATACCTGCTTTCCGAAGCCCATAACAACCTTCTTTGCGTCCGTATCCCACGCGAGACTGCGATACGGAAGCACGTCCGCCGAACCATTCTCCCCGTTGGCAGTTTTTTCTGGACCTTCCTCTTTCGGACCAGCAGAGGTGGGAGCCGTCCAGGTTGCCACGGGCTCACCACCGCGTTCCGCATTCCAGATGAACAGCTTGTCCGTGCTGGCAGCTCCAATGGCATACCCGTCTGGTGAGAAGGACATGGCGAGGGCAGGCACACCGGGGTCCAGGGACAGATGATGAAGGCAGGTAATCTGTTTCGATTTCAGATCAATATTCCAGATCTTGACGGTATCATCGAAGGATGAAGATGCCAAAAGCAGAGAGGTCGACGCCTGCACTTCAGAGGACTGAGGTTGAGGGCGGAGTTCGATTGCCGTGATGTCTGCGCGGTGCGCATCCTCGACATAGATGTCGTGCGTCGGGACCCAGATACTGGCTGGGGAAGATGACGCTGCGACAACGACTGGTGAGGCGGCTTGCTTGGTACCCTGGATGTGGGACCACACCGTGTCCGCGTTGGGGGAGGTGAATTTCTTCACATTGTGAATGCTGGAATCGATATCGCACTGGAAAACCACGCCATCACCGCAGGCATAGACCTGGTTATCACCAACCCACGTGAGATCGTAGACCACGCCCTCAATCACCTCGGGTAGGGGCATTTCCTCAGATCGATTCGAGTCGTCCCACAAAGCTAACTCGGTCTTTCCTCTCCCGTCTGAAGCGACAATGAGCATGTGCGAGCCCTTGCTGGCCCAATGCAACCCGGTGATCATTCCGGGAACCACTGGCAACAGGTCGACCGCATCTCCGTCGACATTGTACATCGTGATAGACCCACGCATGTCATTATAGGTGGCCACGGCAAGTTTCTGCCCGGAATGATCCCATGACAAGGCGGACACCAAGCTGCCATCGCCCCGGCTATCGAACAGCAGCTCGTACGCTGGAGCTGACCCGGTCTGGGAGTTCGGGGCAGACAACTTCCAGATACCACAGAAGGAGTCGCCGGCCGCGGCGAAGACGGACGAGTCGTGCGGGCGCCACACGATGCGGGTCACGTGGTCATCACGCGCCACATCCACATCCACCACGGTGGTGTCGGGGCTAAGGTCGGCAGCCTTGGCGGGGGTGATCTGGACGCCAACGCTTTTACCCGTGGTCAGGGTGCACAGCGCTGCATGGTCCTGCTGGCTCTCGGACATGCCCACGTCGCCGTCTGCATCCACGCCGGGAGACGGGGATTTGACTGCTGCCTCGTGAGCAATGCCATTGGAGTCGATTTCCATGGCACCCTCGTCGCCATTGACGGGGGCTTCGGGGCGTTCAACGGTGCTGCTACCCTTGCGACTCTTCTTTGCACTGGGGGCCGCTAAGGTAGATTCGGCGGCCACATCTCCATTGACCGCGTTGGCGCCTTCTCGATCGGCCTTGCTTCCCGGCGACAGGGGCGCTTGGTCGGTGCCGAGCCCGTCCAGCGCTTTATCGGGGTCACTACGGGGTTTCAGCGACTCCTCATCGAACGGTGCCGGACCAAAAAAATATTTTGATGGTGTCAAGGGCACTGGGTTACCATCCTGTAAAGATCTGTTAGAAGCTTGCGGCTCCGAATGGATCGCGACGTGGCGGCCAAGCTCGGGACCTGCCTGATCGAGCGATTGTTCAATCTCATGATACTGCAGGCCCTTTTGGACAAGGGACACAAGCGCATGAGTCTTGATGTATGGTGCAAACGGTAGACTCTGTGGATTAGGATTCCAGGCACGCTGGAGCATCCTTGCTGCCTCGGCATGACCTGTAAACGAGTTAGAAACACAGACATTTTCTCATATCACCTGCCCTTTCTATCTCTTTCCCCCCTCTAGGTTCTTGGTTAAGAAAGGGTGAAAACCAACCTGACTCTTGCAGGTACCTGTAATCATGACAGCTGAGTAAGCCCTTGAACACTAAAAACCAAAATGGCGCAGCCATTCACAAGCCTCTATCAAGAACGTACCTCCATATTAGATAGTTGACATGATGAGAAGTGAGGTCCATGGTTACATGGGTGACGCCTAGTCCGTCGCAACAGCTGCTAGGATGCTACAGGCTAGATAGCGGGCCTGCCGGTTGAAACTGTCCTCTGACTAAAGAGCCTGGAGAACCACTGCAGGGCAGAATCCCCTTAGAGAGAAGAGAGAGATGGAAAGGCGAACAGCGTTTGGGGAACTCCACAAAGCAGCGGCGTTGAAAGGGAAAGTGAAAATTAAAAAATATCTCAAATGGGTTCCAGACGATGATGGTGCACGGAGGGACGGAAAGGCGGGACGATGAGAGAGAAAAGCGGAGGTCACAAAGATGGAGAAAGATGGCGGATCATAAAGAGGGAGGAAGAGGCTGGAAGCAGAGAAGCTGGACAGCGTAGCGCATGCTCTTCGCGCCTTGTGCGAGAGGGTTTTAGGCAGAACGCTCGAAGGCGTCGAGGTTGAAGACTCGAGAAAGAAGATGAATTGCACGGAACGGGACGAAATCGACGCCAGGGTGTGGCTTGAGATGGCAGACCCGCTAGTTAGTGGGCAGCAAGCATGCGTCCGCTAGTCTCGAGTCGCCGGCTTTTCGGGACAAAATCAGAGCCTAAGGGACGGGCTGCCCAGGTCCCAGCCAAGCTCGGGGCGCATGATTCACTGTCAGGCCGATTGATCCTTCTCCAGACCAGGCGAAGGGGGATCCGATGGGCGGGTCTGGGTGGCGCGTAGTGCAAGCGTTGAACTTCAGGCGGTTCCTTTCGGGGCGAGGCCGCCATTCGCCGTCCGCGTGAATCACTCTCCAGCGCTGCTGCATTCACCACGAGTCCGCCGCCCAATAAGCGTGCCCAGCAGCAACTTTATTGCGGTCCAGCTGGTGCGGTGAATGCCAGCAGCAAGACATCGAGTATTTGATATTATTACTTTACTGCATTTATCAATCCTGCTTTCACTGCGCATCGAGCGTAGAGTACCTGGAGTGCTCCTGAAGAAATCCCCAGTGGTGACGTGACTGGAGCGACCCTGCGGCCTGCAGTTCGCGCCAACTTCCAGTCCAGGGCTGTGGAGCGTTGTACCTGAAGCGACTGGATAGCGACCACCTGGGCTGTACCTAACTACCTCCCTGTTTTTGAAGTTCCAACATCGTCGCTGAACTGAAATTACTGGCGAGCAGCGCATTTACAATCCCTGCCAACCTAACAACCGAAGTAGTCTCAGTCAGCTCTAAATTAGGGTGCTATGGTCTGGACGTAAGGTAGCAATTATTTTTTTTTCAATTACCCGCGCAACCTCTACGCCTTCAGATTAGATGGCATCAGATTCTCGACTACTGTTCCACCTCTCTAACTATAGCGGTGGGCTGTGGGCAAGCCGGTGCCTTCCTCTTTCAGCCGGGCTGCTTTCCGTCCATCCATGGATGTTGTGCTTCTTGTCCTTTTTAAGAACAAGGCTTGCATCTAGAGTTGTCAGCGTGCTTCTCAATCCCAAATACGCTCTCCAGGCTGCAGTGACGTTCTGTTCCAGTTCTATTGATTGGATCCCATGAAAATGAGAGAATATTGGCCAGGACCATGCGACTCCAGATGTCTCTCTGTAGAGAAATACCGATACGCGTATGGATTCAACCATTAGATTGGCCCTTACAGATTCAGGGAGCTTCGAATGAGGTCTCGACAGCAACCAAGGCATTTTCTTTGTCTTGTTAGGAACCGCATCGCTGGCATATCTGTTTGAACGTGGTGCGGGATGGTCGCCACGGCGTGTTGGGCCTTACCGAGACAGAAATAAGAGCACGGCTACACCAAAAAGGTCCGCAACCTTTTGCCAGCCTTCGGCTTTCCTCTGCTGCCCGTGACCTCCGCTGCGGCAACGCCTGCAGACGGCATCTTGTCGACCACGACGAACTCGCGGCAAATCTTTCTCGACGCCGCATGCCGCACGAGTCTATTTCCGGCAAGATGCCTGTTCGAATCAATCTGCCTCCTGCCACGCGCATCCTCCTGATCAGTCTTCTGGCCCTTTCTTTTCTGTATAACGTCGCAAGATGGCGACAACTTGACCTCTCCACGGGAGGTGCTTCGACGACAACGAGTCCCATCGTGCCCTATCTGACCCTGGTACCTTCGCGATTTTTCTATTATCCTTGGACTCTCCTCACGGCGACTTTTGTCGAGCAGAACATCTTCACCGTCCTCCTCAACGCAGCCACCCTCTTCTACGGCGGGAAATACTTGGAACGGGCATGGGGGTCACGCGAGTTTGGCAAATTCATTCTGGTCGTGTCGCTCATCCCAAATGCCTTGACAGTGCCAATCTACCTTTTGTGGGCTGCTGTGACGGGTAGCCAACTTCGGGGGTACGCCTTTTTGTTTTCCCATGGCAACTGCACTACTTCTTGCGCAATGCCCACTGATGATTCTACGAGTTTAAGTCTGACGCAAATATGCGGCGGTGTTTCGCTCCAAGCATCCTTCCTCGTCGCGTTCAAGCAGCTGGTCCCCGAACACACTGTTACCATTCTCAAGGGTCTCGTGAAGGTGCGCGTGAAGCACTTTCCGGCGCTCTTCCTCCTGCTCAACACGATCAGCGGTGTTGTTTTCGGAACCGACACCGCGGCTATTCTCGCCTGGCTCGGCCTATTGACGAGTTGGTCGTATCTCCGTTTCCACAAACGTCAACCAGATTTCACAGGCACTTCTACCAACGGTCTTGGCATCAAAGGCGATGCCAGTGAGACATTCACGTTTGCAAGCTTCTTCCCTGATGCGATCCAGCCTCCCATTGCCTTTGTTGCGGATAAGATCTATGCGGCGCTCGTGGCGATGAGAATATGTACACCCTTCTCGGCTGAGGATATTGCCTCAAGCAACGAGCACGCTCTGGCCCGTGGTCAAGCAGGTCTTCCAAGCCTTCTGAACAATGGCCGGGGTGGTGGAGGTTATAGAGGGATGGGAAAGCGCGAGGAGGCAGAACGACGACGGGCACTGGCCCTTAAGGCCCTCGACCAAAGGCTGCAAGCTGCGGCCGCCAACAAGACACAACCGTCTGGGTCGAGCCAGGCGACCGGAGGACCATCCCCGGCCACGGCGCCCACGGTGTCGACCGGGCAGAATATGTTAGGAGAAACTAATTACACTCCAGACAATGCCTGAATTGCGCCTCCGTCTCTGGAAATGGCATGATAGCCTCAAACAACATCATGCTTGGATAGATTTATGCTGGGTATATATTTCAAAGGATGCAGCGTACCGCGGTGGAACAAAACAACCTGGTGCGAATATGTTACAATGGCGATGGATGACTTTTTGTTTTGTCTTCTTTCCTCGGAAACTCTCGATATGAAATCTGCCTGTGCAGACCAGTATCTGAGCGAGATGACATGAATAACTGTTGGACTGCATTCGAGGGAGTTGTGAGATACCATTTGACTATGGGTTTGGCTTTTAATTTATCCTTTCTTTCTTTGTCTTACTTTAACTGGGAATAAATATACCATATATGCATGACGCAATGTGCGTTTGATTAATTCATAATTCCATCCTCATGGCCATCTGTAGTTATTAAGAGTGTATGGCAGAGCGTTGATAATTGTTCCCGAGCACTAAAAGAAATAGAATAAGCTAAAGAGCAAAAAAGTATGTATTCTATTGTACAATGAATTTTGTCCGGACAGCTCAAAACATCTGGAAGCATTGGGCAATTCATTATGAAATATTCATCCCAGCCACCTGTGATGTGATGAAATGAAAACTCTCACAACTGCCTTAACCTCTCCACCTCTCCTCTGGCTTCTTGTAGCATCCGCTCTTGGTCCTTCTTTGCCTGTCGAATTGCAGCCACCCGAGCTCGGTCGATTTCAGACTGTTTGCGCATTTCTTCCAGCTTTTCCAATTCTGCCTTCTCCTCTGGCGTCGCCTCCACGTCCTGCGCACCCGTCACAGCCTTTACTCGTCTCCAGATTTCCTTGTAATCAATGTTCTTGGCGTCGATAACGACAGCCTTCTCCGTCGGTGACGGAGCGGGTGCGTACTTGTCATTGATATTGGCCGCATGCTCGGCGGCGGTGCTGCTCAACCGCTCCGAGAAAAAGATGGTGAGGGCGGCGGGACCCTCCTGCTCAGTCGTCTGCTTCACCGTCATCCGGACGCCCGGATTGTGGTACTTTAACCGCGTCAGGCAGTTGCGCCAGAAGTGCCTCGCTCCCTGGTGGCCTCCATAGATCTTCTTCGCGTACGTCAAGTGCATGCGCGTGACGGGTGGGAATTCTTTCGTTGACGAGGTAGGGGAGGGAAGAATGGCCGCGCCGGGACCAAGGCGAACATTGAGAAGCTAAAGAAAAACCAATGAACTTGTTAGCAGTATTTCGAAACAGACGTGGGCCGACTCATCAAATTGTGATATCACAAGAATTCTCGAGGCACGGTTCAAGTGCTAATGCTTCGTCGAAGGTAGCGAAAGGATCCAGGGAATCTCAGGGATATTTCAAAGGAATATTTACCCTCTACCAAAGGAATATCAGTTAGCATACATGACCATTTGCAGGAATTGGCATAGGGCTAAATATATTGGACCTACTGTCTTCAGCTTTCGCATCCGCTTCATTAGGTTCACCATCTTCGCAAGATACGAATTGAGTTCTCCCGTAGGCGTAGACCCACGGAAGAACAATGGAACCAAAAGATAATACACAAAAGAATGGAATTGAAGTAGACGAATAGAAAAATTAAATCAAAACAGCTTGTTTGATCGATGTTCCGAGTGGGCGGGATCTGGAGGTCGCCGTCGTCTTCGCCGATTTTTTGGGATGTTATTCCGGCGACGAGGAGGACCGAGACTGTGGTGATGATGGTCACGTGGTGTAGCCTAGTTCTCACCTTATCTAAATGGCGACACTTCACGACCTTTGAAAGCACACATACCAAATAGAGGACGAGGATTTGGCAAGAATCAACAGTAAATGGACTTCAGAGAACTGACAGGGTGATTGTTCTGGATTGTCAGCCTCTCAATATTCGCAGAACAGGACAATTTCTGTTCTTGGCTTTAAATTCATATTTCCAGCAGAACAGCACTAATCGGCTTCTGCCTCCAAGATCGTTCGGTCTTGTCTCAGGGTTTAGTTATTATCTATTGATTCCATTGAGTTGATTCGTCTTGTCTCAGCTCATACTTTGAATTATTTTCTATCAAAAGATGCTTGCTTCTCCATTGAGCATCCCTCTTCAATGGATGCTTATCCTTTATCAAAGAAAGCTTGTTGGACATTAGATTTATTCTTCTCCTGCGACTATTGGAAGGATCAGATACCAGTTTTCCCCCAGATTATAGGTATACATACGCAACTACATACCTAGACTTATGTATTCCATGGGGGATGGCAATTACCAATCAGAAACGGGGTGTAAATTACCGGAACGTCGGCCATGCCCCCCCCGAGAAGTACCTTCCCCGCCACTCCATGCACAAAAGATACTTCGGTGGTGCTAACCGGCAAGGCACAGGTTCTTGCGCTAGTGTTCCATCCGCGTTTTAACCCATCTAGTGATTTTCTGGTAATTTAAAACGATCGACCGACTCACAACTCATCCGCACTGCAACCCCACCAGGCAGTTATTCTCACCAACGTTTCGAAGCTCAGGGTAAAGTTCTTCTGCGAAGAAAGCAGAAACTAATCTCCTGAGAACCATGGCTGCCGCTGCGGCAGCTGCAGCTGCGCTCGATCCGAGCAACAGCACAAAAAATACTCTCAAACTTGAAAATGTCTCTGCCCCTCTCCCCTCCAATATGAACCCCGCAACCCCGCCACAGAGCTAATGGTGATTTTTTTGAACAGACTGAGAAGAGAGATACCCTCATCGCCATCGAGAAGAAATACCAAGCGCAATGGAGAGAGAACAAGGTGTTCGAAGTCGACGCCCCTTCCCTCTCCGAAGTCCCCGCCGGTACCCTGTCTGCGGCGGAACTCCGTGCTAAATATCCCAAGTTCTTTGGAACTATGGCTTACCCTTACATGAATGGGACTTTGCATGCCGGCCACAGCTTCACCGCAAGTAAAGTCGAGTTCATGACCGGGGTCGCACGGATGCAGGGAAAGAGGGCTCTGTTCCCCCTTGGGTTCCACTGCACGGGAATGCCGATCAAGGCTTGCGCGGACAAACTAGCGGATGAAGTCAGGATGTTTGGGAAGAACTTTGAGAGATATAACGATGAAGAGGCCGAAACGCCCGATGAGCCGCCCGCTCCGACAAACGAAGTCAAGGCCGACCCGACAAAGTTCTCTGGCAAGAAGAGCAAGGCTGCCTCCAAGACCGTGAGGATGAAGTACCAGTTCCAGATCATGCTGGCCATTGGTATACCGTTGGAGGAGATCCACAAGTTTGCTGATGCCAATCACTGGCTTCATCACTTCCCTCCCCTTGCAATCCGTGACCTCAACAGCCTAGGCGCAAGGATTGACTGGCGGAGACAATTCGTTACCACTGACGCTAACCCATACTATGACGCCTTTGTCCGGTGGCAGATGAACCGCTTGCATGAATTGGGAAAGATCCAATATGGCAATCGGTATACCATCTACTCTCCCAAGGACGGCCAGCCTTGCATGGACCACGACCGGACCGAGGGAGAAGGTATCGGTCCGCAAGAATACACTGCCTTGAAGCTCAGGGTGAAGGAATGGTCTCCTGCTGCGGTTGAACTAGTTAAGGGCAAGATCGAGGATGACGCTAATGTCTACTTCATCCCTGCCACGTTGCGTCCAGAGACCATGTACGGTCAGACTTGCTGCTTCGTCGGACCAAAGATTACCTATGGTCTCTTCAAGGTCAAAGAAAAGGAATACTATATTGTGACGAAAAGAGCGGCCTGGAACATGGCATTCCAGGGCATCTTCTTTGACAGTGAACACTTCCCGAAGACGCAGGACGAGCTGCCGTTAGTTGTTGAAGCTCAGGGTTCCACCTTTGTTGGAACTCTGGTCCATGCTCCTCTTTCGGTTCACACTGGTGGTGTTCGAATTCTGCCGATGGAGACTGTGTCGCCAACGAAGGGAACTGGTGTCGTCACTTCGGTGCCGTCAGACAGTCCCGACGACTTCGCCACTGTCACTGATCTCGCGAAAAAGGCGGATTATTACGGCATTAAGAAGGAATGGGCTGAATTGGAGATCCTCCCTATCATCGAGACTCCAACATACGGGAACTTGACCGCACCCACGTTGGTGAAGCAGCTCAAGATCAACTCTCCCAAGGATGCCACCCAGTTGGCTAAAGCCAAGGAATTGGCTTACAGTGAGGGTTTCTACAAGGGTGTCATGCTTGTGGGTGAGTTCAAGGGACAGCCAGTGCAGGCTATCAAGGACAAAGTTCGCCGATCTCTCATTGAGAGCGGTGATGCTTTCCCCTTCGCGGATCCCATGGGCAAGGTCGTCAGCCGAAGCGGAGATGAGTGTGTTGTAGCCTATTTGGGCCAATGGTTCTTGAACTACGGAGAGAATGACGCGAAATGGCAAAACGACACTCTGAATTATGTTGTCAACGAGCTCAACACGTTTACGGCCGAGACCCGGAACGGATTCGAGGGCAACCTGACCTGGCTGAACCGGTGGGCGTGCGCGAGAACATACGGTCTTGGCTCAAAGCTTCCGTGGGATCCAAAGTTCCTGGTTGAAAGTTTGAGTGACAGTACGATCTACATGGCTTACTACACGATCGCGCACCTTCTCCACGCAGATCGGTACGGCGAAACTCCTGGTCCTCTCAACATCAAGCCGGAGAACATGATTGATGAAGTGTGGGATTACGTCTTCACGAGGCGTGAGCTTGACGACGAGCTCATCAAGAAGAGCGGCATCAGCAAGGATGCACTGCTGACGATGCGCCGAGAATTCGAGTATTGGTACCCGCTGGATGTCCGAGTCTCTGGCAAGGACCTCATCCAGAACCATCTCACCTTCTTCCTCTACATCCACATCGCTCTCTTCCCACCGGAATACTGGCCGCGGGCCGTTCGAGCCAACGGCCACTTGCTGCTTAACGGCGAGAAGATGAGCAAGAGCACGGGCAATTTCCTGACCTTGAAGGATGCGGTGGACAAGTATGGCGCTGATGCGACACGAATTGCCTTCGCTGACGCCGGAGACGGGATCGAGGATGCGAACTTCGAGGAGACCGTTGCTAACAGCAGCATCTTGCGCTTGTTCACCCTGAAAGAGTGGATTGAGGAGGTTGTCAAAGATCAGAGCTTGCGCACTGGACCGGCGGACGCTTTTTGGGACAAGCTGTTTGAGAACGAGATGAATGTGTTGGTCCGGGAAACTATCAAGCACTATGAGAAGTATGGGCTAACCCACTAAACTGTACGAGGTTTGTTACTAACGTCATCTCAGCACCGATTTCAAGCTTGCTCTCAAGTCTGGACTTTATGACTTTACGGGCGCTCGTGACGCGTACCGCGAGGCTGCGACTGCTGCTGGTGTCGGATTGCATCGTGACGTTGTCCTCCGATATATCGAGCTTCAAGCTTTGATGATTGCTCCTATCGCGCCTCACTGGGCGGAATATGTTTGGCTCGAGGTCCTCAAGAAGGTATGCCCACCACAAGCTTCTTTCTTTGTGGCTCTTTTTTCTATCGCCGGCCGTTTTTTTTCTGAGTTAATTGCTTACTTGGAACAGCCTGAGTCGATTCACTATGCTGTCTTCCCCACTGTGCCCGAGCCATCACCCGCGCTTTCAGCTGCGTCGGCATATGTCCGCAACACCTCGTCCAGTATCACGTCGGCAGAAGCTGGCTTTGCGAAGAAGCTTTCGAAAGGAAAAACCACCAGCTTTGACCCGCGGAAGCCAAAGAAACTCACGATCTACGCAGCCAAGCAGTTCCCTACTTGGCAGGAGAAGTACATTGACCTGGTTCGCGAGGCCTTTGACGCCGTTAACCTCTCCATTGACGATAAGGAGTTGAACGCCAAGGTGGGCAAGTTGGGCGAGATGAAGAAGGCGATGCCGTTTGTGCAGAACTTGAAGAAGCGGTTGATCCAGGGCAAAGAGGCTCCCGAGACGGTGTTCGCGAGGAAGCTGCCGTTTGATGAATTCGCGGTCCTCAGCGAGATGCTTGGCGGTCTGAAGCGCACGACCGGGTGCAAGGAGATCGAGATCGTCGCCGTCGACGAGGGCGGCAAGACGGGCACGGTTCTGGGCACGAATGAGAAGAGGGAAAACCTTCAGGCTGAGAATGCTGTTCCGGGTCAACCTACTTTCCATTTTGCGAACATTGCGGAGTGAATATGAATATATATCTAGATAAGACATAAAAAAGAAGAAGAAAAAGAGACAAAAATGACATGATTTTTGTTTTCCTTTTATAAGTTTCGTTCATCTATTTGTGTCTTTTTGTAAGAGTATTATTTACCATCATGATCATGATCATATAAATTTCCGGGGCTCCTTTGCTGGAGATATATGTCCACATAAGTATACTCCGGGCGTCTCCCATCTAGCTGATGATCACTACTTGTTATTACCTTAGTCTAGACATTGTGGGATTTCCAGCATTTCGATCTACATAGTTAGTGGTATGAAACTTGTCTATTTGGAATGGTATTATTAGGAGTATCACTCATTTCATCATACCTACCTAGCTACCTATATACATACCCATTTAGTGAGAGCGAGCGCGTTCGAGACATTCATTCATTCATTCATTCATTCCATCTAACCCTTCAATGCCTTGATCATCCTGTTGTTTTGGAAGGTATCTTCATCAGCATCTTTCTCTTTTCGTCCGCGTGTGTACAGACATATGTCGATGTACTCACCTATTAAGCCCTTTGCGAAGAACGTCCTCTTCCTGCGAAAAGACCAGTCTGAACCACCCCCGCTTCGGGCCGTGCTCTTCGCCCGGATGAAGGAAGACTCCGGCGTCGAGCAGTCGCTGCGCGAGGGCGAACTCGGCTTTCGTTGCCTGCTGGTCTGTGGGTTGTCTTGATGACGTTGAAGTTGTCGTCGAGAGCGGCTCTTCTTCTTCCGAGTACGACGACGGAAGATAGGGTGAGAGATCGATGTAGATGAAGAAACCGGCGTTACTGGATTACAATATCAGTCAGTGATGATTTAACCCTTCTTTTTTTCTTTTCGTTTTCGCGTTATTTATCTAACTTACCCTCCCTTGACATATCGGATTCCTTCCCTGTCGAGAATCGACGTCACGAGCCGATACGACGCTGCCAGACGCTGGCGGGCCATTGCATTGAAGGAAGACACAAAATCTTGATCTTCAAGGATTGCGGTCCCGATTGTGAGGGCCGCGCCGGACGCACCGTGGAATCTTCTATAAGACCATCGGCCATGAGGTCAGTACACAATCTTGTCACCTTCTTTTGTACGTTCTTATGTAGAACAATCGAAGGAGCCACAGACAAGAGAGCAGTGCATGCTTGAAGAAGCTTTTTGTTCTGTGAGATCAGGAAGCCGAGATGGAGACCGCCGGATGCAAAGTCCTAAGTGAGAGCAAGGCAATTCAGTCAGTTCCGCCGCATGTAATTGATTATCCCCAAAAAGGGGATGTCAAGGGATAAGCAGGAATTTATTCATTGAATATAAACTCTACGGACTCACCTTGCTGAATCCATACAGCATATGTACCAGATTCGGATCAATCAATCCTGACAAGTCGATTGACAGGATGGAGGTGAACGGCACGGCGTCCGGGGACCCGGAATCGAAGCCGCACATGCCGTACACCTCGTCGCTTATCAGATGGATCTGGTGCTGTTTACAGAAGCGAAGGATCGCTTTCAGTGTCTCTACTGGGTAACATCGTCCTGTATCCAGATAGTCATGGCTCAGCCATCCGTTATCTTAACTGGTAGATATTCTGAAGAAGAGGGAAGGAGGAAAGCAATGAGGTCAAAATTGAAAATCAACAAGGCGTTAGAACTTACCGACAGGATTATTCGGATTCACGAGCAGAACAGCCCGAATTTTCTGGCCCCGTCTCTCGGCCTCCTTCAGCGCGATTTCGTACTTGTCGACCACGGCGCTGGAAAAGGCCTCCTCTGGATCCGTGTCGGCATAGACGATGTTGACACCAGCCTCGAGGCCGTAGTCGAGCTCGAATCGGCCGTACATGGGACGACTGACTAGGATGCCGTCCCCGGGCTCGGCCAGCGTGATGCCCAGCATGCTCCCCAGAGAGGTCGGGTTGTTTGCAATGAGGATGTTTTGGGGATCCACCGGCGTGACAGGATGGAAGTTTCTCTGCAGATGAGCGACCAGCGCGGCCAGCAAGCGTGGTGTCGTTGCAGGCTTGGGGCCGTAGCTGACCGAGTCTTCCGTAAATGTAACCTAGATATGATAGATATCTCAATCCCGCTGCCCAGACTGACAGATGGAAGGAAACAGATGACGAAAAGCAGCAATGGCCTGGATACGGACCTTTTCATTGATATACTTTACGATCTCCTTCCGCATGGGGATCTACTATCTCGATACCACATATCGGTCAGAAATCATGAAACTTACTCGAGGAAGCATCGTCGTCAATTATTCAATGTGACATACGTTCTCTGCGAGCGCAAAAGATATCAACCCATCAGGATTGGTATCCTTATTGTACGACTGCCTCAGTGCGTACCGCCAGGGAATATCCGATATCGCTGCACATCTTGTGCCGCGAGAAGACAGCATTTTGTTTGCAGAGAGAGATAACGAAGTAATATCCACAGGACGAGTTGCTCTCAGGTGAGGTGTATATAAATTTGCATGTACTCCTGAACGTTGAAAGATACAAGGCAATATATTTGTCCTTGATTGCACAATGTGACGATGTAGTAAATTGTTAAATCGCGGGTACCTTGGCGACGACTAGTTCCGCGAAATGTCGCGACATCACGTGGGGTGCTTTCATTTGCCTATCTAGGCAAGGTATTGTCAGTATCTACAGCATTGTCAATCAAATCTCCAATTTGGGGACAGCATCTATGAGTCACGAGATATTATTTGATATGTATTGCTTATAAATCAGTCATTGAGGGTCTGAAGTCAAAATGTTTATGGATGGCGGTGGGAATGTTTGTTATATATATCTACATTAATACGCTGACCAGTTGGGAGACTGACTATCGCAGAGGCTTAACAACGTTAAGTACAGCTCAGTGAAGGTTTCGTCAAATTCGCGAATCTCAGCCATATCAGAAGATGTTCCCGAATTTGCAGTATGCCAACGTGGAAAGAGAAAAGCATGTCATGATGATGGTCGTTTGGACAAGGACGACGATCTAACTCAATTCTTTACGCTTGCCTTCATGTTAGAATCCTACGAAGATCAACACTACAACGCTGTTTTCTCCTGTCTACACATGCTCAAATTCAGTAACTTGTTCTTTCCCCGTCACTCTCAGATCAGCCTCCCGCTCATGCTGGTGACGTTGCACCGTCCGACCACCCTTGCTGGTGAAAACGCCACCAGTCAATCCGCCTTTGTCAAACAGATGATCAATATCTTCCAGCTCTAGCTGGCTGGTTTCCGGGAAGAAACAGTAGACGATCGGAATCCACAGGAAGCAGAAGACGGCAAAAATAATAAAGGTCCGCCATTGGATGTTTGAAATCGCGATCGGGGTGATTTGCACGACCGTAAACACGCACATCCAGTTGATAAAGGAAGCCAGTGCTTGGCCTTTGGACCGGATGCGAGTTGTCGTCACTTCACTGGGAAAGAACCATGGCACTGGAAGGAAACCAATGCCGAGAAAGATCTGGAAGAGAAAGACCATGGCAGTCGCGCCGTAGGCACTTGATTTGGTGTTTCTGGACAGGAGAATTGCTGCGAGGCTGAAGCAAAGACAGAGGCCGGATGCTGAAACCATCAAGAGGGTACGGCGTCCGAACCTATCCATCGCCTACAGAATACATACAGTTAAAGAATTTCTTCTGAAGACGCGGAAGAGTGAAACTTACCCATAACGGAATAATGGAGCCCACCAGATAGGTCAACGACGTGCATCCGCCGAGAATCAAGCTGAGAGTTCTTGAGAGCCCCATGGTCTGCTGATACACCACAGGAGCATAGTAATTGATCATATTCGATCCGGTAAACTGCTGCATGATGTTGACCGCCATGCAGAGGACGATTCTGCGTAAGTTTTGGACTTTGCCTCCAGCCAAAAGCTCTTTGTATCGGAAAGGCCCGCCGGCGCTTTCCATCTCAATACCGGTCTCGATCTGTCGTCTCATGTAGACAACATCGGGGTGGTCTGGGGTTGCATCTTTGGATGGATGCAATCGAGCCAAGACCACGCCTGCGGAGTCGTTCTGGTTGTTGAGGATAAGATAGCGAGGTGTCTCTGGAAGCGGCAGCATCTGAAGAACCAAGCAGATGGCGAAGAACGCCTGGAACGCAACTGGGAAGCGCCACTGAATAGGGCCATCAACATAACTGCGAGATGGGAAAAGGTTTACTGATCAGCAATCTAATTTTGCCCTTATGAGGAGAGTTTTTTCCATACTACACACCTGAACCCAAAGTCAAGCCAGTAAGCTATGCATAGGCCCACGATAGTCACCGTTCCCTGTAAGCTCAACAACATTCCCCGCTTGGATGGGTCACAGAGCTCGCTCTGATAGGCGGGAATATTCGAACTGTTGAAACCATTTCCCTGGAAACAATTCTCAGTTTAGTCTTTCCCTTACGAGTGATACTTCTGCTGTCAGAAGAGGTGCTGCTTACGATTCCAGTCACTATCCGGCCAACCAGCAACTGGGCCAAGGTGGTAGAAGAGGCAAGAATAGCTGTTCCGAGTATCATCGTCGAGCCTCCCAGAATAATCATTAACTTCCGACCAGCTCGATCTCCGACTAGAAGAGATCCAAGCGATCCAGCCGCGCAACCAATCTAGGGGAGAGATAAGCATTTTTCGTTCGTGACCCATGAAATGTACGTGAAACAGAACGGGTGATTCTTTAACGTACATCATAGATGGAAGTAATGATACCCTGCAGATTAGCATCCGGATGATTGAAGTCTTTTCCGAACTGATTGTTGGCGCCGATGATACCACTCATCAAACCTCTGTTATCGTCAGCTGCGCGTATCTTTGATGATGGCGAAAGGGACATACTGATCGTAGCCAAGGAGCAAAAATCCCTGACAGCTCGCAGCTGATCATCCAGTTAGCAGATTCTTAAAGGATCCACAAGAAGAAAAAAACAAAAGAATGAAATAGATCCTCAGTAGCAGTTCGACTTACCTGTGATTGCCCAAGAGAGCCATTGTCCTTTCAATCGAGAGGAGCCTGTTAGCAAAAACATGGCCGACCAGGAGAACGAACAGAAAGCCAAAAAGGATCCAAACTTCAACCCAGTCGAAGATCTGATCTAAGGTAGAGAAATATATATATATGTTGAAAAATATGCGTAATGAGGCCTACAACTTCTAGGGTAAAGTACCCCTAGAAGAGTCCCTTCGGGGTAACATTTTGGCGAGAGGGCCTATGTTGCTACCCTACATCAGGGCCTTAGGGACTGCGCAACGCATCTGGAGACCGTCTTCGGGGTAAATGACCCCGGACTCCATCAATTTCAAAGTAGGTCAATTGGAACGGCATACTCCGTAAGCTCCACAGCTAATACCTTGACAAGTTGGGTGGGGATGAGGGGAGCGGCGATGGCCAATCGTCCACGCCGCCAGATTCAAGCGGAGAGGTGAAATACGGGGAATTCGCCCTCTCATCCACGGGGTTGTGTGGAGAAAGCACGCCGCCCCGCCGATCTCAACCTCAAAAAAGTTAAAACGGCTCCTGGTGAGCAAGCCCTGGGGAAGAAGCGGATGACGTTAACTGTCTCTAATAGTGCTGCTCGTCGTGTTGTTGAACCGAGCGCCATGGCGCGGAGAGCACGGGGTACGTAATTTCCGAATTGCAGAGAACTGTTCTAGAGGGAACTGTTTCCTATCACCGGATCGTCAGACTTGAGAAATCAAAAAAAAAATTCAATTGTCAATCAATATTGGTTAAACTGGTTAAGTTTGCAAAATCACCGCAGACCACAAGAAGGATACCGGGGAAGTTTCCAAGATTGGCCTAATATTATACGCACTACTACAAAGTACTATACTTGGATTGACCTTGTTTTTAAAATTTCAAATATAACTTCATGAACGACTACTACTCATGCCACAGTCTCAAGAAATTCAACGAGCCTTTTTTTAAGACCAAACCGTTGAAGTCTCTCAGTCGAACAAGCATACTGTTCTGTAGGAAACCAGTTTCCAACACTTTCCTCTCCCTTGAGCACCATCTCTGCAACTGCTTTGCCAGTGAGCCAGCAATAGGCCATGCCATGTCCACAGAATCCTGCTGCAACCCACTCGCCACCGCTGCTCGATACCCCAGGATCTCTCCCGCTTACGCTGTAAGGAACCTTTCCGACGATTGGAGAGCTATCGATGGTGAACCCCATCACGCCTGTCCACTTGTTCAGAACAGCAGCGCCCTTTCCATTCCGGAATCTTTCTTCCATGACCCTTTCCAGTATTTTTAAAGCCTCGTCGCTCTGCTGGTCGTCTCTCACGTTCCCAACGTCCGCATCGTCTACACTGACCTTCCCAGATAACAGCGCTGTCAGTAACCCGCCTCCCAGGTATAGCTCACCAGATGCGGTCGGAGACTGTGTCATGTAGTCATAACCAGGAGCGTAATGCAAGAGCCACGAATGCCGACCTCCGACACGTGGAAATGCTGGCGGTGGAGCCTGCAAGGTCATCTGCCCACGGACAGGAAACAATTTTCCTCTGAGACCCGGAAGTAGATGCCCTGCGTGGCCATTGGTGCAGTGTATGACGTGACGTGCGTTAATCTCCCCTCGAGTCGTCTTGATCTTGAAGGGGTATTCAGGCACCGCCGTTGTGGCTATCGATTCGACCGGGGTATTCGTCTCGAGTGTGAAATTTGGGTATCTTTGATTCTTGAACAAGAAGGACGTTACGGCACCAACCAGTCTGTAGGGCCAGAGTGCGCCAGCGGGACCTGTCATGCATCCCACCGCGTTGATCGCTCCAAAACGCTGATCTATGCAGTCAGCAGAGGGTTTTCCAGGTGCCAATCAATTGAGGAATCTATTTATCACGTACCTCATCTAGGTTGTCACCGTCGAATGAAAGCCAGCGATCCTTCTCTTCTGGAAAGTCTTCTAACCAACTTGCTAGCCTGGCCTTCATCTGCTCATAAACTTTGCGGTCGAAGTAGATATCAACACCTTCGACTCGCCGAAGCATACTGGATGCAACCACATCGGGACCCAGTTTGTTTGCTATATCAAACATAGCATCGAGCTGCGAGAGACGGAACCGTACAATCTTCATGGCGCCTTCTTTTCCGTACATGGCTTTCAACTCCGCGTAGTCGACGTATGGAACTTCTTTGCAATGACCTCCATTTCTGCCAGTGGCCCCTGATGCCAAGCTTCGCGCTTCGAGCACCGTCACGCTCAGATCGGGCTGTTCTTGGAGGAGATGATATGCAGTGCTTATCCCCGTCATTCCAGAGCCTATGATGGCAACCTCAGCCTTAGATGGGAGGCTCGCCGACCGGTAATTAGCCAATTCATGAGGTACGCTCTGCCATGATGAAACTGTCGGATTGGGGGGAGGAAGTCCTGGATCCCTTGTTGCTTTCTCGGCGAGAGCATCACACAGGCGAGAAATGGCCTCTGGCTCAGATATCCGGTGATCTGATTCGTCCATCGTACCAGTGGCAGCTAGATTATGCGGGGATTCAGGTTCCCCAGGACACCAGAATTACGGAGACAAGATAATAAAAGGTGAGTGATACAGTGTGTTATGATGCACATCATACACGGCGGTCCAATTGTAATGTCTCCACTTTGTCGGGTGATTGATAAGATCCGAAGTTTGGATGACCGATGCCTACCCCGCTTCACTTGGAGGATAAAAGAGCCGTGACGTATTGAAAGAGAATTCTCTCATTCGTCTCTGAAAGAAACAAATATAACAAGAAAAAAAAGATCTGTATATGTGCCTTGACCCTCTTCCTTTTTGTAGAAACGACAAAGTTGCCTAGGACGATTCCGCACCAGCAGTGGAGGTATCTGAAACAAAGGAAACGAGGCAAATAAATCAATCCAACTCGAAAATCCTTAGTTAACGTTATTATAAACTTTTAAGTATGTACCAGAAGGTTATTGAAGGCGGCCGCGAACACGGATCCCAACGTATGTACTGCCACAGTAATATCAATCACGAACGTAGGGCTTGGGAAAATCAAAGCTGCCCCTGAGGAGTCAATCTTGCCTCTTTGAACCCCAATAGAAGTGGCCCATGGATGATTCAAACTATGACGCGAAGATCCGTACGTTCAGATCGACGCTTCCGGTCGCGATCACACATCTAATGCCCTTGCCGCCGCCGCCCGAGTCCTCTTTCTTGCCGTTCGTCGTTACTGAGGTAGGCGTGGAGAGTCCATTGGCACCTGATTCCCCATTTGCCGAAGCGCCATCAGTGACGAGATTTGGAGCCCAACGAATGCAACTGATGAAATGACCGTGGGCATCCGCAACTATCCGGACACACTTGCATTCCTGCGAAAGGTCCCAGCAGCGAAGTGTCTTGTCGTCGGAGACGGAGAGGAGGTATTTCCCACCTGGGTGGAAGACGATGGCGCGGACCCAGTTATCATGGCCCACGAGCGTCTTGATTAGAGTTCCTCGAGCGTCCCACAAACGGATGCTCTTGTCTCGAGAGCCAGTAGCAACAAATTCGGCGGAGGAGGAGGCAGGAGGGGGCTTTTTGAGACCGGCGAGGGGTGCCAAATATTGATAACTGGTCGGAGGAGCAAATGCGACGCACTCAACGACATGTTCATGACCCAAGAAAGTGGATTTTGTCTCTCCAGAAGAAATGTCCCACAGGCGAGGCACCTGATCGTTGCCTCCCGAAAGAAGAAATCGCCCATCTGGAGATGCAGCAACATCTCGAACCCAGTCTGAGTGTCCTTGTATGGTCTTCACACAGTAGCCGGTCGTGACATCCCAGATTCTAAGGGTTTTGTCTCGCGATGCGGACACCAACAGGTTGCTGGATGCTGGAGACCCAGCAGCACCAGATGGTATGAATCGAACCGCGGAGACACTATGATCATGGCCATGTAGTGTTCGAATATTCTTGTATTCGTCTGAGGGGTCCCAGAGCTTTATCGTCAAGTCGGAAGAGCAGGAAGCCAGCAGGGTACCCCCACGAGGACCACCGTAATCCACATCCAAAACGGCTCTGGTGTGGCCCTTGATTGTTCGTTCTAGCTCTCCTAATTCCCAATCCCAAATCTTGATCGTGGCATCTTCTGAACCCGACGCAAGAGAGGAGAAGACAGGGTGGAAAGCGACACAGGTAACGGGTTGGCGATGAGATTGGAGGGTATGTCGAGCAGGAGCACGGGGCAACCATGAAACAGGATCTTGGTTTCGGCGAGAGAGAGAGGTGGTGGTCGCAGAATCCAGCTCAGACTGAAGTGCAGCATTTCTCGACTCTAGGTCCATGATCTGGCGAATATCAGTCTGTCGATGTCTCCCATCATTGCAGCGGAGAGAGATGACCAACCTTCTTCTGTAACCTTACCACGCTAGTCCATTTCTTCTCGAGCAGACCCTCATATTTCTTGAGTGTGGCGTCATCGAGGGTGAGCGATTCCCCAAGTTCTTCGCGCAAGGCATTGGAGCTCTTGAGCAGGTTGGCAGAAGCGAGATAGGCGATGATGGATTTATGGCTATATCCAACCAGTCAGTATACAACCGCAACATATTTCGGAGCAAGTACACAAGTCACATACAGCTCCTCCGCCTGGCGCGCTGTAAGTAGCTGGCTCATGATCACGGCTGTGTTGAGCGCAATGACTCCGGGCAGTCAGATCCAGAGTCCTCCGATCCAACGGAGGCTCTACGATGGCTTGATGCGGTGGGTGATAAGATACGACTCTTGTGCTTCTTAGTCTCTAGGGACTCCTCTGGCGTCGAGTCTTCCAGTTCGCTTGTCTTGGAGAAAATCCACCCTTATCTCTGCAAGATGCACCCATCTTTTGAAAGCCCCTTATCACAAAGGCCACTGGTAGTGAAGGACCTCTTTGTTTCCCCCTTCACGTTCCCCAGGTGCAACAAAACCCCAGGCAGCTCGTGAGGGTTGTGGCCCTGCAAGACTGAGTGGTCGCAAACAGCGGGCATCTCGTGGAGTTGTTTTGGGCAACAGGCGGGGAGTTTTGGGCATGGACTGTCCCGCGGGCGCTGGCCGCCAAGCCCGGCTTCCCCTGGGTGATGAGCCGCCGCCTTTTGTTGACATTCGCTGTACCCCGTACCAAAACCCACACAACAACCCGACCCAGACAGCATCGAAAAGCTTGTCAGGCTGGCTGGCTGTCGTTGAAGGATACAGTCTCTATTGTCGCCTCTCCGGCATTCTCTCTTGTCGCTTTGCATGACTGTATGACGGCTTCTTCCGTCCTGGCGTACCACCGCCCGCAAACAATCGTCTTCTGTTGTCACAGTACATCTGCACTCCGCGCAACATTCTCTGTGCGCATCCAACATAACACCTCTGCTACCTCATTAGATATCAGGTAAATGCTTCATCCTACCAAGCATGGCGGATCTTGGGCTCAGTTACATGTCACCTCAGCTCGTTCATTCCTTAGACCTGGCGTACTAATAATATGACTTCTAGACATAAGCAGGTTGGCAGCACCTCCACAGTCTGGGCCTCGCTACAATGGCGGAAGAGGAAGACTTTTCCTCCTTACCCATAACTGACAGGTTCACACACAAGGTTTGTGCTCGCAATATACTGTGTGCACTGGTGCCGAAAGACCACAACTGATAAACCATGGTAGAATTGGAAAGCGAGAAAAAGTGGCTACGAGGAAGCGGCCAAACAATTCGAGAAGACTCCCGATGAATCAGACCCGGCATTCCGGCCATTTCTACAGGATCCTTCGTTGTGGAAAGGGGCGGTCGCAGACTCCAACGTCGCAGCTCAACAAGAGGGACTTTCTGCTTATTGTGCGTTCTTGAAATATGGGGGTGTTCAAGCTTGCACCAGGTATTATATATCACCCTGAAGGAGCATGCCAATGCAACCACAGACCAGTTGAAATGCTGATGAGAATCCCCAGAACACGAGGGGCTACGATTGGAGCCATTGTGGAAAAAGGCCTCCCTTCTACCCGTCCTGCTGCCAAGGCCAGCGCTCTCGAAGCCCTGCTGCTCTGTATCGAGCTTGAGAAGGCAGAGCCCGTCATTGAAGAACTCCTTCCTGCGCTATCACACAAACAACCAAAGATCATCGCTGCAACCTTGGCTGCATTGACGGCCATATACCATAATTATGGCTGCAAGATCGTCGACCCGAAACCGGTTCTAAAGGCTTTGCCCAAGGTCTTTGGACATGCGGATAAAAACGTCCGTTCGGAAGCACAAAACCTAACAGTCGAGCTCTACAGATGGTTAAAGGAGGCGATCAAGCCTCTTTTCTGGGGCGAATTGAAGCCAGTCCAACAGCAAGATCTCGACAAGCTATTTGAAAATGTGAAGCAGGAGGCGCCTCCCAAGCAGGAGAGGCTAACAAGGGCCCAGCAGGAGGCGATGGCTGCTTCCTCTGCGGCCGCAGGGGATGACGGCGGTGAAGACGATGCTGGAGAGGAGTATGGAGAAGAAGATGGTGGTGAGGTCGATGCCTTCGACCTGGCGGAGCCGGTTGACGTGATGCCAAAAGTTCCGAAGGATCTTCACGAGCAGTTGGCTTCGCCCAAGTGGAAGGACAGGAAAGAGGCTCTAGACGCGCTGTATTCCGCGCTCAATGTCCCCAGGATTAAAGAGTCGCCATTCGATGAGATCGTGAAAGCCCTCGCCAAGTGCATGAAGGACGCGAACATTGCCGTGGTGACTGTTGCCGCAAACTGCGTAGATCTGCTGGGCAAAGGTCTCCGCAAGGGCTTCGGAAAGTATCGGTCGCTGATTATGGCACCGATCATGGAACGTCTGAAGGAAAAGAAGCAATCCGTTGCAGATGCATTGGGTCAGGCCTTGGATTCGATATTTGCTTCCACAAGCCTGTCTGAATGCTTGGAAGACATCTTGGAATTCCTGAAACATAAGAATCCCCAAGTCAAGCAGGAGACATTGAAATTCTTGATTCGATGCCTAAGGACGACGCGAGAGGTGCCCTCGAAGCCAGAAGTCAAATCAATAGCCGAAGCCGGCACTAAACTTCTGACGGAATCCAGCGAGGTCACTCGTTCTGGGGGAGCCGAAATTCTCGGTACTTTGATGAAAATTATGGGAGAGCGTGCTATGAATCCGTATCTCGATGGCCTGGACGACATTCGGAAGGCAAAGATTAAGGAATATTTCGAGACGGCTGAAGTTAAGGCTAAGGATCGACCAAAGCCCATCGCACCCCCACCGAAAGCGGCTCCAGCAGCCAAAAAGGCTGCCCCTGCAGCGAAAAAACCAGCTTCTGGCATGAAGAAACCAGCCCCCAGCGCGGCCGCCCCTCCTCCTCCTCCCGCAGAAGAAGAGCCAGCTGCAGCGCCAGCTGCAGCTCCTCCTCAACCGAAGCCTGCAGCGAAACCAGGTCTATCAAAGCCTGGCGGTATACCCAAGCCTGGTCTTGCTACTCCAGGCAGTGGTCTCAAACTTCAAAGAAAAATTCCTGGACCTGGTGGTGCGGCGCCGTCACAGGGATCTCCGCAACGCCGTGCCGCATCGCCGCCACCTGAATCGCCTCCACCTGCTGCTGCGCCTCCAAAGTTTGGCTTGGGCCGAGGACTTGCAGGACGCCCGATAGGGAAACCGTCTGCGCCTGCTGATCCAGCTCCGGCTCCGGCTCCGGCTCCAGAACCTGCACCGGCACCAGCACCAGCACCAGCACCAGCCTTAACTGGTCTCGCAGCTGTCGAACGTGCAGAGCTTGAAGAGCTTCGTCTCGAGAGAGATCGTCTCACAAAGATAATTGAAGAGCTCAGGTCGGAGAAGACGAAGCTTACGTCTCAGATTACTGAGCTCCAGAACCAGAATGCCCAACTCATCGAAGACCACACAAGGGATGTCTTGAATATCAAGGCGAAAGAGACGCAACTGGTCCGGGCTCGCAGTGATGCTGAGACTGCAGAACAGACTGTTCAGAAGCAGCAGCGCGAGATCGAGCGTTTGAAACGCGAGCTAGCGAGAGCGGTCCGCGCCACTGCGATCAGCCCACCGACCGTGATGCCAGACGGCCTTAATATGGGCATCACCGACACAGGCCCCTTGTCTCCAGATGCGGCTACCTTCGGTAGCAATGGGTCTGTATCTCGCGCAGGGCTTCATATGGGATCACGATTTGAAAGCGCACGTCCCAGGAGTTACGTGTCTAGCCCAAGCGAGGATAAAGAAAACAACGGTTTGGAATCGCCAAGCCATAGCAGCAGGGATGGGAGCTTTGGAAGGAGGAAGCTCAGTCCTCCCGTCAGCTCGAATTATTCAGGGCGAGGAAGCCCCAGTAGGCCTGCTGGCCGTTATGGTTCCGCCAGCAACCAAGACGAGCAGCAACCGATAACCAGGTCGACCGAACCAGCCGAGAATTGGAAGAGAGCAGCAGAAGTGACGAGTCAGCTCAAGGCCAGAATTGAACAGATGAAGGTTTGTACACCATTTAACTCTTGGTACGAATTCGGCGCTGTTTCGCCCTTTTCTGACGTTTAAATGCAATCCAGGCAAGGCAAGGACTCACACGACCTCCGGCCCACCAAACGAACTAATTAATGATATGACGTGACGTGCACGATACCAATACGGCCACGGTGTTGGATTGTTTGATTGATGATTGTCCCCTATATTGCCTAGTCTTCGAAATTTTTTTTGCCCCTCGTCTTATCCTAACTCACCTCAACAACTCACTCATAAAGGGATAGTTTTGTTGGGTGTTTCGGCTGGTCTGGCTGCTGCTTTTGGTTTTGGGAGAGGGGATATTGGGTCAGGTTTTTGTTTTTTTTTTTGTTTTCTGGTCGATAAAATCGAAGGGGTCTTACTAGTCCTATTGTTTGTTGTCTTTTACCTTTTTTAATGTTTGTTGTGCTTTGGTTTCTTGTTGCCATTTTATTTTGTTTTTGCTTCTCTTCCCTCTGCCCCAATAATACCCAAGGTCTTCTTTTTTTTCTCTCTCTTTTCCTATTCGCCGTCGATTTGCGTATATTAACCAATGGATGGATGCATGTAAATGCCATGCAGTCCTACATATCTTTTCTTTTTCTTTTTGCCCTCTCTCTGTCGAATTACTCAATTATATTGAATGGAGAAGTTGTACAGAGTATGTAGGGAATGTATTATGCGTATGTATGCCTTCTTTGCCTCTGGCTTCCCTATCTACCCCCTTTTTGCGTCGAGTGTGATGTGTGCAGATTATCCAGGGTAGATGATGGGGAGGCCTTCCATGCGTCGACTCTACTGGTCTTACGACTTACGATGCGATACCTTATTTTTTTTGTTTTCGGGAGGCTTTTCGTTATAGAAATAACATTAGTCATGGGTATCTGCAATCCGAAAGAAAAAAAAAAGTAAAACGTCCAAAAAGATGTGTTTTTTCCCGATTTTTGTTTGAACTGCCATCGAAGCTGTCCTCGCGTTACCTAAAGCTAAGGTGTCATGAGTCATTAAAAAAGAAACCACCCTTTTTTGACCATAACTCCAGCGAAATTTTGCCTCTGGTAGTAGTGGAAGGTGCTTAGATCTTGACGGCAGATTCAACAGCCTTGCGCTTCTTCTCCTGGCGGGCAATGGCCTTGGCGCCCATGATACCACCACCCCAGTGGCGTCTCTTCTCCTCGTACTTGTCACTGTAGCCCTCCTTGATGGCAGTGACGAGCTTGGCGAACTCGGACTGGTCCTCGGCACGGACCTCAGTAATAGCAAGCACAGCGGCGGTCTGGCGGAGGGAACAGTTAGCTAACAGCTCTGAAGGATTGTGTGACAAAAAGAAATCTCACCTTCTTGTGGACGACAGTTCCAAGACGAGCCTTGCCCTTGATGATGGCGTAGGGAACACCCATCTTGCGGCAGAGAGCAGGCAGGAAAACAACCAGCTCGATGGGGTCAACGTCGTGGGCGATCAGAACGAGAGAAGCCTTCTTGTTCTCAATGAGACCAACGACGTGGTTGAGACCGTACTTGACGGCATAAGGCTTCTTGCTAACATCCTCCTTCTTCTTGCCCTCGGCAACAGCGGTGGCCTCCCTGAGGAGACGCTCCTTCTTCTCAGCCTTGGACTCCGGGCGGTACTTGTTCAGGAACTTGAAGGTCTGGGCCGCGAGGTTGCGGTCCAGAGTGTTGCGGAACTGCGCAATCGCCGGGGGAACCTTGAGGCGGAGGTTCAGGATCTTCTTCTGGCGCTGCAGACGAACATACTGGGGCCACTTGACGAAGCGGGACAGGTTGCGCTTCGGCTGGATGTCCTGGCCAATGCCGAAGTTGCGCGGGCGCTTCTCAATGAGAGGGTTCTATTGGGAAAAGACAATTAGCGCAAATTCCAGAAAAAGTAGACAACATTGGGAAGATAACTCACCTTGGGCTTCTTGCTGGCGCCAGCCTTGCCCTGAGGGAAGGGCGCGGCAGCGACTTTCTTACCGGATTTGGGAGGCTGTCATTGAGAAAAGAAGATCAGCAAATCGTGTTCACCAAGATGCTGAATCTTCTTTGAACTCTAAGAGCACACAAGCGAACATTTCTGCTGCGCTCATGGCTCAAGCCATATCCATCACCGACGCAGAGTCCACCCGTGAAGGTGGACTGACTGCAAGATCGGCGGAATTGCTTCGAGACATGCGTCTCAAATTGAGACGATCTGCTCATCTCAAAGAGGCAGACATCTCGCAGAGCTCAAGAAGACTCTTGAAAGAGTCAGATGCGATGCGATTAGCTTACCATTGCTGTCGAGGGAAGGCTGGCCGCGGTGCTGAGGCGCTGAATTGACTGGAGGGGGACGAGAAGAGGAAAGAAAATCCCAAGGCTCGCGAGGTTGGAAGAACGGCTTTCGTGGGCAGCGTTAGCGCGAAAAACAAGCGAGCCGGTGGATGCGGGTCTGGGTCACGTGAGAAGATAGGGTACGGCCCTAGAGGCCTGTTGCATGATTTGCATCCCGCAAATGCATGTATTATTAGTAAGCGATTCTTATCCAAGTCCAGAACAGTGTCGTATGACACGTAAGGTATCGCGATGGACATGCCTTGAGGAAAATGAAATTCCTCCTTCGATCATAGTCGACTTGTATGCATCTATGTACACCTATCGTAGAATCTGAACCATGAAAATACCATATCAATGCCAAAGCAAACTATCTAAGAACGAACCCTTTCCTTCCGACCAAAAACGCCATTCATGCAACGCCTCGTAACCCTTCTATACATTATGATGCACAATAAAAGCAGCCGTATTGTAGTTTCCAAATTCCAGAAGTTACCGCCATCCTCCCAACCCCGGTAGACCAGCCGCCCGGCTGACCGCAGAGCTGGTGGCTTCCGCAGCTTTCCTCTTGCCTCGGGAGCCCTCTTGGGCTCTCACGCCTTGCACGATCTTGTCCAGATTCGTCTCTACCACGACGCCTCCGACGATCATCTCGCTAAGGGTGGCATGCATTGTCTCGTAGCCGAAGATCAGATCCAGTTCGCAGACGTTCTCAAATAGGCGATCCAGCGCCTCCACGAAGACTTGGATGAGATCGATCAGGGCCAGCGGTGACTCCGTCGATGTTGAGATCATGATGAAGGACAGAGTCGCATAGGTGCGATATGTGATTTGGGTCGGCGCATCGGAGGGCCCACTAGCTGGAGACGGTCTCGCACCCTGCGAGAGCAATGGCGGAAGGGGAAGGAAGTTGCAGGCAGAAGGCGGACGCTGAGAGACGAGGTGGTAGATCTGCTGGATGAGCTTCTGTTGTGTTTGTGTATCCTAGACGTCCAGGGGCAGTTAGACGAGGAAATCGAAAAAAAAATCTCCATGAGTACAAAACCGGAAGCTCGTTGCATACAATCTGCGTATAGAATTTGGTCAGGCGTGGTTCCCCCTTGTTGTTGAAGACCAGAACGGCGTTGATCATTCTGCCGTGCCTTTGGAAGAAGTGGAATATTTTCAAACAACAAAAGTGATAGTCTTTATATGCCACTGCACTGAATAGAAGACGATTAAAATTGATCAGAGTAATCTGGAGTGGCAAAGCGCTTATCGCAGTCAACAAGATGGTGGGGTAATACATCTACGCAATGCCAGAGCGGTTAGTCCTCCGCGGAGCTTTGGACATGGCCCTAGCGTGCGGGAAGCTGGGGAAGCTCCAGATTGCCTTGAGACTCTAGCATCTAACTTATGCCATGCCTCAAAAAGTACCGAGAGTGAGCAAAATATTTATGATTTATGATTTCATGCATACGCTGAAAGCTATCCGGCAACGATGGAAGGAGTGTACATCTGCAGGGCCTGTCGCACACGCTTATCACTACCTCGCATCGGCGCACAGTGTGCTCTATCAACGGCAGCCAATCCAGCTTCCAACAGCACCACCGCGCAAGGCAAAATACCACTAAGCTCCCTCACACCGTCCGATCTGTCATATTACTGGGAGACCAACATCCCCAATGAATCCCAACTCGCCTACGCAGACAAATTCTTCGCTCCCTCGCGCCATTCGCCGGTCAAGCTCTGGTCCGCGAGCAAGTTTCGGACACTGCCTCTCGAGTCGATTGAGCCCGAGGTAGCGTTCCTGGGGAGGTCCAATGTTGGGAAGAGCTCCTTGCTCAATGCGATAATGGGGAAAGAGATGTGTTACACATCCTCCCACCCGGGGAGAACGAGAGAAATGAACGCGTTCGGGATCGGAGGGACAAAAGGCGGAGAGTCGAAAATTGTCCTGCTGGATATGCCGGGCTATGGTAAAGCAAGTCGACCTGAATGGGGGATTGAGATCATGAAGTACCTGCAAGGGAGAAAACAGTATGTCCTTAGCCTGCATTTTTGTCTACTGACTCCCTTCTTCTTATGTGCTAAAGCTAACGGTGGTTTCTTGTTATCCAACTTTCCAGGCTGCGACGGGCCTTCTTGCTGATGGACACCTTGCACGGGCCAAAGGAGAACGACTTGGATATCCTTTCGTTATTCCGTCAATACGCAATTCCCCATCAAGTCATCCTGTCCAAAGTCGACCGCGTCCTGACGAAGAAGGGCAAGCCTCTCAAAAACGGTGTGGCGGAATCGAAAATCCAAGAACTAAGAGAAATACTGCATGGCTTAAGGCCGGTAGTCCAGCCCGATCCCCGACTAGAGGGGCCTGGCGCGCTGGGTGAGATCCTGACCTGCAGCGCCGAAACTAAGGTCGACAAGACAAAAGTACCCCTAGGTGTCAGTGCGATCCGTTGGTCGATTTTGACTGCTGCTGGATTTGGTGGCAGTGTGGAAACGAAACAGCCGATCGCACCGTCCCAGGTTGCCTCTACATACTCCGCGACTGCAGCATAATAACTTCATATACCTTTGTAAAATAGAACTGTATACTATGAATACGAGACGACGACGACGACGATGACGATAATGAGATCTAATGACCAAGTACCAAATCAAACCGCGCATTTTCTTTCGAATCAAGTATTTTGCTATACGGATGTGTTATATCTTACGGTTGAGTGAAAGAGGTGGGCTAGGTGCGTATATGTTATACATTCATCGGAATTATATATTCTGAACTCGTATAATGCCTTCTACGCCACGACTCCATTTCCCCCCCACCTCCTTTCCCTCCACCTTGGATTAAATGTAAATGGTAGTAAATATAGGATTCTCGCCTTGCACATCTCGTCTCTCGAGTCAAATTGCCCACCATATCTCATCATTTCATTCTCGTGTCCACAATAGATTTCCTCGGTTTCAGTTTGGTGATGTCTTTCTTTCCTTTTTCAATCTTCAATCTCTTACCTATAAAGTATAGAGGTGAATAGCTAGAAAAAGTTGACAATGTCTTTGAACTCCTCGAGAAGGAGTGGGTCGATTCCCTCCCAGGGGGATGGATCTTCAGTTGCTGTATTCTCATTCTGCCTGTCTCCGCAAGGCGGTCTTTCAGTTGTCTTTTGACCAAGGACGAGGACTTCTGCGGGTTCGTTATGCCCAGCGCAGAAATTATCATATCTTGTCCGTTTTCTGCTATTCTCACTGCCGTCGCCGGATTTATTGAGTACTTCTGCCTGTCGTTTAGGTGGCCTAGGATCTTCTTGTTTAGGTGGATCAACCGCTGTGGCATTATTGCTGGATTCTAGAGAGAACCCTAGCGCCGTCTGGTCTTCAAATTTCCACGACGAATCGATGGGCTCGATTGAAGATGACTCACAGCTGGTCTTCTCGGTTGCACAAATCTTTCCGGGACCAGCATTCCTTTCGGCCGAAGACTTTTGGTTATCGTTGGAATGATCTGGCGATGATGAAAGCCTGGTATTGTGGTTGTCATCGGGATTTTCATTGAGGACAGGGGAAACAGCTTTTTGTGAGGTCTTGCGACTGTCTTCTTCGCCTGGAAAATTCCTGCTTGGATGAATTGACTTCGCAAAGAAATGTGATGGGGATGGAAGATCCTCCAAGCAATTGTCGCTGTAGTCACTCGAATAGGGCTTCTCACCGGAAGGTAAGGATTCGTCTTGGATTTCCGGAGACAAGAGCTTGGAATGTTTCATTGATGTTTGGTGTGAGATAGCCAGATCTGTCCTGGCATTACCAAATGCCCTCAATTCAGCAGAATCACTGGTAGTCGTCTTATGTTTGGCGCCTGACTTGTTGCGGCCCATATATGATGGAAAGAACCTGGACTCTGGTTGGGTCAGGTCAAGAAGCTCGATATTCTCCTCAGTTGCATGTTGCTCGTCAGTTTCTGGGTCACAAGTGGTGGCTTCTTTCTTCCGTAAACTAGCAGAGAGAGTCAACTGGTTGCCTTTGACTGGAAGAGCTTGTTTCTTGTTCGCTTTCGGGGGTTTGTCCAGTCCTTCTCGGCAGCAAAAATGCTTACACCTAATTGTTTGGTTAGTGCGTTTCTTATACGAAGGAGATGACAGACTGCCGAACGCTGTTTTGTCCTTGCATTTATGGTTGCATGCCCATTTACCATTGGAAAGGAGGACCGGCTGTTCTTGGTCATCGGCAGATTCTGCTTTCTCCTTTTTCAGGAACGTATTCTCTCCCAGCTTCCGTTGCTTGCTGCTCTTATCTGATCGAGTGCATGCGGTTTCGTCATCGATCACCAGCCAATCGACGCTGTCAGCTGATAGATACGATCAGCAGAAAAATACCTCAGCCACGGAAGAATTCCCACCTGCGGCAATCAAGTCTTCATCTCGGACATCTTCGTCATCAAAAATCTCGTCTTCCTTCTTTGACCTTCCTGTAGTCTTAGCTGTATCATTACTACGCCGTCTCGAAGTATTCATTGCAGGCTTTTCCGTTGACTTGCTTGCATTCTCCGCGAGGCCTTTCGGAAAATATGACTCAGGTATCTTTGGCTTTAGTTCTGCATATTGTACGGTCCCAGCTAAATCGGTTGATGTCAGCATACCATAGTAAAATCCTACAAAACGTAATGGCTGTCCCACCAATATCATCGCACATCACGTAGCACATTATATGTTGAAAGGCACTGGTCAACTCTGCACTGAGCAGTATCTCGTGGCCCTTTTGGAGTTTGTTCGCGCTTCAAAATTCAACATTGAGTTTGTAGAAAAGAAGACCAAGGACATTTAGGGTTCGTACCTCATTCGCCGGAAATCGATTAGATGGCCATCTGAGGTCTCTGCCAAAAAGCACACATAGACCGGACGCCTTTGAAAGAAGACTGGGAGTTTCTCATTCATGAATCCGACTTCGGCCCTGAAATTTACTTTAACGGACTTTCCGGATTTTGTTTCCTGCACAAGAGTTAATAAGAAACTCCTGACCGTATTGCGAATTCATATACTCACCTTTCCTATCATCTTGATGGTAACACAAAGTTTGGGAAACTCCGCGAGTCTAGCCAAAACCTTCATTCCGAATGGAGGGTTTTTACTCAGAATCATATCAATTCGGTGTGCTTCGGTGTCCTCCAATGCCGCGATACTGGTGATTCCTGCCCCTGCAAGCTTTCTGACGGCAACGATACCGATCTGCTCTATCTGTTTCATCTGAAGCGGAGAGTTATCCCAGACACGAGCAGCAAAACTCCGTGCCAACTCTAACGCGTTTCTCACAGAGATTCCATCTTCCAAGTGGATTTGACAGTCAATGATACAGCGGATCAGACGGTTGATATGAGAGAAGACCAAAGTCTTGTCCTGCTGAAACGGCAATTTGTGCTTCTGGAACTGTTCGTTAGGAGGAAATTCCACGGCCCCTAGTTCGGACTGAATGAGCAGCGATATCTTATGAGCTGTTAGGGCCACGTCAACTTTGATTGGGAACCTGATTCCGTTTGCACGGTTGATCTCTTTATAGAGCGACTTCTCGCCGGCCTTGAGGCGGACCTCGTGGAACTCTTCTGCTTGCGCAATCGCAGAAAGCTAGGGGATTTTAGTCTGTATTAAGCCAATTCCTTATCCGAAGGCACTTACTATTTCCGAAATTTTGGCTTTTGGTGGCAGAGAAAGAAATATTCTCATCGTCTCAAACTTCACATAGTATCTGGCCATCGCATCGCCGAATGGAGTTGACTTCAGTTTGCCTTCTGACGAGACCAGTCCGCAGTCTTGAAGGAGTGTGACGTCCTTCTCGCATATCTGTCGTAGCATCTCGTCCTCGTCTTTTCCGTCTGCATTCTCCCGGAGCTTGTAATGGGTAGGGTTTCTTCTCAACCTCACAAAGAGGAAAGTCCCGCCAAGCCATCGGACGGCGGTTTCTATATCAGTCACAGTTCCAAGTCCAATCTCCGCATTGAGATGGTCAATCAGGTTAAGATGCAGACAGCTCTCCAGTTGTTCTGATCCCGAAACAAGCTTCTCATAATGATGGACCCGCTCCTTCCTTGTCAAGATAACGGCCACAGCACTGTCATCGAATTGAGGCCGGCCTGCCCGACCAAGCATCTGCATCATTTCCAGGTCTGAATATTCTTTGCAGCCACCATCTTGCCAGCAAACTGTGTTTTTAACAATCACCAGGTGGCAAGGAAGATTAACCCCTACCGCAAGAGTAGACGTGGAGCAGATGATACTGATCTGCCCTTCTAGAAATCCAATCTCAACGGCGTGGCGATCCTCACTATCAAGCCCGGCATGGTGAAACGCGACTCCGCAAGAGATGACCACTAAAAATGAGTTAGATGAAACATATTCATGAAACGCTTTGGATACGTAGCCCTATGAGAGCGCTAGCATACTTCTTAGGTCCGGATTCTTAACAACGAGCTGTTTGTTTCCAACACGCCAGAGTCTTTTTTGAGGAATTGTTCCAGACCACAGGTTGGCAAGGTCCTTCGAAGTAGCAATGGCCGAATTTCTCGTGCAACAAAATATCATTATTGGCTTCCTATTAGAATGCTTGGCGATAATCTCAGGAAGCCTTGAAGAGAGTAAGCACGTAGGAAAGATCAATCGATAAAAGGTCCACCTACTTTGTCCCGCAGACTCTGTCGAATGCAAAGTTGTTTCCGTTCGACTGATATCCGTAAACAAACTTTTGAAGTTTCACCGGACGAAACTCCTCGCCAAACAGCTCCCTATGAGCGGGGAGATGCTGAAGTGTGGCATCCTTGCCAAGCCAGGTAGCGATATCTTCTGAATTGGGTATTGTAGCACTGAGAGCAATGAAACGCACATTAGACCCGACTGATTTCATACGGGAAACCACGGCTTCAAGTACTGCTCCGCGGCCTTCATTCAGTACGTGGACCTCGTCGATGAGGAAGAGTTTGACCAGCTGCATCAGTCTTGCATGATCTCTCCACTTTCTTGTCATGCTATCCCATTTTTCCGGCGTTGTAATGATAATGCTCGCACTTTGGATGGACCTGAGCTGTGAGTAGTCAGTGTCACCCGTCAATTCAGCGCACTGGAGACCCAAGGAGGTCAACTTTGCTGTCCAGTCGCGGAACCGCTCCGTACAAAGAGACCTGGTCGGAGCCTGATAAACCACCTTGAAGAGTCCGTCTTTCAAGTTATTCACTAGGCGGCAAATCGCCAGTTCCATCACAACAGTCTTGCCGCTGCCTGTTGGTGCTGAGATTACGACATTGTAATCGTTTTGATAGACATGCTGGAAGCATTTCGACTGGATGACATTGAAAACGGGAAAAGAGAAAAGAGACCGGAAGCGATCCGGAAGTTCATGCGTGGAGATCAAAGGTATTCCTTGGACCACAGGCGGAGCATGACTTAGGGAGATTTGACGAGGCAAACGAGGAGACACGGCAGCTATACGATTATCTTTATCTCCAGTCCGTTCGCTCATTAACTGGACTGACTCTACGTCTGCAGTAGATAGGAAGTGCCGACTATTTTTGGCAAATGAACTCGTCGCTGAAGATATTTCAGCCCTTGTATGTGGCCCAAACCGATTCAATGGGCTTGATTGAAATCCTGAGTCCGATGAACTAGGTTCACGTGCTGGAAGCAGACGCTACACCGTTAGTAATGGTAACATCCAGCAACATATTTGCGGAAGGAGATGAGTTCAGGAAGGATTTAAAGAGAAGCAAGAAGTATCAAAGGGTGATGACCACATACAATCTTCCAAGAAACGAGAATTCAAGTTCTTTGCCGGCGTCAGAAAGGCGTTCAAACCGTCCGTTGCAGAAAGATGATTGTCGACGGCCGAGAGAGACTGCAATCCATCAAACCCCTGGTCTTCACCTAATTGGGCCAATAGTTCACGATCTTGAGAGAGGGAAGATCATCAGATATGCGTTCTGTGGACAGAAAGGACGCGAAAAGGAGAGAACGCTCACCGAAAGTGTCAAATGGGAGATCCTCCACTGGAGGGAGAAGCTGTTCGTCATTCGAGCGGCCGCTCGTGTAATAGTCTCTCGACATAATTGAATCTCTGTGATGAGCAAACCCTTCACGATGACGCTGCCTTGGAAAATCAATGCGTCTTGGTATACTCGAGCTGGAGGGTGCATACTCGTGCTGGCGTCTGGCAGAAGCGTTCTGGAAGGGGAGGAAGGGCGATGGACGTCTTTCCTTTCTCATGTTTTTTCTTTTTTTGATGATTATAGGGCGTCGTCATAGAATTACATGTGTATCACAACAGATTGAGCAGATCAAACGAGATGTGTTCTGTTGAGGTTTGAATAAGGCACCGGGAAGACTCAATAGCAAAACCACGTGCCCCTTCCCAACACGGTCAGGAGAATGACTGCCGAACTGTCTAGGTACCTAGGCACCTCCAGAGGATAAGAGAGAGAGAGGAAGGCCCTTATACAAGTATCAAAAAATAAAAATACATAGCGCCAGAAACGACTCCGTCGATCATCAACAAACTTGCATTGCATCAAACATCCGAAACTCTTTAGGCTTTTTTCGTTCTACCCTGACGAGCATGTTTCTTTCAGACTGATAGGAACAGAGTGAGACTTCCAACCTCATGCATACCCCATATCCCATGCAATTTTATACGTGACAACCGGGCCAAAGCCGGACACTTTTCACCGCTCCAATGCACATGTAACAGAAAAGAAGAAGGCACAAGCAGTAAAGCACAGGCAAAAATGGAAATAAAAAGACGACGTCGTTTAATGAAACCCCAAATGGATGGAATGCAAGGTGACTCTGTCTGTTCCGAAGCGAAGCCCGCCGCTTTTTTTCCCCCGTCCTTTGTCGTATTCCCCTGTCTTGTATAGTGGACCGTGTTAGGCATGCATGAATAAATATCCATCGCTGAGTTAAATCACTCTTGAGGATTCTTGGTGAAGTAACCTCCATTGGCATTTCGACTCGATCCTGCCCTGGAATGGTGGTTCGGAGATGTTGGTCGGGAAGTGGACAACCCTGCACCGCCCGACAATGGTGTAGTCGGAAGTTTGATAGAGAAGTCGTTCGGAGGAGATGACACCGTAGGTTCTGTCTCTGCATCTCCGCCTTTCTCGTAATTCTCGATCCGAATTGGTGGCGGACGGGTTGCATGACCCTTGCTGGAAACAGGACCAGAGGCCTGGTTGCCGTAAAGATAGGTGGCAGCCAGAACCACGGCGGCACCGATGGCGAACTGACATCAAGCGATAAGCATTAAACTCACACAATAATGTTATGATAGACTTACATTAGCTGTCAACTGCAGGTCAAACAACCAGACGCTCGCCAGAGTGCTGAGGATTATACTGACACCAGTGGCCAAATTCTTCGCAATTCGATCGGCGTAGGTGATGGAGAAAGCAGCAGCAATGCCTCCCAAGGCCTGGATGGTAATAGTTGACCAGACAGCCCAGTTGTATCCATCGAAGAAGCCCTGATTGGCAATCTTTTCGCCATCAAAAAAGATCACGCCGATAAAGAGCGCGGGGAATATCGAGTAGATAGCCAATTGCACGTTGCGAATCCACAGAGATGTTGGAGTAGTGCTGTCCTTGAGCACTTTCTCAAAATATACAGTCGCGAATCCGGATGCCACGCAGGCGCCAATGGTTGCCAGCAAGCCAACGGCGCCATTGAGTGTAGGATGTTCGAGAAGTAAATCTTCCTGAATCCCCTCATACGTTGCGGAACGTTTTTGGAGGTTCGCAGCAGCAGCTCCTTCCATTCGCTTCCATTCTTCAAGAGACCTCGGAAAATTTAGGTGGGCGCGTTTATCTCTTATGGATATGGGATCTGAAGGGCTGTCGGGTAATTGCACAAGAGCAATGCCTGCGACAAGTAGCAGGAGGATAGCCCATTTCCGGGGTGAGATACTACGTCTCAGCAAGAACAGGCTGAACAAGGTTGTCGACACGAGTTTGAGTTGGTAGGTGACCTGGAACGTAGCGGCTTCCAGATTGGAGAGCGCAATGTATTGCAGCGAGTTCGCCAGAGTATACAGGCTGGCGGGGATGGCAAGTTTCCAGCTATCACCAGAGAAGACGGCGCTCGAGAGGGAGAAGAACAGAGAGGTTGCCGGCATCGACGGAGGGGCTCTCTGTGAAACTTCATACAGCGCCATCGTCAAAGAGATTGCAAGCTTTATGACCTCATTGAGGAAAACGGCGGTCGAAGTCAGGTACCGTTTCCCACCGACGGCGGGCATAACTCTGGAATAATGAAGCAGCTGTACCACATGCACGCATCAGCATCCTCGAATAGTCTCAATTGTTGCATCTAACCAGGGTCACTTACCAGGACAAAGGCAGTATATTGTATCGTCAACTATCGATCTTATTAGCGCCAATGCCCCACTCAATGCGCGACTGAGCGCATAAGCACGCCCTGACGAACTAGGGTGATTCCATACCAGAACAAAAGAGATATGGCGGAGGGGAATTCCCGTCCACGAGGACGAGCTCTGCGGGCCTTCCCCCATGTTGATACCGTTGAGTGATCGCGCCGAAGCGACTTTCCTCTCTTGCCCCTCGTTCGATGGTGTAATTAGGCCACAGCGCGAAAAAAAGTCCCAGAGATTATTTGCACACGAAGTCCGGACCCCGCCGGTCAACTCGCACCTCGCAACAACCAGGTCGCTGCAGGCGTGGGAGGCAGATCAAAGTTGGGTGAAGGAAGGAGACGAGCCTTGTGCGGATGGGAGGGTGTGACGTTGGCGGTGCGACCTTGACGCAAGGACCGGGATCCGGTCGGTAGCTTAAAAAACAAACCTTAGGTGCTGCAGAGTCTAATGGGGACAAGGAATGAAAGAACAACCCATACGCGTAAAGAAGAGAAAAAAAAAGGAACGGAGGTGATCAGAACTTTTCATTTATTTACTCACGCGCTCACGGTAAATTTCGGGGTCACCTTAGATCCTCCCCGTGCGGCACACAGTCTGGCCAATTTAAAACGGCGGTTGAAGGCGAGCGGGATAGCGGCCGATCTGGGGTAGGCACAAGGAAGCCTTCCCCTGGAGGATTAGCTGTTCGAAGGGGCTCGTGGGGGCGCCGGTCTGCACAAGCGTCAAACAGCCACAAGTCCAGACTCAGACGTTGGTTGATGCGAGACCCGAAACGGCTTTAACCTTAGGTACTTAGGTACCCAATCCCCAGCACCACCCAAGTTCAAATGCCGAGGCCTCAGACTCAGGTCTGTGATGAACTGCTACCCTAACCAACCCGGATAATTCCGTCTGCTAGGACTCACGGAGTACTGGTGACTTGCGTCCTCGATCGCGGCTACCAACAAGTGCTAGAGACGCTCCATGGATGGAGGAGCAATACGCCATGTCTCATCTATGGGACCACCGTAGGATGCTTGTTAGTGCCAGATTCTTAAGGGACGTAGACTACTAGTCCTACTACTTGGGAATAAGGAGTAAATTAGTAAGAGGTTCGATATGATTATATATACACTGCTATTAAAGAGGGTTAAAAGATATAGATAAAACAAGATTGAAAAATAGATCAAAATATTAAAAAGCAAGGTGAACCGGACCAGACAATCAGAGCGCCCTCATTGCAAATGGTATCACTTAAAAACCCCTCTAGTTATGCAATTCCTTCCCAAATTCTACAATGCAATCCATGGGCAGAAATAACAGATAAAAAAAAAGAGAAAAAAGGAGAAAAAAAAAGGAGGGAAAGAGAGAACCTATGTACAGGAACAAGGAAAATCAGAAGTCGCAAGACGGGCCATCAATAAAATCATTAAGGCAGGAGAATGGGAGAGGGGCAAAAAAAGAAGAAAAAAAAAGGATCGGTAGAGAGATACTTCTAACAACCCAATTGTAGGTGACTATCATGAACAAAATCCAGAGGACGAAGGGCTGCCTCAATGCACGATAGCAAGGTCGGCGCTATCTCGATTCCACTTGACAGCCCACAATGGGTATTCTGGCTCTTGTCTCTTGGTGTTCTCTGATTCATTCAGGACAATAGCCTCACTACTATCGGTTCGCCTTCTGGAATGGCGTCGCGGCGGTTCTGGGGCCGCGGGAGGTGAAAAGGAGGGTGGAGGACCTTGCGGGGAGAAGCGATGAATGGGGAGAGTCGGCGTCAAGGGCGAGGCGTGGCCGGTGGTGGAGGGGGAGGAGTGTGTATCGGAATAGACCAGGCTGACACGGGGAGAGAGATTGGAATTATCGTTCCTCTGTTCGGTATCAGACGCTGCGCCCAAAGACACGGAGCCTTCTTTTTCTTTGGAGGTAGCACCTTGATCTGCCGGCGTCGCCGTTCCCTGAGGGGATGGAAATCCCATACTCAGCCGTAAGAAAGACGTGTCGGTGTTGTGGAAGGAATCATGCGATCGTGGGGGTGGCGGCGACAACAACGCGGAACCCGTCTCGGAATCAGAGGTGTTCTGCTGCAGTTCTTGGAAAAGACTGGGCGTGATCCTGCCATTCCGCTGGCGCATAGCTTCCAACCACGATTCCTCCTGTCGGGTCACCGCAATAATCCGGCTTCGTCTGTTCCCAGAACTAGAGTTGCTATAAAGTGACTGTCGTCGTGGGACAATTCCTTCATGGAAATCGTCGGGCTCCGATATCACGGGGATACCAGCCGAACCACGGGACTCCCTCTTCTTTGCCGAATTGGAGGATTTAGCCGTCGAGGATGAGAGTGACAGATTGCGGCTTCGGGATTGACCCTTCGATGCGCCGCGAGATCCAGCACTGCTCACAGAGTGCCTTTTGTCAAGGCGAGTCAAGGTAGGTCCCTTGGTGGCCATGACAGCTTCTGCGGTACAAATCTCCGGCTCGAAATCGTCATATGTGGCCACGCTGTCACGCAAATCGCTTCTCGATGCATCTTGCTTCGCCGGCTCCTCATCGTCCTCGTCTTCATCTTCTGAAGAGGACAGATAAAGGACGCTGCACTTGGTGAGATCAGAGGTCGCCAGGGTGTTGCTGCTCGCCTTTTTCGAGACGGCCTTCTTTGTACTGCTACTCAAACGCACATCCGGTTCGGATTGCCATGCTTGGAGAGAGCTTCGAATGCGATTGGAAAAGGGCTTCATTGGCTTCGGACTCAGATGCGTTTCGGCACTGCGAGACGTTGAAGAAGCATTGGACGATACTTTCCTGGCCGTATCATCCGAGGATTTGGAATGAGCCGTCCTCTGCTGTAGGCTCTTTTCCGATTGAGATCCCAAGTCCTTGGACTGACGACGCTCGGACGATGGCGATGCTATGCTGCTAGGGTCTTGAGGTTGACCATCCATCTCAGAGAGCTCATCGCCTTCCTCAGCACATCGGATGACTTTCTCCACAGGAGCATCAAACCAGTCCACAACTTTTCGCTCCGCCGGCATTGGAGGTAGCGGAGCGTCTTCGGGGATCCTTGCCTCCATCTGCTTCCGACTGTTGCTCCTCGATCGAGGGGGTGCTTTTGTGAGTCTATTTGCAACAGAAGAGGTCCTGTCGAACTTTTTCGTCTTGGCAGAAGAGTATTCAGAGGCTACCGGAGAAGGGGAGTTCGTGTACCGCTGGGGGGAAAGGAGAGGGGCTGCTGTAGACTTTGGCTTCGGAAAGAGAAGAGAAAGATCAATTCTGCTCGGTCGCGTCTTCCTTTTCGGGTCCTTCGGTTGGTCCCTTTTCTGGGATGTTTCGTCTGGCCCTGGGTTTCCTCTCGAACTGTTATCTATATCGTTGTAAGCGATGTTTTCCTGTGACTTGGGTTGGAAGGCCGATCTCTGCGCGTTGGGGACAGAATGTAGCTCGGACCAGGAGCCCGACTTGCGTATCTGTTGGGTCTCTGGAGGGATAGGAACGTAGGAAGGTTGTTTGGCTCGATAGTTCTGACCAAGTAAAGGCGACGAGGCTCGTACGCGGAGTTCGTGAAGAGACGGTGGGGATTCCGGGACCAAGGCATGATAAAGGTCCATATCTCCCTTCGATTCTAAGACACTGGTGATGTTTGTTCCCCCATTGTGTTTGTTGGGACCAGGCTCCTCGCCGAGGACTTTTGTGTGCCTTCCGGCCCCTGTCGGAGCTATTCAACGCTTCCCGACTGCTCACCTTAGGCGGTGACCGCTCGCCTTGTGTTGTGTATGCGTTCATGCTCGACGTTCGTACCGATATTGGAAATGGAGCCCTTGAAGACGGTTGCCGCGCCATGATCGGGTTCCAAACGCAGACTCAAAGACGCAGAAGAGCTCTTGGAATGTCAAAAGCGGTCCGTTTTCGATCTTGTCACTGAAAGGAGCTCTGATGCGTCGAGGTGAAGGAAGGTCGGTAGAATGGCTCAGATGTAAACCAGCTCGAAAATGTTTATTATAATATATGTTCGAAACGCGTGTTGGGTCACCGAGAGGTTGGATCTCCGAGAGCGTGCCTGCCGTCCTCCACCTGGAACCACGGGACGTTATCCTGACTCGGCAACTTGGAAGGCGATGAAGTCAAACCGAGAGACGATGACTATCGAATGAGCATGCCTCGAAGAGAAAGAAACGGCAGGACTTGAAAGGAATAACGAGTGGATGAAGTTGGAGAACAGAGTATGAAAAAGCTGCAGAGAAGGTCATTAGACGTGAGCAGGTCACCGCTGCTTCGTCCAACGCGGCGGAGCAGTTTATTTCGAGACTTAAAGGAGCAATGATCTGACCGTCCCGACTCCATGGGGCAATACTAACAAACTATTCTTATTCGATGGAAGCCCCAATGGAAGAATCGACTGGCCAGCGGCTAACGGCAGGCCGGCGTTGAATTTAATCACGGTGGGAACCATGACATTGTGCATCACAAACGATCTCTCGGGCGCCATCAGGGATCCTATCATGCTACTGGTTCTAGAGGCGAATTAGTTGTTTCTCGAGCTAAGCAGGGATCACTTGCAAAGTAGACCACCGTGTGGATCGGACTGACGAATCTGCGCGGCGGACTCGAGGGCGCGATGACAAAAAGGAGTCCGGAGAGAACCGGACGCGTGCCCGCCAAGTGGCTAGCGTGGGCGAGCACACAGATCAAAGTTTGGGAGATGGGAGACGGTAGCTCAGGCATCGCCGCATCATAATTCATGGATCAACGACTCCGTGCGCGCCTGTTGGCGCTTGGCACGCTGGTGGCAAGTGGGAGCACATGGGCCATCGCCTAGCTCCAGTCCAGGGAAAGGGGGAGCCGCCCGTATTTCGTGGAGAGCTGTCAATGGTTAGCGCTAGTTTAACTTCATACAGGAGGGCTTCTCGCACTCCTTTTCCGAATTGGAGAGAGCGGCCTGTACACGCAGTCGTAGCAAGATGATAGTTGGTTGTAGCGTTCAGACTCCAGAGTTCTCTGCGGTGGTATGTCGACTGTCGACTCGTGCTCTGCGTGACACGTGCAAGCCCGCAGCCGTCCGTCGCCGAGCTAAAAATGCATGCAACCTGCGCTGCGATGGCCGCCTCGGGCTCTCCCCTGTCTGTTTCTTTTTTGTTCCCCCTTTTCCTCTCCACAGCCTCAACAAAGAACAGTCCCTACTCTGTACGTAACTGCGAGAGCTGAGCACCAGGATCCTAACCCCTTACGGCTATATCCTCTGGATGGAGTACTCTACGCTGTTCAATCCGCTCCAACGACTCTGCGAGTGACCGATACCGTCTGCTCGTATGTCCCCAAATCCCGAGCTTCAACCACGCCAGTTTCCACGGAGCAGGACTCCGTAGTCTTCTGTATGTATTGTGCAGGGACGGGCTGATGCAGCGTACTTCGGAGTAAATAATAGGTGAGCCCAACACCAACGGCCACCTGAGCGGACGATTAATTTAGCTAGATGCTTTTGACGCTATGGCCTTGTGACCAGTCGCCCATGTCGATGGCACCAACCATGCCCCAGCCAATTACCAGCATATACGGAGTACGAACAATGCATGCTGCTGTGTCAGCGCCGCATCTTGTGCAGTACTCCGACAATAGCGATTGTTCCGTTGAGGGGTAACAACGTTCTCGCAGTCCCTGCAGCTACCTCGACAATCTCGGACGCTTAAACAGTCATCAACGTACCCTCTTCGGGGCAGATGCTTGTAATCTAACATACGAGATGGATTGCACAACACACGCTTGGAGTCGTGGACCTTTGTCTGAGTATCTAGTACTCCGTATAGGAAAGGGTAGATACTACAAAAGGGACTGCGCCATGCGCAACCCAGACGGTAGGACCTGCTCAAGCGTCAATCGGTGGATCTGACTACGATCAGGATCACTTCAGATAAGGACCTCACCTGCGCGTCAGATTCCCTGAGTTATAAAGCCACAATATTAATCTTTCCAGCATAGAGTTGTCATGCATGTGCATTTTCCAGTCTATTGAGTCCTTCTCCACTTGCCGCTGCATCATACGTAAGGTCACAGAGTGCGGAGACACTGGTAATTTATTTAGCTCCAACTTTGTCTGTGCCGCATCCTGTGACTCTATATTCACACGTCAAACCTCGAGAGTCTCCCATCATGTCCCCGTACGCCTGACGGCTTTTTGCTTTTGCTGTTTCCTGGAATCTCAGTAAGAGAAATCACATCACTGTCTAACTACATTGGTTATTTCCCGGCCACTTTGCGGCTGCCAGATACGACGTCCACGTCCTTACGGAGTATTCTGCGAGAATGATACTGTCCTGGGCTAGCAGGCTGCAGCTAAGACCTTGCCCGTGCACGAGAACCCGACCTTCCCCACCAATGCCAGTGCTGTCAGGGGAATGCGTCAGAGAAAAGTCAAAATCCGATTGACCATCACGGATACAAGATTCCAGGAACACCCGATCGGTTTCGTCCAATAAGAAACCCAGGGCCATTAGCATCCAGATTCATCATCTCCACGGTCTATCAGAGTTTGCTGACAGAACAGGCTAGTTCTTTGCAGATCACTATCTGTCTGGTCTCATGAACTACCTACCTATCTGAGATCAGCTACGGAGTCTTCGGTGTTAGGTATTAATTAATGCTATCAGGGAGAAACAAGATTCGCTCGGAGTAAACCAATGTCGAAAAAGAGACAGACAGCGCTGAGGATGGAGTACCTACTTAGATATTTGGGTAGTTACGTAACACATCATTGATTCCGAAATGTTATATTGGTAAGTTAGATTACGTTTCCCAAAATTTCGGAGCACCTGACCGAGGTCGACCACGTTCTACTCCGGACTTACCGCACAGAGTACTCCGTACTGGACTCATGATCGCCAACAAGATTAACGATCAGCGAAAGTGGTCACTGCTGACTGCCCAGCAATGATGTTGAATCGTTGATATGCATCAAACTTCCCCGTGGAGAGCCCCATCGCCAATAGACTCCATTATTAAGTTCGTCAGAATAATTTTCACATTCCGTATCTTAGACTCGACTCTATACGAGAGAAAAAAAGGGGGTAAAAAGGAAAAAGTAAAAGAGAAAGCTCTCCACAAAAATTTGGGGGAAAGAACAGTTACCAATAGACCGGGCATAGTTATCGTTAGTCCTGTCGAGACCCACGGAACTATCCGTGTTGACCAGCATCCGACCCGTGCGCCACGGCAAATAGATACCTAGGGATCGGTTCGATCGGTTTTCTTTTCCAGAGGGCCTACTACTGGGTCCTCTCTTTTTCTCTTCTTTTTTGTGTGAACTTTTTTGTTTTTGCCCTTCTTGGTACATTCTTAAAATTATGCGTCAAATTAACAGTTCAATAGTTTACTGCCTGAGCGCATACTTAGACAGAAAGATAAGGAGAGAAGCCGCGATGGATTATTATTCTGTATGCCACAAATTTACGTACATTTTTTTTATCTCTAGTTTGTTTTCCTCCCCCTGCTCAAATTTGTGACAAGACCAAATTCATTCATCGATCGATTGAGTGATGGTCTATGCTATTGAATAATGCAGAATCCTTTTTTTTTTTCAAATGAACTTGTACAGTACAAACTTTGTTTCTGTTTCTGTGTCGCTTCTTTTTTTTTTTGAAGAATCTATTATTAAATTCTTCGCCCTCTCTCAAGAGAAGAGGAGGAGAAGACAGAAGTGTTCACCCTTAGCCAGGAAAGGGGAAAAAAAGGAATCGCATTATGATCATTCATAAGCTGTCCGAGCCGTCCGAGCCGTCCGAGCTGTCCTCGTCGGTCGTCGAGGCCCGTCCAATGTCAATCGGACTCTTGAGCTTGCTCATCCTCATCCGTTTGATAGGTTTATCCGCGATTATCTGATTAGTCGCAATACTGGCCTGGCTGATCTGGCTGATCTGGCTGGGCTGGCTGGGGTTCGAGTCATCGACACTGCTGAAACCTCGCTTGCGAGCGCGCTGGAGTCCCTTCAGCACCTTATCGTTCGTCAACTCACCGTCGGAGCTAGCGGTGGACTCCCAATCCATTTCGTCGTTATTATTGTTAGTAGTACCGTTGGTGGTGGTGGTGGTGGTGGTGGTGGTGGTGGTGTTGTTGTTGTTGTTGTTGTTGTTGCTGCCATTCAAAGCACGCGGCATCTTGAGCCGGAGTTTTTGCTTGGGCTGTTCTTTCGGGGGTTCCGGATCAGCATACGGGTTGTGGACATACCACGGGTTGCCTGACTCGTTTGGCGTCTCTTTGCAAATCCCCTGGACGGTGTGGGCCGGAGTGGCTTTCGGAGCGGGCTCGACATGATTGTGGCTCGGAGCGACGATTATGTCCTGGAGGAATCTATCCGGGGATTCGGGCTCATTCGGGTCCTTCGTATAGTAACTCTTCACTGGAAAAGTGTACTGGAAATGGACTTGGTTAGTTCTTTCGTCCAAAATACATGCATGTATACTTGCTCAATTGACTGGAACTCACATAATGCGCGATCTTCGCAAAGGGATCCCACACTTCGGTTTTCAAGCGCTGTTTCATCTCCTCTGTCTGCGGGATGAGATATGGCGGGAGGCCCTTCGCCGTAAACCCTTTGCTCTTCGAGCCAGGCGTCGCTTGGATGTATTTGCGTGTCCTCAAAAGACCCGCCACATGAGTGACCTCGCGTGCGGTACAATCTTATTTGTCCCGAATATGTTAGCAGGTCTCTTGCTCAAAGTTCATACATCCAACGGCAGGTATTTACTTACGAAGTTTCCGGGCAAACTCGGCGTTTTTGCTAGGATAGCCGTCTCGCACTATGATGTTCAGAGCTCGTCTCATCTTCACAATCGATGTGAGCTCCGGCAGCACATCCTTCTCAGTGGGTTCGGGTTCCAGAAGGCAGCGATAGCAGGCGTGGATATTGGGGATGTTTGGGTCGTTCGGCTCGCTGAATCCGTAGCAAAGCAGGTGCTGTCGAGTGTGGCAAAACGCGCATTCGAGCTGAAGACGCTCTTGGTCAGCATGTATTCTCTCTTGTTCAAGTGTTGCGTGCCATCATCTTCTTACCATTTCGGCTTCTTCGACGTCCCAGCCGCACTGACACTTGATTGAACCAACGTGGTTGTCACCGTCAGTAGGCTGAGGGTCCTGACGTGAGAGATGTTCTTGGATTTCCCGAGTCCGGGATTCAGAAAGCTCGTATCGAAGGATCGGCGGCTGTCCTCCGTTCAGAGGCTGTGTAGGAACGCCGTCCGGGTCTTGGGTCGACAATTCGGCCTTTATAAAAACAAGTCAGCATTTTTCTCTCAGACGTGGACGCTATGGCTTCACTAGAGTCCTCACATGAGCCATTTCCTGCAATCGCTGCTTCTCGACAGCATCTTTGCGCACAAAAGATTCTTGAGAGGTTCCTGCAACATCTGTCAGCTTAGTTGATACGCTTGCGTTCCTGGTAGCGTGACGTGCCTTGCCCGTTGGCCTGTTCACTTAGCATCCTCTCATAATCTTCAAGGTCTTCGGGAATCCCGACTTCGGATGCCCGCGCAATTCTGTCCTTGTACGGAATGTCTTCAGGGATTGGCGGCATGGGGCCGTCTTCCGCATCATAGGGTGAGCCCAGCCATTTCATGTTGCTGACGCGGATTCCAATGCTGTTGCATGTTAGATTGCCCTGATGAAAGATAGGATATATATATATACTGACGTATGGTAACCGCTATCTGCACTTCCGAACGTGATAGATTCCCGCCTCCATTCTTGGTCTATTGGAAAATAGATGTACTCATCGTTGGCCGCGCCAAAACCGGCCGGTTCATAGTCCTCCGGGCAGTCGTCGGTGTAGAATAGATGTACGCCAAGATATCTCTTGCCTGTGCCCATTAGTAAAAATAGTCGTAAATGTAGCATTTGGGTAAAGGTTTCATACTCGGCAGTTCCGGGAAAAAGGCATTGAGAAGAATAAGACGACGAATCATAACCTCAATGCCGTAACGTGCTTTCTTTATGGTGTCCATATCCGCAGCAACGTTGAAACCCGGAGAGTCCAAGGAGATGCCTGTCAGAGTCTTGTCACAGTCTCCGAGTCCGCCAGAATACTCGAAAGACAAAGTGTGGGTTTCCAGAACGTTTTCAGGTCTGTTTCTGTCAACAAAAATCGATAACTGGATGCCGGCCAAGAATTTTTGCTTCAACGCGTCGAAAATACCGGTTTCCTGATTCCGTTAGCAAAAAAGAATAATGGACTGAGATAGCACGAGAAATCACCAAAAGATTAGCTAGACCGTCCGCCGTAGGATGAGACCCGCGAGCTAGGACCTTGAAAGGTTGGCCCCGTTTGGCACTCTTCTCAGGCTTACGAAACGCCGCGTTGTTCTGTTGGCCGTAGACAAAGTTCTTGTAAGTGAGCTTGTTCTTCGGGTGAAAAGCATTCGAATCACGGTCCGAAAAACAATAAAGAGGCAAGAATTCACTGCGAGGAAGGTTAGATGCATTCAGCTACACAATTTCTGAAATCTAGTGGTTCTTACCGAAGATACAAGATAGCACCAAACTGTACGACCACGTATTAATGTTAGTTGATGACGAACTATGGATGTCTCTGCTGGGGGAGAGGATGAGACTAACCGCAACGTGCACCATAATCATGACCAAGTCGAGACTTTGCCACTGTTTGAAAAACTGCATTTCTTCATCATCGTGCTGTTCCTGAATCGTTTCCATTTTTTCTTTTTTACTTCCGTTGGCCTTTTCAGAGTTGGTCTTCTGGGCCGGCGCAGGAGTAGTGCTGGGCGACCCGTAGGAAGACGCAGCATCCTTCGGACGAGAAGGGCCTGTAAACTTGATACGAGCCATGACTCTTTGGTTAGTGATCTGATCCTCTGAGAAGATTCGAGATTGGTTGTTAGGTTCTTGGAAAGAAGTAGAAAGTGTTGTTGTTGTTAAGAGCAGAAGATAGGATAAGAGTGTTGCGTCTGATGTAGAACGTTTGAGGGTGCGTTCGAGGAAGCGAATGTTTGTTTTGACTTGGGTGTCTGTGGGGAAAACGTGGTAGAAGAAGTTTCCTCTGTAGATTTATGGATGCAATGTTTGTCTGTCTGTTTAATGGTTCGTGTTTTGGGCGGGCCCTCCCATCGCGTTCGCCATTCACTGTCAGGACGCACCCGTGACTCGGCCATAAAGAGGACATACAGCCTTGGTCCAACATACAATGCAAACACTAACCAAACCACAAGGGAACTATTCATGAAGAATGGGTTTACAAACAAAGCTACAGTATCCCGCAATTCGGATTGTTGTCACGCAGGAGATATGTTATATGGCTGATCCTTTGGAGTCTTGTCGTCGTTAAGCCCGAGAATGAGGAAACGTAACGGTTTTAGTGCCCTTCTCGTCTTTCGTACAAAGAAAACCCATTATATAAAACTGATCGACTAGATCATCGAACTCGACAAAGTCGATGGACAGGTTTGGCAATATGGGATTACATTCTTACTAAGAAAGAGGATGCTTGAAATAACGAAGATAAGAAAGTAGGTACTAACAACGAATATAAAAAAAAGAGGAAGACAAAGATTATTCAGATGGATGCTGCTCTAAATGATAGATTTTGAATTTATATAAAAAAGTCGATGGGCAGGCTGCTGCTGCATATCTCATTGACTCCCACTATCCACCCATCTGTCAAACGGTGAATCATCTAATTAGTGCCTGGCTTGGAGTGATGTATAGGACTCTCTCTATCCATATAGCTAAGACGCCAGCCACCTTTTATTTTAATTCACTTCGAGTCGAGGTGCTTGCAGAAGAACAAAGACCTGATCCATGATGGTTGAGACTATTTCCTATCTGGGGAAGTGGGTCTAGGTTGTGGTTGTGAACATGTGATAGCGCGTCGCGATAGATCTTTTCTCCCCACATTTTCTGGGACTTGGCCCCCTCCTGCTAGGTACGCTGCCTGACGTTGGCATCAAGTAGAGAGTGAATACAGGAATGTCCAACATCTCATGAATTACTCTGTAGATCGAGGCAAGCACTTGATATTGAACACCTCTCCAGGCCCGTCATCAGGCTCTCAAAGCTGTCCATGCCGCAGGACGCTGGCAACCCCGCTATCACAACCCGGGTGGGGGGCTGACAAGCTGACTACTCCATACGGTCTAATCCGTACGCTTAGCCGTCGCCACTTCGCCCCTGCCGTTCCCCAAATAGGCGAGACCTGGTAGGACGCGCTCCGAAACTACGCCGACGTCATAGCAGGAGCTGGGCAACACAATCCGGAGATCGCCTTTTGGCAGAGGGTCTGGTCGGAGCCTCCATCTGTTAGCTGCACTCATAGTTTTTCTTCTTACTTATAAGATACGGAGTACTAAGGACGCATGGAATTGCCAAGAGGGAGTCACGTGAATTCAAGATGCTGTGACGCTTGAAAATGCGGCGACAGTTGTAGTCCTTGGTGCGAGATAGATAAAGAGGAAGCCGTTGTGTCCTCGGCTTCCTCTCCCTAAGTCTGTTTGGAAAGGCGGCCGAGGAGAGGCAAGAAAAAAGTCCCTCTGTGGCTCGGTCTCTAGCAAGCGCGTAAGTGGCACAGTTGCATCCGAGTGGCCCACTCCGAGGCGAGAGAGGACCGAGCGTGAACAAGCACAATAGCAAAATCCCCCAGAATTGCCGACTGAGATGGTCAAATCTGTTGTTGCAGATCGCTTGTGACATGCCGTTGTGTGCCTTGTCCACTCCAGCTTGGTTAGTCCTCAGAATTATTGTGGGGGAGATCCAGACCTTTGTGCTAAGGTCCGCGTTGCGTCGGAGCAGGAACGCCCCCAGCTTTGATTTGAGAGGCTGACCTGCCGCTAAGCACCAGCCTCCTCCAGTAGTAAATTCCCTCCCTCGCTAGGGCCGCCTTCTCCATCTCTCTTCCTAACCCACCACCTCCGACAAACGACTCCATCCTTTCGCTTCTCACCTACGCCAGGGACGCCGTCAAGCTGCTGAATTAACGCCTTTCATCATGATCAGTTTTCTGGTTTGGTAGTGGTAGTTGCAGTCATTTCGTCTTGCAGCTCTGCCCTGCTGACAGGACGTTGTGGCCAGCTTCTCCGAATACCAGCCACCTTATCCGCCTGCGCCTTCGACGCATAGCGGTTCTCTTCTTCCTTGACAGATAGAACACTCGATTCATTCTTAGACACCAGCAGACCAGCAGACACGCCTTGGACACGTCCGTTTCTGCAAATATGGCAGAGCTCGGTTCGCGATCTCGGGTTCGAGACGCGTCTCCGCTACCGTCTGGAACGGTTGAATCTCCTGCTTATCCCTCCCTGGCGACAGGCTTCAAACATACCCGAAAACGTGATCTGGATGGGATTCGAGAGGCCAGAGCTGGCACGGCCGCTTCGAGTACCACACTTGGTCAGTTTTCTTTCGCTCCCGCCACCCGGACTACGGTCGTGACTACCACGACGACTACCACGACCAATTTCCCTCCGCTCGTACTGAATGCACCACGGTCGACCCGCGAACTCGACCCAAAGCTCTACCCCCTCGCTGCAGCACCAACTCCTACTTCTTTGAGGCACTTCAAATTCGAACTTGGAGGAAAATCGATCGTGTTTAACGAACCGGAGGACACCGCTGGCGCGCTCCAGGAGGTACGTGCTCTTACAGATTCATCATCTGTTTGAACATGCCATATTATCTGGTGAGATGGACCTGCTGACAGTGTCTGCAGTTGAAAGAACAGCATGAGGCATTGAAAGCCTCGAACGGTGTTCTCAGATCGGTCACTGTCTACGATTCACCCAAGCAACCGACCTCCTCCCATCGATTATCTCGACAGCCAGCGAGTCACCCGTCAAGTCTCAAACGTCGGCCTGTGTCTCCGGTTTCGATTTCAGAATCTGCTAAAAATGGACGCAGAACACGGTCATTGGCAGTTCCCTCCGAGCCAGGTTCGCTCCAGAACCAGGAGCAGCCTCAACGCGACCAGGCTGTGTCCGCCGCTCATCCTTCGGTGATGGGCTTGGCCACCCCGAAGACTGAAACGAGTCGTTTGCAGCTTGGAGAGAGTTCTGTTCTAAGGAGGAGAATCCACAATGGCAGACTCGGACGGAAGGAAAACTCAGGATCCCCTGTGCCTGAAGGAGTTGATTCGCGTGATGTTACACGAACTTCGTATCCGAAGCAGCCGCTTCCCAAAGACGGCTCACGGGCAAGTCCCTTAGGGAGTGAGCGAACGCCGGTTTCAGAACGTCGTGTCCTTTCCAATCAGGAGTCTCAGGATTCGCAGTCTTCCCTGGAGGACGAAGATGGCGTTGGTGAAGCGGCGGGGTCTGGACAGGAAACCATTGACGAGCCGTCTGCGGAGCACCAGCCACAGCGGACCGCATCTGCCGCGTCAAGTTTGGCTGCTATCGACAGTGCTATTGCTCAAGACATGTGTCTGCCCAGTCCGAGTCTGTCTCCTGTGACGGCGATGAACACTCACAATGCAGATTCCTTTTTCGATCTCACTGAGGATCAGGGAACTGATACCGACTCCAGTTTCGAGAACCAAATTTCGAATCAACAAACGACTATCAGTCTACGAGGCGAGCAGGCTGGCTCTTCCAGCAGCTCCACGACGGAAAGGTCGTACAATGAAGTCAAGACGTCATCTGCGTCTTTGATGGATATTCCAGTCATTTTGGATTTCTTCGACTCAGTTCCAGGCGCGATGAAGAACTACCTCATGTATCAGCTCTTGAAGCGTTGTCCCAAGCCCACCTTACAATTCATCGCTGACGTGGTCAACCCCGCCCTGAAGTGCGACTTCTTGGCTCAGTTGCCTTTGGAACTGAGCTTGAACATCGTGAAATATTTTGATTTTCGTACGATGTGCCGTGCCGCCCAGGTGTCCAAGAAATGGAGGCACATCGTCAATTCAGATGAGAAGACATGGAAAGAACTTTTCGACAGGGACGGTTTCACACTGCCAGAAGGCGAATTGCAGCGCGCTATAAGAGAAGGTTGGGGCTGGCAGTTTCCTAACGGAAAGGACGACTATGAAAAAGATCTTAGCGCATCAATTGTTAGGACTGATTCCGACGCACCTGTTGTTGAACCCTCACCAGCGACCGCTTCTGCGGATGGAAATATGGCGACCTCATCTTTCACCCGTCGTCCGAAAAGGAAGGCTGCTACTCGGGTTTCAAGTCGTAAACTAGCGAAGAGAAAGATTTCATCCGCCGGAGGTGAAACTTCAGATTCGGTGGATTGGACAAAGGAGATTGCGTCGTTAGAAGGACCATACGCCGCTGCTAATGCTGCCGCCGCTGCCGTTCCCTACCCGGACGTGGGACTGCCATCTCTTAGAAGCTTGCATCTATACAAGTCTCTTTATCAGCGCCATTACTCGATCCGCCAGAGTTGGATGCGACGGGACATAAAACCAAAGCATATTGCTTTCCGTGCTCACGATCGTCATGTCGTGACATGCCTGCAATTTGACACGGATAAAATCCTGACGGGGAGCGATGACCAAAAGATCCATGTGTACGATACCAAGACCGGCGCTCTGAAATCTGTGCTCCGAGGTCACGAAGGTGGTGTTTGGGCATTGGAATATCATGGCAATACTTTAGTGTCCGGCTCCACCGACAGGACGGTAAGGGTGTGGGATATCGAAAAGGCGAAATGCACGCAAGTCTTCCATGGTCATACATCTACTGTTCGGTGTCTGCAAATCTTACTTCCCGCTGAGGTTGGTAAAAACGCCGATGGCACTCCAGAAATGATGCCCAAGGAACCGCTCATTATCACTGGTTCCCGTGATTCGACCCTACGTGTCTGGAGGCTGCCCAAACCAGGTGACCCTACCTATGGGCTTGATGATGGACCACATGGTGATGGCACAGACTGTCCTTATTTCATTCGTGTCCTAAGTGGACATCAGCACTCTGTTCGGGCGATTGCTGCGCATGGCGACACTCTGGTTAGTGGAAGCTATGACACCACTGTTCGGGTTTGGAGAATCTCCACTGGAGAAACGCTACATAAGCTGCAGGGTCACACGCTCAAAGTGTACAGCGTCGTTCTTGACCACGCGAGAAATCGTTGCATCAGTGGATCAATGGACAATATGGTCAAAGTGTGGTCCCTTGAGAATGGATCTTTGCTTTACAATCTCGAAGGCCATACGTCCCTCGTCGGTCTTCTTGACCTGAAAAATGATCGTCTAGTCTCGGCAGCGGCCGATTCTACACTCAGAATATGGGATCCAGAGACTGGCCAATGCAAGAGCACGTTGAGCGCACACACCGGTGCGATCACATGCTTTCAACACGATGGTCAGAAAGTCATATCAGGATCCGACCGCACTCTGAAGATGTGGGATGTGCGGACAGGGGAATGTGTCAAGGATCTTCTTACCAACCTCAGCGGCGTGTGGCAAGTCAGATTCAATGATCGCAGATGTGTTGCTGCCGTTCAGCGGGACGGTCTGACTTACATTGAGGTAATTTCTCCCTTAAAAGATTAAAATGCCTTTCTTCGTATCTGGTATTGACTGGCGCTTCCCAGGTTCTCGATTTCGGCGCTTATCGTGATGGCGTTCCCGAACATCGACTCGGGAAGCGCATACTGGTTGACCACAGGGGTTGTGAAGCTAGTGAAGAGGCTGATGATGATGTTCTGGATTACGAAATCGTGAACGGTTAACGCTTTCGATCTTCGAATACCCCATTCGTACCTTGGCCCTTTTTGTCTAAAGATTTTTCTATCGATAAATCGGCTGCAGCGGTATTTGTTGGGACGAACTTGTTCAATTTTCGATAACAGTCTTCGGATATCACGATACCCATCCTCATGGACTTCGGCTTTTCCGGATAATTTGCATCTTGCATAGCGTGGGTGGCACTATTTCTCGTGGGCATCATGAACGGGCAGGTGTTGGGCTTGAAATGGGTTCATCTCCTTCCTTTGACATGTTCCACTTAGCTTCCGTATTTTACATTCATCTCTTATCATGTGTGGCATGCTTTTTATTATCTTCTCTTAAAAAAAGGCTTGATTTGGTTTATGACATTCATGTTAACCCGAAGGTGTTGTTTCTGGCATGGTGCAAGTAGAAATAAAGTTCTTAATTATCAATGATCGACCAGTTTCTGCCCTCCGGCTTTCCAGTCTTCCTGGTCTGCCACGGCGATCGTAGCTATATAAGGATTTGTAATGAGTCAACTGAGGTCAGTTGATGAGTGTCTAGCATCCGCTGTCCTCGATGAAGCCTCAGCATAAGGGTGTTTGTCCTCATGGTATTGGCATGCGTTGTATTCTCAAGGGCAAATTGGTGCGAGTCAGCAGTCATCGTACTTAGCGGATATCAACTGATAAATTCCTGCTTTGCTCTTAAATCACTGTCGATTGACGGCTGCACCCGTCTGAACAGAAGCAGCTGAATAACAGAGGACATTGCACCAGATGTTTGGCAAGACCGCACCTTTGGTCCAGTAACGCGACCCATACACTTCAGACGCGAACGCGCAAACTGCTGCTTATTCTTACTTTTCTTTCACTTTGTTTAAAAGTAGTCTGCAGGAAAGAGAGGCTATGGTGATCTAAATCCGGCGTGGATGATCATTGCTGAACAATACTGCTTCTGACCTTCCTTGTTTCATATCCCACTGCATCAAGATATCCTCGAAAAGGGCATCCACGGAACTCTCAGAAATTTTTGCCAATCTTTTCAGGTTCTCTCCGGTCCGCCCTTCCAACTGATCTTCGGCTCGATTGCCATCCTTCTACGGGCGCTTGCATCGCGTATCTGTTCCGCCATATCCCAGCAGCTGCCAAACGGAAGGACAAACAATAGTGAGGTTCATTGCATTTCTTCTCATCTACATCTCGTTTCTCTCATTACTGCTGGTTGTTGACGCGCGGCCTTTGGAGAACGCTTCTGTTCTTCACAAAACAGAAGCGACCGTAGGATCGGTTAACCCTCTTCTTCTACGAAGCTCTTCCTTCCTTGATATCTCTCGTTATTGCTGAACTTTCGAGTTATCAACATTATTAGTCGCCCGTATTCCGATATCTAGGCTTTGATGTCCTTTGAGGAGCGCCTTCTACGACACAGCTGATCAAGGAGTGCTGACTGCCACCCAAGACTACGGTCACCCAAAACTGAAGAATTACCGTCTTCTGAAAGTTGAGGAACGAAACAGTTTCCATTGAAAATGGGAAGACTAAATTACTCCGCTGTAAGTCAAGAAGCAGTAGAACTTGCCATGATTTAAGTGAGACACAGGACGCACGCTGACACACAGCGACGCTGATAAGAGGAAAATTGACGGTGTTAAAGCAGGACAGGTATTGTCCAAGGATCTGGTAAGAACATAGTCGTTCGCCTGTGTTTTGAAGTAATTACAGCTAAAGTTTGGATCCATCGATAGAGAAAGAGAATTCCACCAGGAACTGCCTCTCGAGCCGCGTTGAGAGATCCCTACCTCGAAATCGATATCGCCGCAAAGGATCTTACAGACGAAGGATTTGATCAATTCATTGACGACTTGATAGAATGCCTTGAGTTTCGGGATACAGATCATCCACAGGGAATTGCAAAACTTCACGAGCTCCACCTACAACAAAATGCTCTAACGACGCGTTCTCTTCATAAGCTTGCCAGGGTTGTATCTCTTAGTGAGAGAGACCTGAGGGAGCTTGATCTCTCGGATAACAATTTGGAGGTGCATACTGTTGAGCAGCGGAAGATCTGGCAGGAATTCCTGGAATCGTTCAGAGGTTGCTTCATGTTGAAGAAGCTCGACTTCAGTCGCAATGCTCTCGGTCCACGGGGTCTCGAGATTCTTGCTAAAGTTTACGTGAAAAGTGACCTTGACTTCTTTGAGCCAGACAGCATTATTACCGATGAGCCGCACCGGGTCGAGACCAGCAGTGATCACGCCGTTCTGCCACCTGAAGTTGGGAAGGAGAATGCTAATCCTGGCACCCAATTTCTCTCTAACACCCCTAGGAAATCGCGATCCATGCTTCAAAGCAAAGGTAGATAATTCCGTTACATTTTATGCACTCCAAAGACTGTGCTGAGTATCGATGTAGCAGGACGTTGTCAGACCCTCTCGCCGGCGGCAAGAGTGTGTACAGAAGCTGAGCTCAGGCGCTATTCCTGCACGAGAGGCCTACGTTCAATCCCATACTTGATCCTCTCAAACGTCTCGATGACAAGCGGTAGTGCTGTGCATCTGTCGACCATTTTGAGCATGCATCGAGCCCCCGAGCGGCTTCTTGCATTCCTCCCTGGGGGAAAAGCACCGAATCTACCCGACCTGGCCGGTTGCTCAAAGGGAATAGTCTGGCTTCCTAACGAAGGCCTAGGGTCTCTCGCTCGCGAATTTCTGGAGATGACGGAGAAGATCGGACAGTCTGGGTCAGATACTGAATCTGAGGGTGACGTGAATGATAGCAATGGTCCACGTGCGGTCCATGGCGTGTCTCATGGAGATGTCAAACGACGCCAGATGCGCAAAAAACTCGACGTGGAATACACACGGCTCAAGAAGAGAGTGAGGATTGACGTCTTGAATTTCGAAGGCGTTCACAGTGCAGAAATCTGGAGTGTTGCTCTGAAAATGATGGTTCAATGTCGTGCAATTCTTTTAGAAGACAGAGATCGTCCTCCCGCAGCGGCTTCATCTGAAAGCTCACAGCTGGAAAGGACCCTAGATCATGAAAGTCAGACCAAACACGAAGCGTTCTGTACCACCACAGAATCAGACATTGTCGCCTCGGGGCCTTTCCATCCATCCACTGAGAATTTCGATATTCATTTCCCGATACTTCAGGGAAAGACTCGTCCAGTCTCACCACCTCCCCAGGAACGCCCAAAGAAAGCCACGAATCCTATGCCTCCACCACATGGTAAACTACCAAGTTCAAGTTCTGGGAAGGGGCTCAACCATGCAGCGTCCACTGCTACCAATTCTCTTCCCCGGAAGGAGAAATGGCGGTTTGATCTCCCGATGGAGATCTGGCGCCGAATTATTGCGAACGCGGTGGGTGCTGAGGGGATTCTCGACCGAGAGCAGCAGCTACAAATCATGTACTATTCAACCAACTGGAATTCTCTGGCGCAAGAAATGTCTGTCAAGGGGGCAGCAGACAATCAGCAGATCTGGAAGATACTGGAGAGTATGGACTGCTTCACGTACAGGCCACCGTCGTGAACAGGCTTTCGATTGCAGATACTTCATACACATACGGAATCATTTCGGACAGAAAACAAGTGTAAGGTAATATGGCTTTGTGGGATCATTTGCGCGATTGAACGGACTTAGATTAAGATTAACCATGGTGGCAAATGGACTGTACATTCGGAGGCATGCATTGATCGACTTTTTTTTTCAATCTGTTTTCAATACGAGTTTCAAAAAGGTCAAACTTTGCAGAGAGGCTCATACTAGACAATTCATGTTGATATACGTGGATATTGACGAATCCAACGTCATAAGATCACAAGCCTTACCGGTGTCGCTTCACTCGATTAGTTGAACGGGGAAAAAATACCTAGTCTATTCCAAGAACTTTCTACTATATGGTTATGGTCTTTATGATGTACACTCTAGGCAGGCTTCCTAACCGTAATCCTTGATATAATTTTTTTAGCAGCCACATCTCTTACCATATCTCTTATGGACGCATAGTATATTTACCCGTTTTTGTCTTGCAAAATACGTTACAGTGTGTAACAAGCGAGGTTAGATGTTTTCCTACTATCATAGTAGAATTGAAGTTGATAGATCGGTGGGCGTTATCAAACTTTTGTAGAATCCATGCCACTTCTCAGGAGTCAGCCATTAATATTGGGCTCTAATGTGCGGGGGCTTAGGGGTGGTGGCGGGTCCCGCCCTGGCGCAGCCTATCAACGGAAAGATCGGCAGACCGCCTTTCTCACCGTCGAGATAGAATTTCCCAGACCCGCGGAAGACAACGCGAAATTTACTACTGGAAGTCGGATTGTATAGTTGAACTGTCGCGCGTTTTTCTATTATATATATCATTTTGCTGAAGGCCACGTACATTCTCTGGGCCTGGACACTCGCTAGGATTCCCGGGTCGCGTATAACATATGCCCCTCTTTTGAACACCCGAGCGAGGTCTGTATATATACATACGACACGAATCGCGAGAGACATAACACCCTTGACCGGCCTCTGCTTGCTTACTCTTACCTCTTCTACCTCTGTCGCGTCCAGGACAAGCCGTCAATTTCCTCCAGAATCTATATCTGGGTGTAGAAATGGTCCGGAACAAGAAGTCAAACACGTTGGCTCACGAGGATGCTTCCATTGCCCCTTCGACCTTCAATGACGGGCTCCCTTTGCCAAAGCTCTTTGTTTTCGACCTGGATTACACTCTCTGGCCGTTTTGGGTCGACACACATGTCACCCCTCCTGTGAAGCCAAAAGACAATAACTCCCGTTGCGTCGACAGGCAAGTATATATACCCCGGGCAATCTCCTATCGCTTGCTGCTATTCCCCCCCCCCTCCGCGCACGCAGTATACGAGGGAATTCTTATGGCTGACTGTTTGCGCTTCCATTCTGCAGATGGGGTGAATCATTCGCCTTCTATCCCGCCGTTTCGTCCATTCTCCACGCCTGCCGCACGCGCAATATTCCCCTTGGCATCGCCTCTCGCACGCATGCCCCCGACTTGGCTCGCGATATGCTCAAGGCTCTCCACGTCATCCCGACCTTCTCGGATAACCCTGCAGCGAACACGCGCTCTATGCGCGCCTTGGACTACTTTGATTACGTCCAGATCTTCCCGGCGGACAAGACCCAGCATTTTACTCGTATCCACCAGGCCAGCGGGATCCCATACGAAGATATGCTCTTTTTCGATGATGAGGCGCGGAATCGCAACGTCCAGACGGAGCTTGATGTTACCTTCTGCCTCGTTCGTGATGGCATGACACGGGAGGAGGTCGACCGTGGCGTCTGGGAATGGCGGAGAAGGAGAGGCTTCAAGCCCGGGGAACCGGTAACAGAGGACCATGCCGACAAGAATTGATCATACTTTTATATAGTAGTGGATTCTGGGTGGGTATTGGGCGTTTGGGATTTTGTTTAAGCCTGATTGTGAGGTCTATACCCGTATATAGAGACACATAGACACCGATTTGTCTTTGATCGGTTATTATGTACATAGCAATATATATATGGTCAGGAACATCTTTTTTTTTTTACTACTGGACATTTATAGAACGAGAGAAGTATTGTGTGCATTTCAGCAATGATTTGATGTGTTGTTGAAACGGCAATGTACTGTAGTAGTTGATACAACGGTCCCCGCGATTTTTGGAGAAGCTCCGCAAATATTTATTTCCCCGAAGTAGCTACATCCTGGAACCGCAGCGACTATTACCACAGTCCACGAACTACCTACCACTCATACCAACAAATTCTTCAGAGAAAAAAATGTCAGATCCTTCTCAAGCGAGACCAAGCGCGTCAGCGTATCTAAAACCCCCATCCGCTGCTAGCGCTCGTCAACACTCACCCAGCAGTCAACACCGCGTCGCATCATCATCAGGAGCTTCCTCGTCCTCTGCTGCTGCTGCACCACCTCCTCCCCGACCACCTCTCGCGATCCATCCCACAGCCACGATAGCCGAGACCGCCGTCATTCACGGCACACATCAGATCTCCATCGGCCCGGGGACGGTCATCCACCCGCGCGCCCGCCTCCTCTCATACGAAGGGCCCATCCAGATCGGAGACGGGTGTATTATCAGTGAAAAGAGCACGATTGGAGCATCTGCCACAGCCCCTATTACTCCTCCTACCCCTACTCCTACTCCCACTTCCGCGACGGCATCTGAATCGTCAGGTGCGGCTACTACGACTAGTACTCCTATTACGACGCGTCTTTCTTCCTCCGTGACGGTCGGTCCTTACGCCGCCATCCTGCCAGGCGCCTACGTCCGTTCTGCTTGCGTGATCGATTCCCTCGCTGTCGTGAACCGGAATGCAACGGTGGGCGCACACTCGAAGGTCTGTTCCGGCTGCGAAGTTCCAGAGAAGACGATGGTCGAGGATTGGACCGTTGTCTGGGCTGCTGGCGGGGGACTCGGTCAGAGGAGGAGGAAAAGGGTTGTAGATGCTGCTCCTGCTGCGGCGGCGGCTGCGGCGGCCTCATCATCATCAGCCTTGACGGGAGAAGGTGCAACAACAGCAACAACAGCAGGAGGAGAAGGTGCTACAACCAAGGGAATTGACGTCGGCAGTCGTCGGCCGGAGGGTAAACGAGTCGAGGATGCGAGGTTGATTGTCCTCCATAAGGAACGGGAAGGGCTCGCGAAGATGATTGGATTGTCGTCCAGTGCGCAGAGGAGGCGATGATTGATCAATCATCTTTTTTTGCCCCCTCCAAACGGGATAAGAAAGAGTCGGGGATGACTAGCAGTACTTGTGACCAGGAAGCACACGGCATGAAAAGCAGCTGGCTGCACGGGAGGCAGGAGAACAAACGTTCATGACGTTACGATGTCTCTTCTATATGCGACTTTTTTTTCTTTTTACAGTCATGATTATACCCATAGATAGACAGAGAGCATGACAATTTGTAATTACTCTTACTGTACATGTACATAGTTGCATACCATCACCCTTGATGCTCGAAATACCACCGACTGACCTCTTATCTGAACATATTCATAAACCCCCAGGTCTTTCCCCGCCACTCCATGGATGATTGACAATAGATGAAAATGTTCATGTAATAACAATCCCAGATGCGCCATTGTCAAGTGAGGGAACTGGAAAATGAAAAACAAAATCCTCGAAACAGATCATGTCACCGAAACAGAGTGAACAAAGGAAATATTTTGTGCCGTCACTGAGATTTCGAATAAAAAATGTTGACTGCAAAAGCCGAAGATTTTTTTTTTCGGATTTTTCTTTATGATCTCCTGTTGTTGCTGCCTCCTCGAATTCTCTTTCCACCGCTTGCTCCTCCTTCACCACCAGCTTCACCATCTTCTCTAGCCCGCTTGTTCCCCTGCGGGATGAACTGACGAGCTGATCCACTCAGTCCACCTCTATTACTAGGACTGGCTTGCCCCTGGCCTTGTGGCGAGTTTGTACCTTGCTGCACGTTTTGGTTACCTCCCCGTCCATGGCCTCGTCCACCTCGAGGGCGAGGCAGCGAGCTACCGCGCTCTTGAGCCTGTGATTGTTGTTCTTGTTGTTGCTGTTGCTGTTGCTGCTGTTGCTGCTGTTGTTGCTCGGTGGGTTGAGGCCCAAAGGGATTATGTTGCGGCGCAGCACCGCGGCCACCACCTCCTCTACCACGAGCAACTGGTAGCCCCGACTGAAGTGCCCTCAAGGCGGCGCTTGGACCAGTTCCAGCGTTGGGATGGTTACCCACTCCGGTTGACACTGGAGGCTTGTTCGGCAACGACGATGGCTGCTGGTTTTGCTGTTTAATTTGTGCAAATGGGTTTGGAGGCTGATTGTTCTGGTTTGTAGACGCTGGTGCAGGCTGCTGCTGCTGCTGCTGCTGCTGCTGCTGCGCCTGGGCGTTTTCCTGTGGCTGAGACGCAGATTCCGAAGGTTGCTGTGCAGGAGCAGCAGGAGTAGCTTGGGCTGCTTCGGCTGCTGGAGACGGAGGCTTAGCTTCCGCTTCGACACCAGAAGCTGGCGCTGGTGCCGGCGATTGCACAGCGGTCGGGGTTGGCTGCTGTCCTGCTGTGGGAGTTGGGGCAGTGGCCTGTCCACCCTGTGGTGCAGGTTTAGGAGCCGGGGTCTGCGGTGCAGGTCTGGCAGACTTAGCGACCTCCCAAACTTCGACAACAGGTTTCTGTGGAGTCTCAGCTGCCGCCTTCTGGACCACTTCGAGTTTCGCCTGCGCCGTTCTGAATCGCGAATCCAGCATGCTAATCTTGGCCAGTGACTTCTTGTCCGCCAGTTCAACAGCGGATTTAACCTTCTCCTCCGTTCCCTCCTCGTATGCCTTCTTCAGAGCTTCTTTCTCTGCGTTGAACTTCCTCTCAAGCTCAGCTATGGCTTCTGCACTTGGGCCTGCAGCCGGTGCCTGATTCTGGGCTTCCTGCCTCTCTCTCTCCTTCTCCCTTGCAAGCTGAGTTCTAATGTTGTTTCGAATAATGCTTCGGATTGTCTCGTTCTTCGCCACAAGCTCTCTTGCTTGGGCGTCGGTGAGCTGCGGGAGTTCTCCCTCCACCTTCTTCGATGGCGTCTCAGGAGTCTCCTTTGGAGCATCTGCAGCTTGTTGCTGTTGTTGGGCCTTGAGTTTTTCGATCTCTTGCCTGTGGGCATTTCGGATTTCGGCCACTTTGGCGTTGAAGGTTTCCTTCATCTTATCGGATCGTTCCTTGACCTTAGCTTCGAATTGTGCGTCTTTCTCCGCCAATGCGGCTTCCAAACGCTGAATCTTTTCTTCCAGCGCCTTGATCTTCTCTCCATCACCTGGTGCCGATGGCTGAGCAGGTTGAGCAGGGGGTTGAGAGACAGGAGCAGGTTCTGCCTCCTTTCGCTCCTCACCTGGAGCGGATGGCGCCGGTCTCTCTGCTGATTTCAGCTTCAGCTGGTTGAGCTCTTCACGCGTGGCCCTTAGTTCTTCTTGAATAACATCTTTCTCCTGAAGAACAGCATTCAATTCCGCCTGCTTGGCGTTGATACGACCAGTAAGCTCTTTTGACCTCGCCTTGAACTGCTCAGTTAACTTGGCACGAAGTTCCTGGGTACGATCCTCGGCTTGCTTGAGTTGATCTGGGAATGCTGCTGCTTGGGCTTGCAGAGCATCGCGAGCTGAAATAGCTTCATCCCGTTCCTTCTCGAGCGTCGCCAGCTTTTCTTTGAGAGCTTCCATCTCTGCGGGATCGACGCGATCATACTTTTGCAAGATGTTTTCTGTCCGTTGTTGCCATCGATCCCGGTCTGTCTGAAGAAGCCTCATCTCCTCGTCCTTCGTCTCAACCAGGTTTTCAAGCTCGCGGATCCGTGTCTCAAGTGGCTCAATCTGCCGAGAAAGCTCCTCGACACGGGCAGATTTTTCTGCGAGTGCTGCTTCGGCTTGTTTAGCCTGGTTCCGAAGCGTAACACTGCTCTCTCGGAAAAGATTAAGCTCATTAAGTGTCTCCATGAGCTTGTTATGGCTCAGAGCTTGATGTTCACTGTCAGCAGCCGCACGACGCTGCTGTTCCAGTTTCAGACGTGTTTCATCAAGCTGCGACTGTGTGTAGTCAAGTTGCTGGCGGAGTCGCTTGCTTTCTTGAGTAGAGAGATGATATTGTACTTCGACAATCTCTTTCTCCCTACGCAAAAATTTAATAACCTCCTGAAGGCTCTCCAGGCTCAAGCTTGTGCTCTCAGACTCCAGTTCACTCTCGGCTATGTTGGCACGGTCTCTCTGAAGAGAAGAGATCTGTTTCGTAATATTTTCGAGTTGAGAGTGGAGCAACGAGTTTTGGTGGAGGACCTCCTCCCGCCGCTTCTGAAGGTCCGAAATCTCTCTCTCGTAACGATCCTTCAGCTCGTTCCAGCTCTCCTCCTTCTGAGCAAGATCTTTTCTCGAGTTTTCAGCTTGCGTTCTCAAATCAACGATTTCGAGCCGCAGCTGATTGGCCTCGGCACGAACCGACTGCAACTGCTTTGCCGCTTCAGCGTGCTTGAGCAGTTCATTTTCATAATTCTGTTGAGCATGCTGAGCAATTTCCGCTTGCGCCTTAAGATCTTCTTGATGGAACTGCGCAGCGGCAATATGGCGTTCGGTTTCCTCTTTGAGTCTCGAAATCTCAGACTCATACGATGCCTTCTGCTCTTCAAAGCGGCGGGTAACATCACCTTGCTCATCCCGCAATCTTGAAAGTTCACTGTTCGATGCGGATAACTCAGCTGTGATTTCCTCGATGCGCTTCTCGAGATCTTGAATCTTCTTGTCCTTCTCTTCAATAAGTCGATCGGTCTCCTCACGGTACTGCTCTTGCGTTTCCGTCACGGATTGCAGACGCTCCTCAGTTGCCTGACTGATCGCTTTGTAGTCCTCGACTTGCTCCTTGGCATGTTCCAATTCGCTCTTGGCTAGCTCCAGATCGCGCTTCAGTTCAGAGATTTCAATCGACAGTTCTTGCTCACGGGTTAGGCCGCCAGCCTCGCCAGCCTCAGTAGTAGCCTCGGCTGCCCCGGCAGGCGCAGGAGCCACGCTGGGTTTTGATTGCAGAACCTGAAGTCGTTCTTCGGCACTTCGGAGTTCAACAGTAAGCTCGTCCACCCTGGATTGGAGATGATCTCGTGTTGTCTTTGTAGCGATCAACTCCTCACGGACAGAGCTCAGGCTCGCCACCAAGTCGTCAATTCGCTTCTGATTCTGCTCATGCTCATACTCCCTTCGTAATGCAGTTCGCTTCGCTTCCTCAATCTCTTCGTTGAGTTTCCGCTTTGTTGACTGCAATTCCGCCTCTAGGGACTCAATGTTGAGCTGCAAGCGACGCCGACTCTCAGCATCAGTGTGCTCGCGTTCGTTGAGGATGTTCTGCAGATTCGCGTTGAGAGAATCCAATCTGCTGCGCTCGTTTCTGAGAGACTCGTTGTCCTCAATCAACCTTTTCTCAATGTTCTTCCAAAGATCTTTTTCGGCTTTCAAGTTGGCATTCTCTCGCTGCAGACTGTCCACGAGTCCCTTGGCTTCGACAAGGTCTTCAGCGGCCTGTTGAGTCTTGAGATCCTGTCTGTTGGCGTTCTCCAGAAGCGCTGAATAGCGTTTCTGAATCTCAGCGTTTTCATTCTTGAGCATGTTAAAATTGGTCTGGAGAAGCTCTGCTCGCTGAACAGCGGCACTCAGCTGGCTGTTTGACCGGCTCACTTCACTCATGAGTTCGCTGTTCTTCCTCGTCAACTCATTGACCTGCTGCTTCAGTGCAGCATGATCCGTAGCTGTTTCTTGGCGGTAGGTGTCAAAGTGTGCCTGCACCTTTCGGAGTAATTCGGCATAATCAGGAGCATCTGACGGCTGCTGACCTTCCACTAGAGCAGGAGGGGCCGAGCCAAGAGGGACAGACTGTGAGAACGCAGAAGTGTCACCAGCAGTCTGGCGTCTTCGCATAAGCATGCTCCGGAACGTGTCACGCTCCTTCACATAGCTCTTGGTCTGGGCCGTGAGATTCGCGATCTCGTCCCGATAGGTCTCTACGCGAATACGCAGCTCCTTGAGTTCTTCCTGGTCTCGCTGGTAAGCAAGATCCCTTTCTCTTGCTTCCGCACTTTCCATCTTGTCACCCAGCTCTCGGAGCATGCGTCGAAGGGTCACGTTTTGTTCCTGAAGTTCATGGAGGTCTTTGAATGTTGTCAAATTGCGGGTAATGAAGCGACCAGTTTCGCTGAGTTCGGCCATGGACTCTTCGATTTCACCACGGGCGATCTTCTCCAGCTCCTCTCTGTCATATTCCTGCTCTCCTTCTTTGAGAAGGGCAACTTCAAGGACCAAGACCTTAACTTGTGCACTCAAGTCCCTGAGTTGTTGCCGTAGAATTTCTCCTTCCTTGGTCAGGCCCTCAACTTGGCCCCGCCATTTTCTTGCTTCTCGAGTAGCCTCGTCCCTCTCCTTTCCAGCGGTTTCCAAGATGTTTGACATATCAACAACAGCGTTCTCGAGTCGTGCATGGTCAGCCCGTAGCTCGTCAATTTCAGGCTTGCTCGATTCGAGATCTTGAACCATTTCATCCAGAGTGGCTTTGAGCTCCTGGTTCTTCTTCTGCTCAGCAGCAAGCATCGTTCGAACCTTGTCGTACTCGGTGTACATTTGTGTAAGCGTGAGACCACCCTTCGTCCTTGATGTCCGCGGAGAGAATGTGCCAACAGGAGTTCCTGGGCGAAGTGGCGTGGAGGGACCAGTGCCATTCAGACCGCGTCCAGGGCTGGGCGAAGGGTGCCTAGCAGCAGATTCAGATTCAAGCTGGCTGACCGTGAGCTCAAGCTCAGCAACTCGGCGCTCAGCAGCTTCCTTGTCAGAGCGCTCTGTCTCAAGTTCAACACGAAGCTTCGAAATCTCCTCCGCCGCGTCATCCTTTGCCTTCTCCAACGCGAGTTGGCACTCCTGTACGCGCTGTTTCGCTGTTTCTGCGGCAGATCCTTGTAGCTCGGCCAGGCGGTTGGCACTCTCCAGTTCAACTCTAAAGGACTCGGCGGACTGGATGGCCTCCTCTTTGAGTTGCTGGATGGTCGCAAGTGACTCTTCGTACTTCTGCTCAACATCGTCCAGACGGCTCTTGAGAGCGTTCTCATTCCGTCTCAGAGAATCGATGGTTGAGTTGGCCTCTTCAATTTCGCGTTGAAGTTCTGAAATCCGTGCGCTCTTCTCTTTGCGGAATTTGAGGTATTCTGCAGACTTCGTCTTGAGCTCGTTTTCGAACCATTCATTGTTCTTCTTTGTCAGCTCAAGCTCCTGTTGAAGACTCTGTTCTCGGAAACGAGCGCTTGCAGAGGCAGAGTTGGCCGCTTGGAGATTCTGTTCCGCGGTTGAAAGTTCGCGTCTCAATTCGATCGTCTTTTTATGCTGGGCGGAAAGCTCCTCCGCAAGCTTATCATACGCCGCCGACTTGGATTCCAAGAGGGCCAGTGTGTCACGATTCGATGCCTCGAGGGATGAGATACGAGACTTCAGACTGTTCACTTCAGACTCATTTGACGTGCTGGTCGATTTGAGCGTCGCGATTTCAGATTCGAGATTCGCTCGGAGGTTTTCTGTAAAAGCAGTGAGTTAAACGTCGACCGCTTAGATTTCGTAGTACTGACCTGATTCCTGTAGCCTCGTGCGGAGATCGGATATCTCACTCAAACCCTTCTCCACCGAGCTCTTCAGAACTTTGATCTTAGACTCGCTGCTGCGGACGGCATTCTCGAGCTCTACGTCAAGACGGAGCTTGTCGGACTTCAGTTCATCGAATTCCCGAGCCTTAGCGGTAATGCTTTCTAGAAGTTGGTTGACCAGGTCAACCGTCGGAGCCTGAGTAAGTGTAGTGAGGGTCGACTCCGGAACCCCATAATGAGAGGATAGAAAAGGTATTTCGATGGTGGCTGCAGCCATGTTGAGCTTCCAGCAGCTTCAAAAGGCCGATAATCAAGTGTGAAAGCACGAGATGCTGATAAATCGTCGTTTTGAGGAAGCTCCTCAAAGCTTGAAACGTAGGAAGGGTCGTGAGCGACAAGGTAGGTATTCCGTGGCGCGCGTGATAGCACCACTGGGACAAGTGCACACGACGCTGCGATGTTCAATTATGGCATGTCGTGGAAGCAAAAAGAGCATAAGTTGAAGAAAGTAAGGGAAAAGAGAAAATTTCCCAGCGGCCCTCGACGAGCGAAGCGGCGCGTAGGGAACAATGAACGAACAGAGCTCTCAGTGAATGACTGCCCAGGCGTTTGACTGGGCTGCCACGAGTTGGCGCGGCGTTAGGCCGGTGGCTGGTAGGTATCACGTGACAACTGCCGTCTTCACTGTCCAACTTGACTTCCTCCACCTTCACCTTGCCATCAATAGGATCTGATCCTATTCTGCTTCCGAGACACAGCACACAACGAGCTGAGACCTCCAGGCTTGTCGATTCCTGGAAAGGATTTGGGACGGGACGCTTATCTGCTCCGTCCTGCGGCAAGTTGGTCTCCCATGCTCGAGAAGACTCTGAGCTCTCTTTGGAGCCTGACTTAATCAAGGCAGGCCTTGATCTCTCCACCGTCTTTCCCTCCTACCTTCTTCCTAATTCAGCCGAGGAGCGATCGAATCTGGTCTGTCAGTGATCACAATGTCATATCTTCAGCAGCAGATAAATAACTTCAACGCGAACGTGGTATCATCGGCCAGTCGCCTTCCGCAGCAGAGGCGCACTGTCGGAAACGGTGCGCCCGGGGCGGCCACGACCCCGCAACCTGCATCTTCCTCATCTACGCCAAACCAAGGAAGCGAAACGAAGCGAAAACGGCATGAATCGGACATTGTCTATTCCCAGCCTGCCAATACTGGCACTGGCAAGGATATCATGACGCAAGTGCTCTTTGCAATCGAACACATGAAGGCGAAGGGTGTGCCGCTCAAGTTCAGCGACATTGTCTCGTATTTATCTCTCCAGCATCGCGCTCAGGATCAGGGCTACCTACATGCGTTGCGCAGCATTCTTCAAGTGCACGAAAAAGTCAACTATGACCCTAAGGGCGCCAACGGTGAAGGTACTTTCAGCTTCCGTCCACCGCATAACATCCGCACAGCGGAGCAGCTGCTCCAGAAACTTCAGTCTCAGACTACTGCGGCAGGTATGAGTGTACGGGAGCTCCGTGAGGGATGGCCCAACGTCGAGGAGACTATCAACCAACTGGAGAAGGAAGGCAAACTTCTGGTTACTAGAAACAAGAAGGATGATCATGCCAAGATGGTTTGGGCCAACGATCCGTCCTTGAATTATCATTTCGATGAAGAGTTTCGTCAAATTTGGGATAAGATCAAGGTGCCCGACCAGCAGAAAGTGATAGAGGAACTCGAGAAGGCTGGCATCACGCCAACAAGCAAAAACAAGGTCGTGAAGCCCCGCCCCAAGGTTGAGCAGAAAAAGGTGAAGAAGCCACGGAGGAGTGGCAAGACGACCAACACCCATATGATGGGTGTGTTGAGGGATTATTCACACCTGAAGCGGTGAACCAGGTACTCAACGAAACCTTTTTTTTATGACATAGTGTCCTTATGATGGGAGGTTCATTTTTCAGTCATGGTTTCCGTCTGGTAGATTGCCCAAAGGGATCCTCTGACGTGGGTTGGGGTCCGAGCGGACTGGTTTTTAACTTGCATTGCACCGGCGTTTGGCTTGGGTTTGTGTCTTTTTTTCTTTTTGTCGGGTATGTGCTGTTTGACAGGGAGGGTGAATGATGAAAAAAGAGGAAGATTGCTTTTCGATGCCAGAGCATCTTGCTCTCTCGCATTTGCGTCTCATTTCTGAATGCACTTGTAACTTATTATGTAACTTTAGGATTGACCAGAAAGAGGGGCAGACGGGCAGGCAAACAGATACAAAAATGAGCAGATAGATACCCAAAAAAGGAATGGAATGAAATGAAATGGAATAAAAAGAATCAGAACCAGACTGCGTGTCTTATTGATATTGATAACTCTTCGTTATATTATTCTATCATGCTTCGAACTTATTTTCTATTTTCTCTGCGACAATGGAACAGGGGTTTCCTCCTTTTAAAACTTTTTGAACCCTCGTACATATTTACTGAACCAAGATAGGGTAGATAGACTGTGTACTACTGTACAGTACAGTACATAGATAGAGTATTCAAAAAAAAAAAAACCACTGGAACAAATACACAAGAGGCATCCCAGAAAAAAAAGAACAACCAAGTAGTATGACGGAAGAGACGAAAGAAGAAAAATTATCTCTGAAACCAACAGGCTTGGTATTCATTTATTTAGTCATGGTCAGTCGGTCAGTGCTTCCCATTGGTAACGACAACAGGATCCGTCTTCTCCAGATACGCGACCAGATCCTCGATCGTGCAGACCTTCAGGCCGAACCGCTTGCCGAATTTCAGGCATGCGTCCCGCCTCATCATGCCGGTGTTGCCGCGCAGCTCGGCCACGCCTTCGACCAGATCGCCTTCTTCGACGAGTTCTCCGATGACGCCCGCCGGGGGTTTGCCCGCCAGGCGACAGAAATCGATTGCGGCCTCGGTGTGTCCTCTCCGCTCACGGACGCCGCCGACTCGTGCCCGCAGCGGCAGGATGTGTCCTGGGCGGCGGAAGTGCTCGGCTCGGACGTTTGGGTCGGCCAGCTGCCGGCAGGTCAGGGCTCGATCGTGGGCGGAGATCCCCGTCGTGACGGAGGGGTCGTTCGAGTCGATCGAGATTGTGTATGCAGTGCGGTTCGGGTCGGTGTTGTCGACCACCATCTGTGGCAGGGACAGACGGTCGGCGAGATCGGGGAGGATAGGAGCGCAAATGTAGCCACTGTAGACGTCAGACATTGTCGTCTCTTAGATGGTGAGAGCGCCAGAAGTGACAGGTCTCCGTGCGGTCTCCCGGGTGAATATTATTATATAAACGTGCAGAGCCTACCTCGAGTACCGCACCATGAAAGCCATCTTGGCTTCCGTAACCGAATCCGCCGCTATAATAAGATCGCCCTCATTCTCACGGTCCTGCGAATCGAGGACAATTACGAATTCGCCGTTCTCTGCAACTCTCAGCGCCACAAGATCAGCAACCCGTCAGAGGCGAAGGCGAAGGACACTGGCCAAGGAGCAGACACAGAGAGAATTGCAAACTCACTGAATGCTGCTACCGCATCTTCAATCGGGTCAAATTGTAAACCCTTATCCATCACTGCCGGCATCCTGGGTCGATGTAGTAGGTATGTTTTTCGTCCCGTCGGAGATTCTCGGGCGGGGGCAGGTATTCTGCGGAAGAACTTTGCCTTTTCGTTTCCGCAAATCCCCCCCTCAATCAATTCAGGAAGAGGAAATAGAGACGATCAGAGTATATATATCACAGCGATTGTCGAATTGGCACAGTGATGTTGGCAAGTCGGGCTTGTCGAAGACAAAACGCGGAGGGGTAAATGCGCCTCGGCTGCGGGGGTGAGACGCGAAGAGAGAAAGGATGCGGAGGTGGAAGATTGATGCGGAGATAATGTGAAATGAAAGGACAGGGAACCCCTATTTGCCTTTTACGACCCTCTCCCAATAGTTGCTGCTAGAGAGAGTCTTGGGACAGCAGATCAGGCCGACAAAACTTGTAAATTTGTCAGACGTGAATCAAGCTCAGATAATCAGCTGCAATCGGGCTCAGAGCGGGGCCCGCCCGCCTCTCGCCGTTGTTTCTGGCAGTCGGCGGGCCCGACAGGCACCTCGCCGGCATTTCACTAGCTGATGGCGGCAACGACGGGCTCACTTACACTTCAGCATGTCTCTTACGAGTACAGAAGGACAGCTTAGAACCCTTGTAATAATAGATACCATAACGCCTGCTAATTCTATTATCCTTTCGAAGATCATTACCCAACCGACATTGGAGTCATGCTTTCAATAAAGACGTTTCCTCCAAAGCATAAAACTCCTCCAGATGCTGTCGAACGCCCTTCATGCCATACCTAGCCTTCCCATCCATCTTACCTCATCGGCCTGTCTCTCCAGCGCTCTTCGGATCATCCGAGAGTACTCCTGTTCGCGCCGCCGCTCCTCCTTATCACCCTCGTCCTCCTCCTCCTCCTCGGATTCCGCATCTCCGTCATGAGAGAATCTCAGCCGTCCAATCCGTTCCCCGGTCCAGATGAGGAGCTCGTCGCCCGTGAGATTAGCATCTGTAGGAAGGATTTTGCGAGCCACGTCACTGCTTCCGCCAGTGTCAGAAGACAGAAACATGCCCGATGGGCTGTTCGCATCTGAAGAGCCATCAACGCTGGCAGCCGCCGAGCGTTTTCGATCCGTGTTGATGTTCCAGCGACGAACCTCGGTCCGCCCATCCCTCTCAACCCACTTGATATTACCACCCGCGTCGGAAAAGACGATGCGGACACCATGGGACGCCACAGACAGCAACTTGGAACTTGCAGCACTCTGGCGATTTTGATAAACTGTAGATTGATTGAAGGATGAGCTGGCAGATTCCTCCTGAGGATCAGATCCGGAAAATGACAGCTTGTACAGCTCTAATGAGCCTCTCCCGTTGTATTCACCACACGCGACAATGGTATGCGTGCTCGACCAGTGAGAGTCCGACGGAACCGGGAAATTTGGCGCAGGAACCGAGGCTAGGCCGCAGAGCCGGGCACCCGAGTGGACGGCGTTCTGTAATCGGGGAAAGGACCGCCGGTCATAGCAGAGAATGCTAGGAAACCGCCCGGCGAGAAGAATCGTATTGACATGCGGAGTAGGAGGATGCAGGATTGACAGTGGACTGGGCTGGAAGAGAGGAGCATAGTTGGCCCCCTTTTCCAACGGATCCGGACTTCGTATCTGATGAGGTGGCTGGCCATTCGGTTGCAGCTGGAGGACGTGACAATCAGGATGACTATATAGATTTGAGTTGGGGAGAAATTGCACAGGCTCCTTTTCACACCGGAGACCGATTTCTGCCTCCTCTTCACGCATCGGCAGTCGCGAGTCGTAAATCTGAAGGCTCTGCGAAGTGGCCAAAGTAAGCGGCACAGAGTAGTCTGTTTCCTGCGACAGGGCGAAAATCGGCCATGCATATCGCTCCTGAGAGATCACTTGCAAGGTTTCCAAGTCCACTTCGTTGAGAATGTTACCGACGGCAATATAGGCCCGTTTACGGATAGAGTCGACACTCACACCCTCCACAACGTTCAGAAACTCTGATGACGAACTTTGGGCAGACGACTTCTCGCTTCTTCCCGACAAATCAGCGAAAAGAATGCCCGGACTGCTGACTCCTGCGACCTTCCCTTTGGTAGTCTGCGAGGTGCTAGTGCGGGAGTGATTCAGGTCCCATATACAAACACTGCCATCCTCCAACGGGGCTACAACCTTATCTTCTCTGGCAGAGCTCCAGTCCCTAAGCAATCCCACCCCTTTGACGTCACTGGAATGTCCATTTGTCGAACGACCTGTGGCCACAGAAGGTTGTTGCAGCCAGCTGAAAGAGATAGGGCCGTGGCGTGCGATATATTCAGAATACCAGTCCACGTCTTCGGTTTCATACGAAGGGTCCCATTCCGCTGCTGCTCTGTACCTCTCTCCCAGGGAAGGCCTGTGAGAGGCGTTCTGGCTATCGCCTGACTCGTCAGCGGCTCGATTGATGGATTCAACACGTGGCTGGATCAAGTCGCGAAGGGTGCCAGGTCCCAACGAACTAAGGGATGCGACTGACGACACCGGTAAGCTCCCGGATGCCCTCCCGTTGGAGAAGGCATTTTCTGAGGCGCGCCATGAGCCCTCGTAGCAGTGAAGCCTCCAAAGATTGTTGTCACGGGATAGCGTAAAGAATCGTCGTGAGACGAGCTGTAACTTGACCTGTTCCTTTGGACTGAGGTCTGCATATGGGATGTATCAGCACCGGGATCGATGGCAAGCGGCGCGGGGCAACAATGCGGGGAGATACGGCGGCATAGGAAGGGCTCCTAGCACCTACAGTCGATGATCTTGGTGAGGATCTCTACGGGCAGCTTGTCCATGAGGCGGAAGATGAGACGACTGCATGGGGGGCAGAACGTATTCCCCTCCTGAGCGACCCGAACGAGGAGAGAAGGAGAGAAGACAAGAGCGTTCCCAGCGCAGGAGTTGATGCCATTGCTCCCCACAGAGGAACGCCCGGCCTGTCTAGACCGTCCATCACGTGGCGGACTCCCTGTTCCGTCGAATCAGCGGAAGCCATCGAGCGTTGCCGAAACCGCCGCGGAATGTGTTTCCTCTGATGCAATCGGCATTCGTCAGAAACATTGGAATTTTGCTCAATAGACTGTGCCAGAGGTCGCTCAAGATCATGTTATTTTCAGCAGAGCCAAAGTGAGCACTACAGGATGGTACTTTACATCTCATACAGGCATTATAATGCTACATAAACTTCCTTGTATCGTCCATCTGATGGTCTGAGTCAAAAATGAATTTTCAAAGACGCTTTTAGTATCAACGATTTGGATACCCAATATGGGGTTTGTGCCCTTGGATATACATTGTCGAGGTGTTGGATTGTGCCTCAGACTGCCCCAAAATTCTCTTGTAGATCAAACCGAAAAACAAAAGCCCGAAAAGAAGAGAAAACACCAGAAACATACCAAAAATTCAGCCGTCAGGTTTATATACTGCGTCTTTGCATAAGACCGTCACTTTTTTGAAGAAACGTCTCCATTCGAGTGGGTCACCCTTGATCTTCATAAACTCCACCTCGTACAAACCCTCCGATACGTACTCAACGATAATGTTTCCCTGAAGCATGCACATTCGCTGATCCTTGGTCGCGACGCGTATCACCACAGGAGTCCTCGTTTCGGCCCCTGTTGGCGGCATCGGAACGGGGACGCCTAGGCGATGGAGGGCCTCGCAGAGAAGCGGAACGAGCAGCTTCAGAGCCCACACGGAGAAGAACCGTGTTAAGGGGCGAGAAGGGACAATGTCGTGGAACTTTTGAGCCTTCTGTGTGCGGCTGAGGGGAACAGATGGGTTGGAACTAAACTGCGACAAGGAAGGTTCGTCTTCGAGACGTTCTGCCAGCAGGAAACCCTGTGTGGCCAAGACATGGTCCGTCGGTTGAGTCGATGAAAAGCCATTGGCATTCAGATGCGGTGCGTCCCAGTCAAGGAGCACGTCATTTATCGGCATCTCTGGTTGCGTCGACGATAGCCTGGTCTCGATACCATTTTCGGTGTCGATATCCATGGCGGGCGAAGAAGGCCTCTGGCGGCTGCTTTGTGACTGAGCTAGAGGGTCTTGGGTGAAGTCAATGTGCAGCGACTCGAACATGCTGGTAGCCAAATTGATAGGATCTCGCAATTTGCCATCTGGGGATAAATACTTATTCTGACGCGTGAACCAAGGGTGTCTTCGCACGTCTTCCATAGTAAATCTGCTCTCAGTATCGACTTTCATCATGCCTCGCAGGAGGGACAGTGTTGCCCGCGGTAGCCGCTGCCATAGCTCATCAGTGGTTCTCGCATTTTTCGCGACGTACTCGCTGAATTCGTAGCTATTCTCTGTTGGACTATCCCATGGGGTATTGCCCGCCAGCAGCACAAAAAGTACGACGCCGCAGGACCAAATATCGGCCAGATCTGCCCGATAGCCCTTGCCCTTCTCTTGACCCCGGTTGCTGCACGTAATTACTTCCGGCGCGATGTACGGAGGGCTGCCACACAGCGTCGTGCACAGTTTTGTCTTGCCATTGTATTCAAAGACCGTGGCCAACCCGAAATCTGCGATCTTCAGGTTTCCATCTGCCGAGAGCAAGATGTTCTCTGGCTTGATGTCGCGATGACCCACGCCTTTCGAGTGCATGTAACTCACCGCGCTGATAAGCTGGGTGAAGTAGACATGCGCGATGTCCTCGCCAACGCCTTCATCGGCCTCGATCTTGTCGAACAGGTCTCCCCCTTCCGCGAGCTCCATTGCTATCCATCGCCATGTCGCGTCTTCGCCCGTATGGAAAAAGGATATGATGTTCTTGTGATCGCCTATATGCTTGTGTACTGTGACTTCCATCTGCAATTGCCGAGGACTAATCTTGCCATGGCGGGCGGCATATTCCTTGTGAATGAACTTCACCGCGAAGACCGGCTTGTCCTCCTGGAGTGGACATGCCTTTTTGATGCTGTAACACGATCAATCATGAGTATTTTTCTCTCTTCTTCCCATAGATCCACAAGTGAAATGCTATACGAACCAGGCATAGGCGCCCTGCCCGATTGTTTTCGACACAATGCGGAATGGCAGCTCGGTGGGCAGCGGGGCCAGCTGAGAGTGCTGCATGGCCTGACTAGGAGATCCAGACCGCTCGAATAGACCTGATCCACGATCGCCCATAGATCTGGAGCAATTGGATGGGCAGAACGAGGTGTCTTTGGGTCTGTTTACAGCGTGGCGACGCTCGAGCAGCGATTCGACATCCCTTGCGGGCGCGTCTCGAGGGGCCGCGAACCAATTTATCCTCTTTAAGTAATGTGTTGTTTACCTCCCAGGCTACAGCCTCAGCCTGCCATTCGGAGAATAAAAGAGTCAGCCAAGCTCGGCTTGCCAATGGCTCGTCCTCATAGGGATTTAAGTCTGAGTAAGCAGACAAAGTTTTACTACGAGACTAGACAGATCAGAAAGTAACTTCCTGTACCAGCCAGCAGAGATTCTTGCGAAGAAAACTAGCACTCCGTGACCAACCACCGGCTGCACCGGCCTTGTCGCGTGCTGCATGCAGGAGATCGATCGCTGGCTTTTCAACTGCGCAGTTTCAGCGCCGCAGCGTGAAGAAGCCAGCTGTGGCTGTCGAGAACGCAGCAGAAACCAGCAGTGGCACGCTAACGCAACGTGGGGCTGCCAATTGTTGCCGGGCAGTCTGCTGCCTTCTTTCGGAGTAAACAAAGATCCCCGTGCTCTCGTCTCTCTCCAAACCTCCTCAGATATCTCGAGAAGGGCTTCCGATCTCAGGTCTTGATCTTGATTTCCTTTCCCCACGTTCTCTGCTGCCTTCTCTCCTCCTCTCGCTCTCCCGCTCTCTTTTTGTCCGTTGTGGGTCGCTCCGATCGACGTTTGCCTTGATCGGATCCGTCAATCATTCCAGTGACTAGACTCTCGCATTCCAGACGGACAGGAGAAATCAGATAAAACCGACTCTTCGGCCCTCCGCATTCAATCGACATGGACTATACGATGGAGGATACGCAGAACTCGGCGCCCCAGGCGCACGAAGCCTCCAAGCTGGGGTCTTCGGTACAGAGAAACGACACCCAGAGTGTCACGAAGAGGTTCGTTCTGCTGTGCTTGTCCCAATCGGTCATCCAATCCTGCGCTATGAATGTCTTGAACCACGGTTTCTAATGCGATGTGGTCTTTAGGCTCCAGTCAGAGTTGATGCAGCTCATGCTCTCTCCTTCGCCGGGTATCTCAGCTTTCCCCAACGCGGACGGTAACCTTTTGTCGTGGACTGCTACCATCGACGGGCCAAGCGACACACCTTACGAGAATCTTAAATTCAAGCTCTCCTTTACCTTCCCCCATAATTATCCTTATGCACCTCCTACGGTCCTTTTCAAGACCCCGATCTATCATCCCAATGTGGACTTCTCCGGCCGCATCTGCCTCGACATTCTGAAGGACAAATGGAGCGCGGTATACAATGTTCAGAGTGTGCTACTTAGCTTGCAGAGCTTGCTTGGCGAGCCAAACAAGTAAGTGTTTCTTATGATGAGAGAGATCGCGGAAAGGAGGGTGCTGACAACATATGCGACAGCGCGAGCCCCCTGAACGGTCAAGCCGCGGAGCTCTGGGACAAAAATCCAGAGGAATTCAAGCGTCATGTTTTGGCAAGACACCGTGACATCGAAGATGACGAGTGAACAAAAATATCCTCGACGATTTTTGAATGGAATTGACTGTTTCTGGGTACTGGTGCTGGGATTGAAATACAGGCATTGTCGGTCGATTGGGAGAAATGCATGCCATTGCCTTCCTGCATATCGGCGGCGTTCACTTCATTCGGCACGAACATTGGGTATGGAGTTTTTGGGTGTGGTTCTGGCCGCTGACTATGGACTCTTTTTTTTTTACGGTCAACGACGTGATACCTCATAGTTTCTCTCTTGCTTTTTATTTTTATTTTAATTTTATTTTTCTGCATTCTGCGAGAAATCGGAAATGGATCAATGCGCCTTTTTTTTACCGTCAACTTCTAATTCTCTGATTATTGTCGAGTCTGTGAAGGTTGTTTCTAGGGATTTCCATCTTCGCTGTATCAGCGATTGCATTCAGATTTAAGCATTTACCGTATCTGTTCCTTTTTCTTTATTTCTTTCGGTCATTTTTTTGTCGTCTTTTTTTCTTCTGGAGCAAAAGGCGTCGTATGGAGACTGTTCTGCTCCACGTAATCCTTTTATGTGCTCCTACTTAGATATATATCTATATCCCCTTTGGGACTGTAGGTGCACACTGTAGGGTACGGTGTTTCTTCTGTATCAGTGGTACTTTTTTTTACCCCTTAACTGCCATTTTTAACTTATGCGGAAGGACGGATTTTTATGATCCATGAATCCATTCATTCGATTCGTAGTCTGTGTTCTCCGATTGATTGATTGATTGATTGATTAATCGATCGATCATTAAAAAATCGACAGGTCACAGATCTCTTGCTCTTTCTTCTTCTACTACTACTGTACTTAACCAAAATCAAATCATTATGACGAAGTCTTAGACGCAAAGAACTGCCGCTGATCCGTAATGAGCAACCCGGCAATACTGGCGCTGGTCAGCGTGCTCAGAGCGCCCGTCAGCATGGCACTGACAGCCACGCGGGCGACGTCGCCGCTCCGACCGGGGGCGATCTGCGCCAGCACACCGATCTGGTTACCCAGCGAGCCGATGTTGGCGAAGCCGCAGAGGGCGTAGGTGACGATGAGCTTGGAGCGGTCGGACATGTCCGCGTACTGTGCGTCTGTCTGTAGGGCGTTGTAGGCGACGAATTCGTTCTACATTTACCAGAAAGAAAAGAGTCAGTGTGTGTGAACTTGATTGAATTGAAAGGGAGGAGGCAGAAACTGACAGTGATGAGTTTGAGGCCGATCAATTGCGCCACTTTGTACAGGTCCCCGTTGCGCGGAACTCCCAGCAGGAAGGCGATCGGATAGCAGATGTAGCCGACGATCATCTGGATGGTCAACGGCGGCTCGTTGATGTTGAGGTAATGACCCCACCAGGTCAGCAGGCCGTTGCAGAGTCCGATCAGGGAGATGATGCAGAGCAGCGTGGCGCCGATCATGCCCGCGATTTTGAGCCCCAGCCATGCACCGTTCGCGAACGCTTCCAGAGCGTTGGTGGCGCGGTGATCCTCGTCGTCCGGAATGATGACCCGACCAGACGTCAGAGTCTCCTCAGTTTCCGGCCACCGCATCTTGGAGACAGCGAGAGAGGCCGGGATGCTCATCACGCAGGATGAGACCAAGGCCTGTGGGTTGACTCCCATGGCCACGTAGGCGATCAGCACGCTACCGGCAATGGTCGCAAATCCAGAGCACATCACTTGGTGAAGCTCGGCAATCGTGAGATGGGGAACGAAAGGCTTGATCAGCATCGCGGATTCTCCCTGCCCAATGAAGGGGGATGCTGCGGCCACCACCGCTTCAGCACCAGACACCCGCATGCTCCAGAAGAAAAAGACGGCAAACTTGCCAATGAACCATTGAAGAGCACCGATATAGTACAGAAGCTGGACGATCGAGACGAAGAATATGATGGCGGGGATGACGGTGACCAGGAACCACGAGCTGATGCTCTGAGGGATCGGGGTCGTAGTCAAGAACTCGACTCCTTGGTTGGCGAATCCCAATAGATCTCGCGCCAGGGTCGAAATGAAATTGAAGATGTCGTACCCAGCCTTGGTGCGCAGGACAAACAAGGCAACAATGAACTGCACGAGCATGCCGACGATCACGGTGTGCCATACAATCTTTTTCCGATCGCGCGACGTTAGCCACAGAACAAAGATGAGCACCACGAGACCGAAAAGGCTGACAGCACGGTTCGCCCGCGTGTTGTCGGCAGACTCAGGGGATGCGAAGGCACCGATGATGATCACGGCGATAACCAGTGCGGCAGAAGCTGGAGTTCTCAGCTTCTGTGGAATCGCACGGGCAAATGGCCTCGCAGTGTGGTTCCATACAAAGTGCATCGGGACAGTGACTATAGTAATCGGGACATAGAAGAAAAGTATGCGCAGCGTGATTGCGAGGTACAGAAGGAAGGGGATCAGCCATCCGAGGTCGTATCGATGCAGGATGAGACCGGCGATCCACCAGCTAAAACCACATAAGTATCTGTCCCTTGTATGGCAACATGTTGAAGTTGCACTGATAAAATGTGATTGGAGTTGATAAAAAAGGCATCGCAGATGAGACTGCCTGCCTGACCATCTTCCTTCCAAAACAAGTAAATGTTGGACTCACCCGGTGAACAAGAGCCAGACGACAGCATGCGCGACATGTCGCCATTGCTTGATCAGACGGCGCTGCCATGGCCGTTTGGCAAGGCCTTCGCCTAGATCCTCAACGTCCGTATTTCCCTGGCCTTTCTCTTGGAAGGGTGGATGGACCTGCGGACTGGGGTCGGACGACGTGGATTTGTCGAAGGTGGTCCCCTGAGTATACACCACTTCATCTTCACGGCCCTTCTCCGCAAATGCCGTGTGATTGTGGTGAGCGTGGTGGTCTGACCTTCTCTCCTCGACAGCGACGGCATCGCTCGAGGCGATATCAGAAGTCTTGTTGTCTTCAGCCATTTCTCATTCGATGTCTGCTTCCCCACGCAGAGCAATTTCGACTGCCCAGGCACTGAGTATGCCTTTTTTCTCCGATATGAGGGTAGCGACGCGTTGAAAAGGGCGTCCTCGAACAGCGCCGGAGGCGACGTCCTGGTTAGCCTTCGAGACGATAGGTATGGCGTCTCTTTAAGGCCACGCGACCGGCTCTGGCTGCGGAAGCAAACACCAATGGCTGAATTTCAACGACACACCTGGATTAGGGGCCTTCCTCAAATCCGGAGTTGCAGCAGTTAAAATGGCAGATGCCATTGTGAAAAAAAGAAAAAGGGACTGGTGGGCCGGAATCCCACTGATAAGAAAGTGCAAAAATCTCTGACGGCGACCCAATGGGGGCCCATCTCGGACAAGCCACGCGATGCACGCCAAAGGTTCTTGCTGATAGCGTTCCATTTTCCCTTTGGGGGCCCAGGCTTGACTGTGGGATGACAAGACGGTTCGGTAATCTGGAGACACGCCGCGGCAGCGACCAAGGGCGAAATGGATGTTACTCTGACGCGGTGCCGCGGAGCTGATTGGCTGTGCGCTGCGCACGGCTGGTGAAGATCCAGCCAGCTTCTGGAAACGGTCTCTCGTGCCTTCTCCGCACCGATTTTCTTGCTTAGTCGCCCGTTGCCACCTCAGCTCCTCGGAGTTCTCCGTCTATCACTATCTATCAGTTGATGGATGAACTAGCGGGATGGGTTCAAGGGCCCAAGCCTAGTGACGTTGGACGGACGGCCCAAAGGCCTATCTACGGAGTATCCACGGTTATCAACGGAGGCATAATTACCTAGGTAAGAAGAGGAAGGTTATTCTGGAACCGGCAGGCTTTTCCTACCTTGGCGCCGGCGCACACGACCACTTCTTGCTGGCCAAGCAAGGGACTTGTGGCTTTTTCTTATTCCAAGGCCTTTTGTTATTTTTCTTTTTTTTTCTGATTTTCTCTAGTTTTCTATCTTTTTTCTTTCTTTTTTTTTTGGCATTTATTCTGGCACTGTACAGAGTCCAGACTACAGTCCAAAGTTGGCATGGCAGCCCTGAATATGAAATGCGGGGGACTTCTGTGCTGGACGTTGGTGGCGTCCGGATTAACATTAGTCCGACACATCTAGATACCCTAAGTTGCAAGCCATCAACTTCATCTATCTACAAGCCCGTTCCTTCGCTCAAGCTGGACACCCAGCCAAGGCGTTGACCGTCATGGTCATGAAATTGGAACTAATCTTATTAATAATTATTACCGCCGGCGCTCAGCCACTTCAGCAATACGATATCCGATCCCTTTATCATTTCAGCTCCCAGAAACAGCGTGCCCAAAGGACCCATGACTGCTACTCGGTGAGCACGTCAGATCCATTCACTGACTTGTTTCAGCCTATTATACCCATTGTGAATATTCCTCGCAACCAGTCACTGCTATTGAGAAAAGTTCTTGCTTAGGTATTCTGCAGAGACATCATTCAAACCAGCCGAGCGAAATCAAAGTCTCCTTGCCATCAGAACTCTCCGTCTTAGTTTTTTCTGCCACCACCTCTGACTCGAACAAAATTGTTTCAGGCTTCTCCCCATCGTAGCAACGCTTGGTAGAACAAAATTGCTCTTCCAATGGGTAATTAGATTAGACTAAAGGAACTGCCTACAAAGATCGGCCAGTGGCAGTGCTTCCTTCAGTAAGAGCCCTTTGCTGATCCACAAGCTCCTTCTCTCTGGCATCGTCTGGGTCACAGAGTACTGAAACAAACCTGCGTTATCAAGCTGATCCATATCAGTTCAAGGGTATGCAAAGACAATTTGCAATAGGCCTCCAATATTAGTACCACTTGACATGACTTGACAGGAGATGAGAACGTCAATTGTACCTGTTGAGGAACAGATGACTGGGTATGAAAATGAAAATATTTCTGTTGTTTCCAACTCTCTATAGGCCATATTCCAGGTGAACTCGCAATATCCGTCGGATATGGACTTGATTCAAACCTCAGCGTGCTACTGACAGTCCCTTAAGCTGCTAATCATAAGATCTTTTGTGACTCGGCATTGTCATCTCCAGTAGATACGCTGGCGTTGGTGAGTGAATGGCCTCCAGGCTCAGTGACGCGTCCCTGGGCGCGTCACCTGTTCGCTTTCCACCTGACCTCTCTTCACTTCTCCTTCGAGCTGACCATTCACCTACACCCTGTTATCCCCCAGGGCTTAGGCCTAGCCTTAAACGAGGGCTCGCTTCTCACATTAAAAGGCGCCGCAAGTCCACATTTCCCCTTCCCAAAACTCGAATTTCTCCATATCTTACCGACCTTCCCTCTGAATACGACTCCTGATCGTGTTCTGAACATGGAAAAATTTCCAAACGAAGCTGGCGTTTCTGTTCCTCGGGCTGACATGGCAGGAACAGATACCGCGGCAACTTTGAATGCGACGCCTTATCCTGTTCTGACCACGGATGAATTTCCAAATGACGCTGGCACTTCTGTTCCTCCGGCTGATAAGGCGGGAATAGGGAGCAGCAACTGCACGGAAACGCCCAAGATGGTAAAGGTATATTATTGTTGCAGGGTTGCTTTACTAAGTAGAGTAATGGAATATAATTTGCTAACTTTGAAATAGGCCGCTCCCGAGCTCATACGCCAGACCTGCCCAGCAGATGTTTGTGGGAGAAAATGTCTTCGGGAAGAATGTGATATGATGAGACGATGCGAAGTATGTATCGGAACAATGACCATGGGTAGTTGGCTAATGTGTCTTCTAGATGCTTGTTCTCCATGAATCGTATACGTGCCCGGGCGGTTCATGTCCATATCTACATGGAATGGGAACAAGTTGTATGTCCGTGAGTTTGAGCGGGAGCTGCCCTCGTCCTTCCTGTGCCGGGAGCCATGACTTCGCCCAAGAGAGGTGGGAGTCATACAAGTCGGGAAAATCGCACCTCATGTCTGCTACTCGCTCCCGAGTTGTGAAACTACCTTCCTAGGTAGAAACTATGAGCACTTAAGATTTTACATCATAATAATACAATCATCCATTTCCTTTATGTTGACTCTCCAAACAGCAGCGCGCGTATCGATAGAAGTCGCATAATTATCATTCTGTGTAGAATAACAGATTGTATCGGACACATGGTGCTAATTACTTTATCACTTACAGATACTATCTGCTAAGTCGGGAGCTACTAGACTTGGTAATCGATACTTTAATTTTCTAATTGCTGGCGGCACTCCCAGCTTTATAGCGCCTGTACTGTGCTTATTCTTTCGTATATATATGTCGAGTTGTCTGGTTCGGCTCTTGCAGTTTCTCTTCCCGCTCTTGTCCTCATAGAGGTCAATGGAGAAGACCTGCCCTTCTTTGTTGAAGGCTTGCCATATAAGAAAAATAGTTGCCTCCTCTGGGAAATTGACAGGTTGACTACCACTATGTTTTAGGTGGTCCACGGGGCAATTATAAAGGAGGCAGGAATATGGCTGTGGATTGATAGAGGCAAGGCTGCGGACTGGCCTGAAGATGAGGGCGACTGGTTAGAGGAAGGAGCAGCGCAAGAGTTGAGGAAAGATAGCTGGGAATGAACCACGTCCTCAGAAAGGCACATTGTATAGATGCTGGAGAGCCCTCTTTGGGCCGGAAACAGTCCGATTGTGCTGTCCACTCATAGTTGTTTTCTTACCTAGCCCTGCTTTAGCTTGCCTCACTCCCTGCCGCAGCGCGAAGGACGTTCAAAGGCAACATGCCTCCAGATCTAGAGCAGGAAAGGGATCTGGAGGACCTGATTGTCTAGGTTATGTAGTTATCCACAGTTTGCCTCCAGACTTAACGTAGTAATTGTTACATAATTCCTTCAGGACAGACGCAGGCAGACATCTTGGCGCAGAGGCGGGGGTGCTCGTGATAATAAACTTAATTTACTGCCATAAGTAAGGTACTTCGATAAAAAAAATCATCGATGGATTGATCGATCGACACTAACCAGGAAGATAAGATCTACGACTCTGCTCTCTTTATTCTCTCCAGAATATTAAAACCCTGAACAATGATTACCGCCGAGGAGGAGGAGGACCTTCAATGGGAGTTGGACCAAGGAGTCCCCCAATTCGAGGACCCGTTTATTCAGAAGTATCTCAACGGACGCGATGCTCTTATTGACGAGGAACATAAACAACGGCATGGTAGGTGTATATATAGTCAGGTTCACGCATAATTTGTCTTTTTAGAAATTGCACAGGCTCAATCACCAAAACCGTTGAACTACTACTCATATATTTACTGCTCTATCGCAGACTTCTCCTTTCGCAAATCCATGTCTGCCGTCGCTGCGGAGGCGTGCAGAATCGTGTCTCGCATCCGGGCCAAGGAGATGAGGGAAGTATGGAGTCAAAACTTGGACGAAGATGACGACGTCGACGACCACCAGGCGGATGAGATCCTCTATCCCGGAGTGATGTTTAACATCGCCAAGGGGCGGATGGAGAGGACGAAGCTGTGGAAAATAGTGGAGAAGATGCCAAAAGGTATGGGAGTGCAGTACGGTCTTGTTTGGTTTTTTTTTTTTTTCTTGCCTGCTATTACTTAGCTTAGCCACCCTTGAGGAGGTTCACTGATACTCGCAAAAAAAAAGGGGCCCTTCTTCACGCTCATCTGGATGCGATGTTCGACCTGGATTTCTTGATTGATCAAGCATTCTCTACGCCGGGTATCCACATGAGCGCCTGCAAGCCGCTGGTGAGCGAGAAAGACCTCGAAGTGGCTCCATTTACTTTCCAGTATTCCTCAGCACCTCTGGCAGACTCAGACGGGAAGCAGTCGATATGGACCGAGGGATACACGCCATGCTCACTCATCCATATCCAGAAAGCGGCATCCACGTATCCAAAGGGCGGCGAGCGGGGATTCCGGGTGTGGTTGAAGAGCAGGATGATGATCGCCGCGGAGCATTCGTACTATCATCACCACGGCGTGGATGCCATTTGGAAAATTTTCAAACGCATATTTCCCATTATTGACTCTTTACTGTTTTATGAGCCGATCTTCAGGCCCGGTTTCCGTCGCCTCTTAGCTGAGCTTGCCCGCGATGGTATCAGGTATGTAGAGTTTAGGGTCGCATTCGACTTTGAGTACCGTCGCGAAGGAAGTGATATCCCTGAAACGAACTACGTGGAATTCTTTCGTGTCTTTAAAGATGAAATCGAGAAATTCAAGAATTCGGAGGAAGGGAGGGGTTTCTATGGAGCAAGAATGATTTGGACCACTCTCCGCTCCCATCCGAATCGGAAGATCGTTGAGAATATGAAGCAATGCATCTTTGCCAAGAAGGCCTATCCAGAAATGATTTGCGGCTTCGATTTGGTCGGACAGGAAGACGCTGGAAGGCCGCTGGTCGATCTCGTCCCGGTCCTTTTCTGGTTTCGCAAGCTCTGCGCTGAAGAACAAGTTGAAATCCCGTTCTTCTTCCATGCGGGCGAATGCCTTGGGGACGGCGACGCGACGGACCATAACCTGTTCGATGCCATCCTCCTGGGAACAAGGCGGATAGGACACGGATATTCTCTCTACAAGCACCCGCTGCTGATCGACCTGGTCAAAGAGAAAAAGATCTTGATCGAATGTTGTCCGATCTCCAACGAGATCCTGAGACTCACGAGTTCGATCAAGTCGCATTCCTTACCTGCTCTTTTGTCCCGAGGCGTGTCGGTCTCACTCTGCAACGACGATCCAGCAGTCCTGGGCCACGGGAAGAACGGCCTCACGCATGATTTCTGGCAGGCGCTTCAGGGTCTGGAGAATATGGGGCTGGAAGGCCTGGCCACGATGGCAGAAAACTCCATCCGATGGAGCTGCTTCGAGGACCAGACGGCGGCAGATTGGATCGCTGACATTCGAAAGGGCATCACAGGGAGCGGGCTCAAAGCCAAGTGTTTGCAGGAATGGCATTCGGAGTTTGAGAAGTTCTGTCAGTGGGTTGTCTTGGAATTCGCCGGAGAAGTGGATGACGACGAAGACGAGGAGCGGGAGGAAGGCTGGTAGAGCAATGCAATTTGAGTCTTAACGCAGGTATCCTGTAAAGGTGATCCACGAAATGACAGATCTGGAGGTCAGACCAATATGCTGCAGCCAAGGAAAATAGCTGATCACGCCTTCTTGGAGATGCTTGTGCAAGCATCACTGGGCCAGCCCCGCCACAGGCTGCCCTCCGTATGGCTTGCTTGGTGCCCGAACAACTGTCCCGCCGCCTGCCGCAGCGTGGGCAATCATGTCTGTCTGGGCGCGCAGTGTGACGCGGCGTCGTGGCCCTTTCAGTAGATATAATCGAGTATTTGGCTTCTCCCTCTTCTCGTTCGTATTTAATTACATGATTACATCTGCCCAGCCGACGGTGCGGAGCGGAGTCCACGGAGCAAGTGTGGCTCTGGTTTGCCGCAGTCACTAAGACCAGTTCGCCAGCGTTATCGCCGCCGTCCACTGCACTATCTGCCTATCGCCCTCCGCTTTCCCTTCCGGATAAGCATCACCTCACCCAAGCTCCCTGGCCAGCTGCTGCTCCGACCGCTGCATCCACTTGCTGTCCGACAGCAGATGGTCCTCACGTGTCCACGCCTGCTCGACCATGTCATGACCTGACCCTCCCATGCCACCGAAATATATCATCTGAGCCCATTTCTGGCTCTTTTGGCCGTCGGCGAAATGGCGTCCTTCCTGCCATCCTTCTTCCAGAAGCGGCTGCTGCGGTATGCGCTGTCTCGCCTGGAGCTGGTCGACACCGATGCCCTGGACCTCGACAGTCTCGGGATTCGGTGGGGACAGAGAAGCACGTTCGAGCTGCGGGAAATCGGGCTGAAGTTATCGGTGCGTGGATGGACAGCATCCCTCTGGATGCAATATCGCTGTGATGGCGACCAAGTACTGACCTGACCTGCTGGAAACAGAAACTAGCCTCTATCCTCCGTCTTCCCGCCACGTGCGAGCTGCTCAAGGCCCGGATATCCCTGCTTCGGGTGACGATTCCTGCCGACATCTACAACAGCGGTATCGTGGTCGAGGCCGAGGGGATAAAGGTGCACATCAGGCTGCTGCCAGAGGCTGGTCCTGAAGATGTGCAGCAGCCTGGGTCACATAAGGAAGGCAGACCATCTGCGGATGGCCCAGATGCGGACCGTATCCTCCCAACGACCACCGATCTAGCACAGTCGTTTCTCGAATCCGAGCCCAGGGAAGAGAAGGCCGAGTTACAAGCCGCAATCTCATCGCAGTCACAATACCTGCAACGGTCCTCAACGTCTCTCAGTGACGATGAGGAAGAGCTTGGGCTTGGAAACGAGGGGGTTTCGTTGCCCAGCTTCGTTGCCGCATTCTTGAAGGGTGTCGCCGATAGACTGCAGATCAAGGTGAAAAATGTGAGCGTCCGAGTCGACATGGATCTACGCCAAGATGGCCCAGTCAAGCGACACCCTGAGGAGAAGCCGGATCCAGTCTCGGTGTTGTTGTCTGTCCAGGAGCTTTCCATTGATGGAGTCTCCCATCCTGGCTCAGAAACACCGTCGCTGAAGGCTGGAGGGCGGCTAGTTTCGCTCTCCACCATCCATGCGATGTTGGTTTCGGACCCTGTTGTCTTCTCTAATTACTCTCGTTTTGCAGTCCCCCCTCCGTCACCCTCTACAACACACTCAAAAGTGAGTCAAGCACCGAGCAGAGTCGATTCACCGCCGCCGCCGCCGTCGCCGTCGCCGCCCCCTCCGCAACGACCACCATCATCAGGCTCCGGCTCTGTGCATGATCTGACTCGCTCCATAATTCTTGATCGTTCACATCACGCTGAAGACCAGGAAGACTCACATGCTAGGCCCCTAGAAGAGTCGGTGTACACTTTTAGTGGTCGGTTCTCTGATGCCGGAACCGAGGCCGAGTACGGTAGTGAAAGCTACCTACATGGCCAAGATGTCTCAGAGGGTCGGTACGATGATGACGACAACTTACTTGACAGCCCGGCGTACCTCGACGAAGTTTTCCATTCTCAGCTTGCTGAGGACATCGAAGATTCGACGACCCTTCCCCCGCAACTGTCACCCCATAGTAGGGACACACCACGCCCTCAGAGTCCTCGATATGACTCTTCGGAGTTAACGAAGACGCAACACGATTTAGGGAATTCTCGTCCTTTGATAAGCCTGACTGGTGAGCATCATGATTCGGGTCATTCTTTGCCAGGGGGTCCATCCGAAGGTAATAAATATGAGCGAGTCGGGTCACCGAAAGCGGGCTACAGAGCACAATCACCGGCAAAGTCGACCGTCTCACACCACGGAGATCTGGATGAAAGCGATAGACAGACCATTGATACACCAGCTACTGGCTCGAGCAATTCCAGCTCGCATTGTGACGATGACCTCACGGAATCCAAGCTTTTTTCTCACGAGGAAGCCGAGAGCATGTACATGAGCGCCATTAGCCATACATCTAGGAGCTATACTGCAGACATGCCTGGGGCTTGGGGATCGTCGAGTTTCAGCAGGTCACGTCGAGAGCCATATAGTCCCGAACCAACCTCTGCTGTTCAGTCAGCGACAATGCCGGATACCCATGTCGCTGAAGAACATATGGAAACAGGAGCCTCGACCCCAAAGCTTACTGCTCAAGATGGGAGCCGTACTGCAAATGAGGGCATTCTGGGGAACTCCCAGTCATCTCTGAGAAATTCACAGTCATCCTTTGACCTTCAGCAGCGTGAGCCAGAGGAAAGCGGGCCTAATTCACTCTCCGGATCTTTACACGGGGACCCAGAGGTCGCTCGGAAAGTGGTTGACATTAACAAAATAACCATATGGATTCCTTCAGATGTGCCCAGTGATGAGGCAGAGGCTGTAGATACATCGTCACATGGACAACGTAGCAGACCCGTGAGTCGCGACATGAAGGCTTCCACCGCGAGTTTGTCTGCATCAGTGATGGGTGACAGTATCGGAGCTTCAAAGCTTGATCTGTCAAGGCGATTCCGCAGGGATTCTACTGCGTCGTCGATTGCATTCGAAGGCCCAGAGCCGAGATCGCCGACCTTATTGGAGTCGCAAGCAATGGACCCCCAATCTAAGAAACACTCAGATTCCATTGTGATCGATGTTGATGATGTCAGTATTCAGTTCGACATAGCCACTGGTTGGCTACTGGTGAAGGTTGGCCAAAAGGTTTTGTCCGTCTACGGTGGTGATTCTGAACAAAAGCGGTCCGGGACCACTCATCCTGCAGCGGTGCAGACCTCCCAGAAGGTCAGCTTTAACCTTGGTAACTGCTCTGTGAGGTTTTTGGAACACCTGACAGGCTTCCCTTATCACGGCCAAAATACGGGGTCTTTGTTTTCCCATTCGAACTTCTCTTCCGTTGAAGATGTTATCTTGCAAGCAACAATATCTGGTTTAAAGTCCCGTCTGTCTATCGTAAACGATGTGACAAAGTTCCAACTCGACCTGGCCAAATTCGTCTTTGGATTTGCTTATGACGACTTTCTTTCTTTCAATGAAGAGTTGAAAATGAGAGAGTCAACGAGAGACGTCTTATCGCCTATACATAGCGATATTTCCCTCTCTGTGATCAAGTCTGCAGGATCTGCGACAGCCAATCTTACGACCCTTCCTGTACATCTGAATCTCAATATCCAACGGCTGGAGGAAACTCTTGGATGGTTTGGTGGATTGAGTACGATTCTGGAGCTTGGAAATTCCATGGCTTCCGTGTCTACTGTCCGAGAAGGGAGGCCAGAAGTCTCTAACAAGTCATCTCGCGGCGTGCATTTTGAAGGCGTTCCTGCTGCTCGTCCAACTGCTCCAACCACCGGCTCTGTTCCTTGGAAGTTGAACGCCAGATTCGGTGGCTCTGTGATCGACCTTGTAGGGGAAAGCTGCTCTATGAGGCTGAAGACAACTGCCATCAAGATTGTTAGCCGGTCCGAGGGCGTTGGAGTACAGATTGATAAGGCCAAACTGAATGGACCGTTCCTTCTCGGTGATAGCAGTGATTCCCCGGCAAAAATCAACTTGGGCAACATTAGGATCGAGTACTTGTTCTCTCCAAAGGAGGTTGATCTGGACCGGCTTCTTTCTCTAATCACGCCGTCCAAGGACAAGTATGAAGAAGACGATGACATTATGCTTGATACGCTCATCAGGCAACGGAGGCAGGGAGCCGTGCTCCGTATCACTGTTGCTGCGGCGAAGCTCGTTATTTCCAGTGTTGATGAGCTAGGCCCGCTGTCACATCTCCTGAACGAACTGGGGAAGCTGTCAACTGTCGCAAAGTACCTGCCGGAGGATGACCGTCCAGGGATCCTGACGTTGGCTCTAGTTCGTGAATTAGAGGGCCAATTCCACATCGGCGGGAAAGTGGGAGATTTAAGCCTTATTTCGAATGACTTGGAAGTAGCCCATGTCAGCATCCCATCTCTCGTCGCTGCTCAAATAAGGCGCATCGCTCTCACGAGGAACAATGTCGAAGAGCTTATAGGCGAAGCGTTGCAGCTTCCCGGAGCAGAGAATCCAGCACGATCACCCTTGCCGATGATAATGGCTCGTTTTATCGCGGATGAGATGGACCCTACGTCAAGGTTAAACTTTACAATCTTCGTGCCGAATATACGGTGTCATCAATCGTGGCGTTTCTTGGGCTAGATGATGGCACGGCTGCAGAAGTGGCTGCTAATATGGCAAGTTCTGTTGCGAATCTCACCGACCTCCACACTTCGCAGCTCAAGGGCACATTTCCTGGTGATCCCGAGGGGACTAAGCCTGATTCGATGCCGTCAAAGCTCACTGTTGCTCTAAGAGACTGCGTCCTTGGATTGAACCCACATGGTATGCCTGCGAAAGGCCTTGTCATCTTGACGTATGCTCGGTTCGCCGGAGAAATCCATGAGGATGAGCCTTCCGAAGCGACGTTTGATGTCAAGAAGGCGACCGTTATGATTATCGATGATGTGCAGAATATTGGTTCAGTGGATAATCCCCATCGGCGCAGTCTGGCCGCTGGCCAGAGTGAGCAGGTTCAAGCATTTGCCGACATGGGCTTCGTCCCTGTTTCCTTTATATCTTCGGCTCTGGCTGTAGTGAAAGTGGTGCAGCTGGCTGATGACGGCAAGCGATCTCTCGATGTTGAATTGAGGGATGATCTGCTCATCCTCGAAACCTGCGCTGACTCGACGCAAACTCTAATCAACCTGCTCAACGGTCTCATGCCTCCTACACCACCGAGTACAGCTCTCAAGTACCGAACCGAAATCATGCCCATTCAAGATATGCTCGCTTCGTTCTCGGGGGATGCCTTTGCTACGGATCGCGAACCAGATACCGAGGATTCTGCGGGTTCAACACATGAGCAGCTTGCGCATGGGATGGAAGATAACATCGACAACGAGCTTGAGTACGTCAGCGACTTTTACCCGGAAAAACCGGACTATCCAGGCGATGCTCTCAGCGGCAGCATGGCAGGTTCCACGTCCGAGAAGAATCTTCTCGACAGCTTCCATTCGGAATATAATGTCTCTTCTAGTATCTCAGGTCTTGATTTCCAAGACGACCACTTCGCTAAAAAATCTAGCGTTGGAGGCACAGCGCATAGGTGGGACTCGACTCACAACACTTATGGACTCGCAAACGATGTCAAGCTGCATGGCAGTCCTCTGAGAGTCAGAGTTCGCGACGTTCACTTCATCTGGAACTTGTTTGATGGGTATGACTGGCGTCGGACGAGGGACACCATATCCAAAGCTGTCAAGAATGTGGAGATGAAGGCTACTGAACGGCGCGCAAGAGCTGCGAGCCGCCTGTCTCCGGCTGAAGAAGAGGAAGAGTCAGTCATCGGCGACTTTCTTTTTAATTCAATATATATCGGGATTCCTGCCAATAAAGAGCCTCGTGAATTGTCCCATGAGATCAATCGCAACATCGATGATCTGGCCAGCGAGACGGGTAGCTACGCTACTTCGACAACAGTAACCGGATTGACCTCACGCCAGAGCCAGTCTCCGTCCGTAAGGGGCAAGAAATTGCGTCTCTCCCGGAGCAAGCATCATAAGATGACTTTCGAGCTGAAGGGAATCTGTGCGGACCTGGTTGTTTTCCCACCGGACTCGGGCGAAACGCAAAGTTCTCTGGATGTGCGTGTTCATGATCTTGAGATCTTTGACCACATCCCTACATCGACCTGGAAGAAATTCGCAACGTACATGTACGATGCCGGTGAAAGAGAAAGTGGAACGAGCATGGTACATTTGGAGGTGTTGAATGTGAAACCGGTGGCGGACCTTGCGGCGTCGGAAATCGTCTTGAAGGTATGTCTTTTTTTTATCCTTAGTACTTTGGCTTGGTCTAATCTCGCATGAATTTCATAGGCCACTATATTACCTTTGCGCCTTCATGTCGACCAAGACGCTTTAGACTTCTTGAGTCGGTTCTTCGAGTTCAAAGACGAGTCCGCTCCTGCTCCAAATGCCCCTGGTGACGTGCCCTTCTTGCAACGAGTCGAAGTCAACGCCATACGAGTCAAACTTGATTTCAAGCCGAAACGGGTTGATTATGCTGGTCTGCGTTCTGGACGTACAACGGAGTTTATGAATTTCTTCGTCCTCGATGAAGCGGATATGGTCCTAAGACACGTTATCATCTACGGCGTTTCCGGGTTTGATAAACTTGGTCAAACGCTTAACGATATCTGGATGCCAGATATCAAGAGGAACCAGCTTCCTGGAGTTCTGGCAGGCCTGGCTCCCATCAGATCACTTGTGAATGTGGGAAGTGGCGTAAAGGATCTCGTTGTCATCCCGATGCGCGAGTATAAGAAGGACGGTCGTATCGTGCGAAGCATTCAGAAGGGAGCGGTTGCGTTCGCCAAGACGACGACAAATGAGTTGGTGAAGCTAGGTGCCAAGCTTGCTATTGGCACCCAAACCGTCCTTCAGGGAGCGGAGGAGTTTCTCACTTCTTCCAGTGAGCAGCAGGGTCATCCAATCTCTGGTGATGGGTTGGAGGATGACTTGGCAGATGAGGAAGAGAAGAAGCAGATCTCGCTTTACGCGGATCAACCAGTGGGAGTGGTTCAAGGTCTCCGGGGCGCATGTGCTAGTTTGGAGCGCGATTTGTTGATGGCTCGAGACGCGATCGTCGCGGTTCCAGGAGAAGTGATGGAGAGCGTCAGTGCAGCCGGTGCCGCGAAGGCAGTATGGAGACGCGCGCCGACAGTCATCTTACGGCCTGCCATCGGAGCAACCAAGGCTGTTGGTCAGACACTTTTGGGAGCAGGCAATACGTTGGACCCCTCGAACAGAAGGAAGATTGAAGACGTAAGTTTAACTGTCATTTGACAGTGTCGAGTGAGAGATGTTCACATGCTGACTTTTTACAGAAATATAAGCGACATTAGAGCGCATGTGAAGGGATCATCCGATTATGCATGAACCTACGACTACGTTCATCTTGCATGAGTTTTTATGCCACTGAATTTGGCGTTTCTGGACGGTCTGTCGAATACTACGATCTTGTGTTTACGAAGCGGATTCTTGAGATTCCCCCCATCTGCCGGTTGATAAATATCGAACCTCGGGACGTTTGGCCATGGGAATTTCTCCCCCAATTTTTGCTTGGACATGATATTATTCCGGAGATCTTTAGTCTTTTTTTTCTTTTCCCTTCTGGTGGAAACTGCATTTGGACGAACAGCATGATAAGTATCAAATCATGATGATGATAATGATTATTACCCGATTTTTACGCTTACATCTGATATGATGCTACTAGGATGTGTATATACATGATGTTGTTTACATTTTTTTTCTTTTCTTTTTCTTTTTTTATTTTCTTGAGTCTATATTGATTGAATTTTTGCTAGAAGAAGAAGAATGAGAGAATGAGAATGAGAATGAGATCGTGAATATGATAGAGTCTTAATAGTCTTGCTCTCTTCTTTTTTTTTCCGTTCTGCTGAAATGAAATAGTATATAGTTAGTTACCAAAGCTGAAAAAAAAAAAGGAATGCAGCTGGTCAGCTATAATTACAGACTCCATACAGGGCTAGCTAGGATCTAGGATCCTCTTTCCGATTCACTCTCTACTGCTATTACTACTATTCTTATTATTGGTCGAGTCCGTCAGGCGTAGATGAAGCTGACTTGGGACCATATGTACTGTACTGTACGCACATAAGCCAACTGCCCATGAGCTTTTTTTGCCTTCTCCTTTCGTGTCATCTGAATGTTGCATGACTGCGTGACTGTGTCTACAGAACCTAAGGTATGGTGGTATATTCAGGGCTGTAGTGATTTTTTTTTACCCCTGTATGGAGGCTGTCATTTGATCGGTAGAAACGTGCCGTGGATTGTATGGTTCGAGCAAGGATCGAGTGACTAGGTAACTATATTGATGATCGCTGGTGGAACGTTCAAATGTCATGGGAGAAAATAATAGGATGGACAATCGGGTGAGATTACCTACCTACTTCCCTTTGTCCATCAGACATTCACTCAGCTCAGCCTTACATGTGAAAGCATGTCAGATGTCCCTGACTGACATCTTAAACAAAAAAAGAGGTGAGAGACACTGGTGGGAGTAGACTGAGGATGCAACACTCTTTTTCAGCCCCTTCATCTTCCCCCTCCCCACCCATGAAGACGAATGATCTCAGTGAAAGCAAGAAAATCGATCGATCGGCTGACATGTCAAAAAGTGAAAATGTGGAACGGCGACATCCTCCTCCTTCTGTGTGTTAAATTCACTGCCACATCCTTCCTCAGATGCGCTAGCCAATAAAGACGTCGAAGTGGACTTTGCTTCAAACGTTTCCTTTCTTATCTGCAGATGGGGCAAAAGATGCAGGTGCCCAAAACAAGGAAAATGGGGACGAGGGGACTCCTCCAGAGATCGGCTAGCCACGCATGCAGACAGAGGTCGTCGGGTTTTGAATTATTAAAATAGATCTCCTCCTCCTCCTCTTCCTTCCACCCTTCCCCTCCCCGCTCCGCTCAGCTGCGGATAGATTAGATAGGTAGGTTAGGGCAATGTATCAGGCGTTAGTTTGGTTAGTACAAACAGCCGTTCTCGTTTTGGTTCGGTGGATCCCCGACTGCGTCATTATTCCCAAAAGGCAATGAGATTATATATATAAAGTTCGTCGCGACTTGCGGGTTCCTTGCAGCTGTACGGGCCATTGGCTCTCCGGATCCCACGATGAGATCAACATATTGTGCCACGTTGGCCCCTGCTAGCAAGCATGTCCCTACTCCGTAGGAATGAGGAGACCCTCTTCAGCCGCTCCCGTGTGACTGGCGAGAAGAAGCCGGTCCTGCACGACGGTTGGTGGGCGAGTTATACGGTGCCCTTTTGCAGCAGCGTCGAAGAGTTGCGATTCCGCCCTCCCATTGGCTGCCTCCTCCACGGCCGATCGCTGTTGGTGTCTGGCACAAGAGCAGACCTGCAGTCCTTCTGGCTGTCCGTGTCGTCGAGGCATTGGGTCTTCGCTGCGGAGAAGAACATAGATGGTTTAAAACTTTGAGGGTAGTTTTTGCTTTTGTTTTTTTCCCCCCTTTTGTGTGTCTGTGTATGTGTGTGTGTGCCTGCTGCTTGCTCGCGCGGGACATCTCTCATCTGTTTATATCATCCGTACGACGGAACCTGCCGGAAAACATGGCCTGGGGTTTTCCTGGTAATCATAATATTAATCCATATATCATCGTCATTGTATAATCGAGATAGGTGATGGAAAGCGGAGCGTGTCCCTGTTCACAGCAGCGAGATAGAGACCGACTCCAATCCTTCTTTTCTTTGCATTATCATCATCTTCTTCATTATCTTCTTCTCTTCGTTTTCCTTGATTAAATAATATGATACCCTGTTTCGACTTGTGGCTGGACTCATAATTCGTCTGACGAAAACTGATCTTGTATGTCTTCAGCATTTCTGGTTGACGAGCTGCGAAAAGTTTGTATCTCTGTGGCTTCCGATTTAGACTAATCTTTGGGGCGAGTTTGCATTGCGTATGGCGTCAATTTGGACACAGGAAATCGGGGCATAGACGGTAATTTGTGCATCGATAAAGGCTCGTCATTTTTCACGGTAATCTCCGCGGCAGGTGTTTTTTGATATCAAAGTCTGTTGCTCTGTGATGGCTGAGTTGCATCTGCAGTGGCCTGCTGACAGAATTTTTCAAGGTGTACATTGCACAATCTGGGATCTGAAGGAAGGAACGTGGCAAGATATGCTTGTTTATGAGGGTGCTGTCTTGATTTGGATGTAAGAAGGAAATACGGTCCAAAAAAAGAAAAGGAACCGGAAGAGAGCTCAGAGGTCGACGGACTTTTCCAATCGAATGTTGAACTGCTGTTTCCAACGTCTCGCAGTACTGGATCCGGGGTAGAAGAACTGTCATTTCAGCATGTCTCAAGCAGAAGCATTCTGGGCGCCTGGCATCCTCGACGTATGTTCAGACGCCAGCAGCGTCGCGTGCGGCCATCTGTCGCTGCACGACTACCGCAAGTTTCTGTCCCAGCCAGAGGGCATCGACCTGCCAGACGAACTCAAAGGACGCACACTGAGACGAAAACCTGCTGCGTCTAATCTGAACCAAGCGCGAACTCGACAAGAGTTCTGGTTCTCCCTCTCCTCACCTCTCTCATCCGCGCCATCGAGCCCTCCTCCTCTTTCTTACTCCCAATCAGTAATCACCCTGCAGAGTGATAACGAGACTCAAGATTCTGTGTCTCCTCTTGGGAGGCCACTGACGACGCCGGCATCCCAAACAAAGCAACCGGTAATTACTTCTCTCTTCTCCCTGTTTCGATTCCCTGTCCTCGTCTCATTTTGTTTGTTTGTCTCCACTGATGGACTTGTCAGAAGGCTTTTAGGGAAACACTGAGCCAAAATAGTTCCCCGATTGTTGACCTTTCATCCCATAAACGAGCAACATCGGATTCTGCTCTGCTGGAATCAAAAAGACCACGGACTACCATCATCCATGAAGGTATTCCTTTTGAGATAATCAACCCCAGAGAATCTCTGGACGTGTCAAATATAATTTCTTCGCCGCATCGTTCGTCTCAAGTGTCTCGAGAGACGATGTCTTCACCAAATCGTCCATCGACCGTCAGGTCAGCCAGGTCGATCTTGGAAAACTTGCCAGATGCGAGAGTATCAGCGTCTGAAAGTCTGAAGTTCCCAAGTCCTTCGCCAGGACTTTTGGAATCGGAGGACCCTTTCTCTGCACTCCCTCGTCTAATCGACCTTCCAAGGCGGCCGTCAAACCTGGTAACTCGACCGTCCGTTGAAACGACGGCACGCTCGGCCAGGAAGGCTTCGCCAAAAACATTGACTCAAAAAGTGTCCCAGTTGTTTGGGAGCTCTGGTGAGACCAGAGGGAAACTTCGGAAACTTTTTTCGCCTAAAAGCAAATCGAGCGAGCAGAAGAGTCTGGAGACCCTGCCTCGTCCAGAATCGAACGCAGAGAGTTACATGGCAGCCAGCATGGAGCTGAGCAACATGGGCCAATGGTCAACGGATTCGGGTGATATTGCTGATACTGATAATCAACCTCAGAATCACTGCGCACAAGGTCGCGTTGAACTGTCGAGTACAGTTGATGAAGGTGACCAATATGATCAATCCGCGACAGGCCCTGTAGAGCATGTCAGCAATGATTCTTTCTATGACGCTGGCTCTCAGGAAGTCCCCAGGGAATCTCAGGATCCACAGCCTGTCTCTGAAAACTTGGTCGACACTGCGCCAGGCGATACAACTCTGGCGAACGAAGATGCCACTGATAGTATTGCTCTGGTCCGACGTCGACCAATTCCAGAAAACGCCGAGTATCGTGCCAACAGGTACCACACTGTAGTGGCTGACGAGAATTCTTCGGTTCTATACCAGGATATTATTGGTTTTCTTCAGTTCGACCAGATCCAGGATGACCAGGATCAGAATGAGGAACAGGACTCCGAAGACTCACTTTCATCTGTGGCGGATCGCAATCTGTCAGACCTTCCGGATCTTCAGCGATTTCCTAGTGCACCCAGCACCGAGACTCAGGGCAGTCAGCCAAGTCCGACAGCACCAGTGAGAGAGAGTACTCGAGCCTCGATTCGTCCGTATCTGCAGCCGGTGGCTGCGTTTATGGAGAGAGGAAGTGTTTCTAGTGCCGACTCCCAGAGTGACGTTGACAATGAAGAGGCTGAACAGGAAGAAGTTGAACATGAAGAAATGGATGATGAGGGAGAGTGGGAGGATGTGGATGAGGAAGAGCCAGATGATGAAGTGACCACAGAAGGGAATCAACGGCCTTCAGAATCGTTTGATGCGTTTGGAAATTGTGAAAACGCCGAGAGAGCTGAAGAGCCGTCTGAACGTCCGGAGGAGCAGGAACATTACAGATTGGCACGCTATATGACAGGGAGCAGTGTTGCGAACATCACAAGTCACGACAGTGATAAACGAGAGCAAACTCCACCTGAGAATCATATTCCTGAACTCCCTGGAAATACATGTCAGCTCAGTCTGACACACAGGGACTCTTTGCTCACCCATCGGATGCGCTATGCGAAGGCAAATTGTGCTTCTGGCAATGAGATCAACAGCAGAAGAGCCTTTGAGTCACCTCGTTTCTATGCAAATCTCTGTGAATGGGAACGTCAAGCATTTTCTTACCAGTCTGAGACCAATTTGCATCAGAACTCTGGCAATAAGGCCAAGAATGCCCGGCTGCACCTCAAATGTGAGTGATCCTCTATGAATTCACATTAGATATGATATCTGACCATTAAACTGTCTAGTTTCGTGCTGTTGCACTTGCTGATCTGTTTTTTCTTTTTCTTTTTCTTTTTCTTTTTCTATCTTTTTTTTCAGCCCATAGTTCATTAGGTAGATGAAAGAGTCAAGAATAGTACAAATGTAAGAGTCTGTTTTACTGAACTTTGATTCATATGTAGGCACATCACATACGTATGGGGAGGCCTCCTCATTAGTAGATCTGTATGTGCTTTCAAATAAGGATCTCCATGTCCTAAACCAGATATGCAGCTGGGAGCCACCTGAGTAGTAGATCTGCATATATCCTTGCTATCAGATTTTGTGACAGATACGCATGGGGAGGCCTCCTCGTTAGTAGATCTGCGTTTCTATGACCTGATACAGATACACATCTGGGGGCCTCCCTATTAGTAGATCCCACATATTCTCCAAAATGCAGATTTCTATCCTGTAAAACATATACGCAACTGGGGGCCACCTGAGTAGTAGATTGCATTTCTCTTATTCTATATATCCTGGGAAAGATGTGTATCTGGGGACCTCCTTGCTATCATAAATTCCTTGAATTCATATTCTTTACTGAGAAAGATATGCAACTGGGACCTACTTTGATGTCAGATTGTGCGTGCAAATGGCTTCAAATTATCTTGCTTGTTTTCTTATTTTCTTGTCCTTTTTTTGTGATGTTCACAGGTTTGAAGAAAAAAAAAGTCCACAAAGATCGCAAACTGCGAGCCCTTTAATTTATTACAATAGTGAGAATCAGACTTCTTCGCTCCTTAAGATAAGAAATAGTCTTCAAGGATCACATTCACTATTAATGATAACAGCTTATTTTCCCTTCTAAAAAGGCCTTGAAAGAAAATAAATATTCAGAGATAGAAATGGCTGGCTGACAGACAGACAGGAACTACTCCGGAGTACTTACTCTGTACAAACGGAACTACATGGTCTCTTTATCTATTCCTTCCACCCTCTCTCCAAACCATCCCACACAGCCTTTCTTTCCACATTCTCCTTCCTCGTCGAATACTTTGTATAAAAAAAAAGACTCATATCCGAGACTACTTGCAGGACAGGAACAGTGACAGGCTAACCTTCTCTAGAGCTCCTCAGGAACAGGGTACTTTCTTCCTTGGTCCTCCTACTCCCTCCCAAGCCTGCCTCTGGTCCCGATCGCTGACATCGTCCGCCAAACGCTCTATTTTCTTGGAACTGACATTGTTCCTACAACACGGCGAAGACAAGACAAGATTGCCCAGTAATAGTGCCCCGGGTTGAACGCTCAGGCCGTGCCGTGCAGATCGTGAATATCGGCACTCGATCTCGGAAATCACCTGGAAGTCAGGACCACACACACACAACAAAAAAAAACAGTGCACAAATACCAATACAAATACAAAATACAGAGTATTATAGTATATAAATGCGGAAGTGGGAAAGAAGTACAGTCCAGTCCAACATATTAATGGGGACAGCCATGGCAGGAACTTGAAGAAGAAGCAGATATACTCCTTACTACACACTCCGTACGGAGTACTCCATAATAGAACAGAGAGCAGGAAGTGGCCCAGCTATGTACTGTACTCCGTACCTGCCTACTCTGTAGATGGTTAGATGGTTAGTAATGGAACAGACCGTCCAAGCCATCAAAGACGGTGCGACGATCGCCGCGGGGGGGCGCGTTGCAGATCTCCCGACTCCTGAAGAAGGGAGGACGTTATGTTTTTTTTTCGGCATTTAGTAATATTTCTACGGAAGAAATTACCTAACTCCTAGGATTTCGGCAGTTGCGTGTACGCTAGGTCTATTTAATAGCTGGATTAGATTAAATGGATTCTGCTTTTTTTTGTCGGGAGGATTCTTTTCATCTCTGCTAGGAGTCGACTCGTCTTATTAAATAAAATAGTCCCAAGATTGAATAACCAAAACTCTTGGAATATATGCATACTGCGCAAGGGCGTATATCTCATGCATCCAGCCTGCTCGGAGCGTCATTACTGATTTTTTTTTCAAGGGGTGGTTTTTATCTATGCCATAATCAGGGGTCTACACAGAAGTAGGCTGTTATTATTGGATCCAACCTAGATATTACCATTATTGGTAGGTGGTTGTCATCATCACTTGGACCTACCTGCCTGCAACAAAAAAGACAGGAAAGTGTTCAACATTAACCAGTTATTTCCCTCTATTCTATGTCCAATGCTGTATGTTTAAGCCATATGATACAAATCTTTTTTATCAAACACGAACACCGTCTAAATGCACAATCCGTGCAGGTAATCCAACCCAACCCGAACCGAACCAACCCATCCCATAACTCCATCCATGCAAGCAACACACCTGGGTATTGATAATCTCCACCAGAATTTCCCAAAACTGGCAAAAAAAGGGCAAATATGTACTGTACATTTACAGAGTATGATCCGAACAAGACAGAATTATGGCGAATATGACGGATTCGATCCCGGATCCGATCCAGGCGTTTCACATATCATCGATGTCAGAGCCGCGTCCACAAGACTCTTCCGTCCCAGCGTCTGCTCGCTCCTCATCTTGCGGAGGAAAAGATCCCGAGTGGAAGGACTTTGATGGTGGGACCGCGTCTTGCCCACCTTGCTCACGGACGCAAAGGAAGCGGCCGACAAGCTCTTTCGTCGCGTGGACGAGTCCAGTGGAGACCGTTCCCGCGAACCCGAGCCAAGACCAGAACCGCTTTGTCTCTGTCTGGGCGTTCGGTGGACGAGGGATGCCCTTCGCCTGGGAGGAGACAGATCGGGAGGCAGCGAGCTGGGATGGCAATCGCCGCCCGTCCCCGAGTCCAGGGTCTGACGCCCTGCTTCTTCCGCCAGCAGGGCTAATCGAATGGCATCTACTCCACTAGGAGCACTGCATTGCACACGAGACAAGCGTTGCCGATGTAGACGGATAGTCCGATGCCGCTCATCGCGGTACCCTAACGACAAATCCTCGGGAGTGGAGACAGACCGCCGAACAGAGAGGACGGAAGTTGGGTAGAGAAAGGATGATCTGGAGTGTTCTCTGAAAGGATTGTGATACACCGGCTCGTCGTAGCCTTCGTCTTCATGGTCCTCCGGGGGAGTCAGCAGGCTGAAGCTGGAATAGGCACTCCCTGGCCCTGACGGCGTCGGTGAGAGCGTGGGAGAAATGGGAGAAAGAGGCGGTGGAATGTGGTCGTCAGGATGCTGGTGGACAGCATCGCTAGAATCGCTTTCAAGAGTATGGGCACGGAGCTTCTCCGTCAACGTTCCCACAGAGATGCGGCGGTGATACTGTTCGTGCGAGCTTGGCATGGACGTCGGAGGCTGAGGACGGCGAAGGTAAGGTGAATGGGACTGAGAGAGAGGTCGTGAGCGGACAGGCATCGACGACGGCGACGGACATCGCGAGGAGAGAGGCGAGATCATGGAGCTGGCACAATCAACCATGACCTTGTCGTCCCCGTCGTCAGCCAGGCAGTCAGGCCTGTCGGCCAACGGGGTCGAGAAGGAGAAACCCTCGAACATGGTTCCAGACGGGGCAATCACGATCTGGCGAGCCAGCAGGGATCTTTCTTCCCCAGAAGAACAGGAATATATAGCTTGTTGCAAAATATCGAGCTTCAAAGGATTCGAAACAAAGTTCTGCAGTTACACTGGGGCGAATCCAACCGGATCCAGGCTGACGGGCCAAATCCAGATCTGCCTCCACAGGCGGAGTGGTAGCAGCAACCACAGCAAGCAGGCTGGAGTATCTGGTGGAGTTGGAGATGTCCCCGTCGAGAGTTGTCTGGAGAAAGAACAACGAGGGCAGGACCACGGGCGAGGTGCAGTATACTAATACTGCGTCAGGCGTTCACCCTGAACGGCGCCCTAAGGACAATAGTCGGGACGCTAGTTGAACAAGCTATGAATCGGCAACCACTAATCCGGGGCCGATGGGTTAGCTACATCCGACCCGTCGCGGTGGCACAGACAGGGGGAAATTAAGATTTTTTATTAAGGCCGACCCCTTTACGAGGCGTGTCCCTCTTGCGGAGTAGTACGGAGTAAATCGCAACTGACCTTTTGCTATTAATTTGAAAAAAAAATTTCTCCAATGGCGCTGATCGCTGCATTTGATGGACAGAATTATTTTTTCCTTTTTTGCCGCTCTTGCCATTTGCAGGCATCCCTGGATGCGACGCATCGGGAAGTTGGGGGCGCGGTGGCGTACAAACAGGGCAGGCGCAATGGGGCAAGGGCTCAGCCTCAACGGGGAAGGCGCGATGTCAGACGGGCAAGGAGCGCTTAGTCAGCAACCACATGCGCTTCTAGAACGGAATTCGAAGCTGCGTGGCCGACCGTGGCAGTTTAGCGGCATTGTTTCTGGCCCCAGCAGCGTAGTGACAGCGTGTCACATTCGCCATCATCATCGCAACCCTAGCCCTCGAGAATTGTACGTGATCTACGCTATGCAGATTCTTGGGTCCTTTGTCATGCTTGGATTGGCTTTGCTTGAGGTATTCCACTGGACAATGATCGGTCCCGCTGCCGGTCCGCTAACGTCTACTAAAGCTCTTCATCTGCATAAATACTTCCATAAAATGCTACCAGGTACACAAACCGCCCCAATTACCAAGACGTCGTCCGCCGATAACCCTAACTAATGCAACCTTGCAGATTGCACAGGTGTCGTCATGATCATGATGATCCCCATGAGAAGTATTGAACCCATGGGGAAACGGGTTCAGATCCTGCCCCGCCCTATGCCCACCCGCAGAATCCAGCGGACACGAGCACTGCAAAAATAGCAGCCAACCGCCTCAAGATTGCGCTGTCCGAGGCGCATTGGCTTTCTCCGCTGTTGTGGTGGGATGCTGACGACGCCTTCCCGGAACCTGTGGCCGTCGCAGAGGCCGCAGTAGGCGTTCCATACGTTTGCTTGGCTGCGTCATAGTCGAGACAGGCAGTTGGGAGATTATAACTTGTCGATGCAACTGCTACCTGCGTGCCTGCTGACTCATGGAACCCCTCGAGATCCAGCTCGAAGTCGGCTATTGCCCCGACTTCAAGATCGACCGAGGGCACAATGTTCGTGAAATTGCCTATGATATTGTCCAACGCCGAACTGGCTGCACCTTCCGCTCCGGAGTTGGGTAACGCCTGGCAGTGTTGGTCCACGTTGGCTAGTTGGGTGATATTGACAGTGAGGGCTGGTAGCGACAGGTAACCTCCGATCCCTCCTGTGATCGAGCCCGCAAAGGTGCTGATCCCCAGACGGATCTGGGGTTTGAAAGCCACGCTCAGGAGGAGAGAAACCAAGGCGGATGTGGACTCCAGGGGAAGAGTATGAATTGTTGTTTCATTGCTTCGGGTAGACGTGAGCAATAAAGAAGTCAGAAAAAAAAGGATAGACTGACTTACAATCCAGAAGCAGTGGAGTTGGCCAAGTTCCTCATGTTGATCTCCAGTTTTGAATTATCAGGAACCTACAAATGTCAGCATTATGCTGGAGAGCTATCGGTTCTCAAGCCACTGACCGAGAGGTTCATGCCATATGTAAAGTTCATCGATTCAGCGAGCGTGATTCCGGCGACCAGTTCAGGGGCGATCAATGGTCCAAAGGCAACTACTCCCGGAATCTGAAAGCAAATTAAAAAAAAAAGTTGACGTCAGGTCAAATTTCATTTCATGGAATCGGCGACTTTCACAAGAGCTGCTCACCTCGAAAGGGGTAAGTGGGATGGTAGGTAGTTCTATGTTCAGGGACTCCAAATCCTGGGATTCGGAGATGCTCAATTCCAGCTCGATGTGCGCGAAGAGCCCTGTCGCCACGGCCTCCACGCTACCATTCTCGAAAAATGTTATGGTCTCGTTGACCACGTCGATGCTGCCTTCGATTGGACCATTGTCAGAATCAGGAAGACTGAAGGAAGCTTCCGAAATTTCGATTGTGCCGCCTATAGAGCAGTTCTTGCACGATACAGTTACCCCTTGAGGACTGGGGTTGTCAGTTTTTGACCTCAAGATGATGCCGCCTTGACGGGAGACAGATCGCCTTACATCAATTGCTCAGCGAGCAGATTCTGAGGAGGAAAGATCACCTCATCAACCAAGCTTACATCGAGCGTTTTGGTGGCTGTAGAGGGAAGTTCACTTGTTACCGAAGGAACGGTAGGGAAAGAGACTGTTGGTGTCGGGCCGGAACCCGTGATAAGAATAGTGGTGGCAGCAGGCGTGGTGACCTGACTTTGCTGTCTTCTTTCTAATGTCCGTCGATGCATCTGATTCTCTGAGGGATGTCTTCGGAAGAAGGACACATGTGTGTCGATAAAGGCGTCTCGCCATTCGCATCGAGAAACCTCGACATGGACAGCAGAATTGGCGGCATCAATAACAGCTTTGCTTGCTCTGGAATTGCATTTAGACCGTGAATATGCCTGTTGAGTTAAACAGCAAAACAAAAAGGTTCTTTACCGGTATGTCGCTCTCTCTCCGTCCAAATTACAGCCGTCGTGGGACGTGACCACGATGAAGCTGCCATTCAATTGGAATGCTTCCTTGACAGCATCGAACCCTCCAGGTGCATTGAAGAAAAGTGATATTTGGGAGTTCGAGCAGACGACATCTTTCAATTCATTTTCCAAGTCTTCGACCACTAAGAGTGGTTCCCGAGACTTGACGGACAAAGATGCCGCAAAGACAGAATCGTCGAAAGTGTCATCTGCCTCGTGGAGATAGTGGAAGACTGTTTCTTCCTTGAAAAGGCCAAGCGAGGATTGTGATCTTCTTTCCAATTGTGAACTCACAGTCGCAGCAGAGAGCTTTCGTCGGACCTGAGACGAGGCCCATGACTCGCGAAGACCATACGACGGGCTCAACTCCTTTCCTAGGGTCCCTTCAAAGGAGCCCAAACGCAACACAAACAACAGAATCCAGTACCAGGGCATTTTGCATTCAGTCTGCCAGAGGTCACGAGAATAAGGAACTGCTAATGAGGCTGAGGGGGCTCAATGTCAACCTTCTCATCGCAACGAGCCATCAGCAAGGCTCCTACGTGAGAGTTATATCTCTATCACAAGATCAACGTATAATCGTGCGTGAGGTATCTCCATGTCTTGAGGAATTATGCATCCTGTCAAACAGACTACTTTTCTTAATTTAGACGGACGCCACAAAGTCCGTTTGCCAAACAATCAATCAACGATCGCGTAGAGCGGCTAATGTTGGCTCGCACTGCAAGGAATCTAACGTGATGCATCTAGCCGCCCAACGTATGCATGTGGTACAGAAACTCTACCCGCTAACCTCATTACCCCGCGCGGTTCTACCAGGGTGCATTGCTAGTTCTTTCTAGTTTCAGTAAGCATCGCCAGGCTAGTGACGCTGCGCCGCTCAGCTGAAACTTGCGATGACACTCGGGAGGAGCCACTTTGCTGCTAATGGACGGAACGAGCAGGAACCTCCATTTAAGCGTGAACTTGGGCTTGGACTGTTCAGCTGAATGTCCACGAGTTGCAACAACGTCTGCGCCGCATGGACAGGGGCCGTTAGGTGGTCTTTTCTAAGAGCGCTACTCCTCCATATAGTCAAGTCAGCCGTGAGAATGGGGGCCGTTGTGAAACCAGCCTCGCAGTGTCAGGCTGCGAGATTGATTTTGGATTTGGACCATCTTCCCTTGACCGATGTGACACATGTGCTGCTGTCCTCTATGTATAATTCTCAACGGGATGACCGTGTAAGGATTAGGACAGGCACAATTGAAAGGACCTTTTCGAATGGCGTGAAATGTAATCTCATTGCCAGAGTAAAGCAAGGCAACGTGCATTTAGCATCCTGTCTTTGCAGGACTCGATTCCAGCCTCATCGAGCAGTGTCCGTGACCGGTTTAATCTAAGCCACGAGGAGATGGCTCGGAGTCTTCGGCCCAAATTCCGATCGCGGGCGTTCCCGCCACCTGACCCGCCCCCGCCATCTCCAGCAGATACGGAGCCATCAATGCTTCACGGCTTAGACTTGCCATCGCCTGAATAGCTGCTATCGGAGCCACGTGGATACTTGTCATGGCTACTCTCCTCAAACAACCTCTCAAACTCGCGCTGGTGCAGCTGGCGTCAGGTATGCCCGTCCAGTGTGCCTGGCTGCGACTATAGAGTGAGCGAACCAGCTGACTCTGTTTCTTCTTCAAGGCGTCGATAAAGCTGCCAATCTGAGCCATGCTCGCACCAAAGTTCTCGAGGCAGCCAAGGCGGGGCAAAGCTCATCGTGCTCCCTGAATGCTTCAACTCTCCGTACGGCACGCAGTACTTTACCAAGTACGCGGAGACGCTTCTCCCCTCTCCCCCAACGAAAGAACAGGCACCGTCGTTCCACGCCTTGTCAGCGCTAGCGGCTGAAGCCAAATCATATCTGGTTGGAGGAAGCATTCCGGAATATGAGCCCACGACACAGAAATACTACAACACCTCATTGGTCTTCTCGCCGACAGGAGCGCTGATTGGCAAGCACCGCAAGACACACCTGTTCGACATCGACATTCCCGGAAAGATCAGATTCAAGGAGAGCGAGACCCTGTCGCCGGGAAACAAGGTCACCATCATCGACCTCCCCGAGTATGGCAAGATAGGACTCTCCATCTGCTATGATATCCGCTTCCCGGAGACCGCCATGATCGCCGCCCGGAACGGCGCCTTCCTACTCGTCTATCCAGGTGCTTTTAATATGACTACCGGACCGCTACACTGGTCGCTGCTTGGACGAGCACGAGCTGTGGATAACCAGGTCTATGTGGCGCTATGCAGTCCGGCGAGGGACTTGAATGCCTCCTATCATGCATGGGGCCACAGCTTCATCGCCAACCCGAACGCGGAGGTGCTGACCGAAGCAGACGAGAAGGAAGATATCGTCTACGCAGACCTGGACAACGAGACGATCGAGAATACGAGGAAAGGTATCCCTATCTACACACAGCGCCGATTCGACGTCTACCCTGATGTCAGCGCTGGGAAGATAAGATTTGAGGAATAGTCGTGTTTATATGACAACTCTATATCCATACAATTAACTTCTTAAGGATGTCACGTATTCACAATATATGTATGATGTAAATAATATCGTTTTCTTTGGAAGGAAATCTCCACGCAGAGAAAGACACTGAAGTCGCTCGGTGCCTTTGCGTTGAACGGTACTGCGGGTATCGTGTCCTGCGCCAATCAGCTTGACCCGTGCGGTGGAGCCAGTAGGATAGTCACGTGACATGCGACAATCAACCAATGAGAGAATGCGCTAGTCGGTAAGCGAGCACACTGACAACCCGCGAATTTCGACATCCAAAAATCGCATCTCGAACTCGAGCGTCCTGCAACGACAGTTCGACCACCGCAGCCAACGACAGTCCACCACCACTGTCACTCCTTCCAGTCAGTATCTCTCCCCGCGCAATCTGTTTATTGACTACACCTTTTGCAATCGTGTCTTTGGACTATCGACCCAGGTGCTGACATCAAGGTTCTACGATTCCAGCAATGTCGAGCAACACCAAAGCCGGGAAGAAGGGCGGGCGCTCTGCCATCGCCGATGTCGTGACGCGAGAGTACACGATTAACCTGCACAAGAGAGTATGTTGAAAGCCAGCCATCCAAAAAAATCACTGTTCAATCCATCCATCCATCTCTCCCTCTTATCCCGCGGCCACTCCGATCTCCGTCGTCGCCGAAGCGTGGGAAATTTCGGCCTCGGAATTCCTTCACCTTCCGCCGAACGACGAAGTGCTAGAGGAAAGAACAAAAAAAAGATGTTTTCTTCCAGTAGAAAGAAAGCGCCGTGGACGGAGAACATTGAGGAACCGAAAAAAATACAAAGAGAAAAGAGAAGACAAAAATTAGTTTGATGAAGTCCACCTCTAAATGGCCGCAAAACGAGAAGAGAAGAAAAAAAAAGAAGAGTTTTATCCTTTTTTTCTTTCTCTCTCGTTATATATCCCTTTTTGAGCACTTGCACACCCAAAAAAAGGCTTTTCGGGCGGAAGACTGATTTATATTCTCTTTTCTCTGAGTAAATAGGTGCACGGTGTCACCTTCAAGAAGCGCGCTCCTCGTGCCATCAAGGCGATCCGCGACTTCACCGAGAAGGCCATGGTGAGTCCATTCCATTGCCTAGCATTACCTGGGGTCTTCTTCATCATCTAACGCACGATTGCTTTCTTTCTTCTTCCATCCAGGGCACCAAGGACGTCCGCCTCGACCCGCAGCTGAACAAGAAGGTCTGGGAATCCGGCATCAAGGGTGTCCCGCGCCGCATCCGCGTCCGCATCTCCCGCAAGCGCAACGACGAGGAAGGAGCCAAGGAGAAGCTGTACTCGTACGTCCAGGCCGTCAACGTCAAGAACCCCAAGGGCCTGTCCACCACCGTTGTCGAGGAGTAAACGCAACGATACGAAACGGAATTGTTCCTGCCTTTCTCCTGTCATTGGTCGTGTGGTGTCGTTTCTCTTTTTTACTTTCGTCAGGTATACCTTTCATGTCATGTATGTGGGGTTCTTCTCTCTGGTCGGTCGGACGACATGAGAAATAAAAAAAATTCAATTCAATAAAAGAAAAAAAAAGAAGAACCAGGAAAGAAGGATTTTCCCGGTTAGGAAATGCAGACTGCAGAGGGGAGAGAGAGATATCCTCCCATGTGCTTCTGAACTGAACAACGTGTAATGAAAAAAAAAAAGCAATATCAAACCAGATTCAAGCCAATGTTCAAGTCAGTAAAGATAACACCCCAACTAACCATTTTTCTTCATCCTTTCCTCCCTTAGAAATCTGGACTGATTACGCCATGATAAAAAGAGGGGAAGAGATTATTCGTAAAATGTACCACACTGTATGTATGTACGCGTCTGCATTTTGTAGCTGTCTGTACGTACTGTACATACATACTATAAACCATAGTATATCCTCTCTGTATGTATGTGCGTACATGCATTCATACAGTTTTCCCGAATCAATTATGTGGAAGATCAAAAATATTGTCTTTCACGGGACAATGTAGGTACAATTTTCCAAGATCTCCCTTTTCCTCTTTCGAAAAAAAAAAAGAAAAAGAAAAGACAATTTGGTGGAAGCGAAAAGCCTGCTAAAAGAGATAATGATCATGACGATGACGATGATAATGCAACAAACGCCACATTTTGCTTCGGATCTATCTATTATCAGGCATCGTGGTTCAACTAATCGATCACAAAGAGCAAGGGAGAAAAAAATACAAAACCCTGTTCCTGCTGCGATTAAGAAAAGTGAAGGGGAATAATAGAAAAAGGAACAACGCTATGCTCGCTCGGGATGCAAAATGCTCTGGCGCTCTTCTGTCGGTTTCCCACGTCCACCCACACGCATGCAATTTTGATGCCAAGTACAAACTATTCGTTGTTACACAGAGCGAGAAACAAAAGTAAATCAAGGCCATGCATGCTAATAGAACCAGGGCTGTAAATGCTTGACAGTCAACAGAACAAACAGTAAATCAACACGCCCAAGAATCAGGTCCCAAACTCTATCATGATAGTAGCAAACGCCAAAGAAAAGGATGCAGAAAGAATAACGAAAATGCCAGGCACAAACCCAGCAACAGAGGTTCCATGCGTAACGAGGAACTTGTCGTCCGACGGTCACAATGGCCCAATCAACTCCAAAGAGGGCAAAAAGCAAACTGTCATTTGGCAAACATAGGGAGGTCAGTATCGACCCAACCACAGGACTCTCTGTTGACGCGGGCGCCGCCGCAACAATTTCTGGCGTTGAGATCGCACATCGCAACGTTGCCGCTAAGCTTAGTCGACAATCGCTATCGCCCAGTCCAACTCCGCAGAGGAGGGCAGAAGGCGTTTGTCTTTTTTTCATTTTTTCTTTTCTTTTTTTCAATTTTTCAATTTTTTTTCCTTTGGACTCGGTCATAGTGATCAAATTGGCAGTTGTAGTCGCGCTTGCCCAGTCAAACTCTAGAGAGGAGGGCAAAAAGCGGCGTCATTTTGGCATACGT